CTATCTCAGTTATTTCCACTGGATCGTGGAAAAGTCTGGAAATCGGTAGTTCCGATTGCCTGGCATGCGGCAAATAGCCACAGTGCTCCATAAGTGCACAGGCATGTACATACACAGTGTACTCCGTACGGGTCTCAAGAATGCAGGGGTACGCCACATAGGGGCACAGATAAGACAGATTGCATATTTCTCGACCCGCGAAGCGAAATTGCCATCAAGGAGGTTAATGGTCTAAGACAGATCGATCAAGTAATTGACACGGCACGGATTGTGTTCTAGGCCTGACAGCCAGACTAACTACGAAGCACAGAGAAATTTATTGGAATAATCAGGCATTAATTCAACCATGTAAGGGGTATCGGCACATATTTGCCCTTCTTTCGTTGATTTTCCCCCATGATCAAGCCAAAGTGGTTTCATTTCAGCTAGCCATTAACAATACCTGCATTGAAGCGAGCAATAAATCTGATCTAAGGAAACTAATGTCCGCATGCGACAGGCTAAAATTGGATGTTTTGGTATGCACGTCAGAAAGTAAAAAGAAAAGAAGCAACAATACCGAGGCACGTGCAAACTGTGCAAACATCCCTGACTATGCTAGGCAGGTGAATGGCTGCCAGATTGTGAAGGCCACAAGGCACCACCGATAATGACATCATTTGTATGGTCTGTATGGGGCATAGCTCCTCCAGATGACAGATGGGCTTGTGCTTCAAACTAGGTGGCGAGTTCTCCTGAGTCTATTAGACGTTTAGAACTTAGAACCTAGACCTTAAATTTAGCCTCACGAGGATATGCATCTATTGCCCCATAGCGAGCCCACTGTATAAGGTCGAGGGAGTCCACATGCTGAACCATGCTGAGACTGAGAGGCGATGCACACTCGTGCATTGCGGTTATCATTAATGCACTCTCTTACTTCCATGCGCTTTCTAGAAGCATCCGAGGCACGAGCTAGCGGTGATAGCCCACCGCCCAGCAGCGTCGTCGACAATTTGTCATGATTGATTGGGCGGTGATTTTATGCCTTCCTCGCATAAGGGGATCTTGCCGCTAGAAGATTCCAATCTGTTGTTTAGTCTAAGCTTCTGTAAGGATCACTACACCTCATGGGACTATGCCTTTCAGGGCAGCAGAATAACTAAATATACTCTTTATGGTTTACTCAAACTCATTTAAAATATCTTGGCTATTCTTAGTTATCAGTTCTCCGCCTGACATAAGATTGACGTTCCTGCAATTGTAGCTCTGATCTACGACCGGATGCTACGGATGATGTTGACAACTTGACGATTCTTGATTCTTGACCCAGAAAAACAGGTTTGGAAGATTGATTCAGAATTTGATGTTGCCATCGAAGCTAGATATGCAAGATGTACTGCGCGAGGACGTCCGTCCTCCCTTGTAAACATGTTCTTTATTTACCTTTACGCGCCTTACCCCTATCTCGTGGTCTCCTGATTGCTCGACGTGTTCTGCTAACATCCACGCCATTTGGTCTGTTCTCGTGGCTATGAGGCGTCTAGAACACGGTCTCAGACAGATGATTGGACCCCTGAGCAGGCTATCCCTGATACGAATCCCCTGGACGTGTTCTTTTCAGGTGCTCGTGACCATGATGGTCCGAGACCTCCGGCATGCCTGCGCCGACTCTCTCACTATCGGCACCGGCGTGCCGAGTCTGTCTGTTATTTAACCCATCGGCTTCCCGACCTGCTGGACCCCCCGATCCGAGCAGTTCCTGAATGTGCTGTCCAAATACCCTCGACAGGTCGCCTACTTTTCTTCTCCTTCTTACACCTCACCTGCCTTCCATTTTTCCTCCTGCTACTAACATCTAGCCCACACTTTTCCCTTTTCGCTATTTCCGCAGTTGTTGACCGTCGACGTTCTTGGCATTCGACACCGACAGAAAATGATGACTAACGGCCGCTCTCATTCGACGAAAATTTGTTCCACCGGTAGCGAAAGAATCTTTTCGGTGTGGGATGGCCTTCGTGTTGGGTTCATTCATTAATTTTCTTTTTTTTCTTTTTATTTATTTATTCTTTTTTTTCGAGTTCGATTGTTCTCGATATTTTTTATTCATTTCCCATCCCATTCCTCCGAAACAAACCGTTTCTCGACGGTGCATGACGGTCTGACGTTGTTGACCACTTACGCGACATACAATTCTTTGGTTGGATCCTGATTCCTGGGTCCCCTCTAGGGCCAAGACCTTTACCGACTCGGCAGGCTAAAAAATCAAGCGGCATCTGTCCGACACTTTTTTTCGAAGCCAAGACCGACCGTGTACGACCGGCATCCTACCACTTCAACGATCATCGGGCCGATTTCCTGCACACTTTACGGCCGACTTGGCGCACTCGGGATTGCGCATTCGTGCCGAAGTTCCTCCTGACCGAATGTACGGTTTGGATTTGGGTGTACTGGGATGTCTGCCGTAGAGGATTGGGACAAAAAAATCAGATGGGTTACATACACTAATGTATATGTTGTGGGTACATGAAAAATCTCAGATTGTTTGGTCCACTTCGACAGAGAAGCTGAGGGCAGGCAGAACATCTGGATGGGAATATCGGGTGTTTGAGTACGATGTCTGATGGGAGCGGCTTATATGAACGGCTTTTTTAGTTTTCTGTTGATGACCACGGAATCTGACCGGGCCTTGAACGCGGAATGACGACACAGGTCCTTATCAAGCGGCAATATAGCTCGCGACACGACATCATCGTCGTCGGCTCTGCGCGCACGGTGGCATCGGATATCTTGTTCGTTGTACGGATACTAACTACGGGGTATCCGAGTGTACGGAGTAGATGTCTCAAAAAACTCACGTTGACAGGTATAGCATCATCGTGCAGGTGTCATGCTCCATTGGTTAGGGCAGCTGATCGATGAGATCAAATGTCCTGTTTCCCTATTCGTCCTTTTGGGTTGCTTTGCTCTGGTTGATCGTTGCCTATCCTCCCCTCTCAAACATCAGCCAATTCGCATTACTCCGTTCGCATTACCTCAGCACGGAGTCTCCCCGTCGCTTTTACTAAAACAGGTGCCGCTGAACGATTCCGACTCGTACGGATCAGACCGTCTCTCCGGACTCCGGACGACCTGATGGCTCCTACTCCATTCCCTCATCCGCCGTCTTCCGAGCTGCTTTTGCCCAAGAGGGCAAGCAAAACCAACTGACGTAGGTAGGGGGGACCAGAACAAAAAAACACGATTGGTCATTGGTCCAAGCATCGATGGGGCTTTCAAAGAGGGGCAGAAACTTCGACCGGGCGCCCGCGGGCATGGAAATTACTGCCACACAATCGTCAGCGGCTCAGAGTTAGGAGCTAGACCGAGAAGGTAGTCGAGAAAGTCCGGAAGCCTGGAAGGACACATGCACCTTGTCCCATGAGGAGGTGGGTGATCCCCACGATGATTGGCCATCCAGATGACGATTGTCGGTTTGGTGTGCGTCGTTTAGGGCAAAGCGCGAGGATCCACCGGGATCTCCCTCGAGGGATTCAGCGCAAGTTGGGTGTGTTAACTGTGGTTACCCACTTTCGCACCCAAGTCCACCACACATTTTCTCCTGCTGGTATTCCCCACAACCTTGCCCCACTCCATCGTTTGCCGAGAGGTCTTAGTTGCGCGCTTGTTCTCACCAAGAGGGCTGCCCTGAGCTTCGCTGTTTCTTGTTTTTGCGCTGAGGTACTTGGCGCTAACTACTCCGGTTCGATATTGACGCAATCAGCGATGATCTGGATTCTCTACGGAAGGCTGCTTCTGACGTCGTGTTGGCCTGTCAGTGTCATGGTGATTGGAGCATCGGGTAAAAAAAAAAAAAACCGCTGCCTGACAGGTTTTCCATTCAATTTGGATGTTGCACTCGGCTAGGAGATATCATCTAGATTCAAATGCTCATTGTCCCGAGTGGACCGCCAGAGAAAAAAAAAAGTGGTCACTGACTAAGACATGCTTCTTCTCGGCCTGCTGCCAACTACGGCGCGCGGCCGACCACAGCATATGCACGAAAACTAACGTACGGAGTACACGGATGAGGGTCGCTAATCTAGATGCATTGCTAATGAGAGGGAAGAGTGAAGAGATGGGGTGTTTTAGACGGACCAATGGACCTGCAGGATATTTCCCCCTCGGTTTGAGGTGGAGTTTCAACCGATCTAAATGTCGTAGTGATAGCAACAAATACACATAGAGAAATGATTGTTGCCTTGCTTTACCATGCCTGGAACAAACAGCGCGCATCCCGGACAAGGAGGACGTGCGCAAAAAAAAAAAAAAAAAGAACGCAGAAAGAAACCTAATGGAACACAAGTTGACAGCGCAAGGGGAAACCGAGACTGCGAGAGTTTGAGACACGCAAATCAGAACTCTGAATATTATGAGTTTATTAAGATGGGCTGATCAGATTCTCCATGCGGCATACTCGATCCAAATATGCTAAGGGAGGGAAACCGGAGCCCCCGAATTAAACGTCGCGTGAGGCCTGCCCCGGTGGAGGGGATATCCATGCATGCATCGTTTTTGGTGTCGAATTATCGATGGACCTCGGTCACAACCTTGCCTTTTCCGATAGCAGCAAGCAACGAACCGTGTACGGCCATTCGGGCAATAGAGTAAGGATTTTACGGAGTACTCCGTACGTGCCCCTGCGGTTCCTGTGTTTTTGATATATCTCCCTGTCGTCCAAATTTGTGGTCGTGTCATAAATTAGAATTCAGTTGTTTTGTTTCTGTTCTGATATCAGACACCTTATTGGGTGACTTGGGTACAGGGAGTGTTTCGCCTTGCAGGAGCAAAAGACGCTAGATGCGGTCGGGACACCACCATCCACGGGAACGGCTTCCCGAACGATGACCGAGAAATCATGCTTGCACCCGTTAATTATCGGGACGGCAGAAAAATCATTATTAAAATAATAAAAATAATAATGTAAAATATTAAATAATGCACCAGCAGTGGCCGCACGGAGGACAGAGTGGATAATCCCCATGTACGGCAGGAGAGGGGAGAAGGACGGACGCACGGTGGAGGATATCTCAGGCATTCCGATAGTTTTGGTTGGTAAGAGATTAGGTAGTCAAAACCTATTTCGCTGGAACGGATAATTAAACTTGTACAGAACGAGAAAATGTGTACACAAAAAATAAGATTATCTCATCAGGTGGGTGTGCGACCTTACTTGGGAAGCAACTGCAAGAGAGCAGTTCAGCTCCCACTCCAATCCCTCCCCCCCCCGAGGCCCCCGAGAACAAGGGACGTTCCCCGTGGGATCAGAGAGGTTCCTCGCTTAACCTGCCCTCTGGAGGTCTGGAGATGACCGAAACTGGCAGGTCCGGACCACAGGGCAATCGGCCAGTCACGGCTCCCACAGCAAGGTATGTGCTCCGTAAGAACGCCCGCAATGCACGCACATATTTCCCTATGCGACAGCGGAATGGGCGATGTGTCGACTGTTGACGAGAGCAGTTGGTGGAGTTGCACCGACTAACTAATCCGCGGTGGAGGATTCAATCAGTTGTGTTTTCTGAGAGGATGGTCGAGATGGATGCTTTCGGATGGTTCGCCAATGATGGTGGCGTCGATGGACCCATTTTTGAATGATCCTTATTTTTTTAATTTTGATTTTCTTTTTTACTCTCGGGTCCCCTTTTCCCTGGCCCTTTTTTGCGATAATTAGTTCTTTTTTTCATTTTTATTTGTTTCCCCCCCGTCTCCTCCTTCGGCTCCATAAAGAGACACTCTGATGTCATTGCTTATTGTATCTTCGGCGTCCCCACCTGTGGGCCCTTAAACCGCCCCAAAGAAATGCTTAACCCAGCGTTATTGATGCATTCAGTCCCCTGCTCCACAAAACAAACAATGGTACGGTTGACTATGAGTGCTCAGAATATGGTGGAGGGTGAGTTTGGGGGATAAGAGATTGCCGGCCAGCATGCATGGTCGCCACGACTGCCTGTAAATGGAGAAGTAGAAAATCCCCCCCTTCCCCCCCGTCCTTCTCCGCGTTTGTTCTTTTCGTCTTCTGTCAACTATCCCTTCCTCTCAATCGTGTCAGGCCAAACACCGAGGGAACCACTGGGAATACACATCCTCCTGATCTCGCCTGGTGTCTCGACCTACCTGGAGACCTGTTCCGTGTTTGCTATCTCTCTCTTGATCAATCCCTTCCTATCTCGCCCAGCATGGCGCCGCCTAAATTTGCTGGCATGTCGGGGAAGCCCCTGTCCCTGACCGTGTCCACCGTTGCTACTATGGGTTTCTTGCTGTTCGGTTATGACCGTAAGTGCCATTCACTACTATGGCATAGTGATGCGAGGCGGGTTGCAGTAGGCTAATGCGGTTTCTATAGAGGGTGTCATGTCCGGTATTATCAGTGACAAGGCTTTCAACGATGTTTTCACTGCTACCAAGGATGATTCTGTCATGCAGGCTCTCGTCACGGCTGTTTACGAACTTGGTTAGTCCCCTGAACCCTATCCTCATAGAATCCCCAAACCAACCATATTGTACAGGATGCTTGGCTGGTGCATTGTTCGCCCTGGTTTACGGTGACGCGACCGGTCGTCGCCTGATGATCTTGTCTGGTGCCTGTGTTATGATCGTTGGTGTCATCATCCAGGTGACTTCGTTCGTGGACCACATCCCCCTACTTCAGTTCTTTGTCGGTCGTGTCATCACTGGTATTGGTAACGGAATGAACACCTCCACTATCCCGACCTACCAGGCCGAGTGCTCTCGTACCAGCAATCGTGGTCTGCTTATCTGTATCGAGGGAGGTGTAATTGCCATCGGTACTGCGATTGCCTACTGGATCGATTTCGGCGCTCACTACGGTCCCCCCGACCTCGTCTGGCGATTCCCCATCGCTTTCCAGATTGTTTTCGGTATCATCATCATCGTCGGAATGTGGTACCTGCCGGACTCTCCCCGTTACTTGATCTCCAAGGACCGTGTCCAGGAGGGTGAGGTTGTGCTTGCCGCCCTTGGTGGCTGGGAAGTGGACAGCCACGAGACTCAGATGCAGAAGACCCTTGTCATCGACTCGATCAGAGCGTATGTCTCGAACCTAATGACCCTAATATGGTCCCTGTTATCTCCCAGAACACTGCTAACGAGTTTCTGATTCTAGTTCCGGCGCCGCCGAGAAGACGAAGTTCCGCGACTTGGCTACCGGTGGACGTTCTCAGCACTTGCGTCGTATGCTTGTCGGTTCTTCTTCCCAGATCTTCCAGCAGCTTTCTGGTTGCAACGCTGTCATCTACTACCTCCCTGTGCTGCTTAAGGATATCGGTCAATCGAATGATATGTCCCTGCTGATCGGTGGTATCAACATGATTGTGTACGCCATCTTCGCCACTTTCTCCTGGTTCTTCATCGAAAAGATCGGTCGTCGCAAGCTCTTCCTGGGTGGTTCTTTCGTTCAATGTGTTGCCATGATCATTACTTTCGCCTGTATGATCCCTGGTGACGACGAAACCGCCAAAGGTGCCGTGGTCGGTCTCTTCCTGTACATGGCTGCATTCGGTGCTGCGTGGCTGCCTCTGCCCTGGTTGTACCCTGCCGAGCTGTCCCCCATCAAGACCCGTGCCAAGGCCAACGCCGTTTCGACCTGCAGCAACTGGCTGTTCAACTTTGCCGTCGTCATGTGGACTCCCCCTATGATTTCCTCGATCAAGTGGGGTACCTACCTTTTCTTCGCTGTCCTGAACGGTCTTTTCATTCCTGTCGTCTGGTTCTTCTATCCCGAGACCGCCAACCGATCCCTGGAGGAGATCGATATTATCTTCGCTAAGGGTTACACCGAGAACATCAGCTACGTCACCGCCTCTCACCAGCTTCCCAAGCTCTCCGACGAGGAGATCGAGGCCAAGGCCAACGAGTACGGCTTCGGTGCCGGTCCCTCCGAGGACCCCGAGAAGGCTGGTGCCGACTACTCTCCTTCGGAGTAAACAACTTCTCAAAATTCACGACAAACATATCATGCAATGGGGACAGACGATGAGTTGCTCATTGCTACTCTAACCGCGCCCCACAAAACCTTAAAAAAAAAAAAAATCTTACATTTTAGGCTCTCAACCCTGATAACTTTCTGCATCGATACCCGTGGTCCGCTTCGATTCGGATCGCAACTTTCTTTTCCTCATTATACCATATATTATGCATGTTGAATTTTGTGTTTTGGACATCACATGCCGATAGACTTGGCGTTGCATACCGCCGCCACTTGTCCGTCGTGCCGATTTTGAGATCACTTTATTCGCCTGATGTTTTGCATATCTTATATGGTCTTGTTTTGATTTGGATTTCTTATCTGCGATTACCCCCTGAGTCTGATCCGTGGAACACATGAATGTGGATGGTTTTCCCTCCACACGGACATATGTACATTTACGACGGTCGATATATCAATAGACACTAGATTTACGAGAAGAAGTGACTTTTACAACTTCAAATTACCTTCAGAATATTTGTACCCTAGATTGTTTCTGTACTCCTGAGTAGCAGTACCGGCGCAAGTGTCGCACCATTGAGGCCGATAATGATGTCATTCGCGTTGAGATACCGCCGGGGACGGTTGACATTCCAGCGGCAGTTACCCATGGATTCGGATCCTGGAAATCCGGAGTAAAGACCTTCCAGACCGTTTTCGAATCCCACGTCCTTTTCCTCCGTGCCTGGTCTTAGTCCACTCTCCGAAGTTCCACCATCGGTCGCAGATATACCTGTTATGTACTTGGCTGACTCGTTCTACTTCCGACCATGAATGATCCATCAATCCATTAATTTGTTGTTTCATTGATAATTGATTAATTTATTAGTTAGCGAATAACGCCCTCCCCGGTCTAGTTAGGTACTTCTTGCTTCCGAATGCATGGCCCTGTACCACTGCCTGCCTTAGCTGCCGTGTCACATCCAACCACTCAGCTACTCCATAGTCCAGGTAGCCACCAAAGCAGGCCAAGGAATGCAAGGGTCATTCAGTAACAACTAACAAACCCCCTGCTGTCGAAATAATCACCATGGGGTAAAGTGTACTGTAAGTGGTTGATCCGTTAGGGTAGGGGCAAAAAAATAATAATCAAGAAAATAAAATCGACAAGGAAAAATCTTTCTTGATACATCGCTTCTTCTTTCTTCCCTTTTTCTTTTTCCTCCTCTTTTCCTTTTCCTTTTCTTCTCACGCACACACACGCACACACACTCACACACCCCTTCTCCTTTTCCCCTTCCGAAGTTCCTTGATAAAAAAAATCTTATTACTAGCGATATATCCCCAACCAACCAGGATCTTCCCGAGACAAAGAAATTAGACGAAATCAAGTCATCAATCGGACACCTGATCTGTTGTGGCAGTGATCGGCTGATCTGACTCCGCCTCCTCTCATCCTGCCCGGTTTGCAATTCTGATTATTATCATTCACGACGAACTGCACTTGCCTCGAGAGCACCTGCGCTTTGATTTTATGACTCTTCATGCTTGAACTACTGATGACTGATTTTGATGACTATTTGATTTGATTCGATCTTTTTTTCTCTTGAGGCTCTTTTCTGTCTTTCTTTCTCTGTTCATCCCCGCGTGAAAGTCCTCCTTTTTGTCTTTCTCTTTCTTCCCCTCGCTTTGCCTCGGTTTGGTTGATTGATTGATTGATATCGGAGGGTTTCTTTCTTTTTTTGCCTTTCTCTTCTTTAATCGATTTTAAGATTCAGAGAGAGAATCTTTATCAATACGCGCCATTTCTGTTCATTGCTTTCATTGTTCGGTTGTGTTTAGATCGCTGTGCATTCGTTCTATTGAAGGTTGTCTTGTCTACGGAACTTGCCACTTGCTAAGGTAGCCTAGCTACTTGTACTTACCTTGACCTTGACCCTAACCTTGGGAGGTTCCTTTTACTTTTCAGACACCTACTTACCTGTCTGATTTTGTCAACTGCGCTCCCCCGTCCAGACACGTGCGGTCCGTTCATACCGGCGCATAACTTTATTCGAATATCTCACTCATCCGAGGTTCTTGCTGTTGCTGGATCATGCAAAACCAGCTCTCCGTCGGCCCCGCTCTCGCGTCTACCCCGCCATGAGTTCTTCCCTCGAGGCTAAGATTGTTGTGTTGGGTGCACAGGGTAAGTCCTTCCCCCCTCTCCTTTTATCTTCTGTTGTCGGTTTCCCTTTCTGGAATGTGAGGTTAGGTTAGGTTAGCTTAGGTTACGTTACTGACGTCAGTCGCGCGATAGGAGTCGGCAAAACGTCCCTCGTGCAGCGCTACGTCAAGAACGATTTCAGTCCCGCCGGGACAGCTTCGACCGTCGGCGCGTCATTCATCACGAAACGCGTTCTCGACAGCGCGTCGGATACCATCGTCCGATTACAAATCTGGGATACGGCCGGCCAGGAACGGTTCCGCAGTATCTCGCGACTGTACTACCGCGGCGCGAACGCCTGTCTACTATGTTACGACATCACGGACGAGCAGAGTTTCCAGGAGATGACGGGGTGGCTGCTGGAGTTGAAGAATAATCTCAACGAGGAGGACCCGATCGTCATCCACGTCGTCGGGACGAAGTCGGATATCGTCGCGCTGGATCCCGCCCGGCGGAGAGTCCCGTTTGAGCGCACGATCGCGTACGTGGCCGAGCAGCTGTATCCGTCGCAGGCGTCGACCCCGCCGCCCACGGCGGGGTTTTTGGGACACTCGTCGAGTACCACGTTGCAGGGGCCGGATAGTAAGCGGAGTAGCGGGTTCTGGGGACAGGATATCGGATGGGATTGTTGTCATGAGATCAGCGCGAAGGATGGCGAGGGCATCGAGGAGGTCTTTCGGGTGATCACGCGCAAGTTGGTCGAAGAGAGGAATAAGAAGGAGGCGAGCGTGGTTGCGACGCCCGGGTCTGGGTCTGGTATTGAGGGGCTTTCGGCGCCTGCTGCGAGGAATCTGGAAAATAATGGTAGTTTCCGACTGGGCATGGTTGACAAACGTCGCAGCTGGTTGGGATTCCCGCCGAGCAGCGTGGGCGATGAACATGATGAGACGGTCGAGATTCGGAAGAAGAAGAATGGTCGATGCTGTTGATGGATCTGCCTTTTCTTTTCTGGTCAATAGAGGGAGGGTTCAGCTTACATATCTCTCTTCTGTTCTGTTCCCTCCACCCCTTTTTGTTTGGTCATATTCTTGCATGGAAGTTATGGGATGGTGCTTTTTATCTTGTGTTGTGTTTTTGGCGATTCGGCATGTTGTTGCATGACTTGTTCTTTGTTTGTCTTCGATGTTGTTTTTATTCGTCACTGTTCTGATTTCGTTTGCACATGATTCGCATGGCCGTGTATGCGTGGCATCGGGGATATTTGCTCAGTTCCGGAAAGACTGAGAGATGAACAAGGTGCAGGCACCTTCCACGGCGGGAGAGGATGTACCAGACACGATAATGGATGTCCCGATCTCACTAGGGTAGATAGATAGTTTCATATGAACGTTAGACATGTCACCCAGCTTTCGTAACCGGGATTGTACATCCGACGACTCCAAAAGGCAGGTGAAAAGTAAGAAAAGTAAAAACCCGCCGATCAGGGATTCTCAACCCCGCATTTCGTATCAGACCACCAGATTATCAATTGGTCCATTCGCAGGTTATCGGTGGAAAATTCGACAGTTCTATCAGTGCTCCCCAGGCCAGTTGCGTAATGCATCCTAGTCTTGTACGAGTGGCCCTTGTGCGACTACCATTGCCGATCGTTGCGCTCGGATTCCCACCGGCCGACAAACACATTTGACACTTGATAAAATGCCGTCGTCGATTCGAGGACATTCTTTCGCCCGTTCGTCGTGAATGCGATGATCCCCCGACTCCGCTGTGAGGTTGCTGGCGACTAGTACGCACTCTGATGTAGGTCCTTGAACGAAACGGAAACTCTGAACGGACAAATGTCGATCTCCGGATAAGGCGTGCGCGTTTACTCCCGATTCAGTCGACAAGTAGACACAGCGTGATGCGGCCCTCCCGACCGGGTAGTAAGTCGAGAAAGATCTGCATTGAGCCGACGGTCGACGGTGTGGTGGTAGAAGCGGACGGTGGTAGCTAGCGAATTCAGCGAGGGAAAATGGCGCCGAAAGGTTGATGCGGAGTTGGTTTAACGTTTCGCGATTCGGGACTTTATGATGCGACGTTTGTTTGTTTAGTTGTCTGTTTGCTTGTTGGCAAGACAGACAACTGAGTTGTCGGCAACCGAGTCATGGCGTGTTCATTTATACCGGAGATATGAGACCTAATGAGGCAGTTATGGGTCGCTATACGCGAGAGACCCTGGATCGTCAGGTCGGAATCGGCTGTAACACACATTCTCTTTTGGCTTGACACGCCGAAACGCCTCGTCCGACGAGGACAGCGGGCCAGTCCAGGCGGGAGTGGATGGGTGGAGTGTTTGAGATAGACTCATCCAATGTGGATCGTAACCAGATTGGAGACGGGATCTTCAAGGATACTTATCCTCTGGCAGAATTTCGAAGCGTTTCACTGGCAGGGCGAAGGATGTAGCACCGGAGCCCGTCTGAGCAGATCGGATGACTAAGGCGGGTGTTCAGGGTCTGCGGTCGGGGAAGGAGAAGAGAAGAGAGATGCACCGACATAATGCCTTAGGTCAGTCACAGAGTAAGTATGCACACACGAAGAAACCGGCAACGAAATGAAAGTACGCCCGGGTATAAGAACCCGGTCGTCTCCCTCCACTCGGCCGGTTTCAAGTATGCGACTTGACAGCCAGTCAGCCAGAAAGCCAAGGACAAGGGTCTTCCTCAATTAATTATTAAATAATATCAACTAGACTCGACGGCAATTGCTCTGTCGCCCCTGCAGATCTCCTCCGCCATCCCACCAATCCGCGTGTTCCCGACCCTCTGATGATAAGAGTCTTTGCTCTCTGCATGCCGCATCGTGTTCATTTCTTTGGTTCGTGGTTTTCACGAGATATTTTTTTTTTTTGGCTCTCTCTCGCTCTTGTCTCATTTGGTCCCTTCGCTCGTCATTTTATCGTGTCTTAGATTTTTCTGGTTCCCCCTCCTTTTAACGGTCTAGCTTTATATTAGGGATCTAATTAAGGCTCTTCATTACCGCTAGAAATCCCTGCGTATTATTATCCGGAGCACGGCCTTTTTTCCCTTTCGGTGTTGTCACTTTCTTCTTTTTTATTTTTTCCCTCTTAATTAAAGAAAAGAAAAGAAAAGAAAAGTAAACATCCTATCCGCTCGCTTCCTCAATTTTCATCTTATCCTTACACCATCCTCCTGTCCTTCGTTTTCTCGCCTCCCCTCCCTCTCCTCCTTCTCCCCTTCTCTCTTATCTCTTCCTTCTTAATCGGGTCGTCGCGACAAATGTTATGAGATGAGACTATCTTACCGTTGTGGTCTGGCCGCACTCTTTATCTTCGCCGTCGTCCTGATAAAGCGCCATCTCGACTTCCTCCATGATGATACACGACCCCAATCTGTCTGGCAGCTCAACCTAGGCGGCAATTCCGGTTCCCAGCAGCAGCAACAGCAGCAGCCGCAAAATCCCGCCGACCAGGGATCAAATGGCAATGTCCCGGCCGTGAACCCGCCCGTCAAGATCTCGCAGCCGACCTACGAAACGACACCGATTATTATACCTAATGACCGAATAATTGTGATGGCCAAGTTGGCCGCGGAGGACACCTCATGGGTCAGCAGTGAACTCAACGAGTGAGTTTTATCTCATGCCTCCCCTTTAACGGGGGAAAAAAAAAAAGCCAACTGGCGAGATGTGCCGAGGACTAACGATCTTTTTTTCACCCCCTGCTTCAGATGGCGAAACTTCATCTACACCGTCGACGATCCCAACGCCGCCCGCCACACTCCCAAAAACAAGGGCCGTGAGAGTCTCGCTTATCTCGAATACATCGTGGACCACTATCACGACCTTCCCGCGACCATCGTCTTCCTTCACAGTCACAAAGACGGCTGGCCGGGCGCCTGGCACACGGATACGATGGATTACAGCAACGTGCAGGCCGTCCGTGCCCTGCAGACTGATTTTGTTCAACGGAACGGCTACGCTAATCTTCGCTGCCAGCTGACGCCTGGCTGTCCGGATGAAATCAAACCGCGCCTGGATTCTCACAAATCCAGTGAGAAGGTGTACGCGCAGGCCTGGCAAGAACTGTTCAACAACACCAACGTGCCCGAGGTCGTCGGTGTGCCCTGCTGCTCGCAGTTCGCCGTTTCGCGCGACCAGGTCCTGAAGCGTCCGCTCTCCGATTACGAGTGGTTCTACGCCTGGGTGTTGAACAATGAATTGGAAGACGACGTGACCTCACACGTGATGGAGTATACGTGGCATATTATTTTCGGGCAGGATCCGGTCTAGTAAGTTTTTTTTCTTTTAGCTTTTCATAATCCAGCCTTGCAGATCACGATGACGATGATGATCGTGATCTTCAACTCCCGTGATCGTCCGTCGCTAACATTTCCTCCTCTCTAGCTGTCCCGACACTTTCCAGTGTTACCAGGATGTTTACGGAAACCCTTACTTCTGGTAATTATTGTACATAATACCCTCTTGATTTCCTTACTTTTTCCCCTTCTTGTTTTCATATATTGCGCCTTGGACGAACCGCCCGTTCGTCGTTATTTTCTACCATGCTCGAAAGGTGTTTGCTGTATATGAACTGGGACTCTTCTTTTTTTTTTTTTTTTTTTTTTTCTCTTTACATGTTTAGAAATCATCTATATCTACTGATCGACGATATTGTTCAAAATATTGCATAGGAGTTCATGAAGCCAGGAGCGCGAAGAAATATCATATCATTCATCTGACATCTCGTATTCAGCCTCGTGAAAACAGTAGGATACGTGCCACGCTGACAGGTAGAAAGCTGGCTGTCTGACTTGGGTCCCGGCCAGTTGTGCGACATGGTTTCTTTCATTGTCTCGGCTGTTTCTGGTCGTTCGGTAGATATGTACCTAGCGAATGTAGGTAGGTAGCTACCCTTGTAGCTTGTTGCTTGTTATTGTTAAGCTAGTTGGTGTTGGTTGTACGACTGTATCTACCCGGCCAAGCTTTCGCTTACGCTTAAACACCTTGGCTGATTGGATGTAGACACTGTCTTTGTTCTCAAGGATCGGGTACAGATAGGATGGTGATACTTAGTTTACTCAGTCGGAATGTAGGTGGATGATGACTGACAATAACGAGAAACAACATCAAATGTTTAAAATACCATTGACGGGGTCAAAGCAATCGGCTTGGCTGTGTTTCTCAGACCCCATGCATACCTACCTGCACCTTGTCTGTCTGTCTGGGGTATTTCAATCCAGGCCAGTTCGTATCTGTATCTGCACACTTCCAGGGATCATGGATCAGACGGGTTCTTTGGTCTTGAGTTTTCATTCTTCTTCCTGGGTGTGCATATTATAAGCGGCGATGAGGTTAGGATAGGTCGTCTCGTGCTGTCTCGGATAGATCTATCAATATGAGTCTCGGAAGTGATATGTATGTACGTATTGTACACAATAGACAGACAGTTAATTGATTGACGATGAATAAAAAAACCCCCTCGGGTGTCTATATCCCATCACAGTCTAAGGGGGAAAAATCAACACAAGACCGACAACCCCATCTACATAGTTATCTACATAATTTCTCAGGAATCCAACCCGTAAGACAAAAGAAAAAGGAAACAAGAAAAATACCAAGCTTTCCCGGCCTCACCATGAAGCAACAAATGCACCAATGTCCGCTTCGGGGGTGGAGAAATCGTGGATCTACGAAGTACAGGAAGGGAAGTATTAATTTAATTCCCGTCCAATGTTGATGAATGGTGGGAACTAGGTAAGCTGATTAAGACTCGTGGGCAGGTTAATTGGTGCTGAGGCCATGGAGTGAGAATGGAATGTTGTTGCCTGTATGCCGTACGGGGTGAAATCTACCTAGAAGGGGGCCATAACTATTCGATGCTGCCTATGCTTTAGGTTCCTACGTTTTAGGTTGTGACCGCTGGTATACTAAGCACCGTCGTGTAGGTTGTCGTTGGTCCGCGGACGATGGGGTGGATGGCACTAGGTATGTTTTTGGCGGGTCGGGCGATGTCAACTAGTCGGATCGCACGCGAGGCTTGGTATTTTATTTTGATTTAGCTAGGTTATTTGTTTGATTTGAGTGTGTTGGTTAATGGCTCTCACTTTTACTGCTTATTTTTTACTCAGCAGGTTTCTAACTATAGGTTTGTTTTTGGGGGAAACGATGGATAGAATAGATAGTTCCATGCGTGGTGGGTTGACATTTAAGACATGACTCGTGCCGTAGATGCCATTTTAGTACGAATCAGATACTTAGGTACATACAATTGGATATGGCGGTCGTGTCAAATACATCTGCCGTACGGAGTACATTGCCTGTCATCAAGTGGCTTGTAAAGAATAACGGGACCCGAGATTGATGTCTTGCTGCTAACGGCGCCACCGACCACTAAATGCGGTGCGGGCTATTTAAATCCAAGACACGGCGTTTTCGGGATAGATAAGGGATGAGGTGGCATTCATTTCAAAGGTTGGTTTGTAACTGTGATAGATTGGGTGATGGGATTATAGAGGATGTGATTGTTTTAAGATGATGGTCAATTTAATGTCTAGATATTGAGCGTGTCGGGTTTAGGAAGGGGGTGTGTTTTTCTAGAGCTAGTTCTCAATTAGTACTCCGTACTTTAGGGCAGATCCTTATCTGTTCGACATCGGAACTTCGGCAGTGTAATTTTGCCATCTCTCGGAGACCGGCTGATATAAAAAGAATCATGTCTTAGACATCACGTCTAGTTCAGTAGCTAGTAGTTTATCGCGAATTTACCCACACCAATGAATAGCCGTAAACAAAAGCGAAAGATAATGCGGATAGAGGCCAATGGCATGGTTTTTAACAACAAATTTGGCATCTAGTCGTGGTGTTCGGGTAATTAGTAGGCCATATGAGTAAACATACCTACATTTACTAGAAACTTATATAAGAGCAACTATACACTGGCATCGGTTATGTTATAGAAGCCCTGTGTCAAATTCTTACTGCAGTACATGATCACCAAAGGATGTCCACAGGGCTGAAGCTGGAAACTTTATCTTCTATAACTCAGATCGAATAAACAGAGTTCAACTCCTTCCCGATCGTCTGTCCTGGTTGTCCTAAGGAGATGCACATCAACGGCAATGTCGAACTTATTCTTACTCCGTAGCGAACCGACAAGGCCTGGGCCCATCGTGCCCCGCTCCTCCATGGAGCCAGCCCCCGCCGACAAACCAGCGCGACTTAGAGATCGCCATCGTCTGTGCCCTGCCCCTAAGGCACACTGTCGTCGACGCGCCGCCGCCGCACTGTTTGATCAACGGTGGGACGATCGGACCTTCAATAAGGCTGCGGGGGATTGGAACTGTACTCCGCCGGCACCCTCGAGCACCGCAGTGCCGTCTTCGTGCGCGTGCCGGCCATGAGGAAGCGGCCGCGTGGCTTTATGCAAACTTTCAAGGGACCCGGCTCGCTATGAAAGTTGGTGTTTGTGGCGGCTCGCTGTTCGGGAAGCGCAAGGGGGATATGGTCTTCAATGAAGGTCTACCTTTGGGAAGGGCTTTCCAATCAAGTTCATGATATAAGAAAAGACCTCTGGATGCACTGGTTTAGCCGTAGACTGGACACCATTGATATAATGACCAGGATAGGACGGCAGCGCGGCGGAGATAGAAAGGTTTCTAGAAAGAACAGAGAACAAGCCTTTGAAGTAAACAGACCGTCACAGCATGAAGCCCCCAGCCTTGACGGTTTAGTTGCTGTTGAGAAATGTTGACGTAGTAGTCGGTCAGTGGGTTGATGATGAGGCATGCCCCTCGAAGGCAGCGGAAGAAGCAAAGCCACGAACTAGATAGAGTGATTTGAGAGAAAACCTCCAGATGGAAAGAAGTTGCGTAGAGAATGACGCCGATGACGGTGTTGTTGTTGTGTTCTTTCCCTAAGGGGCTAGTGTGAGGCGAAGGTCATGTGACCAAAACTCCATAAAACCACGGATTTTTTTTTTTTTTCCATTTGGTTGTGTTTTTTTGAGAAATAACAGAAATTGTATGGACCTGAATGTTTGTAGGCGTTTACCACTGTCAAAAGCTAGGAGGAATCTACAAGAATGATGATCATCTGAAACATAGTAGTAAAGAATCGGTTTCCGTCTTCAAATCTGAGTTATCGGCTATTTTGCGACCGTGAGAGTGGATTTAAATGTCACATGTTGCTCCTACTATCATTTCTGGAAATCGGAGTTTTGAGCAGTCGGTTGGGCTTGAGCGGTCAGCGCGGCCTGGGCGGTCAGACTGGGATTCTGCTGGTCAATGGGGGATGCGGAACAACAATTTACCGGACTATGTGTGCAGCCTCAACGCAGTACACTGAAACGGTATGCGTCTGTATTTCTGCAAAGATAATAGCTCCAGTTACTACTCTGAGACGGCAGTAAGTTGTATACAAGATGAATTAGCTCAAATAGCCGGGGAAAAGTCGAAATGACTAAGAATGAGCCATGATGACGCACAACCTTACCGCCTTTAGTCGGGGTCCCGATCGTTCAGGCGGTAGTCAATTCTGCTACCCAAATAGCATGGCTCCGCTCTTCTCTGCATCGCTTTCCTCTCACTCAACAACAATTTCACTCATCATTTCCCGGCCTGAAGCGACTACAAATTCCACTTTCAGAGGGTATTAATTGGAATATCAGTGAACATGGATTCTTCTGGATCTGTCGAATCGAAATGGCTGACCCAACTGGCCGCCATGCGCCAGGCCATTGCTGATTTGAACCTCCCGAAAGACCCCGCGAATGACCAGCTCGGCTACGGCAGCGACTTGGAGTTGGATCTGGACGATGATTATTCTTCACCGGGGACGGTCGACGATATCTGGGATGTTATTAGCTCCGACGATGAGTCTAGTGCAGGCTCCGATGAGATTGACGGATTTCCCTCGTCTTCGGATGCCCTCTCCTACGACCAGACATGGCTAGAACAGAAATGTCAGGGTCTCGCTATTCAGAAGCCCGGTTTGGATGTGATGGAGCTGGTGCAGCAAATCACGGCAGCTCTGGCTGCCGACAGCGGTGATGACGAGCTTCAAATGTCTCTTGCCGAGATCGTTGGTTTCGACGACTTGGAATTTGTGATCGAGCTGATTGCGCACCGGGCGGTTATCCTGTCGAGCATGAGGAATAGCGTCGAGGCCCAAACGGATGGATTGATGTCTGGGAAGTTGCAGACAAAGGCGGAGCGGGAGCAGGCGCTGTGGCAGCAGGACTTTGACCACAAGAATGCTCCATTGTTGCCGGCACAATCGAGAAGTGAGCCGCAGTACCCGCATGTTTTCAAAACCCACGACACGAGAAATACTCTTGCGCTGGGAGGAAAGAAATATGGCCTGCCCCTCGGCAGTAAGCAGGTGGAGGAACAACGGTACACTGAATGTGAAATCCCGGCATCAAAGGTCGGCTCGTTAGCAGCTACCCAGAAACTGGTGGAGATTGCTTCTCTGGACGGATTGTGCCAGGGAACATTCAAGGGTTACAAGACTCTAAATCGTATGCAGAGTCTACTGTATGAAGTTGCTTACAGGACAAACGAGAACATGCTGATCTGTGCCCCCACTGGTGCTGGTAAAACCGATGCTGCCATGTTAACAATCTTGAACGCTGTCGGAAAGAACACGGTCCCAAACCCGATTGAGGAACCGCAGGCGACCGAGTTTGCGGTCCAAGTAGATGATTTCAAGATTGTTTACGTGGCGCCCATGAAGGCCTTGGCCGCTGAAGTGACAGAGAAGCTTGGGAAACGACTCGCTTGGCTCGGAATCCAGGTTCGCGAGCTGACTGGTGATATGCAACTCACCAAGCGGGAGATCGTGGAAACCCAGATTATTGTCACCACCCCTGAAAAATGGGATGTAGTGACTCGAAAGAGCACCGGAGACACTGAACTTGTCCAGAAAGTGCGCTTGTTGATCATCGATGAAGTCCACATGCTTCATGATGAGCGTGGTGCCGTTATCGAATCTCTTGTGGCCCGGACCCAACGCCAGGTTGAGAGCACCCAGTCTCTCATTCGCATAGTTGGTCTGTCCGCTACATTACCAAACTATGTCGATGTTGCCGACTTCCTTAGGGTCAACAAGATGGCTGGAATGTTCTATTTCGATGGCTCTTTCCGACCGGTTCCTCTCGAACAACACTTCATTGGAGTCAAAGGCAAACCCAATTCGAAGCAGTCACGCGAAAATATTGATATTGTATCCTACGAGAAAGTGCGTGATATGCTTGAGCAGGGACATCAGGTCATGGTCTTTGTGCACTCTCGGAAAGACACGGTAATGACGGCGCGGATGCTGAAGCAAATGGCTGCCGAGGATGGTTGCGAGAATCTCTTCAGCTGCCAAGATCACGAAGATTACTCGAACGCTCTCAAAGATATGAAGCATGCCCGTGCTAGGGAGTTGAGAGATCTGTTCGCCAGTGGCTTTGGCACTCACCATGCTGGAATGAGCAGAAGTGACCGTAATCTGATGGAGCGCATGTTCTCCGAAGGGTTGATCAAGGTCCTCTGCTGTACGGCCACTCTTGCCTGGGGTGTTAACCTTCCTGCCGCTGCCGTTGTCATCAAAGGCACTCAGTTGTATAACCCTCAGGAGGGTAAATTTGTCGACCTTGGTATCCTAGATGTGCTGCAAATTTTCGGTCGTGCCGGTCGTCCGCAGTTCCAAGATACGGGTATCGGATTCATCTGCACAACCCACGATAAGCTTTCCCACTATCTTTCGGCAGTCACATCTCAGCAACCCATCGAATCACGGTTTTCTAGTCGACTTGTGGATAATCTCAACGCCGAGATTTCGCTGGGAACAGTGACCTCGGTACCGGAGGCTGTACAATGGCTTGGGTATTCATATCTTTTCGTGCGCATGAAACGTGAACCTCGCAACTATGGAATTGAGTTCGCCGAAATAAGAGATGATCCCATGCTCGTCCAGCGACGCCGTCAGCTGATCATCCAGGCGGCTTTGGTTCTGCAGAAAAGTCAAATGATTATCTATAACGAGAAGACGGAGGAACTTCGCGCAAAGGATGTCGGTCGTATTGCGAGTCAGTATTATGTCCTGCAGACTAGCGTGGAAATTTTCAATGAGATGATGCGTCCACGGGCTGGTGACGCCGACGTGTTGAAGATGATCAGTATGAGCGGCGAGTTCGACAACATTCAAGCGCGAGAGAGCGAATCGAAGGAGCTGAATAGGCTTCGTGACGAAGTAATCCAGACAGAGGTAGAAGGAGGAAATGATTCACCCCACGCAAAGACCAACATCCTACTTCAGTCATACATTTCGCGTGCCAAGATCGAGGACTTCGCTCTTGTTTCGGACACAGGCTACGTGGCGCAAAATGCGGCTCGTATCTGTCGTGCCCTGTTCATGATTGCTTTGAACCGGCGTTGGGGATACCAGTGCGAAGTGCTCCTGTCCATGTGCAAGTCCATTGAGAAGCAAATTTGGCCTTTCGACCACCCGTTCCACCAGTTCGACTTGCCTCAACCGATTCTGAAGAATCTGGACGAAAAGCTACCTTCTTCTTCCATCGAGACTATGAGAGATATGGAGACCGCTGAGATTGGACAGCTGGTCCATAACCACCGCATGGGAAAGACGTTGACGAAATTGCTCGACAACTTCCCCACTCTCAGTGTGGAGGCGGAAATCTCACCATTGAACCGTGATGTTCTACGTATCCGCCTGTCCATTTACCCGGATTTCGTCTGGAATGATAGGCATCATGGCGCTTCGGAATCTTACTGGATTTGGGTGGAGAACTCAGAGACGTCTGAAATCTACCACCACGAGTACTTTATTCTGAGCCGGAAGAAGCTTCATGATGACCATGAGCTTAACTTCACCATCCCACTCTCGGATCCGTTGCCCAGTCAGATCTACGTTCGTGCAATCTCCGATCGATGGCTAGGCGCGGAGAGTGTGACACCTGTATCGTTCCAGCATCTGATCCGTCCTGATACAGAGAGCGTATACACTGATCTCCTCAATCTGCAGCCTCTTCCTGTGTCGGTTCTCAAGAACCCAATCCTGGAAGAACTCTATGCACAGCGTTTCCAGTTCTTCAATCCGATGCAGACACAGATCTTCCACTTGCTCTATCATACCGCGGCGAATGTGTTGCTGGGTTCTCCAACAGGAAGTGGAAAGACAGTGGCTGCCGAGTTGGCCATGTGGTGGGCCTTCAGAGAGAAGCCAGGCTCTAAAGTCGTGTATATTGCGCCCATGAAAGCATTGGTTCGTGAGCGTGTTCAGGATTGGAAGAAACGCTTGACCGCACCGATGGGTCTCAAATTAGTCGAGTTGACTGGTGACAACACTCCTGACACGAGAACTATCCGGGATGCTGATATCATTATCACAACCCCTGAAAAATGGGATGGTATCTCTCGTAGTTGGCAAACCAGAGATTACGTGCGGAAGGTGAGCTTGGTCATCATTGATGAGATCCATTTGTTGGGAGGTGATCGAGGTCCTATTCTCGAAATCATTGTTTCCCGAATGAACTATATTGCCTCGCAGTCCAAGGGCTCTGTGCGCCTGATGGGCATGTCCACGGCTTGCGCAAACGCCAGCGATCTCGCAAATTGGCTAGGAGTCAAGGAGGGGCTGTACAACTTCCGGCACTCAGTTCGTCCTGTGCCTCTTGAAATCTATATTGATGGTTTCCCTGAGCAGCGAGGCTTCTGTCCTCTGATGCAGTCGATGAACCGACCAACATTCCTTGCCATCAAGAACCACTCCCCCGAGAAGCCGGTGATTGTGTTCGTCGCTTCTCGCCGACAGACCCGGTTGACTGCTAAAGATCTGATCAATTATTGCGGTATGGAGGATAACCCTCGTCGCTTTGTTCGCATGTCTGAAGACGATCTGCAATTGAATCTCGCACGAGTCAAGGACGAAGCCTTGAGAGAAGCTCTTAGCTTCGGTATTGGCCTGCATCACGCTGGTTTGGTTGAATCTGACCGACAGTTGGCCGAAGAATTGTTTGCCCACAACAAGATCCAGATCCTTGTCGCGACAAGTACTCTTGCTTGGGGTGTCAACCTTCCGGCTCATCTAGTCGTTGTTAAAGGAACACAGTTCTTCGATGCTAAGATCGAAGGCTATCGGGATATGGACCTGACCGATGTCCTGCAGATGTTGGGTCGTGCAGGACGTCCGCAGTTCGACTCGTCTGGTATTGCACGTATCTTTACTCAGGACTCGAAGAAAGCCTTCTACAAGCACTTCTTGCATACCGGATTCCCCGTTGAATCTACTCTGCATAAGGTTCTAGACAACCACTTGGGCGCTGAAGTATCCGCCGGGACTATTTCAACTAAACAAGACGCTCTGGACTACTTGACATGGACATTTTTCTTCCGCAGACTGCATAAGAATCCTTCGTACTACGGTCTCGAGATTTCGGCCGAGGAGCATAACACCATTGCCGCGCAGACCATTGCACAGGATTACATGATTGAACTAGTGGACAAGTCGCTCGGTGAACTGGCTGAATCGTCATGTGTTGTCTTTGACTCTGCAACGGGTGATGTCGACCCTACTCCGTTCGGCAAGATCATGAGTTACTACTACCTTTCGCACAAGACCATCCGCTTCCTGATGACCCACGCGAAGTCGAACCCTTCGTTCCAGGATGTCCTGAGCTGGATGTGCTCCGCAACGGAATTCGACGAGCTACCTGTCCGACACAACGAAGACCTTATCAACGCCGAACTGGCCCGCAACCTGCCCCTCTCCGTCGAATCCATGGGCGACCTTCCCCTATGGGATCCCCACGTGAAGGCCTTCCTCCTTCTACAGGCCTACATGTCGAGAATCGACCTCCCCATCTCCGATTACGTCGGTGATCAGACCTCCGTCCTCGACCAAGGCATCCGTATCCTCCAAGCCTCCATCGATGTGATGGCCGAAATGGGTTACTTCAAAGCCTGCCAACACCTCATGTCCCTCCTCCAATGCATCAAATCCGCCCGATGGCCCGAAGACCTCCCCTTCTCCATTCTCCCGGGTATCGACCTCGGTGACAAGCCGCGTGCCCTACCGGACTCTCTATCCGCGCTCTCCTCGCAGCCCGCAGCATCCATCTCCGCGCTCACTCGCAAACTCCAACTCCCCGCCTCCACCGCCTCCCAATTCACAAAGGCCACCTCCTTCCTTCCTCACCTCTCCGTCTCCATCTCCACCGTCACCTCTCGCGGCATCACCATCTCCCTCACCCGTCGCAACACCCCCACCAACCCGGACTACCGCATCTATGCCCCTCGATTTCCCAAACCTCAAACAGAGGGCTTCTTCCTGCTCGTCTGCACCGCTACCCCAGATGGCCAAGACGGCGAGCTCCTCGCCCTAAAGCGCATCTCGTGGCCATCGCGCAACAAGCAGAACAACAGCGGTAGCGGTCCTCGCAGCATCACCAGCGGCGGCAGCAGCTCAAGCAAGAACCCCGGCGATAACAAGAAACCTCACACGAAGGGCCCTCCATTGACAGTCCGCTCGTCCGTCAAGTTCCCGGAACTGTTGCTTGCGCAGACGCCGTCGGATCTGAAGGTCAATGTCAAGGTCATTAGTGATTCATATCCTGGGATGGAGTGGCATTTGGTTAATGTGAATGTCGACGTTGGGGCTGGGAAGCAGCAGGTTGTAGAAGAGTTGGCGAATTATCCTGCGAAGGATTGATTCGCTGGTTGATTGGGTTTGGGATGTGAACCAACTTCTTTGAAAGTTCATTTGACCACTGTTAGATAGTAGGGGGGGTTTTTTTTGTTCATATTGATAAATCTTCTTTCCTTGCAGTATAGTTTCAAATAGAAGATACAATGAATATAAAGAAAGAACTCTAGACCATCTCCAAGAGTTCTAAAGTTCTGTGTAAATATTGTCAACGAAATCATCACCTACAAACAATCTATCTACCTATTCCATCCATCCAACGAATCAACCAACTGGATGAACACAAAATATAGACACGACAAAACAAAGTCAGATAAGAGCATGGTTTCACACCAGACACCGCCAATATGAATATGAGAATGAAAATGAGTATAGGGGAAATCATCAAAGCAAGCAAGAAGAGAAGCATGCACGCAAATGTGTAGAAAAAAAAGCTGTGCGGGAAGAAGAAAAAATCAGAAGCGTCGTCAACGACGAACAAATTGGCAGATAAATCCGTGAAATATAAGAAGGAAAAAAAGGAGCAATGAAAAACAAAATGGCCAATTCCAGCGCCTTGCAGAAGAACAATTTGGGATTGAATGAAAACAGGGTTAGAAAAAAAAAAAAAAAAAAAAAAAAAACGGTCACAGAAGGAGAGACGAGAAGGCGGAAGAAGAAGAAGAGAAGGAATTAAGATGGAGAAGATCATAGTCAAAGATGCTTCACACAGCTCAGATACTCTCAATTCTCACATCTTGCGAATTGCCGTGACGATGGCCGTAATGAGCATCCGTGACTTGAGGGATTCTGGCTCTCCTAGCCATCAACCGCTCATCGGGAGTCAATCGATCCGATCGAGGCTTGATCGGCACGATCGTTTGCTTCTTGCCCCTGGACACGGACACAGATCTCGCGATAGAGACCTCGACGGTAGGGATGGCGTCCATCGGTTCTGGATCGAACGATTCGGTGGCGTGAAAGTCTTTGTTGTCATCGGCGAGCGGCATGCGAGCGGATTCTGCCGGCGAGAGGGCCGGCTTGCTTCCGGACGGGGAGATGATTCGGCAGCCTGGGTCGCGAGCCGCGTTGAGAGGCGTTAGGATCGGGGATGACGATGCCGAATCGTTGTCCGCCGGCTCGGCAGGCGGCAACTCTTGGGTGTTAATGGTAAGTGCCTGGGCCAGTTTCGGCCTCGAATCGTTCGTGGGTGATTTCTTGTTGATGATCTCCCATTCTGGTTCCCCCTTTGGATCCACGTAGCTTCTGATAGACTTGAGCCTTTGCAGCATAAATGTTTCATCATCTGAACCAATAGACGTAGATGATAAGAACGACGACACAGAGTCTTTAGGACCATGCGACGAAGGTTTTGCTGCAGGGCTGTGTACCATAAGCAGAACGTGATCTTGCTCAGTTGCCGAGCTACCTCGACGTGTTTCGGCCACTGACGTTTGGCTCCGGTGGAGAGGACTCGGTCCTCGAGGTAGGTTCTGGGATCCCAGGACTTTGGAGGCTTTGCTGACTTGGGTAGACGGAAACAGAGTGAAGCTAGGAGATTTCGAGCGTGTTGGTGACGTTGCCCGTCGGGGAGGCGGGGGAAACTCTGGAGAAGCAGGTGGATCCTATGGAGAAATTAGTGATCTCGACGCACATTGGAACTGAGAAAATAAGCGCGCTACCTGAGCCGTTCGAATCTCCAGATCCTCCATTGTCTTGCTTTGGCGATTCGACGGGTCGGGCTGACCCTTTCCTAACAAGCCCCCAAACATAACGCTGTATCTTTCCATCTGGACATCAGGTATTTCGACCTGCAACAGCGGTCCGGGGCTGGGTTTCTTTTGGTCGGCATTTTGGTTGGTGTTCGGGGCACTGTTCTCGGATTTCTTCTTGGGACTGCTCTTAGGGCTAGTCTGAGGCCCATCCCGGTTTCCTTTGGTCTTCTGCGGGCTCTTTTCCTTTGTTTTGGTCTCAGGTCTGGACTCGGGGTCTAAACATGGCCAAACCTCCGTGTTTGAGAGGGGTTTAGCCTGAGATTCGGGTTTTTGCTGAGCCTGGTAGTCAATCGAGTGGGACGAGCCCTGCAGGGGCCATTCGTTGTCGGAGCGGACCTGATAAAAAGGCTGGTTTGCAGGAGGAGTCATGGCGCTCTTTGCTCTGAATAGACCTCCAATCTTCTTCCATTTACTTGGCTTCCGTTGAATTGGTGGCGCTCGCTTCGTGTCCGCCGCGGCGTTGATGGCCTTTTCTTGCATCTGTGACATCACGTTCTGCGACTCCACCATCCGAGGGCTACCCAACGCAATGCCAATCATGTTATCTCCATGCCCTTGTTCAGACTCTACTGGGGATGGCACAGCCTCGGCAGGAGGCACATCGATGCGAAAATCGAACCCTGAACCGTTGGGCTGCGACTTTTTGGTTGGCTGGCGACCTTCTGAAGTCCTTGGGCGCTGGAAATCCCATTGCGCCTGATTCGCGGGACGATTCTTAGTCGATCCATTGTTCAGATCTTGAAGATCATTTCGCGGTTGCGCATCTGAACGATCAAAGACAGGGCTAGAGATAGCCGTTGCGGACTGCGGTGCGCGCGATTTGGTGGACAAGATTCCTTTAGCCATTTCCCCAGATTCTCTAAGCTAGCACATATGCTAGGACAGCATGTATCGAGCCGAATAGATTAAAAATAGAAGAATTCGAGCAAAATTTGGGAGAAAAAGAGACAAAAAAAAAAGGGAAGCTAAGGAGTGGAAAAGACACGCACAGTTAATATGAATGAGACTCAGTCTCTATAGAAAAGAATGGACAGGCCTTCCAGAAGGCCCAGAAAAACACACCGGCAGATATAGATGAATCAAGGAGAGAAAAAGAATCAACCGTACAAAAGGAAAAGGAGATAATTACAATAAAAGAGGGCCAGGCATACGACAGGCATTGTGGAGCCGCAGTCGCAGAATACTGTATCTAATTGAGACGGGTGGTAGGGGCCGGCTAGTCTTGAATTTTAGATTAATTGTAGATTGGGCGAAGCGACAACGGCAAAACAGCCAACGAGAATCTCAGACACCAGGATTGTCGCCTCCGAGGCCCAGGAGTCTACACAAATCCTTTGCGTAACGAACCCCAGAGGCAATTATCGAGCCAGCCAGTCAAGGATGTTGGAGGGGTCGTTGGGTATGACAGAGTCACAGAAATCAGCGCTATTGGGAATCGCGCACGATGCTTATTTTGGTGGCTGCAAATGAGCATCAGAGGCGGGAGAGATTTAATTTGCGAGCACGGGTAAGGAGCCCATCTTTGGGTAAACTGGTTTCATACTAATCGAAACCCCTCCGAATGGGCCAATGGATTCGGAGAATTCGAGTCGCCCAGAGATCGTCAAGAAAGCTGATACTCCTCAGCACGGATATTGTGTCACAGCCCTTCTCGCCTGACGTTGGAGCCAACCGTGCAACAGACTTTCTTGAATCTCCGACCCTGCAGACAGACGCCCATGACGCATTGTCGCAAACTGTCTTCCATTCAAAAAAGAATGATCTGCGAGGGTGTGCGGCTAGAACCATCGCTGGTTCTCGCTTGGATCTAGCCTCTGTTCGTCATTAGTCCACCAGGGAAATTAAATCCAGTCGGCCGGGGGCCACGCGCCAGCCGACAAGATGGACGTTGGACTTATGGACCGAGATGAGATGGGGTTTTGTCTTAGAATTCAGAACACTTTACGGTATCATCTCCATGGACCATTCTCATAGTCCGTGCAGTTAAGTCCATACTGAGACTTGGAAGTTGAAAGTTGAAACTCTTGTGGTCGGGGCCCACCTGTCTTTTCAGCCCGTGCACTTTTTTATCTCAAGGCTCAACGAGATGAAAAGCAGATGACAGGAACAATGACCCATGACTTCAACGGGCGCATACTCTGACGTAGTGTGTTTGGCCCGTGATAAGATGTTACAATTGGACGAGGGGGAGGAGAGGGTTGGTGTTGGGGAGAGGGAAAAGGGCTAAAAGTCCAAGTAATCTCCGGCTGCAGATGATTAAAGCGACGGCCCGAACAGGACAAGCGCCGCTCGTGATGGTATCAGAATCAGACTCAGAATCCGATATCAACTTCACCGTATGGACCATAGTACCTATGCAGCCCAACCAGGTAGACGGCATTGGGAAGAACAGAGAAAAGAGGCGGTAAGGGATCACCCAACCGGCTTGAGCCTTTAGTTGGCTTTAGTTTTGCGCATGGAACTATGCTATACTTAAGTGGGCTGTCTTTTGGACTTTGGAGGTCACTAGGGCCCAAAACGGTGCCCACCGTTACTCCCAGTCCCCCACCGCCTTTATCAGAGTACGAGCTTGGACTGGGACTGGCACGTTGGAGACGGCCATGGAGGGCAGGGGGAGAATGCGGTGCTGTTGCGATATCATATGCAGGAGGATAATGTTGAACAATGGGAGGAACAGCCCTACAAGGCGGTCGAGATGAAGAGACAATGATCACCGGCCGTGGCTGCAGAGTGCAGACCTCTGTAACTATGGAATAGTTACTTCATACTCAGAGATATTCCGCAAGAAGGGAACGGCCTTACATAATAATCGGCGGGGCAACTGCTCTCCAGTCTCTGTCTCCCTCCCTCTCTCTCTCTCTTTCTGCCAGCACAGCCCACCCCACCTTCTGCTGCCCTCTAAATAATAATAATAATAATAATATTCACGCCGGTGCTGACTACTGTATTTCTACTTCCACTTCTTCTCATCTCAACCCACAACCTTGAACTTCCATCCTTGGATACCCTCGCTCCTGTAAGCCTTTTTTCGCGTTCCCTGCGACCTCTTGTCCCCAACTAACCGACTCTCCTCGACCAGCGATCTCCCCCGCCGTCACTTTCTATACCACCTCCCTTTTCCGACCGTTCCCGTCGACACCTAATTCCACCGACATCATGGGTGCTCACTCCGCTATCTGGCAAGGTACGATCCTAAATTGATATCTTTCTCTGACTTGACTTGACTCTGTCCTCCATGAGACCTTTTCGCTAACGACTGCTCTCTCCTCTCCAGGATATGTCGATTCCAGGTACCGTCCACATCCCCTATCTATAACCTACCCCGCACTAGAACCATGCCTATCCCACCCGCGAAACTTCGCATCGCGTTTCTGACCAAATATATTGCTGTAGCTTGATGGGATCCGGCCAATTTGACAAGGCCGCTATCTTGAGCTACGACATCTCCGGTGTCGAGGCCCAGTCCCCCGGCTTCTCGGTATGACACATCCGACCCCCCGAATCCCGACTCGACTCGACTCGGTGTACATCTCATGTTCGTGTTCATTAACAAAACGACCATCCTAGATCTCGCCTGAGGAACTCAAGGCTATCGTCTCTGCCTACTCCAGCGCTGACGTCGCCCGCGGAAACGGTATCACTGTTGGAGGAGAGAAGTTCATCACCATCCGTGCTGATGAGCGTAGTCTGTACGGCAAGAAGGTAACCTAACGACACCGACACTCTGTTCCCCTTCTTTTAGCGAACGAGGCGATATAATCACCTCCCAGCTGTGTTGGATTTGCTCACTAACAACTCCTCAACAATATAGGGCAAGGAGGGTATCGTCATCGTCAAGGCCAAGTCCTGCGTCATGATCGCCCACCACCCCGACACCGTCCAGCTGCCCAACGCCGCTACCGTCGTTGAGAACCTCGTCGACTACATCAACAGCGCTTAGACGAAGGTTGAAGGAGAAATGAAATTTTTTTGATGTCTTTTTTAGTCGCCATAACCGACAGTGTGCCAGCTTCGAAATATGTATCACGATGATGGTCCTGTTTTTTTTCATCTCTTTATTACTTCGCCTTCTTCCCTCTCACCCTCTCTTCTCGACCTGCCACTCACAAGAGTCGTTGAATCATCAACCCCAACGACACTGCGTGCTCGCGCAAGTCAAGCCCTTCATAATCCGTGCCTTGTATCTTTTTTTTTTTCATCCTCTCGTCCCGGTTTTTCATCATCTTCACATCTAAGGCATAACTCGTAGACATGTGCAATAGGTACTACTACTTCTTCTAGTACACATTTAAATCATTTTTTTTCCCGAATGATAATACCCAGAAGCTTGGGCTTGAAATTCAGGACTGTGCAGCGTTTGTGTTCAGTCCCAGGCGGATTAGCTATTGATTCGCTGCCTACAGGACTGTATGCCTTGCACCTGATATTCTAGCGCTCGATCACCTTCCATATGTTTGGCACTGGTGTGCTTGGATCCAGATTGGCTAGCTGCTACCTAACATGCAAGACATACATCAGACATCTCTACTTAAAGAAAGTCGACGATAGCAACGTATCAAAACACCGATTATCAGCATCCAGATTAATAATTACATATCCATAACATTATATATCACGTTCCTTGCCACGCCGTGTCCGTTCGTCAATCCCATGTCCTGATATCCTCAGCCGAGAAGATAAAGCCCAGGAACAGAGCAGTAGAAGTCGATCATGACGCGGCTCATGGACCACGGACCACTCGCTTTTGCTTTCTTTTCGTTTTGTTTCTCCGTTTGAGCGGGAAAATCGGTCGCATAATCATACAACATAAATCGTTCAAAGCTAGGCCGTGCTCTTTCCCTCCAAGAGAGAGCAACGACCCCTTCCTCCTCCTCCTCGTCACAAACACCCCCGAGGATCTCGCTAGTCTATTCAATCCACCTATACCATTCGTTATACCGGCGCACACAGCTCCCTAGGTACCTAATTATCGTAATTATACCGGCAATTCAGCATTACTCCTCCCACCCGCCAACGTCTCCAACGCCTTCTGAATATACGGCCCCACGACCGGCACGTTCCCTGCGAACTGACCGATCGTGATCAGGAAGTCCCCGAAGAGAATAAACAGGCCGTACAGCTCGATCAGGAAACCTGTGAGGGGCCAGCGCAGGAGGATCAGGAGGATGCCGGACGCGAAGGCCACCGTGCCTTTTAGTTTTTGGCGGCGAGAGAAGAACGCGATAGTTTTTTGGAGGCCGATTATGAGTGTGAGACCGATTAGGAAGAGGATCTGCGAAGCGTGAGGTTGGTTAGTGAGTGGGTTGGTTTTGGGGTTTGGGGTGTGGAGGATGGCGTACGTTTCCCATTGCGAGTCTAGATTAGGGGAGAGAGCGTTGGTTAGTTAACTTGATTCTTCTGGTCTGGCCTGGCCTAGGGGAGGGTATGCACGTACAGCGAACGATCAAAGAACATCAGCACGCCTCCGAAGAGGAATAGTCCTCCTGTTTAGACAAACATCTCAGTTAGTCGCTGTGACGCGATTGATCGCGAGTCGCAAAAGCCTAGGTAGGCACCTAAATGCGCTGGATTTCGAGGTTCTTCGCATCACGTACCACCGGAGCAAAAGATGACACCGATCTCTGCGACGAAAAAAAGTACTTGTTAGCTTTCATTCTTATTGAGGACAATCCACCGTCGGAGCTCAATGCTTACTCTGGTTATCAGAGAGCCACATATTGGGCATTTCAACAATTCTTCGGTCCGAATTTGAGAGTCAAAAAAGAAGCCAGGCAATGCGACAGAGCTGAGGTTAAAAGAAAATTGTTGAAAATTGTCTAAATTACGTGGCGATCGAAATTCAGGTCGGAAACGGATGTACTCCCGCGCGCGGTAGGTATGATTGTGCAGAAATCCGTCGAGAGGAATTCCTGGCTGGGTTGTCCTTCAACTGAATATGCTAATGATAAAATTCAGGCAGGAGAGGAGAGGCAAGAGGAGTCACCGAGGGCGAGAAGTTTAATTTAGGCCAGAAAAGAAAATGGGATCGTGGCTTGGACTTGGAGGCCTGGGAAAGTCCATAAACAACCTCCGGCTCGGTTCTGCCACGTTCCCTTTCCGTGCTAGCTCTGGGCTATGCCGCATGGAGCGGGCGGTCAGACAGACAGGCACACTGGAAATCCCACGCGTCTTGCCGATATTTCAGCTCCGTCTTCCGCTCCATCACTTGCTCTGGGTTTGCAACCCTGTGCCACACCATTGCTACGCTCTGCTATGCCTTACTAGTTACCTAGGCCTACCACGCTGGTATTATGAGGACCAGACAGCTGCATCTCTGCCATGTGCAATTGCAAGCTAAACATTCTAGGTGCCAGGGGCGTCCATGATACATGAATTATGGCAATGTACAGCGTGCATAACGAGCATTGGGAATCCCAGACAAACTTGGACTTGTTTCAAGCTTTTCACTTGCCCTTCCCCATCTCTATTCCCCTTGTCTATAGTCCCAGCCCTCGTCGGCTGTCTTTATTCATACGCCGCGACGACAGCATCTCCGGATGCTGTAACTGATGTTCCCGTCGGTGGAGCGTCGGTATTAGTCGGGTGCTACCTAGCACATAAGGCGAAGATCGACTCAATTATAAAGGTCCCGAATAAGCCGGAGCGTTTTCTTTGAACCTGTCTCGAGAGGGGCACGGTGGGTGGAAAGGGCTTGACTGTGTGGGCCGTACATTATATCGCATACTAGACGAATAGATAGCATCTGCAATCCATATTTGTTAGCTTAGACTATATCAATGACTGTATATCACTGTCCTGTGACCAACCTTTTGAGCAAGAAATCATTGCGTAGGACCCGGAACCTGAGGCACACGCCATCATCCTTTTATTTGAGCACGACATGCGCAGCTCTCAGCTCCAAGTAACTCTCCGGCACACCCTGCGTCAACGTCCTGATGACGCCAAAGACCTCGCGATCGTGGTACCGCAGTCTAGTCTTAGGGTCCGTATAAGGGGCCGGCAATCCCGTGATATCGCAATACCGGGTCTGCTGGGACGGATGCAGCGACGGCGCCGATTCGATATTCGTGTAGGTCACGGCCGGACCGGTCTGGAACGTTGCTCGAGCGTTCTTCTCTAGGACCAGCGTCGACAGGTTCTGCGCTGCCTGGGCGATGTTGGGATTCCGGGGATTGCCGTCGGCAGGGGTCTGCGTGCCGTCGGTGCTGCCGGCAGTGGTGGCTGGAAGGGGGGTCGTGGATCCAGAGTTAGCCTGCGTTGCCATCTGCGAGGCCTCTTTGCGAGAGCTCTCGGAGAGAAGCTGCTTGACGTTCTTGTTGCGGCGCTGCGAGGGCTTCCAGTTGGGGTTGCGGAAGGGGCGTGCGACGTGCGCGATGTCCAGGCTGTCGAGGAGCCGTTGGTGGGCTTCGTTTTCGGCGGGGGTGGGAGGCGCCATTTTGTTGGTAATTAGGTAGAAGACAGATGGGTATTATAAGTAGAAGAAGATGCGCTGGGTGAATGAGATGGACTGTGTGGCGGAGGTGGAATGCCGGATGGGAAGTCTGGGACGGAGTAGAGTCGGGTGCTTGGAAAGGGTATCCAGGGTCAAGAAACGATCGCAGGGGGAGAAGTGGCGCACCGCCCGTAGCGAGGCATATATAGATTTATTGTTGAGGCCGGACAATGACGTACCTATATAAGGGCAAACTTCACTGGGTTTCTTCTTGGGATGCCTTCTGTTGTCGATGGGCTACCAGAACCAAAGATTGGAAGCAGTTCTGGTACGGTCACATGATCTCCCATATCGGGCCCTCAGCCAAAGCAACAAACAAACATCCCCCGACCAGCAACGACAATCTGCGCATACATTGAGGCAAAATGGTAGGTTTTGATCGATATATATGGTCTCATTATATGCAGGACTAACAGTTTATCCAGGAAAGTCCACACGAACATCAGCAGGCTCTGCTGCTCCAGCGGATCATCAACAACATTGTATATTATCAACGATGGATCTTGCTCGGCATGCCATTATTAACGAATATTCAGGAGAAACTCAACGAGTCGGTCATGGTGATGAACAAGAGTCTCCAAGTATGTCCTGCCTGCCGAGAGCCATTCAATGCTTACATCCGATGCTAATTCACATGGTGTAGGAGGTCAATATCCAGAACATGAACGTCGAGCTTGTTGCGCAGATGTTCAAGAACTACCAGTCCAATGTCCTTTTCCATCTTGAAGGTATTCAACCTATCGATTGTGTTTCCTAATTTAGCGCTTACCATTTTCCAGCCACGGAGAATTTCAAGGAGTCATCTTAAAGAGGCGGTATATTTCCTGTCTGACGAAATGCGATGATTATGAAGTAAATTTATGCAAAGGAAACAATACAATCCATGTCTATTGTCTTATATGTATGCACCAAGTAGCTGGCTCCTGAATAGTCACAAATCCTCTAGACAATCAGCATAGACCGTGTACTTATGGTGAATGAACATCGGCGCAGGTACTTTACTTCCCCGGAGACGACGTGACGGTCTTGGCAGTCCAAACGCTGGCGGTGACCGGCGTCCTTCCCACTTGCGCCGGGCAATTGCAAAGCTGGGGTTTAAGCTTCGCGTTCCTCCGTTTCCCGGTGATACGGACGATTCCTTACCTATTTTCTAATCGGCCACTCCAGACACCACATCAGATCATCAAGCGAACTCCTCCCTGCTCTTCCCCATCCGACTTTGCGATCGGCTTGCAATGCGGTAAAACCGCAATCACCTCCCTCCTCCCGGAAGCTCCTGAATCGCCGCTGGCTTGACCACCGCTTCACGTCGCCATGACTATCACATCGGTGCAGAGCCTTCTGCCCGGTCGCTTTGGGATCAACTCGACGGAGAAAAGCGCCGCGAAGAACCCTCCCACACTCTACAATGCCCAAGACCACCCTTTCAAAGGCTACCATCCACCCCGAACGGAGGGCTACGAGCGGAGCAAGGCCAACCCGGACACAAGCGCTATCGTGATCGATAATGGTGCGTTGGAAATCTAATAGATCTGTGAGATGGTATTCAATTGCGGCGTTGCTGATAATTTGTTACCCTGTACAGGCTCGAATCTGCTTAAGGCCGGATGGTCGTTCGACGAAAACCCCCAGTTGATCGTGCCCCCTGTGATGAGTCGGTATAGGGACCGGAAACTGAACAAGGCCTGCCAGTTTCTTGGATACGATGCTTACGTGGATGCTACGACGCGCGGTCAACTGCGCTACGCTTTCGACCCCGGCTCGAGCGTGGTCGGCAACTGGGATGTCATGGAGGGATTGCTGGATTATACATTCATCAAGTTGGGGGTGGACGGAGCCAACGGAGGCGTCGACAGACCCATCGTGATGACGGAACCGATCGCGAACCTCAACTATCCCCGACGAAGTGAGTGAAGATCGGACCGAGACGTAGTGTGGTCTTCCTTTTGTTCTTTACAGCTAACATAACCGCAGTGATGAATGAGATCTTGTTCGAGTGTTATAATGCGCCCTCCGTCGCCTACGGCATCGACTCGCTCTTCTCGTACCGGTATAATCGCGGAACCGACGGCCTCATCGTCTCCTCGTCCCATACGTCGACGCACGTTATCCCCGTTTTGAACAGCAAGGCCTTGCTCTCGAACTGCTCCCGGCTGAACTGGGGCGGCATGCAGGCCTCCGAGTACCTGCTGAAACTGATGAAGCTGAAATACCCGACGTTTCCTGCGCGCATGACGGAGGCCCAGATGGAGGATCTTGTTCACAAGCACTGCTATGTCTCGAAGGACTACGACCGTGAGTTGGGCGGCTACCTGGACTGGACGGGTCTCGAAGATAGGGACCATGTTATTCAATACCCGTTCACGGAGCATGTGGTGCAGGAAAAGTCCGAGGAGGAGTTGGCGCGGATTGCGGAGCGCAAGAAAGAGAGTGGACGCCGGCTACAAGAACAGGCCGCTAAGATGCGCCTGGAGAAATTGATGAAGAAAGAGCAGGAGCTGGAGTACTACAAGGATCTACAGCGCGGCCTTGCAACGGAGACGAAGAAGGAAATGAGACGCATTCTGGAAGCAGAGGATTTGAAGGACGAAGCACACCTCGACCGACTGATCCGGGACCTTGAAAAGTCCATCAAGCGGTCTAGAAACCGTGACCTCGGGGTTGAGGAGGAGGAACCGACCGAGGAGATGTCCTTCCCGTTGTTAGATGTCCCCGACGAGGAACTGGATGAGGCTGGATTGAAGGAGAAACGCCACCAGCGACTCATGAAATCCAACGTCGAGGCCCGTCAGCGCGCAAAGGCCGAGAAGGAGCGGGAGAAGGCGCGCCAGGAGGAAGAGGAGCGTCTCGATCGAGAGAGGCGAGAGAATGATTTTGAGAACTGGCTCGCGGAAAGACGAGCAGCTCGTCAGGTGTGTTTCCTCATCATGCTCTATCAGCCCTGGAAATGCTAATGTGATTTGCAGAATCTGCTACAAAAAATCAAAGAGCGCGATAGGTTCAAGGCAGACCTTGGCAACCGCAAATCGCTTGCCAGCCAGATGCGTATGAAGACACTCGCTAATCTCGCCGCCGACGGCCCCAAAAAGCGAAGAAGGGGTGGTGATGACGATAACTTCGGTGCCAACGATGAAGACTGGGGAGTCTACCGAACTGTTGCCACTGGCGATCAGAGCGACGAGGAAGAAGAGGAAGACCTAGGAGGGGTGCTGAATACGGTGGAGAAAGAGCTCCTCGAATACGATCCTGATTTCACCGAAAACCACACCCTGGCCGCTCAGTCCGACTGGACCAAGAGCTTGGTGCACGTCTTCTTGCGCGGTCCCTGGCCTTTCGACCCTGAGAGTCAGCGCGAGGCCCATCAGCTGCATCTAAACGTCGAGCGCATCCGGGTGCCTGAGATTGTTTTCAAGCCGTCGATCGCCGGCATTGACCAGGCGGGCCTGATTGAAGTCGCCGCGGATGTTGTCAACCAGCGGTTCTCCAACCCAGAGGACCAAGCCAAACTCCTACGCGACGTGTTCTTCACCGGAGGCAATACCATGTTCCAGAACTTCGATGAACGCTTCCGCAAAGATTTTCGAGCTTTCCTGCCCGTTGACGCCGAGCTGAATGTGCGTCGGGCCAAGGACCCCGTTCTCGATGCCTGGAAGGGTGCCGCACAATGGGCCTCGGGGTCTGATTTGGGCAAGTCGTCCGTCACCCGAGAAGAGTATCTCGAGAAAGGCAGCGAATATATCAAGGTACGTTCCATTTATCCCATCAAGACCTTTTCCCACAAATTATATTGGCTAATTGCTAATCCCTCATCCGCAGGAACACGACCTGGGGAACATCACCTCGTGGTAGACAGTCGACACGTGTCACGAATCGAGACGTCTCGTTCTGATCTTCGCTGCGTGTTCTGGTGTCCACAATGCCCCATGATCCACATTGCATGCTAATCGGGACCACCACCTACTTACTCACAGCCCCGGTCCTGGCAGACCAAGCGGAGATCAATCAAGCACGGGACTTAGGGAGTTTGGCGTACGGGAAAAATTCACTAGGATCGAAATCGGATGTCATGCACGAGAGATGATCTGGTGGTGTAGTTGGAGGTTGCATTGTGGAGTTGCACTTTCTGTTACGATTCTAGATTGATTGATTGATCAAGGGGGTTTCCCAAGGGCTGTAAGATATTTTTCCCTGTCATGTTTATCTAGTTATTATTATTGATGCAGCACTTATCATTATTTGTTTTTGGTCTGTCGTGTCCTGGAAAAGTATATTTCGGTCTGGGCCCGGGATGGCTTGTCCTTTTCGGATGTGTACTGTCTACAAGACATCTTTTCCCCCTTACTTCGTGCTCTCGATGTCTATCCAGGACAAAGTGCTTAGCAATTAGGTAGGGGGAAACCGTTCGAGCTATCATCCAGACAACCCTCCCTTGCGAACAACTTTTAGACAGCCAACCGCAAACTACCTAGTTAATCGAATCCAACTCATGAAACCAAACGAAAGCATAAACCCATACCCTACATTCCACAGTGAAACATGTCTATCCTCATCCCATGCTCATCAACAACTTCATCTAGAGCCCAAATCAAAATATCAGCACAAGTTAAGACATATTCTTTCGACAGACGCAAGGGGCTGAAACACGTTGCTCCGAGCTAATGCAACCTGCCTATCTACAGGGGGGCATTTTGGACGGTCGACCGGTCTAGTCTATTGTCTAGTCTAGTCTTGGAGTTGATTGTAGACACTAGACGGTTGACAAGGTTTGGTGTTTGGGTTTTCATCTTGCCCTGTGTTTGTGGTTGCGTTTGTTGGGCAGCAATGGGAGCTAGTAGCATAACCTCTCTACCTAAGTGGAAATGAGTTATATTACTTTTTAGACTTGATTGGAATCTTGCTTGTAGAAAATAAGTAGTTAGGTAGGTAGTAATGATACCTGACAGAAACGCTTGGATGTATATACTGTACCTTTTTACTCCATAAAAAATAACAAAAACCAGACCAATACGTCGAGGGACGGATTCAAATCCAGATCGGGATTGCAATCAGAGCCAGCGCCAGAGCTGGAATCGAAATCAGAATCAAAATCGAAATTATCCGAGATGACCGGACAGGGATATGGACTGGACCGTTGGAGTGCTATCGACGTCATCATCGGATTACTCTTTGTCACGGAGTCCGGATGTTTTCCGCTGCCCTTTTTGGTTTGATGGTACTGCGTCGAGCCTCGTAGCTTTGCCAGATGACATTGGCCGACAGCACCTTAGAACAAAAGAGACTTACACATTAATTTGCTGAGAGGTTGCTGGACCTTCCGTCATCTTATCGAAGGCCTCCGGTAGGTCAGTAGGTACCCAATTTTTGCTTCTAGATTTGACACGGCTTGTCGCTCGTTGGCTCTGAATTCCTACAATAAATAATCTATTTACATTTCCATTTCCTACCCGTACCTTGTGCTACCCCTTGACTTAGATAGCCCTCCTGTACCTTCACGACACAACTACACAATGAACTCCAATTGGCCAGAAATCTTCTTCCACGACTGCGATCCAAATATCCATCGCTTACTTGATCAACCTGTTCACGGCCCCGAGGAATTCAAACAATTTCACTGCGATGATGCCTGGACATTGGGACGGCGGATACGTGACGATATGCCAGGGCTGCATAGCATCATGGTGCTGGGATTGGTGGTGAATGGACGAGCCAATCTCGTGGCTAAAACTGTACGTATCAATAGTTATCCAATGATCATGAACTAACCTGAAGGAAGCTTTCTGAGGAAGAGTATGTTCAGTCCATCAAACAGTTAGACCCCTTTCTAGATGAAAGCCGGGCTTACGAACATATTCTCCGCAACTGCCCACCCTCTAAATCATCCTACTTCCCGCTTTACTTTGGCGTTATACTAAGCTTAAAGCGCGACCAGTATCCTATGAGCTATGCATTGCGGCCCCGAGCGATAGTGCTGGAAAGGGTCACCCCCGATATACGATCCCGGCGCATACTAGAAATCTCTCCGCGCCCAGAGTATGATTCATTCGGCGATTTCATTGCGCATCTAAATGAACTACCCCTCAACTGTTTTGAGAAAGAGTAGTACCTTCCTTTGTTTGTTGACCGGCTTCAGCGTCTTGCAGCATTACATGAGATTGGAATTGTACACCGCGACATCTGCGACGAGCATTTCCGTCTCCCAAATGATTTCTATGATATGGTCCTCTATGATTTCTCCCACTCTTACACAGTCAATTCGCCATGGCCATACGTCCAAAGGCCTAAACCCTTCCGCGGAACTGGTTCGGATTGAACAAAATGAAGTGTTGAGTAGTGTGCTCGGCCGGTTGGTGTAACTTATTACTAGGCTAAAGTGAATGTTAGCTAACGTTTTCCTAGTGCGATAAGGTCAGAGCTTCGTACGTATCTTGCTACGACGCTTAACCTAGACCTGGAGGTTGTTAGAGATATCTGCTCCCAGGAAATAAAAGATACAAATAACCATCTAGAACTGATCTTTCTGAGGACCAGATACCGACCGGACTGTAAGTTTTCTGCTTTCTTCTTCTGACAAGGGCTCTTGTAACATGGCATAGCGTTCACGCATCCATCTTTGGCATCTGTTTTCCCTTTCCTGGAGAGCATTCGCCCTAGTAGTTCTCTAGTATGGCATATCGCTAGGGCTCGACATCTTCAGGGAACTAATTTCATTCTCCGTGTTAGAACGTTGCCAATTGGATGTAGATGAAGTAGTGCAGAAGTCCTATCTACTTGCCTTGATTCCTAGAACCTGGGGTCTAGAGGAGTCAGATCAAGGGCTTTTTACCTGCGCTAGGCTTGTTGCAAAGAAGGAATGGGGTCCTATTGCTGAAAAGGGGAAACTCGAACAGCTTGACGGCTCGCTTGATGCAGAAGGAGATTATCATATGGCTACGCTTGGGGGGAGTTAATGCCACGCACGGTCGTGCCATAGACCTACCTACTCGGTAGATATGGGAAGTTCAGCCTTGTGGGTCCGAATGATTTCGTCCATCGTTTACGGTTGGGATAGCTTGCAATTTAATATTTATTGCTTCACGTCGACGAGGGTTGTTGGTGCGATCTTGGGATGTGTCGATATATTTCACGATTGATGATTGATTATTGTGTGTACATTATACGGTATTTATCCGACATGAGAAGTTGTTCCAGGTTAAATTTGTCGCTCGGGGGAAAGTAAGAAAAGAAAAACAAAACCAAAACCAGAGAAATCCAACAACATCAGCCGGTCCATGATCGCCGCGACCGTTAACCTAGCAGGAACTTGGATATGGAAACCTCGACCGGATCGTCTGAGGATCGACCAGACCAGACCAGACCAGACCAGGCTGCCAACCAGCACATGATGCAGCCAAGTGGCGTGGTTTGTCCCGTCTCATTTGTTGATCGACCGAGTCGAGATCCCGACCTTGGGCTCCCCTTCTGCTTCTCCGGTCGCTGGCGGGATCCACGGATCGTGTTTGGATTCAGGTAGCACACGGTAGTCACAGGAGGTGAAGAGAAATATCGATATCGCGCCGAAGGTTTGCCCACCGCTTGTTGTTGTGGTTTGGGTGTGGTTTTTATTGAATTTGTTTGGGGATGCGGGATGCATGGGATGGTCGGCCATCCAAGACGAAAGAATTAAGTCATCGAACAGCACCAGGTCTAAGCGTCCTGCATTAGCGATCCTCGCCGTGCAGTTCAGCGGTTGAGCAGTTGAACGGAGGCCTCTACCAGCTAGTCAGCGCCTTGCCGAGGCCAGCCAAGCTCAGCCAACTTTCTATCGTAACTTTTCTGAATTATGGGTGATCATGGATGCACCTGGACGACAATTCCGTGGGACGCCGACTGGTTCGATCCAGGGCGATGGGACCATGTCGACTTCTACTTCAATGGTACTAATTGATCTAATTGATCTAGGGAGTCGCTAACGAAGTCACGCAACGACCCTTCCTCGGCATCTCGGGCCATCAATGGTGTTGACCCGTTGATCCCTCCTCCTCCTCCCTTCTTGAACTGGCCCAAAACACTAGAGCTGAAATGCAAAAGAAAAAGAAAAACAGAAATCCCTTGATATCTGCCGATCCTTTCCACCTCATCCCATCCGCACACCCTCTGGCCGTTCTGCTTCCACCCTTGTTCGCCCTAGGAACGCCCCGGATGCCATTTCCCGTGCAAGTTGAACTGCCCTCGTCTTCATGATAGGCGAATGCCTGTCGGTGACTATGTACGCTGTGCCCTTGACTGTCACACAACCTCTCTTGGCAACCGGGGATTGGTCGAAGCTGGGTCTCGAAATCTGAATGAGTTGTAAAAAAGTTGGTTGGGAGAGGTAGCCAGGGTTACGGGCGACCTCCTTCATGCAGATGAAATTATGACGCATCTGGGGGACTTCTTCCTCCCTGGTCCTGGTCATTTTTATTTTTTTTTATTAGTACTATTTTTTTTTTCTTTCTCCTCTCTTGCCTTGGACGGAATTATCGTGCCAGAAAAAAAAAATAACAGACCAAGAAACTCTGACGCAAGAAGCCATGCACTCCCTCGGTCGATTCGGATTGGTGAGGTTGTTTCAATGCTAGGTCATGGTCTGCACGAGCTGGACTTATAAAAAGCTGGTCTCAGTCCTGCTTGCCCTTTCCCTACAAAAGAACTGTAACTCATTCTCTTCTACTTCTGAGTACCTCCCTCTCTCGGGCTGAGTACCGCGGCATCCTTGTGCTCATACATACATCACATACATACATATACATTCCACACCAGCCAGCTCTATCCTCCCCCCTACCAGATTCAAAACATCACAAGGAAAAACCAGCAAAATGGTGACCAGCGCCGTGGCTCGTCCGTTGCAGTTGGTCTCGCGTGTGATGCAATGGACCAGCGCCGTCATCGTCATGGGCATAACGTCCTACTTCATCCATAAGGGTCCGCGCGGTCAGCATCTGATCTATACGGAGGTTATCGTACGTTGGATCCTGCTCCTGCCCCTGCTGTCAAGGAGAGTCTATACTGATTATGCAAAAAGTCAACAATCTCCGTCGTCTTCTTCCTTCCTGCCTTCGTCTCGCCGTTCATGCCCACCGCGCTGGGTAAAATCGTCTTGCTGATCGATGTCGTGTTTTCTTATCTGTATGTTCCCTGCCGTCGAGCCCATATCTTTGGTCTTATTCATATCCTATCTCGTCATGGGTTTGATTTGATTTGATTATGCATGCTAATATAATCTAGATGGCTCACGTCTTTCATCTTCGCCGCCCAAGACTACAACGAATCGAACTGTTTCTGGAACTCTCCTCCGGGCGAAACCTGCTCTAAGAAGAAGGCTAACGAGGCGTTTATCTTTTTGGCATTGTACGTGGTCCTATTCCTCCTTCAATCCCTTCCTTCCCTCCATCATTTTAACCCAGAACCTACTTATTCACCCACCTACCCACTCACTCATTCCCGAATAACCCGATGACATGATAACATGACAACCTAACCACTAACACAACAATCTCAAAAACAGCATTTTCACTTTCTTCGGCATGTTCCTCGAAGTCCTCGGCCTATGGGCCTATCGTCGCGAGAACCCGACCCCCGTGCGCGAGAAGACCGGCGGCGCCCACGGCGGCCCGGCTGATGCTCCTGTTGCGCAGGTTTAAGGCTAGCTCGCTTGCACGAGATGAAGTTTTTTGTCTTTGTCTGTCTATCTATCTGTCCGATTGTCCTGTCTATCTACAGATAGACGGACAGGCAGGCAGGTAGACAGTGATTGACCGACTACACGAACTAATTTAACTAATGCTGGATGAGAGGGGTGGTTAATGTTCTATGTTGCATGTGTCGAATGTGATTAATGATAACGAGGAGGAGGGATGTTGTTTTCTTTCGCCTATATCTATACCTATACCTATTCTCTATGCTTGTTTGTTTTGCTTGTCTTTGATTTTGACTTCGATTCTGATACCACCCAACGAATGACGATCTTTATTTATTATTGTTTAATTATTATACTCTATTAATTGGATGGATCTACTATTGCATGAGCTCCATTTTTTGGTCATGAGGTCATGAGATGCTTAATCATGGTAGGCTTCAATTCTTTCAAATCGAATCTAGTAGAGGACCTGACTGCTCGAATCATCGCTATGCTAGATAGATCGTCAAGAAAGTTGAATTTCTATGTACATCGGAGGTGCCTAAATTCGAATCTCTTCTATATATAAGTTGACAGACAAAGTAGTCAATATTTAGAAGCGTTCTCGAAAGGGTATACTGCTGAACGAAAAGCTGAATGAACCATGAACGCTTAATAATACCACATCTCTAACTAACTTGTTCTCATCTAGTCGATTAGATACTTGCCCTTCGAGGCGCCATGGTGCGCTGAAGTTTCTTCTTTTCCTCGGTCTCCTCCGGTAGGGGCAGTGATCCCTCGCTCTTGAGTTTGTCAAGGAACTCTTTTCCATACGCATATCCAACCTGGTAGATCTCGTCAAATTTGCCAAAATCAAGTGTGCCATACGGGTCGATCGGAGGTCGCATGTATAAGCATCCCACGGTGTTCTTGGCTCGTTCAAGATTGTCAATTGACGACACGTACGCAAGTCGTGCCTGAATCTCCGACAGAGTGGGAGGGTTCGGGACGGAAGAGAATGGATTCCAGCGATTGACCACGGTCCAGAAGCCGGAGAGGGAGTCGCCGTATCCTTGTGGAGTATTGTCATCCAGGGACCCGACGTCGACCGCGAATATCACATCGGCACCTAGGCTCTTCATGCGCGCCACAGTGAGGTTGTCAATATATCCACCATCAAGCAGCATGCTGCCCTCGTCACAGATCGGAGGGATGAGGCCGGCCAGCGACATTGACGCACGCACGTAGCGCCATGTATAACCAGACGAGTGGAATTCGGCCCTTGATTTGCTGATATTGGTAGTGTTGCAGTAGAATTCTAACCAGAAGTCTTCAATCTGGCTGTCTCCAAAGGTTTTAAAGATTCCGCGGTTGAATTCGTGGCCAGTTGTGTACGAAATTGACGGGTAAGTCAAGTCCAGGGCAAACCGCCACATACTGCCCATGCGCCCAGAGAACTTCTTTGCGCGGCCGTACATGGGAACCACATCAGCGTCTCGGGCATACAGAGCCCCAATGAACGAGCCAATAGAGGTACCGCCGATGATGTCGATAGGAATACCGGCTTCTTCAATGGCCTTGATAACACCCACGTGAGCGATGCCTCGAGCACCACCTCCTCCAAGGACAAGCCCGACCGACCTACCACAAAGCCGGCGCGCCAGGCGATGGAAATCGCCTTTGAAAGGTGCCTCCACGGAGTAAAGAGGGGTCTGTCGGATTCGTCGCGAGGTGTATTTCTGAATTTCGGCCTGAAGGACCTGAACTCTCTGCTTTAGCACCGTGCCAAAGCGCTTGGTCTGAGTATTTGAGGGTTCGGCTGTCAATCGGAAGCTCATTTGGATGTGGTGATGACCGCCGTTGATCCATACGCGGTTCTTCAGCCACCGTCTGGTCAATCCCGGTGAACAATACCGCTCGGAATGAAGCAACACCAATTCCTTTCTGGCAGTCGTCTTCATTCCAAGCAAGAATCTCTCGTATTCTCCAATGTTGGGCGAAGAGTCAGCAAGGCCAACAAGCAAAATGCAATCCGCTTGCGTGATACAGGTCTGCGTCCATGGAGCATTCACACTGGTGTCGGCGATATACAACACCATTCCATATTTCTCCTCGAGGTCGGCCAGGTACTGAGACAATTTAAGCTTGCCCATTTTGCTGAACGCATGCCGTCCGAGATGATTCAAGATAGCCGCCTGGTTGAGCGACGTGACGCCGTTCATGACGCCGATTTGATGAAGAGCATTCAGCAAGCGATGACCAAACTCGACCACAGGTACTCCGGTTGTGACTGGAAGGATGCAGACTGTGCGGAGATTTACAGTCGAGCCAGCCGTTTGGACACTGCCAGTATGGCTCCTCTCGCTCCCTTTGTCGGAAAGTGGGTGCTCCACCAAATCTCGCATGCGTTGAGCAATGAGTTTAGAGACTTGAATTGTGATTCCGGGGTGCTCTTGCGCCAAACTGTTGAAAAGAGTCCTAGGGAACTTGGCCAGCTCAGTGTCTCGGATGGCGTGAAGAGTGCCCGGCCGAGTGGATTCAGTCATGACTTCCAACTCACCCACGCTCTCTCCCTGACCATATTCGCCCACAACCGTCATCTTGCCATTGCCGCTCTCGAGTACGGACCGAAGACGGCCGTTGAGAACGAGATATATCGCGTCACTCTCGTCACCTTGGTGGTATATAACTTGGCCGGCACTTACTTGCACCCACTCGAGAGCGAAATCGATGTGAAGAAGCAGCCGGGGGAGAAGGCTAGTTAGCCTCTTGGCCAGGGTCAGCAGCGCGATTGGGTACCGTTCTGCAATTCTTTCCAAGGACGCTCGTGGGAGGAAGCCCACATACACGTCTGTCTTGGCAACGACGTCTGTGTAGGACCGATACGATGCGACAGCGCCGACGTAGCCCTGTATACCTCCAGGCTTGATCATATAAAGGGAGTTCCGTGACTGTTTCTTTCTCTTGGGGTCATTGACCGAGCTCGCTCCGCCCGGGACGCGCGACGTGCTTGTGTTGGTCCGCCTCAGGGCAGGGAAGGCCTCTTCGGAGGACTGAGAATGAACCGGTCTGGACGCTCCCACGAGATACTCCGGTTTTTCGGATACAGGAACTCCCACGTCCAAAAACCCGTCAATCACATAGTACAAGCCGGGGTGACGTTCCCCTTGTTCCACAAGGACTGAGCCCTGGGGGAAGTAGACAATCTCGATATCATTGCGAAGTTCTTCCCGTAGGTTGACGATAGGTGACGTTCCTCCGGCGCTGGTTACAGACATGGACATCATCGACTCCGTCTCGCCATCCCCAGAGCCATCATAGGGATCAATAAAGCCGAAAGCATTATTTGAAAACACTGCTTTCTGGCGCCGGGAATCGTACGAGAGCAGTTTAGGGGACACATCCCCCGAGTGGCTGCTCTTACGCAAGACGTCGCGGGTGCTTCCACTCAGGCCGACGCCCTTCATGATACAGTCCAGAATCGACTCACGGAACAGGGCATCTTCGTCAACAGACTCCTTTCGATGGAAAGTAGAGGGTCGCGTCGGTATGATCGGTGACCGAAAAGGGGAGGGCTCTTTTTCGGTAAGAGGGCTGTACAATTTAGGGGCTAGGTGTTCATATCTAGGGCCAAATCTAGAGAGTTGGATGGTTGACAAGAGATCGCCGGGGCTTACTCCGGCCATCTCACGCTCACTGGCAGTGTCTTGAGCAGCCAGGGTCGTTGCACGTTTCGGTGCCGTCATCTTTGCGTGGAGAGCAGCCTCTTTTCTCAAGAAACTGTTGGATCGAATCCTTCTTCCGCTGGAAGGATTGTGCAACGCAATGCCCTTGGTCACTTCCTCCGGACCCAAGCGATCGCGTTCTTTGATGAATTTGTCCTTGAGCCTGTCCAGAGCCGCGCCCCGCATATCATTCGGCAGATCGTGGGTAGTATATTTGGTCATCTGTTTCTCAATGCCCAGGACCTCGTTGGTAAGTCCAAGATAGGAATGCGCCGTGGCAAACGACACTCTTTGAAGGCGCGTCAGGATAACTTGAACAATATGAGCAGTCGATTTGGGATAAACCCGCGTCAGACGGCGAAACGCGCTCGCCGGAATGATCGCGATGGTTGTGTCTACCATGGCCCGCGCAACGATATCCGGGTGAACTGACTTTCGACGCTTCCTGTCTCGCCGCTTCCCCGTTTCGGGCAAGGGGTCATGATCCGAGGGGTTTTGACCATCCTCTAGATTTAAGGGGGGCACCGATGGGAGAAATTCACCAGTGCCATGAACTTGGGAAACCGATCCTTGACGACCTCTGACAGAGCCGGGAAATGGACTGTCACCTAAGCCTTGAGGACTGGTTGGAACTGAATCCGTCAACCGGACAGGAGCCGGGCCTACGCTAGATGTACTGGAGGACAAGCTTTCGGAATCCCGCAACTGGATGTCCTCGGTGAAGAGCGACAGGATTGAGAATAGGGACGACATCGAGGCGCCGTTCTTGACTTCGGTGAGAAGCTGGTATCCTTGTCTTCCGTCAATATCATATTCTTCCTCCTCTGCGGACGATTCGTGACCCCGGCGGGTATGGTCATCATCCGGACCCAACTTGCCATCCCGAATGGATTTCACGAAGATCTGTACCAGGCCATCTACGACGAGACAAAAGCCCTTCTCTTCTTCTAGGAGCAGTGTCTCGCCAGCTATTAATTTCCTAGTCTGCATTGTGCGGGTCAATTCGTGGAACACGGGTCGCTCCAAATAGCCAAACACCTTGATAGCGCTTAGGAATTCGTCCAGATAGTTGGCCAAGCCTGGCTTCGAATCACCTTCTTGAATATCGGGGAAGAGGTCGAGTTGGGGTTCTTTGCGTTGGGGCTCGGGGGGTAGACGGCTGTACATATTCAGGAACCGATAACGAATGAACCAGCTGATGGTCGACACGACAGCCAGCGCAATTAACAACCTGTTAAGAGAGTGACATGCCGTGGTCAGTATACTGAGACATAAAGGATAGAAGAAAGGCAAGGGACATTGTATCTCAGAACCTACAGCGTCGTGAAGTTCATAGTGAAGGTCAAACTCATGGAAAAGAGCGTGAAGAGCCATGTTGGCAGTGTGATGGTAGAAAAAGTGATCACCCAGTACAGCACGCTTGGAATGACATAGAAAACGAAGGTGAACACCCAAGATATCCACCCCACCATGGTTGACGGTGTCGGAGGGGTCACTGGCGGGGGCGGAAGGGGAGAGCCAGAAATGGGCGAGGAGACAAGGAGACTGGCGGCTATGGTAGGAGAAGAGGTGGTAAAAGAAAAGACAGAGGACGAGGAAGACGAATCCGCGAAAGCAACGGCGTCGGCCATGGCGTCGGACAGCCTAAAGGCCTAATGGCTAAAGCTTGGAAAGCCTGGAACCCGGAATGGAGACTCGGACTCAGGCCGCTCGAGCCAGACGGAGCTGCACCGGTGAAACAGAGGGTCGGAGATTTCACCCAACAACAATGTCACTCTCCGAGAATGCAGCGATATTAGGAGGGTCCGGTGAGGGGTAACGCAGCCGTTGACATATTGACATAAGTGAAAAAAGAGAAACGTGCATGGAGAGGAGAGTTCCTGATGGCTGGTCGTTGATTCCGCCGAGGAAAGCGGAGGCTGCAGCGGCCGGCATGCACGCCTTGCCCGTTTGGGACGGTCTGCGGTGCCGCCTGGCCATGGCATGTGATCTGACGTCATCTGTCTGTCCTGTTCCTCGACCTTTTGCGTCCAGAAATTCATAATCTGCACTGCCAGACCCCAAATGTCCACCTGACGAACAGTTGCCTTGGCTGTTACACTTCTGTTCACCTCCAACACCCTAATGATCCTTATATTTGCCCTGGCATAAGCCCCCTGGAAGTTCGTCCTATCAATAAAACTCTCTTATTTTGGGCATCATTAGGGATAAATTCAAGAAAAATTCTTAATGTTCATAATCCTACGGATAGAACAGCAGACTCCCAGTTCGATTCATCCTGATCAAATTTTCATCCTCATATAGTTACAATACACTCAAACCCCTATGTCAGTTATCCTCACCCGGATCCAAAAGGTCGAAGGAATTAGTATCATAATCTGAACCACCGTGCCTTGATCCTAAATTGTGAAACGAGTTCCTTTACGTTGCCGAATGAGGAACCTTGTGGACGGTCGTCCACCCAGGGTCAAGTCTTATGAGCCTGTTTGTGGGCTGTATTTCAAATCCGACTAACATAAGCGGCCTTTGAACGCCTTGAGTCTGTAGGCCCCGAGTCTATACAGATAGTACCAATTCTCCTGGGGAAAACAAAGAAGACCAAGAAATTAAAGGCATACGTCTGACAACATTATATCCCGGCTCTTTTAGGTATAAGTTGGATGAGATCCGCATGGCAGACTAGGCAACTTTGAAACGCTAGAGCTTAAAATGGTCCACTGGTGGCACATCGCTGACTGTCGATATCTGTGATGTAGCCCTAATCCATAACTCTAGGAGCTTCAATCGAGAAAATAGAGTACCATGTATTAGAAGTTCTCGAATTCAGATCGCTATAATATTCCTTTGGAATAAATAAATCTATGTGAACTTTCCGCACGAACTTAGACATTGGTTCCTGACATATGACAATTTCTTCATTTCTTGCTGCATCTCGTCTCCCATCTCAGCTTCATACCCAGATCCATAAGGCGGACAGAACTATTATGTGCATGGCCATCCTCCACTCATACGCTTTATCATGGAATAGCCTGCAAGATAATTCCCCACAGTGCAACCAGAAACCACGAGAACGAGCATAAACATGACCTGCAATCTCGGCGACCACATTGAAAAACTTATGAGTGGACGTTGTAGGTAATGTAACACTCTCCGTTGATAAAGAAAAGGCTGAGGAGCAACGTGGTCTGTGGCTGATCTATATTTTTGGCCCTCTTTCTTTCTTTTTCTGCCGCAGTCGGCCCGCAGCCTATCGTCGAGTGATATGGTTACACATCATGTCTGGAAAGGCACATTGGCCCCCGTTGATTACTTCTAAAGTTCTTTGTACAATCAAGATCCTGTTACACGATCTGTTCCAGCTGTGGGCAACAGGAGGTGAAGTAAGCGCTATCCAGGACTGGGGTCTATTTGGAGAGCGAAGAACCCAGATACTATGTTGCGGCGCAACACCAGTATCCTTGCAATATCACCACTTCGATGATCCAAACTGAATTTTCTCATCGATTACATGCAGAAACGTGGCCGACTAAAAGGAAGGAAACCCCCAATCCTTTCTGTATAGTAAAATGCACATCACAGGCTCCACCTCGCCATGAAGGACTTCACGATCAATACAACAGCCAAGGTCAACGGCCCTACGTTCATGGTAAAGACACTCCATCGCGGAATATTGCTTCTCTGACCAGATACAGGTTGTTGTCTGGGGAGCAACACTCCTCTCATTTATCTTCATCGCCGCACGTATTCTTGCCCGCATCCTCACATTCCGCCGCCTCTGGACCGATGATGTGTTAGCGATGTTGGCATGGCTATTCGTCCTTGCTCAAGCCATCATCTGGCATACACAGGTTGAATCATTATATGTCCAACACCAATTGATCACAAAGGAGTTTCTTCCGACGGAAGAAATCATGGAAGAGATTCGCTGGGTCCTACGTGCTCAATTACTCGGGCTTTTCTTCTTCATGTTCTCTCTGTGGCTGCTCAAAGCTTCGTTCTTGGTCTTTTTCCGTCGAATAGGTTGCTATCTGCAACCTTTGAACACTTGGTATTGGTGTGTTGTGATACTGGTGACTACAAGCTGTGCAGCCTGTTTGGGAGATATTGACTATAAGTGCTTGACGAAGGATCCAACATGGGGATATGGTTAGTTTCCCCGCTATCGAATAACACAAATCAGCATGCGTTTCATGACTAATTTTGTATTCGTCCAGAGCATTGTACCCCGTTTTCAGCGGTCAAAGTCCAGTTCCGCGGGTTCCTTGTCAACGCATTATTGGACATCTTCAGTGATGTACTCAGTATGTATCCTTGGATGTCTAATCGAACCACGGCCTATACTCATCCAATCCCAGTAACCACACTTCCAATCGCTTTACTTTGGAATGTGCGCATGCCTTTATCTCGGAAGCTCAAGTTAATGGGCCTCTTCTCCTTGACCGTGGTGGTGGCGATCTTTGCAGTTGTCCGCATCGCGGCTGTGGCTCAGCCACACCATTATTTTGACGCTACTTGGCTGTGGATGTGGAGTTTGATTGAATGTGCTGCTGGTACGTATTTCCGCTAAAACATCATCGGACGGAGAGCGCAACTAACCATCTTCGGCGTTGTCGAAAGCAATTATAATCGCTGCTCTGGCCTCGTTGCGTCAACTATATGTCAAACAGGACCTGATACAGACTTCGTCGCCATCAAATAACAGCAGCGATGTCTGGACCAGAGAAAATGTACGGTCCTTCATCCCCAGCGGAAAGATTTCCCAGCAGAAAAAGACAATTGTCAATTCATATCCTGTGGACATTCAACCAACCAACAGGCCCGGAAAGCCCTAGGTTTCAGGATGTTGAGGCAGTGTGGGTGGAATGACAGGTCTATGCTATAATTAGGACCGTCACTTCCTTACGGAGTAGAGTCCTCGTTCCTGTCTCCTGAATGATGAGCACGAGCAAGCTGTTAGCGTGTAAATTTAAAATAGTGATGGACAAAGACGAGGATGTTCCTGGTGCACCTGTACTGCTATAGTTAGATCCCGCCCCCCTGACAACAGATCACCGCCCATTTTTTTTTATCTCCGGCCATTTTTCTGCCCGCCCGGAAAGTCTTGGCAGCCCAACCAGTTCTGGCCTGTTCGTTGGCTCAGTGGCTGACGTTCTCTGGATGCTTCCTCCCATCTCCCTCTACCACCTATTCCTCCTACTTCTATTTGTTTCCTTTCGTCTCGTCTCTTCCTGTCTCTCGTTCATCCATCTAGCTGTGGCCTTGGCTCACAGGCCCGCCACGGTCATGTTTCAGGTATGTTTGTTTGGTCCGTGATTCCCACCGCCGGAATCACTTATTTACTTGTCTGCCTTAACCGCTCGGTGTTGGTGTCAATGTCGGTTGTTCGCTAGGCTAACACATGTGTTTTACATCTTATAGCGCCTCCGCGAGGCGATCGACTCTCGAATCGCAGAGGAACAGGCTCGCCAAAAGTCCGCCCAGGATTCCTTGTCCCGATCCAACTCCGCTCGCCAGCCCTCCGGCCGCAACCTGTCCCCTAGCCGACGACAGTCCCGTCCGCGACGAAACACCGGAACCCCTGTTCGCGGCCCCGATCCGAATGAATTCGAGCAGCCCGAGTTCACCATCGGCGATGACGAAGGGTCCAGCAGATCCGCGACTCCCCAGCAGGATCCTCCCAGCAATTCGATGGGCTCGCCGGAGCAAAATGCCGGGGAGGAGAAGTCTACTGCGGAGGAGTCGCCAAATGGGAAGGATGCCGCTCCTGCCGGGGAGACCAAGCAGTCACCCTCTGAGCTCCCCGCGGAGGTAAAGGTGAAATTGCGGAAGTTGAGCAAGATGGAAACTCGTTATCAAGGTACGAGATGTCGTCGCGGATAATTTACACGGACCAGATGATGCTAATCGACCCGACTGGATCTTAGAACTTCTGAAGGCATACCGGATGGCCCATACGCGCGTCCTCTCCATCGAACCATTCGAGGCCGCTCTTCGCGAAAATACCCCTCTCACGTCGATCGGCGACCCCAAGGCCCTCACAGAATATCTAAATCAGATCTCGTTGAAGGGGGATATGGTGGTGGAAGAACTGAAGCGCATCTCGGGTGAGCGGGACGATTACAAGAAGAAATTCGAGGAAGCACAACAGGCCACGAAAGCTGCTTACGACGAAGTCGCCAATCTGAAGAAGAATGGAAACAAGAGCGAGGAGGGCTCTTCTTCCAAAGAGGGCGACGGCTTGAGTGTTGACACCGCCGCCGCAAATGCGCCCTCGCCTGATATCACCGTGCAATCTGCGACTCCCACCTCCGCGTCTCGCCTTGCTCAAATATTCTCTCCGAAGCAGAACTCTGCGAAGCAGGCCGAGAAGCCAGAGCCTCAGCAAGAAAGCGAAGAGTTCTTTTCGTTCGACGGCGAGATCCCGCGATTGGAGACCGAATTGAAAGAAAAGCAAGAGGAAATTGAAACCCTCAAAACTCAAACCGAGAAGCTGCAGCGCGACCTCTCCGTGGCACGTGAGTCGACGGAGGGCATGGTCCAGAATCTAGAGACCGCAACCCGGGAACTCAGTGAACTGCGAGACACGAAGGATAAACAAGACTCGGAAATTGAGAAGCTGAAGGCTTCCAAGCAAGAAGGAATTGACGAGCTCAAGTCCAGACTCGTGGCATCGGAAGAATCTCTGACGAAGGCCACCGCTGAAGTCGAGAAGCTGAAGGATGAATTGAAACAGAAGGCGACCGAAATTGAGCAGCTCCAGGCTCAAGTTGCACAGTCCGAGAAGGATAACGAGCAGCCGGAGATTGAGTCGTTACTTGAGGAACTAAAGAAGGAGAAGGAGACTACCAAAAATAAATTAGGCGTCTTGCAGAACTTGGTGGATAGCCTTCGCTCCCAGCTCAAGACTACGGAAGAAACGGTATCGAGCCAGATGGCGGTCATTGAACAGAAGAACAAGAACGCCAAATCGCAGGCTATCGTTGATTTCTTCGACGGCAGTGTGCAAGACAACCCACAATGGCAACAGTCCAAAGCACAGATTCTAAGCGGCGAAAAGACCAATTTTGATGAGTTACGTGAGATTTTGATGCCTCTTCAAAAAGAAGAGCCAGTGAAAAGTCAGGCTTCGGAGCCGAACCCTCCACCAACCAATTCCACGGCCAATTCCACGACAGGCACGGGAGGAGGCAAGAAGAAGAATAAAAAGAAGAAGAAGGGCGGCAAGGGTGGTGAAGATACGAGTAAAGCAGAGCCCAGTCCTGCGGTCGAGGATAAACAGCCGCCCTCTGCAGAACCTGATCAGATTGCCGCGAAGCTGGATGAACTCCAGGGCAAGATCGAGTCGCTGACAAATCAGCTGGAGGAGAAGGAGGCCGCCATTGACCGTCTCAGCGCAAAACTCAAGGGCGAAGATGATTTGAAGGAGGAAATCGAGTCTCTCCGTGATGATTTGCTCAATATCGGCCAGGAACATGTCGAAGCGAAGGACAAGTTCAAGGTGCTTTCTGCGGAGAAGAACGCCTTGATAGAGACTATCTCCAAACTCGAAAAGGAGATCACTGATCTGCGCACGAGCAATGCGTCCCAGAGCGCAGACTCCGAAAAGGCACATAGTAGCCTGAAGGAGGAGTATGAAAGCCTCAAGGTTAAATTTACGACAATTGAAACCGAGCTCTCCGCTGCGCAGCAGCTGGCCACCACTCGGTTCAAGGACCTTACAGATCTGCGGGAAACCGTGCAAAAGCTGCAACCCGAACTGAAGAACCTGCGGGCTGAATCCGCAGAACTCAAGTCTACGAAAGAAACCTTGACGAGTAAAACCACCGAGTTGCGAAACCTAGAACATAAGCAAGAGGACCTGCGAGCCGAACTCAAGACTCTCAAGTCAACCGTGTCAGAGCGCGATACTGAAGTCAAGACGCTCAACCAAAAGATTCGACAGGAGACGGACAATCGCTTGAAGGCTGAAGAGAGACTGACCCTTGCGCAATCTGACCTGCGATACTCGGAGAGCAAGAAGCAAGAAGCCGTGGAAACGAAGGAACGGTTTGCTTCTGACCTCTCAAGAGCTCAGGAAGAACTGAAGTCAGCCAAGAACGAGATCAGAGAAGTGGAAAACCAGGTCAACAAGCTGAACCAAGAGTTGGGGAGTCTGCGGGAAGAAATCCACCTTAAGACTGCTCAACATGCCAGTGCACAGAGCTTGATGAACAGCATGCGCGATCAAAGTGCTGAGATCGGAATGCAGATGAAGGAAGCGAAAGAACGCTGCGAGAGTCTGGAAGAAGAATTGGCGGACGCTCATCGTCTACTGAACGAACGTACTCGAGAGGGAGAAACGATGCGCCGTCTCTTAAATGACATTGAAGGCCGTACAGAATCCAAGGTACGCGATTTTAAGGAGCGAATGGAGGCTGCCATTGAAGAGCGAGACCGGGCCGAAGATGAGGCGAGCTCTCAGGGACGTCGCCGAGCTCGGGAGCTCGAGGAACTGAAGAGCAAGGTTCGCGAGGCGGAGAAGGCTCTCCGGAGTGCCGAAGAGGACAAGGAAGAATTGGAGCGATCTCAGAAAGATTGGAAGCGCAGACGTGACCAACTCGAGGCGCAGTCCGAAACGTCTGGAAGGGAACTCAATGATGTGAGACAGGCAATGGCACAGCTCCGCGACACCCTCGATGAAAGCGAAAAGCAGGTCCGTGAGTTGGAGAAGGAAAGGGCGGAGTATCGCAGATCTGTTGAGGAGGCCAACGCCCGCTTGGAAAAGATGCGCAAATCCAACAGGATTCTATCGGATGAGGCGCGCATGGTACAACCTCAGTCATCGCGATCATCTATTGATTCCGGTTCTAGGAAAGCGCTCACCTCCCCAGTCACCAAAGATCGAAGCCCATCGACCCGGAGAAGCGAGTCGTCCGGCGCAAACGTCGACTACATCTACCTCAAAAACGTGCTACTTCAGTTCTTGGAACAGAAGGATAGAAACTACCAGAAGCAGCTCATCCCAGTGTTGGGGATGCTGCTGCATTTTGATCGGTGAGTTTACTACTTCCCAGACCAGCTTACACTCTTGTGGATACTCGTACTAACGCGGATTCTAGAACGGATGAGCAGAAATGGATGTCCGCTATTATGTCGAAATAGGTTTAATGTGGTTCACGTCGCCACGCTATCACAATTAGGATATATTTGTAATATATTTGGGTACATAATATCTGCCTAGTGGTCTCGCCTTGTATGTCTCCATAAAGTCTTGTTTAGTCTCCGTATGTCAACGACAGGGCGTCCCAGCAGAGTTCTGGACCCGTCCAGACTATAAAGTGGGACCGCCGCCATCCGCAGACTCTCTCCATCTTTAATTCTCTCCTCAACCACCAAACATTCGATATCCTGTCACTTTTTCTTCTCAGAGTATCCCAAGACCTAGCCATAATGTCTGATCCACCTACCCTCCGCCTAGCAACTCCCGAGGGTAAGTCCATCATCCCCAGCATCATCAATCCACTTCCCACACCCAAGAGACCCCCCCACACATCCAGATTGAACCCCAACTAACCCACCACCCACTACGGTGTAGACGTCCCTCTCATCCTCCAATTCATCCGCGAACTCGCCGACTACGAAAAAGCCCTCCACGAAGTCGAAGCCACCGAAGAGTCGCTCCTCGCAACGCTCTCTTTCCCCGACACCCCACCGAAGCGCGGCGCCGTCTACACAGCCCTGATCACCCCGCCCAGCACCCCCTCGCAACCGACCCCCAAGCCCGTCGGCATGGCCCTATTCTTCTACAACTATTCGACGTGGCGCTCTGCGCCGGGCATCTACCTCGAGGATCTATATGTGCAGCCGAGCGCGCGGGGAAACGGCTACGGGTTCAAATTGCTCAAGTATCTGGCTGCTAAGGTGTTGGAGGTTAATGGACGACGGCTGGAGTGGAGTGTCTTGAAGTGGAATGAGCCTAGTATTAAGTTCTATGAGCAGGTGGGCGCGATTTCGATGCATGATTGGTTGAAGATGATGGTTGAGGGGCCGGCGTTGTACAATTTGGCCAAGGGGGTTTGATTTTTTTTTGTTGCCTTCGGGATGGGATTCTTGTGGGTAGATTAGAGAGGTTGGATGCGGTTTTCTTTGTTATTTCCGTTATTGGAGTTCAAAATAATGAAGCGTTACGGGCTTTGTCAGACATTGCGGGGTGAAGCAAACGGGAAGGCTGCGGCTGAGAGCTGGTGTTCACAATAGAAATTAGGCGTACAGAGGGCTACTTCATCGTGCATCATAGAATACTTACTACCAATATTCGAACAAGATGTGCAAGATGCAAATGAATGCAAGGGATGGAAGATCCTATGCGGGATGTGGGGGAAACATGTGAATTGTAGGAGTTGGCAGAGTGTAGAGAAGCTCAGTCAAATATCTCGATCATTGATCTCCCTACCTATGCATTCAACAAGGGGTAAACAGAAAATGCAACAGTCTATTTTTGCTTAAGGAGTCAACGGGGCTTTCCTAAAAAGGAAGGACTACTACTCCAGTATGCTAAACTCTGCAAGGCCAGTCAGAATCAAACACATTATGATATCAGCAGGTTTTAACCAATTCACTTGAACGTAAACAATCTGCTGATGGTGGTGGCTGAGGCTTCCACTCCGAAGTAGATCGGTAAATCACCACATCGCCAGAGATAAGATCTCCCGACGCAAGATGATGAATGATGATATCGGCAGATCCACCAGTGTCACATCGGCCAATAATGCACCGCCAGCCAGCGTCAGGGCTAACCCTACAAACAAGCTTTGCCGTGACGTCGTCGCTACCCGTCCCGATACTTGGTCATAGCTATCCGCTCGCCGCGATCACGCAGTCGCCCCTTTTTATTCTCTCCTCTCTCACAAATACCATAGTGTCGAGACCCTTGGTGCCAAACATCACAGAACTTATGGATATATAAAGTGGTAATCAATATCCACATTGTGACAAATGTCTTCCACGGCACCCAAGGACGATGCGCCGGCGCATCAAAAGAACAACCATGTGGACTACGTCATTCAATTCAGCTTCAGCGACGAGGGTAAGATCTCCATACTTATCGGAAGTCGATAGCGTCTAATTGTACTAGATCCGGCACAAGCGACAGCACAGCTCGAATCGCTTCTTCGGAAACTATCGGAGGTAGGCCTGCAGACCGAAGTGAGAGAGGGAGATGAAACGACTGTGCTCGTCTTCGTCCGCGCATCGAGGAAGAAGCATCTCCGACACGCGGTATACCAATCGCGGTAAGTCGTACAATCGTCAATGGCAATGTCAATGGCAATCAAATTTCCCTGAATACTCCCCATACTGACCTGCTTCTGACCAGCATACGTGACTGGCTCTACGGAGTCCGCCATGACGAGCCCGAATCCGAGACCTCCGCCGAACCGCAAACCGAATCTGAACGTCTCCGTGTGATATATCATATGATCACAGTCCCCAAGGAAGCTGGTGGTGCCGGGATCAGTCCGAAACATGGAGAGTGGGAGAATGTGCTCGCAATCTTCCCGCTGCACGACGTCGATACAAATAACGATTGCATGCGAGATTGGAGCAAGAAGAGGTTCCTGTCGCCGGAGGACTTGGACCAGATACGGAACACTTTCGGAGAAAGCGTGGGTGGGCCTGTTCAACCCGCCATGCAGACTGTAGACCTCTGACGCTAATGACTTTATTTATGCAGGTCGGGTTTTATTTCGCATTTCTGCAGTCATACTTTAAATTCCTGCTGTTTCCGGCAGCCTTTGGGTTCTCATGTTGGCTGCTGCTAGGGTCGTACTCGATCATCTATACCGTGGTGAACTCTCTCTGGGGCGTTATCTTTGTGGAATATTGGAAGCGCCAGGAGGAGGATCTCAGCTGTCGGTGGCAGACCAAAGGTGTTTCGGCCGTTCGCGCCAAGAGACAACAATTCATTCCGGATAAAGAAGTCCACGATGAGAGCACGGGTGAAGTTAAAGGTGTGTTTTCGGCATCGAGGCGAATGTATCGTCAGCTGCTCCAGGTCCCGTTTGCTCTGCTATCGACAGTAGCCTTGGGTCTAATCATCGGAACGTGTTTCGCCATTGAGATTTTCATCGCCGAAATCTACAACGGGCCTTTCAAGACATATCTGGTAAGCTCAGCCGTTCATTACCTTGCTTTTATGTTGGCTAACAAGTCAGGTCTTCATCCCTACTATCTTGCTTTCTGCTCTCATTCCGACCATGAGCACTGTCCTGGTGAATGTAGCGACCAGACTTACTGACTACGAGAACTACGAAACCCAACCAGCACATGATGTGGCATTGACGCAGAAGGTCTTTGTCATCAATTTTATCACATCTTACCTCCCAATCTTCCTGACCGCTTTTGTCTACGTCCCCTTTGCCAGCCGCATCGTGCCATATCTCGACGTGTTCCAGTTGACTGTTCGACCTTTTGTCTCGAAAGAGCATGCGGCGACAATGCATACCGAATTCAACATCGACCCCGACCGTCTACGGAAACAAGTCGTTTATTTCACAGTTACTGCTCAGGTGGTCAATTTCGCCCAGGAAGCCATTCTCCCCATGGTCAAGCAGCATCTTCTCCGCAAGTACAAGGAGTATAAACGAAAGCAATCGGCCAAGGCAGACTCGGACAGTGATTCTGACACCAAGCGCACCCCAGTGGCGCAGTTTGATGACGCCCCGGAAGAGTCCGACTTCCTCAAGCGAGTTCGCAACGAGACCGAGCTAGAAGACTACGACGTCACGGATGATCTCCGTGAAATGTGCATCCAGTTCGGATACCTCGCCCTCTTCTCGCCTATCTGGCCCTTGGTGCCCGTCTCCTTCCTAATCAACAACTGGGTGGAGCTTCGATCCGACTTCTTCAAGATCTGCGTCGAATGCAAACGGCCCTGGCCGCAGCGCGCCGACACCATCGGGCCATGGCTCGAAAGTCTCAGCTTCCTCTCCTGGGTCGGAAGCATCACCAGCGCCGCCTTGCTCTACATGTTCAGTGCCGGCCACGAAGGGCCCAACGGCGAACCGACCACCATCCAAGCTTGGGCCCTTCTTCTGACCATCTTCTTCTCCGAGCACATCTACCTCGCGATCCGCTATGCCGTGCGGGCCGCCATGTCTAAGCTCGAGCCCCCGAACGTGCGGAAGGAGCGCTCGGAACGCTACAACATGCGCAAGCGATACCTGGATTCGACCCTCAGCACTAAGGTCAGTGACGACGAGGGCGATGAGATCCCGTATAACGACCAGTCCCAGGAGGTCTCGCAGATCAGTCGGGCCAATTTGGAAGAGGATGCTCGGACCTGGGCTCGTCACGGCACGGATCCTGCGGAGCGGTTCTGGATGCGCCAGAAGGGGTGGAAGGAGTCGGCTCATGTCGGTTCGGCTATTATAAATTCCTTGTCGATTGTGCAGAATGGAACGAAGAAGGAGCAGTGAGCGGGTGGAGTGTAGGCTGCTATATATAAGGGGGGTTAGGTTAACGAGGACTTCTAATGAGTTTGGTTGTTTTTTGTATCATATAGTTGTTGGCTAGAATATATTCGTCGATAGTCTTCACATAGGGATGGGATCGCATCTTTATCGCATACAGAGGATTGATTTGGTGAAAGACATTCAAGCACAGCGTGTAGTGATTGTGGAAGCTTCATGTCTGAGGATTCAATGCCAAGCATCCTCTTTTGCCCACTTCACCTTCAATTCTACATCACCTAGGAAGATCCATTCTTCCCTGCAATCATCTTCATGATAACCTCTGTCAAATCAATTTGTTTCTGGTCATCAATCAATATCAATGGCCTTTCTAGTCCAGTATTTCTACCGGGACTGTGCCATCGAATAATGGCACTACGAAGTCTGTTAATATATCTATAGGTACAGGTCCACGTTCATAGATTTGATAACACACACTGATTACCCCAGATTTATCCAGACAGAGTGACAACAATATACACCACACTTCCCAATGGAACAATCAACGAATAGTACCTCGAAAACAAACCCACCTCGACAACTAAGAGAACGGAACGCGGAACGCGCTCCGCTCCGTCCGACTCGGAGAGTTCAGGAATACATCAGCTAGCTAGCTAGTAACTAGTTAGTTAACTATCAAAACATGAAATGACTAATTCCTTACGGAGACAAATTGTCCCCGACGGAGATAGAAACACCGTAGAGTTATTAAGGGTCTGTTTTGTTATTGTTATTGACTAATACGGTATAACTAACTAACTAATTGCGCCAGCTCCGAACGACATTGCTCACAGATGCTCCGACTGAGCGCGATGGATTGCCTAGTATGGAGGCGGTGATTGGGAGAGTCGGAAGGAACCGAGACGACTGTATGGAGTTTTTATCCTAGATAGTTTACAATTACTTCTGTACGGAGCAACCTACCTAGACGCCAAGGAAAGGCAAGAGTGCTCGCTCACCGTTCAGTCCAAGAATGTCTACTATTCCCGAGCTTGGATGCATACGGCTCGTTTATACGCATAATTTTAGTCACTCGGCGATAAGAACCGTCGGGTTTGGTATTGCCTGGTATTCCGGTATCGTAGGCGGGTAACTGTTACCATCCTCAGGGAATCTTTATTAGACTAGGATTGGAATTGCCCACCGAGGTACTCTGTGGATCATTAAGATGGTCAATGATCAATCCATTCAATTACCTCCCGTGGCGCGGACTTCCCCTAGTTACTGACTTGCTACAAGTTACAACCTGAGGCACTCGGACCAAAGCGGTGACCAGCACATGCCGCCTGAGTCATCCAACGGTTGGGGGCGGAGATTGTGGAGGGGTCTCATTGGCCGGTTTTGACCGGCGATGACTGGGCGCGTCTGGGCATGTTCGCCGTCCGAGTACCAGTTCCTCACGGTCGGAAGAGAGTCATTGGGAGTTAGAAAGGGTGTTATACTGGCAATGAAACTCGCTATCATTTTATATTGTGTATGTATAGAATGTAAGAGCAGTGGACCGACAACTACTCCGTACAGTCAATGCAATATGTCGGCGGCATTCTCTCCGGAACGCCAGTCTGGACCGCGGTGGCGTCATTCATTACCCCGAACCGTGACCGTAACCAATACGGTCACCGCCTGAATCCGGCGATTCCAACGACTTCCAGCCCGCCGCCCCCCATTTTTTCCCTTTTCTCACGTCACGTCCGAAGTCTGCTGCTGTCTGACTGATCTTTTAACTAATCTTCCCTTTCCCCCTCCCCTTCCTGCTTACGAGATCAACTCCCCCCCAGTTGCATTGCCTAGTTATCGCCAAAAGGCAAACCCGACTAGTCAGCATCATAAAACCCCCTCGAAATAACGACTAAGCTGCCCCGAGCATCGTCTGCTTACCTCATCGCCTCCCTCTCGTCGCCTTCTTCATCTATCTACACATTCTCCGCCGCTTTCTGGGAAACCGTGTAGTTTAAGTCAGTTTTTGACTTCCTCCTGTCCTCTGTGAATTGAACCCTGTCGCGTCTTACTCCGGGCGCGTCTTTGTTGTCTCTTGCGATTCGATACCCTCGATGCAGCAGCCTACACTAGCCCCAGCGCCGCATCCAAGCATGCAAACTTCTGCTCAGGTAAGCAGTCTATGCTTGTCGCGGTTTGTCATCAGATCGCCTGTCACCATCTCCCTCTCGCAATTGTATCCTGCCGCAGCGACGCGATGTACCAGCGCGGGTGTCTTTTGAACACGCCGTCGCCCCCTCGGTCGGCCGCGTGAATCGGGTTTCGCCTCCCTGGGTTTCCGCCATGGGCGACCAGGGCTCCCGCGCTGGTCGCGCGTCTATGGGATTCATGCACTTTGTTTGTTCTTATGAACGCGGTGACTAATGTTGTTGGTGTATCTTCTAGGATCATACTGATCAGAGTAAGTGTCCCTGATCGCGCGATCGTATCGAGTGTGGGAGAAAACGCGCGTTTTCTCGCGCCTGGCTATCGCGCTTGCGAAGGCCGCGAACACGATCATGAACACCACCTATATGGAGTACTGGAAATGACATTGAAGCTAACCGTGGTCCTAGTGCTACATGATCAGCTGCTGGCTGCTCAGCAGCATCTGACACATCCCCAGCAAACGCGTCCTCAACCGCCGCCGCCACAACCCCCGCACATGCAACCCAACAACACGAGTCCGCGCGACCAAAACAACATTGATCCGGCCATTTCGGGGGCGGCGATGCTCAGCGGGCCCCCGCAGACTCCTCCGCAGCCAGAACCAACGGGGCCGGAGTCTCCGAAGACGTATGGCAAGCGACCATTATCTACTTCTAAGCGTGCTGCTCAGAACCGTGCCGCCCAGGTACGTGTCGCCGGACAAAACATGGAAGATTCGTGGAGTCTTGAGCTAACGTGAGTAGAGAGCGTTCCGGCAACGGAAAGAAAGCTACATCCGCAAGCTGGAGGAGCAAGTAAAGGAGTACGATAACATGTCGGATGGTTTCAAGGCCCTGCAGGCGGAGAACTATCAGCTCCGCGAGTACATTATCAACCTGCAATCTCGGCTACTTGACTCTCAAGGAGAGGTCCCCGAATTGCCCGGAAACATTGACCTGAGCCAGCCGCGGACGGATCTGAATGTCACAACTGGCGCCGGCTCGGCGCAGGCTGCTAACGCCTCATCGGGCGCTCAGCAAGCCCAGCCCAATCAGAACCAGGCCGCCGGATCTAATGATGATATGAACTCCTTGAACCGGATAGCGAGTGCCGGCCTCGGCATGCGCAAGCACCCCAACGAGGACGCCAACTACCTGGGGAATAACTTTGCGGTCCGCCGCCCTCGGGCGGATGAGAACCAACCGGACGGTTCAGAAGCGACCAAGACGGAGCCTACACATGGGCTTCCTGTCGTGTCATGAACAGAATTGCTATCCACACGTCCTCTCCACGAACTGTGACCTTCTGCTTCCAGTTTCCTGCGCGTTACTATGTTTAGGACCTGTTATCCTTATCTTCCTTCCTTACTCATGTGCTCTCATTTTTCCCTCTTGTGGTGTTTGGCGCGATATTGCTCGGGTTTCGTTTCTGGCTTTGGAGAGAAGGGGTGGTGTTCTGCGTTCTTGTACTCGGGTTTGCAATGCCACTCACTTTGTGATTTAGACATTTGATGGGTAGGGCAGAAGGATGATCATTCCATATTTCCATAGGGTGGTCATTTTGTTGCGGATCTCCCATACAATACCCCGATGACGGTGGTCGCAGAGTACCAGCCTCTTAGCTACTGTTTTATCCCCCTGTTTCATCTTTCTTATTGTCGGCCTCTGATACGTCACGAGCCGTTTTCTTTTGCTTTTTCTTTTTTATATTAAATTCACATCTACATTACTTGACATGTGCACGTGCAACTAGGTATTATTCGCTTGATTTAAACATATCAATCAACTTGAATCAACTTTTATTTATTATGAATGGTTGAGGTCTGGTAAAGTAGAAGTAGAAGTAGAAGTAGAAGTAGAAGTAGAAGACGATGGGTACCCGAAAGCATAAATCCAACAAACTGCACAGAATAAACAAGTCTAGACATCTCGACCATAATGCCATGAACTAGGGAACTCAAACAAAAAGCAAAAGAAAAAGGAGAGGGAGAGAAAGAAAAAAAAAAGACTTTTTTAATCAAAGAACTTTTATTTTAACCCATGAGCCTCACACAACTCATGGCAAAAAACATACTTTTGACTCCCCTAAAGCAAACAGTCTAGATCTCACAATAACCCAACAACAGACAACACCCCTAAATACAATCCCAGCCCGACAGTGACTGAAAAGTTCCTCCTGTTGAGCAGCCATGCGAGGCCGTCGAAAAGGGCTATGCCGATGGCGACACCGGTCGTGAGCGCTGGATATGGGTTTTCGGGGTATTGGGGATATTGGTTGTTGAGAAGGACGATGGGATCGGGTATTTTGATGGGTAGGGAGTCCCGGGGTTGGGTTGTAGATAGATGGAGGTGGGGATTGGTGTTGTTGCAATTGCTTTTCTTATCATCATGGTTGTTGATGATGTGATTCTTCATGTGTGGCTCTTGCATGGCCATATATAGGAGGTCCCTGGATCTCTCTAGAGATCCAAGAGAGGAGATGGATGAGAATGGGGAAGGGAAGGAGCGAGTGGAAAAGGAGGAGAAGGTGGAGGAGGGGGAGGAATGAGGTGAAGCGGATGCCTGATTGTCTGACTCGTCCACGGTCTCACGAATGTCGGTGATGATGGACACTCTAATTTCACCCTTGATGGGTTGGATGATGGTTATCACGTCTGGAGTTTGCGTTGTGGGTTTGTTGACATTGACGCTGACGTCAATGTCCTTGGGCATCTTGGATGCATCTTCCCGGACGGGGACAGGATGGACAACATCCGAAGGTTTTGAAGTCAGGGGAGATTCTTCGGTCTTGGTCTTGGTCTTGATCTCCTTGGGCATCTTGCGCGAGGAATGGGCCCTTCTCTTCCTCTTGTGTGCACGCTTAATGTCCTGGCCAATATGCGCAATCTGTGCCACCAGGGCACATTTCTCCTTCTCTTTCATCTCGTCATCGTCTTCCGTGTCTGTCTCATCCCCACCATAATCCATACGCCTCACTTCATCCATATACTCATCAACCACACGCTTCGTCTCCTCATCAACCACCCCCCTCAAGAGCGTCTCCAACTCCTGAAAAGAAGCCCTAACCAGCTTCGACGGACGCTCTCGCGAAGGCACAATAGCCTGCAACTCCTGGAGAAGACTAGCCTTTTGCTCTTCTTCCCGAGCGGGTGTTTCTTCCTCATCATCGGTAACGTCCTCAGCCGGCTCCATAAGTTGCAGTTTCTGCATGTGGGCGTCTATTATATTGGACCTGTCTTCGAGGCTTTGACCGGAGGGAGATACCGACATGGAGCGGTTAACCTTGGGGAGAGGTGCTGAAGTCGAGCAGGAAACTATGACTTCGTGGGTGATTGTGCTGATAACCCGAGAGTCTCTTTTAGAGACTTCGTCGGGGCACACTTTGGTGCTGTTGAATCTGGTGGGCATCAGGACTCGTCTGGGGCGAGAAGTTCGTGCAAACATCTCGGATGAGGAGTCTGTTTCTGCTTTTGCTTCTGTAGAGCAAGAAGAGGAGGAAGAGGGATGAGAGGAAGTATAAAGACGAGTATCTCTATGTGTCTGACTCTGTCCCTGGGATCGAGACTGATTTATCTGTCCACAATCACTTTGACGAGGGATAGAAGTATCTCGCAGGCTTGGAACCGGCACAGACGCCTCAACATTGTGATGGCTTTTATGTCGGGGCTGCTCCGCAGGAGGGTCTTGGACTGTTGTTGCTGCTGCTGCTGTTGCTGTTGCTGCAAGGTACCGGTAAACTTGGGATTTCCACTTGACGGAGACTTCCAACGCTTTGGATCGGTGCCACCTTTTACAGAGGAGCAAGAACGCGATATCTTCCAGTATGTCGTCGATGCGATGTCCCATGTAGAGTTGTTTAGTGGCTAGTTCCAGTAAGCGGCTGCCTTCACTGCAATTTTCGGACGTGACTGGCAAAAGGCACCTGCGGCTTTCGTCTTTGATCAAGCCGATGCAGTGTCTATCATGTTGTGGGGAGAGGTTGAGGATTTCGGAGAGATGGAGGGGTGGTGGGTGAGTGGTCATTGGTGATGGGTATTGATGGAAGTTTGAGTATCTGTGCTACGCGATAGGTGCTCAAGGCAGGATGAAGAGAAATACTATGTGGTCAATGGTACTGATTCTTGGCCCTTCTCATGTATGATAATAGAGGGGTTAAAGGGTCATTTTATATTCATATTCTTCTACAGAAAGACATACCTATGACAGGAGTTAGATTACTGCCCTACCACACCTTTGTGGCTATGATCATGACTGCCTGAACATGTACCACATTGCACAGAAGTACAATCCACTTCACCGAGCAGGGTAGCATTCGAGGCTGAGTACTGTGCTTCGAGGGAAGGCAAGAAGCACATACATCATCGCACAGGGTTTTCAAAAATGCTACCGAGTGTATCCAGAGCTAAAAAGAATGCACTTTCCTGAATAGACCAGGGCCATAAATAGTCCCTTGAGTGTATTGATCCTCATTGGCGCTGGCATGGCTTCTGGATGGTGTGGTGGATTTGATGCACTTGCGGCATGCAGCATAGGTATAGACAGACCCTCGAGGATTGTTTCGATGACAGCCTACGATGCGTACGGAATATCCTGCAACCCACCGTTGATCTTGATAAGGTGCTGGATCTAATTGAGGCGCTTATTGGACCGATCCTGCCGTTAAGCGCCCAGCTCTAGGCTCCATCGTTGAATCCCTACCGAGGCTGGACTTTCCATAGAAGTCTGTGGCTATGACGAGGACGAACTGTGGCTGGAGCTGGATAGGGAGGCGCTGGTCTCTGCGGATGGGTTTGAATTGTTATGGTTTTGAAGAACACCTCGGAAATTACAGGCATAGGATGGCCTAGAACACCGACCATGGCTTCAAACCAAGGGACCTCTCGGGGAGTTGTCTGTAGGGGAACTGATTAGAATCAGGTTGAACAATCTCTTGTATACATCTTCCGGTTAAGAGATCTCTTACCCACTCATGATGATATCACGCTCCTGTTCCTAAACTCTAATATAGAATGCATTGATTCTGCCCTGGATTAGTATAATAGGAGCGAGAATTACCCCTGAGACATGCATTAACGACTGAACGAGGAGTGCATGGCTGGACAAAGCACGCTCACAGATGAATTAATGGGCGGTGATAAGATCAACGGTCGGGCTTAAGCGGGAGTGTCCATTTTATTTTCGACCTTGTCGATCGATCCATTTTTAATCCATTTGTTTACCCCCCCACTACCTACTTCGATCGGTTAGATTCTCAGTTCTCTCTTTTGAAAAGCATCCACTCCTCGTCTTCTCCTTCCAACTGCATTCTTCTTCATCCTCCGTATGAGTTTGTTAGCTGCCTGAAGAATAGCAGTAAGGATGGCCTCCGCCTCCACCAGTTCAATGGCCAAGAATGTGCCCGTCTATCAGCCGCGAAACTACCAACTGGAGATGTTTGAGGCGAGCATGAAAGAGAACATTATCGTTGCAGTATGTGATCACTCCGTTTTTATTTTATGGAATACCTGGTTTCTGTGAAGTGTTGGCTAACTAATAAACACAGATGGATACAGGAAGTGGGAAAACGAACATGTATTCATTTGTGGTCGCACCTTGTCTACTATGGATCATTGTGAACTGACATATCTATCCACAGAGCTTTACTGCGAATCAAAGGAGAGCTAGAGAGCGGTCGTCCAGGGAAGGTATGTTGTTACTCTATTCCAAGTTGATATATCAAGTATTTTACTCACAATGTTTCGCTAGCTCATTTGGTTCCTCGCGCCCACGGTCGCATTGTGTGGTCAACAGCACCAAGTCATCACCGAAAATATTCCAGCCGTTCGGACAAGAACACTGACCGGTGCAGACAAAGTGGATCTCTGGACTGATCAAACTATATGGGATGGCGTATTGAAGGACATGCAGGTTGTGGTCTCGACTCACGCGGTTCTGGCAGATGCGATGACCCATGGCTTCGTGAAGATTTCTCAACTGGGCCTGATCATATTCGACGAAGGTTTGACCTGCCTGAATGGTAACACATGCTCGGAGCATCGCTGACGACTGTCTGTTTATAGCTCACCATTGTATGCGTCGTCATCCCGCAAACAAGATCATGCAGGAGTTCTATCATCCCACACTGGCTCGATTAGGCCGGGATGCTGTCCCTCGGATCATGGGCCTCACAGCCAGCCCTGTGGTCAGATCGAATCAAATAGATTTGCGGTGAGTGTGAAATGTTTCGATTGGGTTGTGGGTATCAGTACTTACCTAGGCCTAGTACGATCGAATCGAATCTTGACTCAAAATGCAAGACGCCTCGGATTCATCGGCAAGAGCTCCTCGAATATACCCATAGACCCCAACTGCGACAGATTTGGTACACCCCGCTAGATGTCGAACCGGTACACGGTACCAAGTCCTTGGACGCCCTGAAATATGCGTGGGAGACACTGGACCTCTATGACGACCCGTTCGTCCAGAAGCTTCAACACGACCCATATAATCAAACCAAGCTGCAAAAAACGCTCCTATCTCGCAAGACGTACTGCAACGATCAGATCAAGAAGCTGCTCGACCGCAGTGGCAGCCTCTTTCATGAGCTGGGGGGATGGGCTGCGGACTACTACATACATGAATCTAAGATGCAGGTACTGTCAAAGATATATGAATCATCGGCGATGGCAGACTGGGTGGACGCTGAGAAAGATTACCTGATTGGGTTTATGAATCGCCTGCCCGAGCCAGATGTCTCGCTGGAAGACTTCCGTCTCTCGCCCAAGATGGAGGCCTTGATCGAGTTTCTGGATACTATGAACGACCCCGAGTTCTCGGGGATCATCTTTGTGAAGCAAAGAGTGACAGTCAGTGTCATGGAGAGGTTATTGTCGGTCCATCCAGTGACTCGATCTCGCTTTCGATGCGCTTCATACGTTGGCTGGTCCAACAACGGCGCACGCAAAGAGATCATCGGCGAGCTACTTTCTCGGAAGTCGCAGCACAATACACTGGATGAGTTTCGCGAGGGGCGTAAAAACCTTATCATTGCTACTGACGTCTTGGAAGAAGGAATAGACATCAGTGCTTGCAAGGCGGTCGTCTGCTACGACAAACCACCTAACCTGAAGTCTTTCGTGCAACGTCGAGGCCGTGCTCGACAGAAGAAATCGGTATATGGGATCCTGCTTTCGAGAGTCGATGAATCTGGAGACTTTGCGAAGTGGCAGGGTCTAGAGAAGGCAATGATCGAGACATATCAGGACGAGGAGAGACTTCTCGAGGAGGCCCGATCGCTAGAGGAGCTGGATGAGGATGTGAAGGGAAGACTGGCGGTCGAGTCTACTGGGTAAGTTAATATACCAACCTAGTGCTGTCTTTTCTAATGATCGTGTGATCTGCCTGCTAACATGTGACTATTAGTGCTGTTTTGACCACTGACGTTGCCTATGCTCACCTCAATCACTTCTGCGCCGTTCTTCCCCGTGATACGTACGTCGATAACGCACCTAAATTCTCCTTTGAGACGAACCAGTTCGGCAAGCTGCAAGCCACGGTCACCCTACCGAACTGCGTGAATCCTGCAGTCCGTCGAATGACTGGCGAGCAGTGGTGGGGATCGGAGCGAGCAGCAGTCAAGGAAACCTCGTTTCTGGCGTATAAAGCACTTTACGAATTCGGCCTGGTGACTGACAACATCCTCCCGTTGAACAAGAAGCCGGAGCTCAGCCAGAATCCAGAGCTCACGCAGTTTGAAATGCGCGAGATCCCGGCTATGGTGGAAGTGTCGGAGCAGTACGACCCCTGGACGCATTGGGCGTCTTCCTGGTTGAACCCCGACCTCCATCAGACACGCATTCAGGTGCGAATGAATCGTGAAAACAGCCCCGAACTGTACATGAATCTGATTGCACCGGTTGCTTTACTCCCCATGGCGCCATTGGAGCTATACTGGGACAATAACACAACTTTTATCTTGTCGTTCGAAACTCCGAAGCGAGCGAACGACATATCGGTTGATGATGTGAGAAACATGAGAGAGGTCACCGCGGTGTATCTCCAGGCCACTTCGAGAAATCCAGGACTCGATCGTGACTTTGTGACGTTGTTTACTCCGGACATAGCTCATGACGAATTGGAAGAGTGGCTCCACGAAAACCAGGGGAAAGAGCGCGCGCTCGATGCCTTCAACAGCAATCGGGATGAGAAGCTCATGGGAATTGTGCGTGATGAAGGGCGCTCCGGCGACCTATACGGATTCAAGGGATGGACTTCATCGGAGGAAGATCCTAGCATGCTCGCACTCGAGTGTGAGACATTTCCACGACGCCGAAACCTTCTAAGTCGACAGACTCTTGCTGTTAATAAACCCGCGCTTCTGGGAAAACATGATGGCCCGGATGACTTCGATGCGGTCGCGAAGTTGCACGTTGTCTCTGCAAAGGACTGCACTGTTGATAAGCTCCCTCTCACGGATGCCGTCTTTGGATTGTTCATCTCTGCCATCCTGCATCGGATGGAGACTCATATGATTGCAACCAGCTTGAACGAGACTATTTTGCATAACCTCGGATTCGAAGCCATAGAGAATATACTCACTGCCATAACTGCGCCCTCCGCGCAAGCCTCGACCGACTACCAGCGATACGAGTTCCTTGGAGACTCTATCCTCAAGTACGTCGTCAGTTGCCGGGTTTTCTATGAGCACGGCAACTGGCACGAAGGATATCTCACTGAATGGCGCGGCTCAATCGTGAACAATTCCCGTCTTGCACAGGCAGCTCTTGAGCTGGGGCTTGACTCCTTCATCCTCACCAAGAGCTTCATACCACGCCATTGGAAAGCGCCACTGGTCTCCGAGAAGCTCAGACACGTCGCTGCCCAGCGAGACATGTCCAGCAAGATGCTCGCCGACGTCGTCGAAGCCCTGATCGGCGCCGCATTCATCGAAGGCGGATTCTTCCAAGCCGAAGCCTGTATCCATCGCTTCCTGCCCGAAGTGTCACCCCCGAATCCCAACCCGGGCCCTAATCTCCAAAGCCACGACAGCAACGGTACCATCTCCAACAGCCCCCGCTACCTCATGTACGGACCCCTCCAAGACCAAATCGGATACCGGTTTAACGCAACCATCCTCCTTTTCGAAGCCCTCACCCACCCCTCCTGCCAACACGACGCCTTCACGCAATCCTACCAACGCCTCGAATTCCTCGGCGACGCCATCCTCGACATGCTCATCGTGCCCATCATCTTGAATGCCCCTAACCACTTCACCCCAGGCGACATGACCCGCATCAAGCACGCCGTCGTAAACGCAAACCTCCTCGCCTTCCTGTGCATGGAATTCGCCGTGCCCCGCGAATCCACGGACGTCAGCCAAACACCCTCGGGCCAGTTCACGCTCCACTCGACCAACACCCCCGTCGAGCTATGGCGGTTCATGCGCTGCGACGGCGCCGAGATGAGACGCGCACGCGACCTTGCACTGACCCGCTACGCGACGCTGAGAGAGGACATCATAAAGGGCCTAACCTCTGGGTCCCATTATCCGTGGGAAGCGCTGGCGAGTCTCAACGCGGATAAGTTCTTCTCGGACGTCGTGGAGAGTATAATAGGTGCGATCTATGTGGACTCGGGCGGGGACTTGAATGCATGTGGGCGGTTCATCGAGCGCATTGGTTTGCTGCCGTATTTGCGGAGAGTAGTGAATGATGGGGTCGTGGCCATGCATCCGAAGAATCGCGTGTTTCAGATGGTGAAGGAGGTGAAGTTCAGTGTGAAGAGGGTGCAGGGGCAGGCGGGCGAGGATGCGTCGTATCGGTGTGTGGTCAGGGTGGATGGGGTGGAGGTTGTTGTGGTGGAGGGTTGTTTGTCGGCGGAGGAGGCGGAGGTGAGGGCTGCGAATCGGGTGATCGAGGCGTTGGGATAGGATTCCATGTACGGATACTCTCCCTTTTCTTGTTTTGCCTTGATTTAGAGGATGGGTTTGTCATGGATGTGGACTGAAATTCAAGGACTTTTCCGGTTGATCGATTTATGATGATGGGATATGGATATGTATGGACTAGATGTAGATCGCCATGCGATACGTTGTGACGATATGCATTCATGAATGAATAATGAACTGAGACATTGTGTCCACTAATATCAACAAAGCACTGAAAAGTAACTGAGCATCATAGGTTTTCATGATAACCTAAGAAAAACAAAAATATGAAAGTAACTGGACAAGGAAAGTTTGACGTGTAGTCTACAGAACACAAAAAAGAAACGCTAGTAGGGAGAGACAAAATGCACCAAATGGAATGTTACACAACATGCTGGAATCGCTCTCATTTCTTCTTCTTGCTGCCCTTGGGACGTCCTCGAGCTTTCGGCTTAGGCTCAGGTTCAGGTTCAGGCTCGGGAACAACTTCTCCCTCTTCCTCTTCTTCCTCAACCGGAACCTCGCCATCAGAGCTTCGCGATCCCACCAGGTCATCCTCACTAGCTGCGACCATCACACCCTCATCGGTGGCGTCGCCTGCCGAGGAAGTCGTCTCAGGATCAGCTTTAGGGGAGGACGCCCATGATCTCTGCGTAGTTGGCCTGCGAATCCCAGCCAGGACTTTCTTGGTTTCGCTTTCCTCGCCGTTCCACGATCCGCAGCTACCACAGCGCCAGCGGCCAAGTTCTTCCAGGGTCTTGATGCCCGGAGGAGCCTGGCCGTTCACAAGTCGGCAGGTGGTGCAGATCAACGCGATCCGATTCTTGGGCTGTGTCTCATCCTCGCCCAAGAGCACGTCCAACAAGCGATCATACCAATGGGATTGCTCGATGTATTGCGGGGCACTGGGGAACGCATTGGGGGCGAAACCGGGCTCGTCGAATGCCGAAGGCGGCGGTTGCGGGGACTGCGGCTGCGGGGTGTTTGCAGTAGCCTGCTGTAAGGGGGAGCCAGCGTACGGGGACGGAGGGGGCTGCAGGTCGGGCGAGGAGGGAGCGGGTTGAGGCGATTGGGGAGGGGTCGGTCGTGGGATATTGGCCGTGGGAGGAGGCGCGAGACCGGTTCGCTGAATCGGGGTCTGGGGGGTTGCGGGCTTGTTGCGCTTGGCTTCCGACTTGCGTTTCTCGGAGCCAGGTTTGCTGGCGCGTTCTGGCGTCGGCGACTCCCCCGCGTATTTCTCCAACAGTTGTTGAGTCGAATTGTACTTCGTGGCGACCTTGAGTTTTTCAATTGTTTCGTCGCGCTGTTGCTGGAGTCCTTCCAGGTACCGTTGCGATTTGTTGATGCGGTAGTCGAAATACTTGCTGGCTGCTGCGCGAACGACGTAGATCCTAAGGCGCCAGAGTTGTTAGACATAGTCGGTGTAAAGAAACGAAACGAGGACGGGGAAGCCATTACAAAACAGGGCCGCCGGCGATCGCCGAGTATTCCTTCACACCCCAATTCTCCCATCCTAAAACGAGGGCCAAGATGATCGAGTAGAGAAGATAAGCGAACGTGGTGTACAGAGTCCAAAGGGCTTTGAAACGACGGGCATTTTGGCGGTGAGTATCCAACCGAGAGGTGGTCTGGGTGATTTTCGTCGAAAGAGTGGAAAGTGCCTTCTCGAATGAAGCCGGAGAGTTGTCTTCTCCCTGTCGTCACACAAATGCGTTAGCCTGGAGCGTGTGCGAAGCCACCAGAGTGGCGGGCCTACCTTGAAGGGCCACAGGGACACCATGACCAACGGCGTGTGTGTGGAAGAGTGGAGCTAAATTTGATTTGGAGGGGCTTAGCAAGTCTTGCGCCGGCACATCCTCAAGCGAGCGATAGAGAGGGATTTTGCAATCCCCTGGAACAGTCGACCGGAAAGGGGATGGTGGAGGGAGAGAAGAGGTGGAGAGAGGGCGAGGGCGCGAGGGCAAAAGGCGATGCTCAACGTCAGCTGCCCGCACAGACCACCCGTCCGTCTGTCACTCGCCGCCGTCGGAACTCGTCTTTCCCTCTTTCCCTCTCCTTCCTCTCTCCTTTCCTTTCCACTAGTTGCACAAACTCATCATTTCCACCCCTTTCATCCATTCTTGTACAACCAGAATGAGCTGATTCTTTGTGAGGCCTTCCCTGCGCAGTTAGAGAGACCTTCGTTTGCTTCGTGGAACCATGCCTTTGTGGTAGTCCATTGACTCTAGTATGTCCGTACTGTACAATATGAGAGAGTACGATCAGAAGCGCTGGTCTACTTCAAATGACAGACAGTGGTCCAAATGAACCTCTTCTCAACCTCGGTATCTCATAGCGCCTTCTCGGCTGAGACTTCCTACAGTAGCTGCTCCAAGTCATGACGACACGTTGCCCATGGCCTCAATTGTAGATCATCCTATTTGACGGGTCCGGCCGAGGTGGTTCCAATATCCAACCCCCTTAAGTGTGAATTCCAAATTTACAGTGTCTCTTTTGCGCTCGAGTTCTTTCATATAATCTCCGCGGAGTCTAATCAATTCTTCCCCAGTGGATCCCCTCGAGGAACAAAGAAGATAGAAAGCTAAAACCCGCACGGCCACTCTCGAGCAAGTCCGACGGGTGCTCACCTGTGCTCCAGAACGCCACCGTCATGGGATTGAGAGGCACGTAACAACCGTGGGAGGGAAAGTGATCTATCCTTAGACCACTATCGTTTCTTTGTTCACATTTCCCTACACCTCGGAATCCCACTCTGGAGCCTGGGTCCTGCCATTGGTTAAGCTCTTTTGACTGCCGCTGACCATGGTCGGACAGGGGGGAAACTGATTCCTCCCACGCGTCATTGCGTTCATGATAACAGGTCATTGCAATGGTAACACATTCACGTTTTTCCGGCTTAGAGCCTCATCAGGGAGGACGAAATTCCATGTGCTCCGTGTACAACAATTGCTCATGTTGCTCAGGCTGCTCAGGCTGCTAGGTATACTGAACCAGCAAACCCTTTTTCTATTCTCCCATCATGTTGTCACCACTTCTGAAATTGCGTGTGAGAATTAAGGAGCGTGCAAACACCCAACTGATGATACAGGTCACTCACTGTGCCATCTATTCTCCGGTAACATTTTATTGGGCCAATCAAAGGGAGGTGGCCCTGAGCTGGAACCATGTCCATGTTGACATCGAGGCGCAGGCGCAATCCAAATTCAATTGCTACAATTTGGTTCTTGCTCAATGTTGACCCGTCGAAGAGGGTCGGCCGAACAAACGTTCTGGACCTCTCCATGAGCAAATGTACAGAGGCTCGTGCTATACATGATATGGATTGTTATCAACTGCGTCTGCCTGGTCCATCACATTCCTTGGCCGGAGCAATCAATTAAACTTTGGTGTTGTTTTGGTACTTTTTCAATCTCGTACCCATAAATATTGTAAAGCACGAGCACACACCCCCTGCTTTGTTTTTAAATTCTACGCCTTCGTCTTCTCCCCCGTGCTCATATGCCCGAATTCCTGTCGTCAAAATGTGTTCTATACACCTATGATCCATATTATCAAGAAGGCCCTGTTCCATTGTCTTGTTTCGAGAGAGCAGATGCTCCAATCAATATGACTGGAAGTCCTACTGCACAGTCCGTGGACGTGTCCGAGGGCCTCACCCTGCTACTCGTGTCATTCATGTCCATAGCTATATACAATGGCCTCGAACTCTTTTTTTGGATCTTCGATTTCTTCAAGCGTCGCCATGGCTGCTACTTCTGGAGCATGGTTATCAGCGCCTTCGGCATCATTAATTTTGCCCTCGCCCAGGTGCTCATTTTCTTCAACCTCGCTCCCAAAATCGTATGGGCCCCTTCCATCTCCATCAGCTATCTCACCATGTCCACTGCCCTCATCATGGTTCTCTACTCCCGGCTCCATCTCGTCACCAGCGACCGTATCGCCCGCTGGGCCCTCTACATGATCATTGTCACCACACTAGTCTTCCCAGTCCCCATGCAGATCCTCTTCCTCGTCGGCATCTTCAAACAAAGCATGCGCGTTCTAGATATCAGCCTCATCTACGAACGCCTCGTCGTCACCGTCTCCTGCGCCCGGGAATACCTTATCCTGGCCATCTACAACTTCGAAGCCTTCCGGAACCTCAAATACGTCATCGCCATCAAGGGCCCACAGGGCCGAAAGGTCCGCCGGATCCTCATCGCAACAACCTTCATCATCGTCTGTCTCGACACGGCCCTCCTCGTCACGGAGTTCCAAGACCGCCGCGCCATCACAATGACCTACAGCGCCTTCTCCGTCAGCATCAAGCTGAAGATGGAATTCGCCATCCTCAACAAACTCATCAATCTCGTTCAGAGTCCCGCCAACCCGACCGGCCCCCTTTCTGACCCCCCGTCTTCAGATCAACATCCTATCCATCCACACCCCCAGGCCGCCCAGTCTCAGTCCCCCTCCCGTGTCCATTCCCTTGCTCATTCATGGAATCCCTTCCGGTGCGGCGACGCGAAGACCTCTAACTCGCGGGTCGAAAATAGTCTGTTCGCTGAGGAATCAGGCCTCGGTGGTGGCACCGGATTGACGCGACCAGCTACCCTCGACGAGTACCACGCGTCTGGGAACGCGCGCACGTCATCGTGGGACGAGTTGGTTCAACAACCCAGCATGGAAATTTCGTCTGGGCCGGGTGGTAAGGGGACGGCGGTGGTTAGTCAGGAGAGTAAGGAGCCATTGAGACCGGTTAGTGAATGAGTGAGTGAGTGAGTGAGTGATGCTTCATCATCGTTGTCGACACAAGCATCACGACGCTCATGGTTACCTTGATTCAACTCAGGTAACTCCATGAGACCCTCCTATCCACCCATACTCTAGACGTTTGATCAAGGGATGGGGTCATGTGGCATGTAACATGCACAAGGACAATCAATGCATCACTGAATAGGGAGGCGGAAGGAGTAAGGAGGCCATCTACAATCAGGATTCTACCTTCGGATTTCAGGGTCTCAAGTTACCGAATCCAAGATCCAGGACCAACATGATGAAGTGAAGGAGGGCGCGAGGAAGAAAGTGTAAGACAAGATTATTTTATCTTGGCTGGAATGGGACGACACATTCACTCGTTTTTTTTTATTCTCTTTTCTTTTGATCTGTTCATGTATTTACCTAATATAACCATGTAGTATGTAACTACTAATTGCATCTAAAAGCTATTTATCTGGTAAATTGTATAGATTGTCTTCATTTTCCTTAATCTCCTTTATCTCATTTGGTTTCTTCAAGATACATGTACCTTCATTTACATATCCAAGATAAATCAATACTAATTCTGTTCTTATACATCCTGAGCTTTATAATATGATGCAGTACAAACTAGAATTACAATGAGGTAGGTGAATGAATAAATAGATAGGATATTCATATATTGTCTAGCCCTTTAATCCCCATTCTAATGGTCTATCTTCCCAGGTTGCATAGGTAGATAACTACAGTCCATCGGCAAAAGGCTCAACATGGTGGTCAATTATTGTCTCAGACAAATAAGCTTCCACAATAACTAGCAGCAGTACCAGTACATACATACGTAGCTAGCAGGCAGGCTTGATCCAGAAATGCAAGACACCCCCATCCCTGCCACAGTAAGATAGACAAGAAACCCCATACGTCCTGTCCTATACAACCCCATAAAGTTAAAAGAAAAACGAATTGATAATAAACAACCCTAAATATTCATAACACATGATGGTGGGCTTTCTAACTCCCGCAGAAAACCCCATCTATAGTAAGCTAAGCTCACAAGAAACAACACAATATAAAATGGTTCTTCCGACGTCAAATAATAAACAAAAATATAACTAGTGGGGTATATTCTGAAAGATAAGAGAAGAAAACACAGATCCCGTGAGAGACGGGGGGAAATCATCAAAATATGCCACCAATAAAAGCCAAAAAAATCCCATATCGTATACAAGGATGCGTTTCGTTATCTTTGACGCCATGAAGGGTTCGCGAAATTCAATAGATAGAAAAAAAGATGCCAGGAAAACTTTTATCACGTCATTCAGAGCGTGGCAGTTTTATTTCGTTTCTCGTTCCATAAACCAGCCGCCGTTTTCCCAGTAGCCGAGCTGGTAGGTTGCGCTGTTTCGAGCGTCGTCGAGTTGAAGACCGTCCAACAGGAAGTTGAGTCGGGTGAAGTTGATGGGTTTCATGATCCAGCCGTCAAAGCCGGCGTCGATATATGATTGTGAATCTTTCTCTAGGAGAGAGGCGGAGACAGCGAAAATTGGGATTCGGCCGCCGTTCCGGTTCGAAATAGGAGATAAGTTATCTGCCGAAGACTCGTTTTCAAACTCGCGAATCATTTGAGTGGATTTCATGCCGTCGACAATGGGCATCTTTTAGAAGTCAACATTAGTAAAATGTCTCAAAAGGGTAGATGAATTGGACAATATACGTACCTGGATGTCCATCAAGACGACGTCATATGCTGCAGGATCGGCACGATACGCAGCAGCACAATCTTCGCCGTTCATAGTCAATTCCGTGGTATGGCCAATTTTAGTGAGTCGTTTCTGCAGGATCTTGCCGTTGATCGGATCATCCTCCGCAACAAGTACGCGGAGAGTTCTGGTGAGAGATGGCAGGTCTGGCGCAGGAGGCTCCGCGGGCTTTTCGTTTGGCTGAGTTTCTGGGGCTTGCTCGACTGGTGGTGGTCCATCTGGTTCCTCAGGCGCAATTTGAGAAGGGACCGGGGGCTCACCAGGTTCTTCGGTACCGGGCTGTGGATCCTGAGTATCGGGTTCTTGGGAGATTGGTGCTTCGTCGGTGGGCGGAACATCGTTATCTTGTTTTTGCGAAACATTTTCGGGTGTATCCTGTGCCTCAGGGCCTTTGCTTGGGATGATTTCGGTTATTTTTGGGTCTTCTGGTATCTTAGTGACCGATCCAGAATCACTTTTCGAGCTCTTCAGACTTATCCCGCTCCCCTGACCGGCGTCACTGCGTCTCTTGTCACTGGGAGGAGACCGTCCGTCCACGAGAATGAACTCCTCTTTCGACTGTAGCGGCGTCTTCGGCTCGATAGTGCAAATCGGTATGTGAGATTCCCGGCGACTGGACGGAGGCGCACCTTCCGGGATTGTGAACTGAAGCGAAATTTGGAAACGGCTGCCTTTGCCCTCTTCTGATCGAACACTAAGTTGGCCATGCATGTTACGAACAATTCGAGACACCAGCGCGAGCCCCAAGCCCAAAACCTGCTTATCCTGCTTATCCTGCTTATCCATGATTGCATCCAGAGACTCTGGTTCTTCTTCTCGATCGAAAACGTCATTATCGATCACTTCAGAAATTTGTTCCAATTCTTGGAAAAGCGTCTCGAGTGTGTCATGGGACATCCCAGAACCAGTGTCGTGGACCACTATTTGTACCACAGCAGTGCCCGGATCAGCGTGTCCGGGCGCACGAGATATCTCCACAGTGACATCCCCTGCAGATGTATGCTGAACTGCGTTAGAGATCAAATTCGTGATGGCCTGTCTGACACGCCTCTGATCCCCCGTTACAACCTTCGGAAGCCCCGGGTGTTGCAAAACGGTGAAATTAATGTCCTTTCGCCGGGTTTCTGACTGGAATTGGTCAGTTGCCTCTCTAAAAGTCAAGGGCAGGTCAAATGATTCATCCTTGATCAGATTCTGTCCCTTTTCGGCATTGGTTAGGTCAAGAAGATCATTGATAACATAGATGAGTGACTTGGAAGCTGAATAAGATTTGGTGAGGTTGTCACGTGTCTCGTTGTCAAGAGTGCCCTCCAAGGCGATTTCCAGGTAATTGATCACAGCATTCAACGGGGTTCGGACTTCATGGGCGGAGTTGGCCAATAGCAGCTTCGTCAATTGCGATTCTTGCAAAGCGGCCTCGTTCTGCCGCCACACTTTGATGAACTTGCCGTACACGAGGCACATAATTGCTGCTGTCTCCACTTCCGACTCAGTCCACTCCCGGGACTGATCCAAAACCGTTTCTTTCCAAGTCTGGAAACTGCCGCGTGGCTCCAAATGGTCCCCGGCGAACTTCTTCTCGTAGGGATTCCCGCCCCATTTGATTTCCGTTAGCTGCCCTCGGCGAAAGAAGACAATGAAGTCCATACCGTCCGTTGATAATGGCACATACAGCATGCCCGAAATCGTTTTGAATCCAGGTTGGAAATGCAGATCGGGGAAGTCCCTTTTCACATTGTGAGAAGCAAGGACGGAATTGAACTTGCGGACTTTAAGATATTCCAGCAGAGCCAAAACTTCCTGTGAACGCGTGGATCCACCCAGAGTTTTGATCTCTTCTCGGATAGACAGAGCGGCATAGTCTGCGTTGAATAACTTCAGCAAATCATCTGACGATGCGATTATATACCCCGAAGGATTCGCGTCCGTAGGAACGGTGTTGATGAGTTTGCGCGCCTGTAAGCGGGAGGCATAGGAAAGGCGCTCGATGTTTCGTGATAGAGTGTCGCCAATTAAGCGGCACATTTTTCGGAGCGGGAAGGAGACTCGCATGCCATACTCACTATGCGTATGTAACGAGATCAAGCCCCAAAGAGCGTGCGGCCCGTCAATGCTAATTGACATGGATGCGCGAACCCCCATGTTAGCTAGGTATTTGACATGAATGGGCGACATGGCACGCAAGTAGGAGTGTGTCATATCCAAAGGACGTTCCAGATCTTCCTTTGCCCGACAGACCAAACGAGCGGTGGCCTGGACACGGTCATAAAGCATGCGTACTTTGTTGATCCGGTAGAGGTCGCGAGCTTGCTTAGGGATATCCGTGGCGGGAAAGTGGAGTCCTTTGTATAGATCTCTGCTGGTGCTAGGGTCTACCAATTCGGCCACCACTATGCCATTCCAGTCGACGTCAAACTGATATATCATGACCCGATGAAATCCGGTCAGTTCTTTGACGATTCCGACGGTCGTGTTGAGGAGCGCATCCAAAGTCTCGGGACGACCGAGCTGGTCCTGAATCTGGCTTATAATGCCGAAGACTTCCATGGCCGCTGCTTCACCGCGACGACCGCGCGCTTTCCGAAGTACCCGAAGGGGTTGGCTAACGTTCATTGTGCTAGAAGCCAATTGCTCGGGCGTGAAATTAGCACCAAGGGTATCCGTTGGCGTTGTGGTCATCGACTGTTCTGCAGGGTTCGGGGGGTTAACTCTGTCGTCTTCTAGCTCGAACTCGCAGATAATCAAGTTTTCATTGGCGGGATTGACGTGAATGGCGCACCAGAGCCGGATCGGTCGGCCTACAGGTCCAAAAAGAGACAATATAAACACCTCCGGTCCGTCCGCGCAAGGGTCGTAGGTATCCTCCCTAACGAAGTCAATATGGTCCAGCAAAACATCGGCCTGGTCTTCCAGCATGATGTCGGTGAAACTCTCGAGTGCGAAGAGTCTCCTTGGCGAATAACCGAGTATATGCTTGGTGTTTTCACTGGCGACGCGAACTGCCAGAATGCCGTCGGATTCCTCACGCAGCGCGACCATGGCACCGAAACTCTGTATCGCACCGGGGGTATGAATCGGCTCATCTTCGCAGGCCATGAAGCCGCTGCGAGTTCTCCCTGTGATGATCGCATGACCTTGTTCCGTGAAGATGTGTTTGAATCGTTGGGTGATCAAGCTCTCGTGGTCATCCCTTGAGTCCATGTTCTGACTGGAAGACCTCCTACTGGCATCGTCGACGTCGTGGCTTGCCGGTAGTTGTTGTTCACCTCCCAAGGACGAAGCAGGGATTTCCGGGAAGTCGCTGGAAGGCACTGGGGTGTCATTGTCGGGAAGAGGGGCCTCGGTTGTCGGATTCCGCTGGGTTTGCAACTCGCCCCAGGTCTGGGCATCAATGATGGACAGCTGCCTGGCTCCTGTCGCAGGTCCCCTCGTAGGCGATGTCACGTCTCGCGGGTGTTGTCTGTTGGACGAGGTGTCGACGGAGATGATCGATCGGATGGGATAAACTCTCTCGGCGGCGCCGCCACCGGGTTCTAACGGCGACCCGCGGTTGGAAGTCGGTGTGCGGGAGGTTGCCGTGTCGAAGTCGGATAGCCGCTGCTGCCCTTCTCCGACCTCCCCATCTACACTTGGCCTCGAGGAGGCCTCGTCGGGGTTTGAAGTCATCCCAAACCCCCAGCGGTGTTGTCAAGTAGCGGGTGTAACCAGGATCCGTAAGGCAAGGGCGAGCAATAATTATCGGGGCATCGGTTTCTTTGCGTCGGGCGGGGGAGGCGATTGGGGCGATAGTACGGAGTCCGCGGGTTGTTTGTTCTGAGTCGTGTCGATTGTCGGCCGGAACGATGGGGTCTTAGAGGTAAACGAAGTCGTTTTTGGATACGCGGAGGAGATAGTTGACGGTCATCGCAAACGTAAATAGGGACTGTCTAGAACCTAAAAGAAAGAGCGAGAGGGAGAGAGGGGCACGGGGAAGAAGGGCAAGTTGACAGGCGCGTTATGTAATGAGGTAATACTCCAGCTCGTCTGGTGTATGGTGTGTGTAAAAAAAATGCAGGGACTCGGGACTCAGCACAGGCTATTACCAAATAGATGGTAACCCCGGTAAGCTAGCAGGTTCTGTCTAGTTGGGGCGGGGAAGGCGCGAAACGATCCAACGACACAGTTGAGAATAATCGTAGTCCTACCGGGGAGGAAATCGAGGGAGGCGTTCAGCCCACCCAGCACATTGGCCGCCACCGGTAGAGACTCCCGCCAATTGCAACAAAATCAAGGCTCCCGCCGAACGAGAACGACGCGATGACTTTTCGGGATGCGCAGAGAAGGTTACGGGGTCTGCTGGAGACTTTGGTTGGCCACTCGCTGCATGTCCGTTGACGGCCATGCACGCCCGCCTGGATTCGGGTGCCAAAAGTTGGCACTGCCCAATCGGCCTCTGTCTCGGCTCACCCACTGGGTCTCTGGGTGGAGGCCTCGACCCACGAGAGATCCTCCCTTTTGTATTACCTTACGTCGAGAGACGGAGAGGAAGTGTATGAATGTTTCCTTATCCATCGGTCTTCAACCCATCACTAGCCGTCATCGATTCCCTCGCTCCAATCAATGGATGATGAAATCCAGCATGTGATGGTCCCCCTCGAATTAAGCATCTTACATCTCAGACATCGTACGAACCTGCTTGCTCTGCACCGGAACGTATAATCCAATCTCGCATATCTGCCGATCCCCATTTTGATATCCCAATGGTCATATCTGTCATCTCATATCATAGGTAACTGATTCTATATCCTTCTATGTACCACTTCGACGTCATTTATTGATTTCGGAAGGAATATGCATCTTGTTGTACAAAGATATTATTCTATGTCTATGTAGGTTACCTGAACTAGTTTTTATTTTTTATTTTATTTTTTATTTTTTGGGTGGGGGGGGGGGGGCGGGGTTTAAAAAAAATAAAAAATAAAAAATAAAGAGACTCCGTATGTCCCAATTTCGCAAATTCAATAATCCTACATTTCGAAATCATAAGACTTCGCTTCGCACAAATCCCTATCGCAGTGTAGCATGATTCAATCCCCGAAAAAAGGGGTACGCCCTCAAACGCCACCAATGTAAGAGGAAGCCACGCTCCTGAAAATCAAGAATAACAATGAAAACCAAAGAACCATCCATTCCATCATAACCAAGACATGCAATGCAGTCATGCACCGTCACTGTGACTGTAAGCGATGCCGACAATCGTAATAATACTTACTACCTAATGTCCCACCCGGTACGAGGTACTAACCACTAGCGCTGGCCGTGATCTCGATATTCGGGATCGGGCGACGGATACTCCATTCGAATTTGAATCAAATTGATCCTTGCGATGACCCACACGCGTCTCCAATTACGAGTAATAACTGGATAATTATAGGTGGCTGTGGCTGTGGCATATTAATGCCAATACCTACTGTGTATGGTTGTATGAGCTGTTCTGGCCTGCAGATGTGTGAACTGCCAATTGTTGAATGTCAATGGATTCGGATATCTAGTAGAAGGGTCTAGAAGACCGTTTTCTAAAAAAAATAAAAAATAGTAAGACTAAGCAGCCAACTGACTAGCCAGTAACGGTTGTAACCAGGTCTCTGCCAAGGAGTGGCCCTGGATTCTGGACTAACTAACCTGCTATAGATTATAGACTCGGATATTGATTCCACTGTGATCTCGGCCTTCCAGACAGCACCTGTCGCTGTCAAGGGGACTTCTCATGCCTATAGTCTCTTCTTTAATTTTATTGTCTTAGTATGATTATCCTTATATAGATGCATACTTCTTAAGACGAAATCTGGCTAATATGTACTCGTGTCTTAACGAAAGCAGGACAAATAGATAGTGGTTTGAATAGTGCTTAAATTAATAAAGTTCTATGGTATTGACATCGACGTTATGATACAAATGATAATTAACCGGATCTAGTATATAACATGGATCATATGCATGTTCGTGTGATGTGCATGGCGTTGTAAAATCGGAATTGTAGCGGAGACTCCGTGTGAAATGGAGTCGTATATCAAGAGGTATAGATGATTGTACAATCTATCCTATGGGATTATATAGACCGCAGGCGGAAGGCGGTCTGTCGGAAGGTATACAAACCTTCCAAGGGTGGGGGTCACCCGTCCGACGGGATTCTGGAGCGTTGCGGCCTTCTGTGTCCGGTTTGGTTTCTATCGGCCTTCGCAGTAGCGGTGAATGGGGCACAATCCGGCATTGGCCATTTCCAAGCAATCTCCTTTGAGATCTATGGCTGGCGCTAGGATGTTTTCATCCAAAGCCACAGTCGCACCGCACCCCGCACACCGTAGGGTGGAGTAAATCTTGAAAGTCTATAAAACATCTTCTTTTGGGTTCCCTGATGCTGGTAAAGCCAATTGATAGTTTCATGAAGTTGCTAGAAGATTTCAGATAAATGTTGGGAATTCATCTGTACGAGGAAAGATGGTTTCCAAGGCATGCGATCACATGACTGTTTCCGTTGTGATGAATGCCCACCACGGACGGAGATCAAGTAATCGGTAGATTCATTCCTTGATCTGCCAGACTACATGTTCGTAGGACCTGACAGGTTCTGATTGATATCGCAGACCAATTTTGAGGAATCAGGGTGGTCGAGTGTTGGGTCTTGCGTCTGTAGAGGTAAGGCTATCCATAGAGATTGCAGCCCATGGATAGACGGGGCGACTTCTTTCGGTGACCGGAGTAGCATGGGTGATATCCCCGGTAATTTGATCGGGGTCCACGAAGTTCGGGAATTCTTCATGTTCCGTAGAACTGGACTCTGTGGGATGCGTGTGCACCAGCGAAACAAGTTTCCTGAGGACACCGAATTCCAGCTTCAACTTGATACTGTATACCGCCGCCTTAAGCGTGGTCTGTAACGTGTAGAAGCCAGTATATTCTAGGGACAAAAGAGCCACATCCAAGAGGATAATGATTACGTTAATAGTAATCAGCTCGTACATGGTCTTGTGCCGTTGAGGGTCCTTTTCCGGTCGAAGCCGGAGCAATTTCACCGTCTCGCAAATATAGATTCCAGATATCAAGATTTCCTGCGCACAAAACCAGGCCAGCTGCATGCGCTCCATGACATTGTATCCTCGGATGATCGGGTCTGTGCCAATATATACGGTGGAATATGTGAGGACGGTCGTGGGAATGAGCAAGATGACGGCGTCGACGATGATAAGGTAGAGGATACGGCGTAAGAGTTTTTGGTTTTGGACAACTAGGTGAAGTCGCGAGTAGAGAACGATTGACTGGCCGGGGACCATTGCGTAGAAGCCAATTGTGGAAAGAGTGACTGCTAACCATATGGGCCCTATGGAAAAGAATTCGAGAAGATAGCCAATGGCGTGCGGAATGACTCCAAGGATATCGGAGATCAGCATGGTCCAGAAATAGAGACCAGTGTAGCGGTTGAAGGTGAGAAAAATGAGAATGACCAGCTCAATAGCATTGTACAAAGCAATCGAGCTGAAGACAACGATCAAGATCTTGATCACAGAGCTACCGCCCTGGTACCCTCCGATGAGTCCATCTGGAGGGGTTGAAAGAGCATCGGTCATGGCCGAACAATGTATGTACCAATCCTACCCAATATTGTTTCGAATGTAATATGGTGTAAAAAGGCCAAATTGTCTTTGGGTTGGGATGAATGCGACGTAAACGGTGAACTGACGAAACCTCGAACAAGAATTGGGAAATCAGCGAACGCCATGGTCTTTCAAACCGGGATACCGCGGAAGCCAGCCATATGATAGATCATGGTTCTTTATAGTGGATATTGTAAATCTCAAGGCGTAAGGACTCGATTTTCGATTGGTTTCATCGATGCGACGCTTTGCGCTCTCGATTCCAAGACACCTTGGCTAGTCCGGTATCCTCCCCAGGTGGCACGTTTCCTCGGGAGACGACGGTTCAGTAAGATAGCTGCAATGATCACGGTCTGGGATGTCCTCGTTTGAAATATCACACGATACTTCTTGTTGTGGGAGTGGGCGAGGGCCGTTGGGGAAAATTTCTGGCAGGGGTCCCTTGAGACTAAAGCATTGTACTGCGAGAGTGGAAGAGTTCGTTGGGGTTATATGAGGTATATGTGGACAAAAGAGCGAGTATCAGAAGCTTCGACGCCATTCATACATCATCCGTGGAACAATTTGTCAAAGGAAATCACGAATGGAGTGGAAAGCCGCGGGGGCAGGAGGGAAAAGAATTCAAGGACGCTAAAGGGCGGACAAGGAACGCAGGATGAGAGGATTAAGAAGAGTCCGGGGGGCAATTCTGGGGTGATGGCGCTAAGCCCGTTTGGGCGCTAGCTGGGCAAAAACTGCTGCCAAGTCGTCTCACATGACTGCCCTCCTCTCGTCCGAAACGAATGGAGGTTATTCCTACTCCTGAGTCCTGACCCCTTACGCTGTACGGAATACGCTGTCGGAAGTTGAACCGATGTTGAGCCTATTCATAGCGTGGAAATGGAGGGTTTCAAGGGGCGACAAATGGTTTCTAATCTCTCACATGGGTGAGGCATTGAATGCCAGGCATGATCATCCACTAGACTCCCTCGAGACGGTTGACAGAATGCGCGTCCTCCCATCTCCACTAAGGACAATCGGCAATTAGTATCACTGTCTACAAAATTGGCCGAATCCATCGCTTCCGATAACTGGGTCGAAATGCATGTCAGATGTCAATTTCAAACAAATCTTTACTGAAGGTTCGTGGCTCCTAGGTTCCGCCCACACCGCGGCCTAATCTCCTAGCACCTCCTTGACTTGACCTAGAAATTGGAATTCAGTTGTCGACCAGATTCACAAGAACGCCTCATTCTAGGTTCCTTGGCTGGACGACGATGTCCTGTCCGCTGGACTCTCGGACTTTGGGACCATCGGCAAATCGACGAACGATACGGGTAAATATATTTTTAAAGTTGATCAGGCCCACACACATCATACCATGCAAGGGTCCAGACTCCAGACCGTAGGAATCCCCAAGGCCTTCGAATGTACCTGGATGGAAGGATAGGGGGCCTACTCCGTATTGCGGTCCGAACAATCAGACAACAGAGGAAATCGAAGAACCAGAAGAGTGTCGCTCAAGACCTCTCCAACAATTTAAGAAACCTTCCAATCGCCCTCCAGCCCTCCACTGCGCCATGGAGTCTAGCTTTTGCTCCACATTCCTTTTCGGGGCATCAACTCCTGCGCACCTCAAAATTGCTCTCGAGGGCGATTTCATCTCTTGTATGAATATCTAATGGTCAATGCGACACCATACATTTATCTCCGGAGCTATAGAGAGACATTGCGCACTGTTCAGATGCTGCGACATGGGCAAGTAGCCAAGTGCTCTCTGTGAACAAAACAGAGAATTGGAGACTCCAGGAGACTTTTTTTCTCCCCTTTTTGTGGGGCAGACACTCTAGTCTCCTCCTGGGATCCGAGACGAGAAAAGATGTGCCGAATATGTGGGTCCAACACTGCATTTTGCATGGTCTGGAGTACGTACTCCGTACGCCATCTCTATTCCAACACGTAGGCATGAGGGTAGCCAAATTCGATTTGCCTTCTTGCGATCATGCAATTGAAATCCTTGAGGATCGGCTGACTTCAAGAACTTTCGTCTGTCGCCAAAAGGACTCTGCCGATGATTCTTTGGCTCCCGTTGTAGGGTATGGATTTTTTACGGAGTCCCGCCGAAAGTTTGGGTTGGAACGACCATGGTACGCTCACTCTCCAAGACTAGGGACTGTAGTCGGGGCAAGGCGATTTTCTATGGTCTCTGGTATTCGCCGCGCAAGGACAAGTTCAAGGAGTATTCTGGAACTTTTTCGCTATTTACTCGGTAGGGGTTGCTGAGCATAGACCTGAGCATTGGGCTATTGAGCAGCAGCCAGCAATACAAGCATGATCATTGGGCCAGAGAGCTAGAGTGCGCTGTGGATTGGCGATTTCAGATTTGCGGAGTATGTCTCAGATCCTGCGACCCAGTGGCTGCTTCTAACAGGCTGTTTCATTCTATCCAGATTTCACAGTAGTTTGGAGGTCCAAAAACATATACTATGATGGCTTCTTTTCCCTGGGATCAAATAACAAGACAGTCTGCCGAGTGTTCCTGTTCGTCAAATGTTTGCTAACTGAGAATGGAAAATAGGTCCAGATTAGTCTCTCGGGTGAGTATAATGGTTCTGCTAGAGGGAAAAGCTCAATGAACCACTGTGAAAAGCCGGAGTTTACTCCGTGAGCAGTTCAAAAACCGAATCAGTTTGACCTGAATCAGGGGGCATTAATCCATTGTTAGGGGCTCAGGGAGAACAAAAGCGATCGCTTTGGGGTTGGCCAGCCGCAAGCCCGAGTGGAGCCGCCAATTGACGGAAAATCTCCCTGGACCTCGGGTGTGCACAATGCAGCCGGGCAGATAAGGTTTGCTTTATTGCCGGCCCTTGTACGAAGTAAGCACTAAGGAGTAGTTAAACACCACGCTTCTCGACGGTATATGCACAATGTTGAATTATTAATAGAGCGAGATCTGATCTATCCCACGCCACAGTCTGTAAATGTCCTTCAAATTATTGTTCACCGACTCTCCGCTCACCGAAAGCACGGGCTACTTCCATAGTATGGAGTAGTACCATAGTAGTTTGACTATCTGTGGAATCACCGCCGATCAGGCTTTAGCCAAACTCCACTACCTAAATGAGCCGCGCTTTGGTTTTCGCTTTCTCCGTCTCCGACCACTTGTCCCCTGCCTGCGTTTCTGTCAAGTTTCTCATCTTATCATCATCCTTGCTGCAGATTTCGACAGATACATGACTTCGATTTCGTGGATATAAATATAATATACTATACCCACTCGTACACGCACATCATGAGCTCTGCTAGCCCCTCTTGGGACTTTATTATCGTTGGTGGTCAGTAACTTCGTATTGCGAACAACATCCCTTATCTCAAGTCAGCTCGTTTCAAAATTCATCCGTTAACATACTAATTTCAGGTGGTCCGGCGGGATGCGCTCTTGCTGCAAGACTCGCGCGGTCTTCTATGCGGCCCAAGGTCCTCCTCTTGGAGGCGGGACGGCGCAACAATGACCAAGATCTGACGGTCGATGGCCAAAGATGGACGACCTTTATGAACGGTGACCTGAACTGGGGTTACAAAACCACCCCTCAAGAGCAGTGTTACGGACGTCAGATCGACTACTCCCGTGGAAAAGTCCTGGGTGGTAGCAGTGCCATTAACTTTGGTGTGTATACCGTAGGGGCCCGTGAGGACTATAACCAGTGGGCATCTGCGGTCGGCGATGACTTCTTCAAATGGGAGCGTATGCAGCCGCGATTCAAGAGCCTGGAATCCTTCAGCGGCGCTATCGCTGATGCTAAGAACGCTAAATACGCGACCCCCAATGCATTTGACCATGGATCTCGCGGTGGCTTGAAGGTCGGATATGCCGCTGAGTGGGAAGATGACTTGCCTCTTGTGATGGATGCATTCGAGCAGGCGGGACTTCCTCGGAACCCGGATCAGAACTCTGGTGATCCTCTTGGAATGGCTCTCGTTATCAACTCTTCTCACAATGGCCAGAGAGTCACTGCAAGTGACCTCTTGCTCGGCGCTCCTGACAATCTCACTGTCATTACTGAGGCGCCGATTCAGCGAGTTGTTCTCGATGGCAAGAAGGCCATCGGTGTGGAGTCTAGGGGAAAGAAATGTAAGTCTTGTCTCTGCAGAGTAGACCGGCATCAAGTCTAACGCATAGGTCTAGATCTCGCATCCAAGGAGGTTGTCTTGACCACCGGTTCTCTGGATACCCCCAAGATTCTGATGCATTCCGGTATTGGGCCTGCACAAGAACTCCAGAAGTTCCAGATCCCAGTGATCCACGATGTGCCCGCCTTAGGCAAAGGTCTTCGCGATCACTTCTTTGCGCCCTTGTGCTTCCAGCGCAAACCGGAAACAAATGATCGCAACGCCTTCTTCGGCAACAAGGCCGCCATGGACGCCGCCATGGAGCAGTGGAGAAAAGACGGCACGGGGCCCTGGGCTAAGCATTCCTGCCAGATCGCAGCTGGATGGTTTAAGTCGGACCGCGTCACATCTTCGGCCGAGTTCAAGGCCCTCCCTCCAGCAGTCCAAGATTTCATGAAGCGTGACACAGTGCCCCAGTATGAATTTTTGTCGCATTTCCCTCTCCACCTCCTCGACCCCGACTTCACGAAAGACTACAGCTACGTCTGCATGCTGGTGTTCTTGATGAACGAGCAATCTAGCGGCGAAGTCACTCTACAGTCATCCGACCCCGACGTGCCTCTTCTCTTCGACCCGAAGGTTCTCTCCCATCCCTTTGACCGGCGCGCATGTATCGAAATCTACCGCCAGGCGATGGAGGTGTGCAACCACAACGCGTTCAAGAAGGACAATGTTTCCACATTGATTGCGCCCACCTCGGACTCAGACGAGGACATCTTGGAACACTGGAGAAACACTATGGGCTCTAGCTGGCATATGACCGGCACAGCCAAGATGGGCAAGCCCGGCGACGCTGATGCGGTGGTGGACCCTAAGTTCCGGGTCATTGGCATCGAGAACCTGCGCATCGGCGACATGAGTGTGGTGCCGGTCTTGACGAACAACCACACCCAGGCAACCGCTTATGTGACTGGTGTGACGTGCGCAGATGCCTTGATTGCCGACTATGACCTGGATATCCAGGCCCGGCTGTGAGCGGTGTTTTCTTGTCCTTGAATGTTTGGAACACTTTTTAGCAAAGTAATTATCAGTTTGTCAATAGCATAATATGCAAGTAAATAATATGAATACAGTATCCGTAATTCGAGAATCAATTGCCTCATGCGAATTAGCTGTCGACAGAGGAAGCAAATCACATTTATGCCTTTAAAGCAAGGCATCAACAATATGACTAAGCGAACACGAGAAAGCGAATTTGCGAACACGAAGCGGTTGCATCTAACTTTTGCCTCAATCCCAACGATCATGTACAGGTCACCATGTTCGCAGGAAACCTGGCCCCAATGACTAATCCGTCTATTCGTGTGCGCCCAAAGCAAAGAGCTAGCCATACCAAGTCCCGAAATGGTTGCTACACATGTAAGCAACGACGAGTCAAGGTGAGACATGTCCAAAAATGCGCCCAGATTCTGATACGTATGGTGGCGACCGGGCACAACTGGTCCGTTGGGATATCGATTGACTCGGAATACGTCTACTTACTAATCTCTAGTGTGATGAAGTCCGACCGGTTTGCGGCGCATGCTCGCTGAGAAACAGTGACTGCTCCTTCCCCAGCCATTCGCGGAGCTCCCCAAATAGGCGGGTTGTGGCTCGTTCGGAGCCTCATTCGGAGCCTCGATCAGAGGGTCCTACTGAGCCTGACACCATTTTCAACTCAAGCGACACATGGCCACGGGCTTTCAGGTGCTCAATATCTGGTCCGCCGCGGCCCGTGGACCCGACAACGCTCGACACACAAGTCAGTCATGGTAGCAATGTTATCAACATGACCGATCTGAAACTCCTGCAGCATTTTATGTCAAATATCTCAGAGCAATTATCATTCAGCCCCGGAAAGACGCGAGCTTGGAAGACGATCATCCCGGAGATCGCAGCGGAAAACGAGTATATCATGCACCTTCTTTTAGCATTGACGGGCCTCGATATGCTCTGTGAAGACAACACGCCCGGTTCAAATCCATCAAAGAATAATAGCCCCTTGGGGCATCAGAATGATGCTAGCAACGAGCCCGGGAGTCATGATCGCTACCTACACACAGTGATTGAGCATCATCAAAAAGGTATTCAAGGGTTTATGGGAGATTTGGGAAGACTCTCCGAGTTAAACGCAGAAACTGTCTTTGCGGGATCCCTTCTTCTGGTGGCTTTTGCCTTTGCGTCTCTTCGCGTGAAGAACTTAGACCTCATTGTCAGCGAGCCAGAAGCAAATACGGGGTCCACAAGCCATGACACCTTCTCATCTGACCCTGCGATAGCGTTGAACAAACCTCGCCTTGACTGGTTATATCTTGTCCGAGGGCTAACGTCTGTTGTTGAAAAACACTGGACTAAGCTGCGAACAGGTCCACTGAGGCAGATGCTAGTATTTAGCAATGCCAAAGATGGAGAAGTCTTGGGTAATCTCGTGGAAATCCTGCCGGCCGATCTACCCCACCGAATGGCATGCTTTGCTCAAGGAGCCCATCAAGCGGTTACCAGATTGAGAGCCTTCTCCAAAAGTTTAAAGTCAGTTGTTAGCCCGACGGCTAGTGACTCCGATGCTCATTCAGAACAAATTCGAGAACAGATGGGAAGACCGCTCACCGAAAGTGAACTCGTTGAGGAACAAGAATCCACTATCAGCATTCTTGAAACCATGTATAATCGAATCAAAGCTGTTCTTCTCTTTTCAGACAGCGGTACCAAGGGCTCTGCCCATGCAGACTTGCAAGGGGAATTAGAGGACGCTGCAATCATGGCATGGCCGCACATGTTCCCTCACGGGTTTATTACCTCGTTGGAAGCGGGAGAGGAACACGAAACTCTGCGGTGCCAATCTTTTGTTATTCTTGCCCATGTTTATATCATTGGGACATTGTTCGAATCGCTTTGGTATGCCGCAGGCAGTTTTGAGCGCGAAATCATGAAGATTAATGACCTGGCTCAAAGCACCGGAGACAGTCGATTGGTCTCTTTGATGCAGTTTCCTATGGAAGTCATCGCTGCTCGAAGCGGGACTAATCAACCCTAAGGATTGGATCATCGCCGGACTTGCGCAAAAATAATCGCTGCATGGCCCTACAGTTGCGTATAGTCCATCGCAAGTACACTACGTTGGTTGCCGTGCCCACTCGGGCTTCTCAAAATTTCATGCGGTAAGCCTGGGGCTCTTCCGTCGAGGCCCCATGTTTGATTATTTATTTATCATGGCAAAAAGCAAACAGGCAGTGACACCAGAACTTGGCTCGTTCATCAGCATTGTCGTCATAATCTTTGTCCTAATAGATGTAGCGGAAGTGGGGGTTTTCCTGGTCTGTTCGATCTTCAAATGCACGGCCAAGGTTGTCATCGTTGGGGTCTAGACCCGCCTCCTGCAACATACGCTCCTTCTTCTTGTTTTGGGCCTTCAAATAGAAGCGCAAGAAGATGACAGCCAGAGTCATCGCCGAGTAACAACCAAGATGGACACCGAAGGCAATTAAATAGCGCGGAGCATCCCATTCGAGGAACACTTGGGGGCCTGGGTTCATTAGCTTTCGTGCTTGCCATAATTTGGGAACTGTTGCGACTTTACTTACCGATCGCATTACCCACGGCCCAGGAGACAAAAGTCGCGGCAACAACCACGGACTTCTTGGTGGCACCAGCAATGTTACGAGAGACCATGGAGAGACACAGATTCTGAGCCGACCAGAAGGAAAGCGTGATGTAGTAACTGATGAGCAGACCGACTTTGGTGCTCATGTTGTGATTCTCCACGGTCATGAGGACGATGGTTCCGACAAAAGATCTTCAAACACAGCGTCAGTCAAAGTTTCAAGCGTGCAAGATACTATGGAGGGTTTTGGAAACATACGGGATGATAAAGCCCATCATGACCAACAAGTTCTGGTGGGTTTTCTTGACCAGCCACGCGGAACTGAGAAGCACAATGATGATATAGAAACCCAGAACCATGGCCAGCAGCTGGGTCTGGAGGGTGTTGAAGTCGAAACCGGTGATGATGATGTTCGCAAACGCTCCAAGACCGCTAGTGGGCAAGGTTGTGAACACCTGGATGGCACAGTAACAGTACATTTGAGGGTCACGGAAGGCCTCCCACATCTGGTATGAGCGAAATTCCTTGTTCTGCAAGCCTGTCTGGTTGCCACGGACACGCTCGACCATCAAATGCTTGTCTTCCTCAGTGAAACACTTGGCTCGCATAGGCGAGTCGGGCATCCAGAGGATGACGAACCCCCCCCAGAACACGGAGATGATTCCGTATGTCATGAAGAGGGCTTGCCATGATTGGATAACGCGTTCGTTGCCGATTAGACTGAAGCAATATGCCAGGAGACCTCCGACAATTTGCTGGCCTCCGTTCATCATGTACCTGCGTGATGTTAGATTCAGGCCATGCGATGCCCCCAGGTCTTAGGGGAGGAGCTAGCCACCTACCAATATGTAACAGTGTTGGCCTGTTCTTCTCTCTTGTACCACATACTGGATAGAATCACGAAGGATGGCTGGCAAACGGCTTCGAAAATACCGAGGAAGGTTCGGACCGTGACCAAGCCGGCGAAGTTATGGCAGGCGGCGTGCAAGGCCAAGCATGTACCCCAAAGGATGATGTTGATGCCCAGGTATTTGGCAATGGGGACTCGTTGGATAATCCAGTTGGTGGGGTATTCGACGACCAAAACGGCGATGTAAATACAGGTTGTCAACCAGGAATACTGGGTGGAGAGGGGACTCGGTCAGCATTCATTCGTCTTGGGTTTGAAAGGGTTTGAGGGCTCAAAGGGACGGCAAACCTGCTGTCCATGCAGACCCAGTTGCTCTCGGATTCCCATGATAGAAGCAAACGACATCGTTCCCTTATCAAGGGCTTGGAGGAAATATGTCAAGATCATGATTACCAGCACACGCCGGTCGATCATCCGTCGCAGTCGACGACTGGTAGCATCGTCGACTTCGACTTGACCTCGTGTGGCATATTCTTGGACCTCTCTGTCGACCCTCGAAAAGTCCATGTCATCTTTCTTCGGGTTGTCACTGGGAGAGAGCACTCGCTCAACATGCGAGATGTCTTTCTTGTCCTTGAAATCACCCATTTCCGTTGCTGTCGGGGCAGTCACGGGGTCGATGTTGCCCTTGCCGGACGACACCGAGGGGGGTTTATCTTGAGCCATGACCGAAAGAGATCTAAAAGGAAAAGAGGACGGGCAACAAAGCTAGCCGCGAAAGGTCCTCTGCAGTACGTGCCAACAGCAGGAAAGGAAGGAGACAAGTCAGGCGGTCCTCCCAGGGGGGGGTGGTCTCAGGTTTTTATTATCGGTCAACAGGAGAGGGATCAACACACTTATCCTAGCAGGGAATGTTAAGCACAGTGCCGGTGTGGCTTACTACTTACTATTTAGTGGTACGGTGTACTGCTCATCTCATTATCCCCGGACAGCATTCCCCAGTTTTTTTTTTTTTTTTTTCTTGCCTCTTTGCTGGCCATTTCCGGAGTAGACCCTGTCTGGGGACAAGGGCGCGGGGATGATGGACCGAAAAGACGGGGGACGGCAGGGGCCCATTGGACGGGAGGGAGCTGATCCATCAGCTCGCTAACGACAGGGCCAATGGCGACTGCTCGACCATAATTTGGCAGCAGCTTGGCGCAGGAAACTCGGGGGGTGATAGCCCGAAGCCACAGGATCCCACGCGGAGAATTGCCCGCATTTCTTCCGCTAATCAACCGTGACTCCGCACGGAGAGGGTTATTAGTGCACGCCCCCTCCAGCCTTTCGTCCGTCACACGCCTCGTCGTTGGCTTTGCTTATTTTTTTGCTTAATTTTTTTTTTTTTACTTTCTCGCCTTTCATTTAACATCTTCCATCATGGCCTCCAAACCGTCGCCTCCACAGGTTCGCGAGAAAGTGGACTTGCTGATCCGTAACCTGGTCAACATCAAAGATGCCACCGGTCAATTCCTGCTGCGTCTCCAGGATGGTCGGGTCATCGACACTAAATCCTGGGCCGGCTGGGAATGGACGCACGGGATTGGTCTATACGGCATCTGGAAGTATTACGAGATGACCGGCAACCCGGACCTCCTGCGCATCATCGAGGACTGGTTCGCCGCCCGTTTCGCTGAAGGCGGCACGACCAAGAACATCAACACCATGGCCGTGTTCTTGACTCTGGCCTATGTCTACGAGAAGACGGGCAACGCTACCTATCTCCCTTGGCTCGACGCCTGGGCCGAATGGGCCATGCACGACCTCCCCCGCACGCGCTACGGAGGCATGCAACACGCCACCTATCTCACGGAGAACTACCAGCAGCTCTGGGACGACACGCTCATGATGACCGTGCTCCCGCTCGCCAAGATTGGCAAGCTGCTCAACCGGCCTGCGTACATCGAGGAAGCCAAGCGCCAGTTCCTCGTGCACATCAAGTACCTGTTCGATACGCGCACGGGGCTCTTCTACCACGGCTGGACCTTTGAAGACGGCGGCCACAACTTCGCCAATGCCCGCTGGGCCCGCGGTAATAGCTGGATCACCATCGTCATCCCGGAGATCATCGAGCTCCTGGACCTCCAACCCACCGACCCCATCCGCATCCACCTCATCGACACCCTCGAGGCCCAGTGTGAGAGCCTCCAGCGTCTCCAGGACCCTTCGGGCGCCTGGCACACTCTGCTCGATCACGCTGACTCCTACGCCGAAGCCTCCGCCACGGCGGGTTTCGCGTACGGCATCCTGAAGGCCGTCCGCAAGCGGTATCTGGGTCCTCAGTATCGCGAGGTCGCGGAGAAGGCCATCACCTCTGTTCTGGGCTATGTTGATGCTGCCGGAGAGTTGCAGAACACGAGTTTCGGAACGGGTATGGGAGATAGTTTGGAGTTCTATAAGTTGATTCCTTTGACGGCTATGCCGTATGGCCAGGCGATGGCTATTATGGCTTTGGGGGAATATCTGCGGGGCACGCTATAGATTTGGGGGTTAGATGAGATAAGATGTTACGATACATTTATTTATGAATATATATCAATGCATATAGATGGTTTAGGTTTTGCATTTGCATGCTCTCAGGCTCTATCATGAGTTATAGGCTTTTGCTCATAGCAGCTTTTGTATTCCGTGGATCCCCAGCATCTTGACCGGCCCTAAACTGCCATTGCAGAACATTAGATAAATATTTGCACTTGAGACCTCCCACAATGAAAATAATCACGATGCGCAAATAAATAAACACAGATGGAAAAGCTGCTTATCGCTAAGTGTTATCTCCATAATTATTCCTCATCCTCGCTTATGCACGTCGCCTATCGCCCTGACAGCTAAGCTTCTAGTATATCGCCTCGGAACGAGCCCCCGCCTTTCCCCACCAACCGTCAATGACTCAAGTCAGCTTCTCTCTTCGCTATGAACTTACCCCGAGTTACCTCAACAGCCAACAACCCCAGAGGCCTTGCAAATAGCCTACTCCCTGAATGAGAAACAGCTCATCCCTCCACATAGTAACTATCTACTAACTAATAGGTAAACCTCGCCATGACGCAACCCGATCCAGCTGCGTTCCGCGTCCACGATCCCCGCTTCCTCTCCATCCTCGGCACATCTTACCCATTCGCCCATGAAGCAGGGATCTACCTCCCCAGCAAAGGGACGGTCATCGTAACCAGCGCTCGCCTGACGGAGGAGACTACCACCGAGGCAAACTCCACTTAAACACAACCCCAGATCTAGAAGACGGAGACGCAGACAAAGACAAACCAAAAAGTCCTTATCCCACGCATCAACTTAACCACCGCCGCGGTATCATGCGACGAGATTCCAACCTCCATCCCCATGGCCAATGGCGGCGTGAACTCTTCTCCTAACACGATAACGAAGTCCTAATCTGGGGCCAGGGATCCCTCGACTCCCCTAGCGGCATCTACAGCCTTTCGTTGACGGAGCCGTACGAATCCGTACGAATCCAAACTCCTAGTGGGCTCGTTCTACGGCCGACCATTCAACTCGGTCAATGATGTCGTCGTGCACAGTGATGGATCGGTATGGTTCACGGACCCGACGTATAGTTTCGAGCAAGGGTTTCGTGAAAAACCGAGGTTGCCGAGTCAGGTTTATAGATGGTGTCCTCCGCCATCCTTATCTTCCTCCTCCTCATCGTTGTCGGAAGTGGTGGCAGAGCTGAGAGATGCGAAGATAGAAACTGGTAAGGAGGACGAGGAGGGAAGTATTCGTGCAATGGCCGATGGATTCGGCAAGCCGAATGGGCTTTGTTTCTCGCCGGATGGGGAAACTTTATATGTGACTGATACGCACTGGTTGAGTGGTGATGGAATGTGGATGATGCGCGGGTGTCGTCAATGTATGCCTTTCCCTTTTCCCCATTCCCCTTTTTTTGCCCTCTGGTCGTTGCGCGTTGCTCGAATAGACTTTCCATCTTCATGGTTTCTGTGTTGTTTATTTACCTAATTGACTAACTACCTGATCAAAGCTACGCATTCGACACAACCAACTACCGCAACTCCCCCTTCCTCACGAACCGACGACTCTTCGCAATGACCGACAGCGGCATCCCCGATGGCATTAAATTTGATCTAGAAGGGAATGTGTATAGCGGGTGTGGCGACGGGATTCATGTGTGGTCGCCCGGTGGGGTGCTGCTTGGACGAATCCTGGTGGATGGGGGCGTGGCGAACTTTTGTTTTGGGAGAGAGGGAGAGATTTTCGCGTTGAATGAGCATCGGGTTTGGAGGGTACAGTTGGGGGAGCATGTTAGGGGGGGTTTGTTGGGGGTTTGGAATTGGGTAGAACTTTAAGTGTGAGATGGTTAGATTTAGGGGACCGTTGCTACCACCCCCCTTTGCATGCTACCACCCCCCCCTGCCTGAATTTCGAGGCCAACACTGACCGCTTTTCTCACCGCTTTCATCCTCGAACTTTTATTTATTGCTACCTACTACCCTGCATGTATATCACACATTAGGTACCTCCGATTACTATGTAAATTCCTAGTAAAAATAAGTCACTCCTGTTCCACTGTAGTACCCAATAAGGAATTCAAAAAAATTGTTGTTTACGCCTTCAAACCTCCCATTTTTCTACTCATAACTCGCGGTTTTTACCCATTTCTCTCACATTTCACTTTCCTTTACGATGGCTTCCTCGCAGCCTGATTCGCCGTCCGATTTTGAGCCTGATGCTATTCCCGAGTCCCCGCCGACGATGCCAAGCCATCAAAATACGATACTAAGCCTCTATGACGCGCTGTCAAGCCTTCCTGACGCTATTCCCGAGTCCTCGCCGCCGATATCAAGCCTCCATACCTTCCCGCTACCCCCTCTCGATCAACAGTACGATACGCCAGAGCAAGGAATTACTGCAATCAATGCTTTCGCCCGTCCTCATGGTTACGCAGTCTCGATTCTTCGGTCGAAGCGTACAAAAAAAGGAGTCATAAAGACAGTCCGGTTATGCTGTAATCGAGGACGGGCGTATCGAGATCGGACTGCCGGTAATAAGCGCCAGCGGCAGTCAAATACGCTCGCGATTGAGTGCCAATTCTCGATCTCCCTACGGCTACAAGAGAGCAATACCTGGCGTCTTACAGTAGAGAATTCTACCCATAACCATGAAGCCTCGCCGGTATCAACCCATGTAGCCCATCGCATCGCGGAAGTATCCAATAAAGCGGAAGACATTCGGAAGCAGCTTGATCAGGGTCTTTTAACTCGCCATATCCTTACTGCACTTCGAAAGGAGGATCGAGACTCATCTATTACCGCCCAAGACATCTATAACCTACGGAGAAGGTTTTATACAGAGTTCCTTGCCGGCCGTACGCCTCTTCAAGCTCTATTGATAGAGCTTCCGCGCGATGGCGAATGGATCTTCAAGCATAAAATAGACGATAAGAACTATGTAACAGCCTTATTCTGTATGCATAGATCGAGTATCGCGATGCTTAGAACAAATTCATAGGTTATTTCAATGGATTGTACGTATAAAACTAACCGATACGGCTTTTCATTGCTCAATATCGTCGGCTTTGCCGCTACTGGATCTAGCTTTTATGTCGGCTTCGCCTTCATGAAAGATGAGAAGGAAGATAGCTATCAAGTTATTCTAAGCTGTCTTGCTGAAGCATTCGAATCCCTTAGCCTTGAGCTACCCCAGACGATCCTCATGGATAAGGAAGAAGCACTGATAAATGCTATTAAGCTTGTCTTTCCTTCTACAAAGCATATAATTTGTCTATAGCATATCAACATGAATATTATGAAGAAAGGCCGTCCGATACTCGCAGAGCAGCTAGCAAAAGTTCGGCAAGAAACATTAGCTAATGTTTTTTTCGCTTCTTCCGCTTCCTTAGCTTCCTTACAGCGTCAGACGAAAGCAGAGATAGACCGAGAGCTCCGCGAATTAGTTAATAAAGCATGGGAAAAGATGCTACAGCGATAGATTCGCATCGTCTATACTATTACGACCGAGGAAAGGGAGGAAAGATAGAGGCAATTCAAAGAAAGCTACAAGGAGCCAATTTTCGAGCCTTTACTCGAATATCTACAGAAGGAGTGGCTGGATAGCTGTCCTATGTACTTTCTCCATGAATACACGTCAAAATACCTTCATCTCAATAAAATCGCGACCTCTCGGACCGAAGGAGCTCACTGGCTGCTTAAACAGGACCTTCAAGTCTCTACTAATGATCTACTGGTTGTTTTCCGCACCTTTGAGAATGCTGTAAATCTTCAATTCAAAAAGCTCACCGACGCGATCGAGAGTGATAAGATAAAAAGGCCTACTAATACTCGCTGGAAGCAGCTCTTTAAGCTTGTTTTTGGACGGGTTTCGGTTAAGGCTATTGAACATACGAAGAATGTCTACAACCGTTTCTTACCGGAAGCTGAAGATAAGCAACCGATTCCTCTATTATGTACCTGCAATTCGAAGAATACGGCAGGGTTTCCATGCATTCATCTTATTATGCAGTACGAAGAAGAGGAAAAGAGCTTTGAGCTTAAGTTATTTTATCAACATTGGCATTTGTACAGTGTATTTGTACCTCCTATTAACCCGCTATTCCTACTCCAGGATCCTCTCCAAGTGCGCCGGCGAGGGCGCCCCCGAGGCGCTAGGAACTTCATCGGCGGCAGCGAAAACATTCAAGCAAGTACCCAAGATACCTCTACCCAGCGAGACCCTTCCGGCTTCGAGCTCATGCTATCTCAGGAAGGTGGTCGTGGCCGTGGGCGCGGCCGAGGACGTGAAGGGACACAACAGGCATCGCAGGGGGTGAGAATAGCTTCATCTACGGCCCAGAAAGCTCAACAAGCTTCTCAGGAAGGTGGACGGGGCCGTGGGCGCGGCCGAGGACGTAAAAGGACACTACAGGCATCGCAGGGGGCGGGAATAGCTTCATGTACGGTCCAGCGCGAGGATTCCTGGCCCGACCGCCTCAGGAAACGTCGGGGAGCTCCATAAATGGCTGATCTAATGCAAATTACTCGAGTTTTTTTTTTTACAATTCTCATGCGATTCTTCAAGAAATTTAACCCAGAATAGCTTGATTCTTTCATTTCTGCAGAGTTTTTGAAAACAGCATCTATTTCCTATTTGGGACTAGCGCCATGCAGTTGACATGGTAGGTGGTAGAGTACGAAAGTGACTTCATTTAATTAGGAGGTTGCATAGTAAATGTAAGTACCTCAAGTTTGTGTTAGAAGCATGGTCGATGGTGGCAGAAATATGTCCGGCAGAAAAATATTGGCCTCACAATTCAGGCAGGGGGGGGTGGTAGCATGCAAAGGGGGGTGGTAGCAACGGTCCCCTAGATTTATGGACACATCATAATAATGAGTTGAACGATGTAATATGCAAAGATTCTGACAGCTTTTCAAGAGATACTGAGACTATAGTATCTTGTCCCTACAGATATTTGTCTGGAGTTTATAGCAAGGCAGACCGCACACTAGCCAGGTTGGTCAGATAGCGATATTTCATGTTGGAAATTATGTGTCAGAAAAGAAAGCTAGCAAAGAAAATGCCAATGTTAAAGGCTAGGATAGGAGGCTCTTTTGCCTTTAAGATCACGGCTGTCCATTTTATCCACCAGAGAACCCTCCCGTTCGTCCATACCCCATGTATCAACAAACTATGACCATTAGCACCAGTACACAACCAAGCTTCTAAAAGTAAAAGAGAGATGAAAGGAAAAGAAAAAGTCCACTTACTCCCAACAACCCCATTAACCGGAATATCAATCGAAGTCGTATAGCTCGCCGCATCACTCAGCAAATAGACATACGCACCCCCCAGCTCCTGCACCTCCGCCAACCGCGGAAATCCCCCGTAGTATTTCATCTGCTGCTCCCAGTCTGGCTGCTGCGGCACCCAATACGTCATGGCGGTGTTCACCAGACCCGGGGAAACGCTGTTCACCCGGATGCCGTACTGCGCCCACTCCATGGCCAGGGTATGCGTCATGTTGCGGATGCCGGCCTTCGAGGCGCCGTAGGGGGCTGATGGGACGCGCTGGTCTGTGTTAATGCTTTCACTGGATGAAGGGTATACGAGATGGTAGGTTTTCCTTCCCGATGTATGTACAGCCCATACCTTATTCGGACGATACGAAGCCATCGACGCCGTAAACACGACGGAGCCCTTAATGCCTAATTTAATAAACGCGCGCGCAGCCGCGCGCGCGGTATAAAACGCCCCGAAGAGATTAACATTAAATAGTGATTCGATTTCCTCGGTTGTGAAGTCCAGCGCGGCTTTATGGTGCGTTCGTCCCGCGTTGGCGACCATACCGTGCAAGGCTCCGGCCTCGACGATGATCTGGTCGATTGCGGCCGTGATGGTCGATTCGTCGGACACGCTGGCGGTGAGGGAGAAGAGGCGGTTTGGGTAGCGGGTGGAGAGCTGTGTGAATTCTTCGCCGGGTTGGTTGATGTCGATTGAGTAGACTCGTGCGGCGCCGTTGGTGAGGCAGCATTCGGCGATTCCGAGACCGATTCCCCGGTTGGCGCCGGTGACTGAAGGGGTTTTTATGAGCTGATGAGTTTGATTTAGGCCAGGGTCTTAAGGGAGGGCTTACTTGCGATGACTTTTGAGGTCAAGCTAACCTGGGTTTGAGGACCGGGGTTGGATGTTTCAGCTGTGGTGGCCATGATGATGGTAGTTCCTGCGAGAGTAGGAGATTTTGGGCCATTGTCGATTAGATGTTGCAGTGGCAGTTGCCCTTTTATAGCGATTCTTAGACTGCATGGCTTGCAATTACCAGCATACGACTTGATCACACCCAGATGGTTGCATGGCTTGGAACAGCCCTCGAGTCGACGATGAGTGGGGAAGATCGGCGCGGGGAAGATCGGCGCGGAGGGGAGGGGGGGACCTCGAGACGAGGCAATCATGACATTTCCCCCTGCTCATCCCATGAATGTTGCATGATAGAATATAGATTCAGGGTTAGAGGGGAAGTTCACCTGCATTAAGTTATTTCGCGGTTCTCTGAATGTAATGTCATACTTCAAGGGACCCGGATGGTTAGTATATATTTCAACTAGCTCGGTCTATTTAAGGATGAAGTGGATCGACATGGCGTACTCCGGAAGACCATCATGTTGAAGAAAGAAAAAGAAGTTATGAACGAAGAGAAGATAAAATCGTGAAAAATGCATGCGATGTGAGCACAAAGACAAGAATGCGTCGAGAGAAGGAGAGCCAAAGATGATGAAAATGATGTTTAGGTTTGAGTAACGGGATATTGCAACTGCTAGTATAACAAATCCTCGATGGTCTAACGGTCATGATTTCCGCTTGTCACTCAGCAGAGAACGAGCGCGGGAGACCTGGGTTCGACTCCCAGTCGGGGAGGTTTCTTTTTTGCTCTTGTTTTTTTTGTCCCACCCGTTCGTTAATCAACAAGAGAGATAGATAATAATCTGTTTTCATAATGATTGTGAAAGGAAATTTAATCAAGTTTAATTTCAATGTTATATTTCGATGCTATATTTCGATATTCAAAACCACGTCATTATCATGATATACGACCATCCTCGCCTAAACTAGACATAATTCTGATGCCACGTAAAATCCGGATTCCTTGTCAAAAAGTCCCGAATAGCCTCACTCGCCTTGACCGGCTCTCTCCCCAACACCTCTTTCATCAACGGATGTGTCGTCTGCAACTCCCCCTTCTCAATACCGTCCCACCACGACCTCACCATCTCAAAGAACGCAGCCGGCTTCCCACCCAGATCATTCGCCCCGTTCTTCCGCACGTACTCGTCGCCCGAGACGATCTCGAACGCGACCTGCCGACCGGTCGTCTTGTTGATCACGTCGACGATCTCCGACGGCCGAATGGCCTCTTGCGCCGTAAGAAGCACGATCTTGTTCTCGTGGCCGCCGGCGATCATCAGTCGGGCCGTGGCTTCGCCGAGCTCGCTGCGGAGCGTAAACGCGATAGGCCCGTCGGAGGGGAGGGAGATTGTGCGCGTCTCTGGGAACCAGTTGATGAAGACGGGGAAGGCGTCGGTGTAGGCGCCTTCGCGGATGGAGGTGTATGTGACGCCGGATCTGTGGGTAGGGTGGTTAGATTCGATGGACTTGGAATGTGCTGAACGAGTGATGTGATTTGGTGGTGACTTACTCTTTCAGGAGATTTTCCGTAGTGAGATGGACTTGCTGGACGGCTGCTTTCGAGGTGGATTCCAATCCGCCGAAGGCGAGTGATGTATACCAGACCTATACATAGTAGGGAAATTAACCAATTGCTCTATTTCTTGCTTCGAAAGACGTGGGAGAGAACGGTCGCATACATGCTTCACGCCGACTTTCTTCGCCGCATTGATGAAATTCTCATGCTGTCTCTGCCTCTTCTCATTATCGAACACGTTCGTGCTAACGAAGAGTAGGTTCTCGACGTCGTGGAACGCAGCCTCGAGCGACTCCGAGTCATCGTAGTTCGCGTGGCGGAACGCAATGCCTCGATCTTCGAATTGTGGGCGATTCGACTCGCGCGAGGACGCAGCTGCGAATTCAGATGCGGGGAGGTTGTTGACGAAGTACGCGAGGACTTGTTCGCCCAGACCGCCCGTGGCGCCGGTGACGAGGTACTTGAGGGTCATTCTTTTGGATACGGGGTGTTGTGTGTTGGGTTGTTGTTGTTGTTTCGACTGCGGGGGTGGATTGGGGGCTGGATTTGAAATCGCCGGTGGTAGAGTTGGAGGGAATTGGGGTATATTCGACTGAATGAATGGATTGTTGAGTTCAAGGAGTCAGAGCACGGAGATGTTTTATACTCTGCATGTGTATTTCGTCATAGCTGAATCGAATCGATTAGCTGGCAATGGAATTCCAGTGATGTTCCTTCAGTAGTGTTGGTTGGTAATCTCCCTGCCGCATCGCGCCATGGTGGAGAGTACCTATACTCCGTTCTCCGTGTTTGGGGGCTAGTTACTTACCTTGTTAGTTGTTACGTAGTTAGTACTACTTAGGTTAGTTAGTTCGTAGTGGACCAGAATTAGAATGACAGCCAACGAATCTACGAACCGGTCATGCTCATGATTGGTTGATCTTTAATTTATTTAGAAACAACTGCTTAGAAATAATAACTGCTAAATTAACAGCGGGGGATAAGGGTCTCTGACCACCGCAAAAGGCGATCATGAAGTTTGAGAAGAAGACAAAGAGAAGGAAGGGGGATAAGAAAAAAAACATTTAAACTCGCTGCAACGCGAACTGCACCTGGCATCGATCCTTCAGCCCATTCTCGACAATCTCAATCCCACTGACGGAGCTGTCATCCGAGTCGCCCTTTTTGTTGATCTTGGCCGTCCAGATGGACTCGAAATATTCGCACGCCTTGACAACAAGTTCCTTCAGCTTGGTGGACGTGGCTGGAGGACCCGCCATCTGGAGGTCATATCCGTAGTACGCAGACGTATTCCCGAGTCTTCCGGGGGTGGGAAATTGTGCCGCGGTAGTGTCGGCAGGAGTCACATATGTGTATCCATCGCTGTCGTGGTTTGAATCGCTATCATCCACCAACTGAATATTCTCGGTCTCGTCGGCCCCGTTGCTGAAGAGGCACGCACTGTCGTCCCCGGAATAGAGAGTTATGACGGCGTTAGATACGGTCACATCGTCGGACGACTTGTTTTCTCCCTTGATTGTGATGGTCTTCACTTGCCCTGCGGTGACCTTGAGGTCGGAGATCGTGTATGAGAGCTGGGGGGAGGAAGCAGTATCAAAGGTGTCGATGAGCCGCCCATATGCCTCCTCCTCGATGAAATCGGCTATAGGGTCGGGAGGGGGCTTGGTGCCCATGAAGAAGTTGATCAGGACCTGGACAATCACGAGAACGATGCCAACCACCGCCAGAACAGCCCCAAGGATCGGTAACGCCACGCTCATGGTTTCAGTCACGGCCCAGAGCCCGATGTCGGATCCGACCTCGATCATATCCAGCAGTACCGTCAATCCCTGGACAACAACATTCAACACGCCCAGGACTTTGCCGGGATCCGACAGAGAGTTCCAGTCATTGGCGAGGGAGAAAGACGTGGCAACTACCAGACCGAGGCCCGGGATGGCGTTGAAAACCCGTAGCAGCTTGCCCGACCAGTTGAACCGTTTGGCTGCTTCTTCATAGCTGAGGGGAATATCATCGGCAATGGCATTAAGATCTTCGTTCCACGTTTCTTCGCCCTCCGGCGCCGTGGTAGCTCCCTCGGAATGAAGCCCGTCGGCGATGGCCACTCGATAGTCTTCATCACCGGCGATCTTCTCCGCCACCTCGTCCATCGTCTCCCCATTCTCCATGATTTCTTCCGTCAGGCTCTGACTGAAGTCTCCATGTTGAGCTTATCGGCAGACGTGGAAGCCGGCTTAGACTGGAAACTCTTAAAAGCATTCAGCGCTTTATCGACATCGTCAGCCACCTTACGAATTACTTGGATGATCACATCCGTTCGTTGAGAATCAGACATGGCATCCCACGATTTAACGAGGGACCAGAGATTCACCGCCGCCACTGCCAGCGTCATGCCAACCTGGTATGCAATCAGTTGATCCGCCTGATTATTCGTATGGCTGGGTAGTTGCACCAAAGCTTCTGGCGAAGCGATGGCAAGGGGTCTGGAACCTACCATGCATATGCTTGTGATTCCTTTCAACATGGCCGCACTAGGGAGGGGGATTTTGCTAACCACTCGATCAAAGGCTTCCCCAACCCATTTCCAGAGCGAGGTGCCTCCAAACGCAGCCTGGACCCCTTTGCTAAAATAACTTAGCTAACCGGCGATCTCCTTCATGAATGTGGCACTTTTATCGAGGATCGCTGCCGCGCGCTGCTCAGCATCAGCTTGCTGGTTCAAGTTGTTCTGTTTCTCAAACTCTTCGATCTGCCCCCGCAACGCCGCCTCCACATCGCTTGAAATGGATGGATATGGAATCGTGTAGCCATGGGTACTTGGAATCCTGATTATCGTCTTGTTCGATATCCGCATACTCCAGACCATCCGACAAGGCAAGGGCCATGAATTGGTTGAAAAAACTGCTGTGACCAATCCTTTGATGGACTCAGTATATCCAAAATGTTGCATTGCTTGTTGATCAGGTTGTTACCCTACCCAAAAAATGAATGACATGTTAGCATGGAACTGGTTGCCTCGAACATTGGAGAAAGAGGGTAGGAGGGTGACGAGACGGTACTGACACTGTCATCGATGGGAAAATGCGCCCACTTGCGCAGCTGGCGAGGGTTATTGAGAAGGAAGGTGTAAAGCTGTTCAGCCCAATTATCCGGATTGTCTGCTCGGTACGGTTCCAATTTCTCCTTATTCATCCGAAACATCGCCTCCCAAGAAACTAGGCGGTTGATGTCGTTGTATTCTTCACTCTGCGAGAGACTGTTTTTGCCATTCCCCTGCCACCAGTACCAGAGGTTGTTCATCTCTTTTTCCGTGAAATCATTCATGTAACTTGACGTCCGCCCGACGTAGCGACAAATGAACGCAGGGGCGTACTTGTTCTTGAAGATAACTTTCAGCTTCTGTGGAAGGTTGCCGGCGAGAGAGGCTGGAAAATCCTTGTCCGGCCTGGGTTTATGCAGGATCTTTTCCCTTTGATCACCATTCATCTGGTACAGCATCATTTCCTTGATAAGTGTTTGCGTTTTATTGAGGACCTGGTCGCTCCAAGTTAATATCGACATTAATATGAATAAGGAAGAAACAGAACGCACCGATTTTTCATCGTAGCCTGCGAGGTTGATGAGATCTTTGATACTCAGCGCGGTGGAGGAGGGAAGAGTCTCGGTGATTCGTGCTGGTCGAAGCCGTTCGTTGGCGACAGTGTCGATCTGTCCAGGTCTTGTGATGGCAGCGTACGCCTGGGAGATCTTGGAGCGACAGGCCTGAACTGCTGAATCATCCTTCAGAGTCCCTTTTACCAGATGACTAAATTCATATCAGTACCATGGAGCCTTGCGATGGGTTATTTATTGCCGCTCAGGACTTCTTACCGGTTGCCCTTGTTTTCTCGTTTCGTCGGATCGTATTCAAAGAAGTAGCCAGTGATCTTATCATCAAAAATGTCGCTATCATCGAGCTTGAGCGTCACCTCCTGGAAGAGTGCTGGTATAGTCACATCAATGTCCAGATCCGAGAAGCCCACATCGAAGGTCTTCTGGACATCCAGTCCGGCGTTAGATACAAAGGGAACCAGAGACGCACGATTCTACCGCACGTTATACAGGTCATAGCTCTCGTAGGTCTCGTTACTGCTGTACAGCTTCCCTACCACCTGGTACAAGTCTCCCAGGTGTTGCCCATACTTTTGGTTGATTTTGTCTCTTAGATCGTCAAGTGCAGGTAATCGAACACCGGGGATGTCGACTCCCTGTGAGGTCTACCAGCCATCTTCAATGGGGCCTGCATCGACTGGGTCCTGAGGTTCGGTTCTCTCTTCCTCGTCGGCAGGCCAAACACTGCGATCATACGTTATCTGCCACTCTGATAATTTAGTCCACTCACTGTCATCGTCAGCCGCCCGCCTCGTGCTGGTTAATCGGGAGTTCAGGCTTCGTCCCTGTGCCTCAAAGGAATGGGTCTGGTCCCGACAGAGCGTTTTCTGAGGCTCGGATTCGGAAGATAGGTAGATAGCCCCGCGTCCTGCGGTTGCATGGGAGTAGATCTCCACAACTCCATGCTCGAAGAGGCGCGCCCATTGGATGCTTCTCTGGCGGGGATCATAGGTGCTTCGGAGCTGCACATCGTCGTCGACCATGAAATAGCCATCGACTAGTAGGGTCAAAGTCGGAAGCTCATATCCGGCTGGTAGGCGATCCGGGGCATGAGCGTCGAGGGAAAAGTTTCTCTTGAGCCGTTCAATTGCCACCCCTTTAGGTACTTCATGGGCCTTTCTGAGGTTGACCCAGTCTCTAAACGACAGAGAAGCGATGGAATTCCATGACACAGGATGATTTCCCTCTGAAGAATTGTATTGACCGAATAGTTCCCAGTTCAAGCGCTAGGAGATGGCCTGCACGTCGAATCGCTGGAACATGGGCGATAACTCTCTGCAAGTGGACAAGAGGGCTAGCAGTTGGTCTTCAGGGACCTGGCGTAGCCTCCATCTGGTTTTTCCAGGTGTATGACAGGGGGCATTCGTCTCAACCACATAACCATGTGCGTGATAGGTCTGGTGCTCCGCAGCCAACGCCAGCGTGTGTGTCAGTTCCGATGGAGGCACCTTGTCTTGGTCGATAGACTTGATTTCCACCGTAATCCATTCCTGTCCCTCTACCCGGAAGAGCATGTGTCCGACGGCGAGCTGGCCAATGTGTCGATAGGGGTTGAAACGTCGGGCTCCCTTCACATCTACTGCCCGTGGTCCGGTAGTTGTCTGGAACACCTGCGAGGCAGGTATGCAGGGAGACTGGCCGTCTACACCCATTCCTGTTAGTTAAATGCTATGATAATCGTCTAGAGTGGAAACTGCACTCACTGAACCGAACAAGCCTTGTCTTTGGTGACCGTCTAAGGCGATTCTGGCGTACTGCAACTGACTTTTCCGGGTGATCAGGAGCCAGCATTGCACCCCTGAACGTAAGTCCTCCACCGGTCGTGAGCTCCCATCGGCAAGTGCAATGGGGGTTTCCGGCAGGAAACCAGAAACCATCAACGGAGTGTGTAAACCGCAAGCTTCATCTCTGACCGGACGATTGTCCCCCACCAACCCGTACTGGCCCTCGTTGTAGCAAGCTATTCCAGAAAGTCAGACGTTGAATGATCAAGAGCCAAGAAGCCTAGCGTGATAACCAGATTTGTGACATACCATCGTGCAGCCAAGTCTGGATCAAGGACCACTTCTTGGCTTAAAAGGCGCGATACAAGCCCTCCTCCCAGAGGGGCACAGTCTCAGATTCCCATGCATGAGTCAGCGCCATACAATATGATTGCGATTCATTCACTATCTCTCCTTGGTCCTGCAAGCGCTGCAAGCTCTCCCGCAATTCTCTATCGTACACACATCATCTGCCACAGCGCGGGCCCCACTGCCGGTCTCACTCATTTCATAGAAGGCCTTGGTCACGGTGAATGTCTTCGCGGGGACCTGGAACCCGGTGATCGCATCGAGAAGGCACATGTCGAAGCTGGCCACGCGGCCGCAGAAGCGGACGATGGAATCCATCTGGTCGGGATCTCCCTTGCCCCGGGCCTCCGCCCAGAGGGTATTAGACCATTGAAAATTCTGAGGGTCATCGTTGCTTTCCAAACTCGCAATTCCATTCGCGACCGAGGGAAACATCAGCTTGGTCAACAAGTCGGCGATCGCGAAGATGTCGATAGCCCAATGACCGGGATCGGGGTCGTCTTCGGGGTACGTCGGCGCCCGATCCACACACGCTTGCAGGTCTTGGAGACCCCTGTCACCCTATAACATCTTCCAGACCTTCTTGTGCAGTCGGTGGGCATAGTCGACGTAAGGTAGCTTATTGAGGCCTTTGGTTGCTTTCACAGCGTCGGCGAAAACCTGCTTCACGTCGTCTGACATTGTATCGCTGCACGCAGTTCAAGGCGGCGAGAGTGGCTTATTCAGGGATACTTTTGGACTAGAATCTCTTGTTTGTTTGAGGAGTAATGATCCAGACCACTAAGACCCTCTCTTGCGCATGACAATAGTACGAAATTGCAGCCTCAGGCACCTACAGGGCCAGTGCTGGCCTGAGGCATCACTCTGAGCGACTCATCGTTGCTGGGTCTGAATGCATTCACTTGTACTTTCTGCCGAGGTAAACTGCCTCTCACTTCACTCCTCTCTCCTCTTACTCCCACTTCTGCCAACCCACACTCAAACTGTTAATCGGCCTTTTGCCATAGGCGCGCCTAAATCCTCCCGGGGCGAGTCCTCAGGCCACTCCACAAACCCCATGGCCCCCGTCGCTAAGGATGATGAGAAGATGGCCAAAGGAAAGGAGGAAAAGAAGCCCCTTGAGGGTCTCGCTGAGGGAGTGAAGTGGCCAGATTCTGGCAAGAATTTGTCCTTTTCTACCGATCATCAAGAACTTCCAGCCGAGAATCAAACTGTTTATGTTGGTCAGGAATTCAGTGCTATCGATCTTCAAGCACCTACGAGACCGAGTACAGTCGATTACAAGACCCAATTTCAACAATCGAAACAAATCATCGTCGAATATCTCCTTGACAAAGCCCCGGAATTTCGAAAACTATCTGAGCTCCGGGAGAGGGTGAGTCCAGTAGCGCTTCTTGTATAACCCACACTAATATCACAAATAGGGATGGAACGATCCAGCAGGAGATCAATTCTTTCAAACGCAACGCCAAAGAGCAGACAATGCAGACAAAACTCAGCGCTGGAGGTTCTACAACATGATGAAGGAAATAGGAGAGTATATGCATCAGGTCACTGGTGCATTACGAATCCCAAGCTCTCCCTCAGATACGCCCCGTATCCTTGATATGTGCATGGCACCAGGGGGGTTTCTTGCGACTGCATTGAAGATCAATCCTGAGTCTCAGGCATTGGCGTTCAGCTTACCTATCTCTCAAAAGGGGCATGATGTTCTTCTGCCAAAGGATCCAAGAGTAATACTCAAGTTTCTAGATATCACAATGCTGGCTGCGGATATGGGACTGGTTGATATACCATTTGATCACCCAGACGGCCCAAACTTTCTCTCTCGTCAACTAGGGCCTGAACTTTTTGATCTGATCTTTTGTGACGGCCATGTGCTCAGAAATCATGATCGGGCCGCTTATCGCGAGCATACGGAAGCCACCAGATTAACTCTTACCCAATTAGCACTTGGACTTGAGCATCTTAGACCGGGAGGGACCATGATCGTGCTTCTACACAAGATTGAAGCTTTGCATAACGTTCAGCTTCTATACACATTTAGCAAGTTTTCCACCGTGCGTCTTTTCAAGCATCCAAAGATTCATGGTAAACGGTCTTCTTTCTACATGATTGCGACAGATATCAAGAGCCATGGTATAGATGCTGCTAAGGCGATCGAACGATGGAAGAGGATATGGAGAGTTGCTACTACTGGGACGCTGAATATGTATTACAAGGCTCTCTGTGAGGACAACTACGATATGAACGAGATACTCCATGATTTTGGCTCGGAATTGGTGCAGCTGGGGAGAAATGTTTGGAACATTCAGGCAAGGGAACTGAAAAAGGCACCTTGGACAAGGGAGAATGCAGTTTCTGGAAAGACCATCAGTACCAGACGTTAGTGGTGTATGTTTCATCAGAATGTAGCTGAATGGCCAAGGGATCTTATTTTGATAGCCGTAGTCCACTCAATAGGTTGAGTAGCCCAAAATGGTGACCATGCTGATATAGCAATGAGTGTACCAAGAAAGACGCCTCAGTAGGAACCGTCTGATACGCCTTATTATTCAATCTAAAGCAGAATCGTTACATATACTCGCACGGATTTAGATAAATGTATGCCAGGTGGCTATTGAGGTAAGAGCTATCATAGATTCTTGAACAAAGGACACAAGTCAGACTAAAAGTAAGCACAGACAACTCGTAACAGGACAATCAATCTCATGGGCTCTTCTTCAACCACAATCTCTGAGAGTTACAGTATGATTTCAAACCGTCAACACCCCATTGCACACCGATCCCACTGGCTTTGTGGCCACCGTAAGGAATATTTGGCAGCACATCAAAGTGTGAGTTCACCCAGACATTGCCAGCCTCTAATTGACTCGCGATGCGCTGCGCTCGCTTCAAATCTTTGCTCCAGACCGACGCACCTAAGCCCAAATCGCTGTCGTTCGCGCGATCAATCACGTCGCTCTCTGAACTCCACTTCAACAAAGGCAGGATAGGCGCAAACGGCTCCTCCTGGACCACGCGCGACGCTTCAGGGGGATTATCGATGATGGCCGGCGGGACGAAATATCCATTCGATTCTGGGATGTTACCTCCTAGGATAGGATTCAGGGCATCTTTCTGAATGGTCTCGAAGATATTTTTGGCTTTTTCGAATTGCATTTCGTTCTGAATTGGACCGATGAATACGTCGGGTTCGTTTCCTTCGCCCATCTTGAATGCTCGAACAAATTTGACCAGCTTATCGCGGAACTCATCGTATATGTTCTCGTGGATGTAGAGCCGTTTAATCATCATGCATATCTGACTGGTGCAAAGGAACGATAGAATTGCCACCTATTTATGCAACTAGATTAGCCGAGACGATACCGTCATAGGTATGGATTGAGTCACCTTCGGAACCACAGCATCAATATCAATATCATCGCATAGAATCGCCGGATCATTACCCCCCAGCTCCAGCGTGATTCTCTTCAGCGTTTTCGCACAGCTAGCCATAATCCTCCGACCCGTGACACTGGATCCCGTAAAACTAATTTTGTCGATTCTCCGATGCTCCGTCATCATCGAACCCAGATCATCGCCACCGCTCAAAGCCTGCAACAGACCCGGCGGGAAGCATCTCGTGCCCAGCTCCGCAAGCTTGAGATCGCAGTATGGCGTGAATGGCGACGGTTTGACAATCACCGCATTACCCGTGTAGATGGAAGGCACGATCTTCCCGACCGCTAGCAGGAGAGGATAATTCCAGGGTACGATGGCGCCGATGACGCCTAGCGGGACGTATCGCTGAATAACCTTGCGTTCGTCCGTCTCCTCGATTACTGTTTCGGGCAACTCGAGGGTGGGTAGAGTGCGTGTCCACTGTAGGGTCATGTTGATTTCCATCTGGGATTGGTCCAAGGGTTTGCCCTGTTCACGTGTCAGCAAGGTAGCTAGGGAATCCCTGTTTTCTTCGATGAGATCGGCGAAAGCGTTCAGTGCCACTCGACGCTCTTCGAAGGAGGTAAGAGACCATTTCTTAAAAGCTGCGTGAGCTGCATGGACGGCTTTGTCGAGATCGTAGGCCGTTGAGACTGGGACCGGCGGGTTCGGTTGGCGGTTGGCTGGATTGATGCCGTGATGGGTGGTTTCGGTGCTGGTCAGTTCGTTGCTGATGACATTATGGAAGGTCTACTCTGTTAGTGTCCTGGGTCTGTTTTATCTGAACGATGAAAACCTGGGGATATTACGGTAATATCCAAGGCCATGATGGAATAACCGATGCGTGTGATGGCGAGGTCAGTCTCTCGGACGAGGACCAGGAAGAGGAAGAGGAAAAGGAGCAGCGTAAGAGGTCTTATATGTGCACTTGCTGTGTCACATCTCCATTCTGAAAGAGGCCGTTAGCCCCTCAGTTGTCCGTGCATCATGACAGCCTGTCTAAGTTGCACGATCTGCATGCGAAGATCAGTTTCTATGGCTGGGGGTGCGGGGTTCTTGGTATACGAGCCCAATCAGTAAGCCTCGATAAATCTCACGAAGCACGATGCGATCATACTGCGGAATTTGACAGCCAGTGGGACGCCTAAGGAATTATCTCCCGCATCTGAGGAGAGATGGTCGTCGTGGTTGTAGGAGCAGTAAGGGAGGATTCGGGTACGACGCGGATACGACAACCGCGGAATCTTCTACTTCATACTACAAATCACAGAGAATGGGTTAAGCAAGCAAGACTTCATTGCCCAACAAGTATCAGTTCTATCTTTATCTAAATAGTCGCAAATTCCCAAATCTCATGCCACGGCGACGACAGCAATGCCTGGCTACTATATCACAACTAAGCAAACCATGTCCAGATCCCCAACCCTAACAATAATACCCACTGAACGCTATGAAAATATTGCCCGTATTACACGAGGAGGATGAGTTACCCCCATCTGCGCTGTAAAGTGGCAGCTCTATAGCAGGATTAGCTTGATTCTCTTCATAGAACACCCCTCAAAGAAGACAAGTTACTCACCATTCACCGGCAGCCCCTGTTTCGGCATTCTCACGATCGACAAAGGCGGCGGAGTCAGCGTATTCTCACAGCTGACTTGGTCTCCTCCGCCGTTCACTGAGGCCGAGCCCGTCCAGACATCGATGTGCCAGATGTCCCTTTCCCAGTTCTTGTCGCAGGCCGCGCAGAAATCCTCGTTGCGCGCGTACTTCTGCAAATAGGGCACGTAGATCATCTCGCACTCCTCGAATTCGCCCCTGGCTGTGGCGAAGGTGACTGGGTCATCGTACGTGCCAACTCCGCCGGCACTGTTGCCTCGGCCGCAGTTGTAGAGGATGTCTGGGCCGGGAGGGTCGTTGTCGGGGTAGCCGTAGAAGGTGTGCGAGACGTCCTTGAGGACTTCGCATGCCTTGATGGAGGGAGATAGAGCGAGGAGGGTGAAGAGGAACGCTTTATGCATTATGGAGGACATGGTGGGTAGGCGGGTGGGTGTTTGTATACGAGAAGGCGCTTTTTTGCTATACGTTTTGGAAGGAAGGTGCAGGTGGGAAGGGAAGAATTTCCGGGGAAACTAGGCGAAGGAACGACTTTTTAAATGACTCATAATAGGCTTTTGTTTTGAGTCATCTCGAAAGATTTTGAGGCCTGAGCCGTGGTCGTGTGGCCATGTTGCCGTGATCCTGTCGTCATTTGGAAGTATGGAGAACTTCACGACTCATCATGAAGGAAATGATGAGGAACAGATAGATCATTGATGAAACACGGTTCGACATTCGTTAATACCGCCCTGATGACCCCAGCACGTCCATCATCCGCGCAATCGACTTGGTATAGACCTCCACGGCCTGGACCTTGAGCACGGTTAGCTCCAAGGACCCGGCATTTTCAGCGACAAATTTCGTATATTCATCCCGCACAGTGCGGTTCAGATTGTTCTTCCGAACACCGCACTGAATAGTTTTGAGAAAGAGCTCATCCGAGACAGGATGCGTTCCGTGAAGAGCCAACGGGGTGGTCGGGGATAGTGACTTCCCGATAGCTGCGAGTCTAGGTAATGCATTCATCAGCACTTTCCCTCATTTGTCTTCCATGAATAGGGTCGAAGAATATTACATACCTCCCCAAGTCCCACGCCCTCTCTGGTCCTCCCTCCGGATACCCACCATGAATATTCCCAAATGAAGGCGCCAAAAAATGCACCCCGGTGCGCCGGACAAATTCCTCAACTTGATCCTCCCTCGTCATCACAGCCTCCATATCGACCGTCGGCAAACCGTCTTCTCCGCCCTCAATGCGCCCCATCTCCGCCTCGATGGTGATATTCAAGGCACGAGCCCGCTGCACGATCTCTTTACAGTAGTTGATATTAGCCTCCTCGTCGAGCGACGACGCATCTACTATGATAGAATCGAACGACAGAGCCAGCGCCAACTCGACATCGTTTGTCTTGATGCAGTGATCGAGGTGCACGGCTATGGGGACGCGCGCGGCGTGAGCGCTTCGTACCACGTAGTGGATGAACTCGGGGCCGTGGAAATTCATTGTCCAGGGGAAGAGCTGGATGATTGCGGCCGAGTGCGTGCGTTCGGCGGCGCGGATTATGGCCATTACGCCGTCGGTGTTGTAGCTGTGTTGTTGTCAATGTGGTTCTATATTCAACTATGAAAAAGCGATGAGGAGGTTTTTTTGACTCCTGATTGACAGGTAGGACGATGGTAGGTATACATACCAGTTGTAAGTCCCGACAGCGTAGTCATGCTTGCTGGCATGGTTGAGGATTCTCCAGGTGAGATTGCTTTCGGGATACGTGTATCCATCTTTTGAGGAGGCCATGATTTGTTTGGTGTTTGTCGTGTTCCACTGGTGGACTGATGGATTGTTTTCGCCTTCTTGGCTTATATAGAAGTGTTTGTATGCTTGGAGCAGGCAAGAGGATGACAATCGGATCGCGGTTTATAATGTTGGCTAGGGATTATCGGGCTCGGACCGGGTCCGAAAGGAGTGGGTTGGACTATCTGGACTAGATCTAGGTTGGGCAATTCAGGTGTTGATCGAGCAGTGATTGATTCATCTTTCAATGTATGCGGAGCTCCAGACCTGCTGCAACATATCTCAGTCAGAAGTTTATATGATGCCAGGGAATCTAACGTAGAATTAACCTAAAAGGACAAAATGCAACTTCCGATAGTTTAATTCATAGTTACATCATTGCACTAATTAATAGAAAGCGGTGTATCCGACAAGCTCAACTCATCAATGCCATACTGCTTGGCCGCATCAGCAAACACGCTCTTCTCAGCATCTGCATACGGAATTCCCTCCTTCTGACGCTGAATGCCCAACCGATACTCCGGCTCTCCAGGGAACAGCACCTCCGAGAACCCAGGCGCCGGACTCACCCCATGAACCCTTTGCACCAAGACATCCATCCTGGCCTTAAAGTCCTCCGTACTCATAAACACATCCGGCTTCAACACAACAAAGCAATGGCCCACATTCTATGGCTTCGCATCTTTATACTGATCTCCAACATCCCCACCAAACGCCGCTCCCGTCAAAAACCCCGACATTACATCCATCAGGGTCGCAATGCCCGAGCCCTTCGGCCCCCCAATCGGCGCCATACTCCCATTCAGCGCGACCTCGGCATCAGTCGCCGGATTCCCATCCGCATCGAACGCCCAGCCCAGCGGGATCGCCTCCCCACGACGCGCCGCCTTTCGAATCTTCCCCTTCGCCACGACCGACGGCGTCATGTCCAGCACATACGGGACCTCAGAGCTCGAGGGCGCGCCGGCCGCGAACGGCGAAATCCCCAATAAGGTCTCTTTCCCGCCGAAGGGCGGCATCTGCTTCGCCGAGTTAGTGAACACCAGCGAGATAATATTCGCGGCCAGCGCCTGTAGCACGTAGGTGGCGGCCATGCTGAAATGATTAGAATGGTTCACGGTCACCATGCCGATGCCGTAGATCTCGGCGCGCCGTATCGCGTCCTGCATGGCTTTCGTGGCGACTACGAACCCGAAACCGTTGTCGCCGTCGAGATGCGCGACAACGGGCGTCTTTTCCGTGATCTGCATGTTGGGCGTTGCGTTCACGCGGCCCTTGCTGACGCGGTCGAGGTACTGGGGTAGACGAGCTAGACCGTGTGTATCCTACGTGTAACCGAATAGTATAGACGCAGTCAAGGGAGGTGCGGTGGTACTGATGACGCCGCGCACGTCAGCCAGAACTAAGCATTCCGCCATAGACTTGGCGTCATCTTCGCTTAGACCGGCCTTGACGAGCAGATTGCGAGCGAATTCAGTTGCCTCGGCGGGGTTCGCATAGTATCGGGCCTGTGAGCATCATTAGTGACTTTGGATCACAGCTATTCGTGTTTTTAGTACGCACGTTGGAAGCCATGACGTAGATTTGAGATCGATCAAACCAAAAGCTAGGAGCAACAGTATATTGTGCGTAGAATAAGTTGTTGTATGAGATTGAAAAAAACGGTATAAGTGATGTTTCAATCAGTTAAGAAATTAAATCGGAAGAATCAATGTTTCAATGTCTTTGTAAAAGGAAGGACGGTGGAATAAATCCCGATAGAAGGAGGGCGGTTGGTCTCCATCGGATTCGGTCCGAAATCGCTCTGATTGGCTCGAGATATCTTGTAGAGGGAAAGGGTTCGAACAGCAACCGATCGGACGACCATATAATCATTCGGAGTGATTTGAATGGTTTCAATTAGAGATACTGTAGAAAGGTTGACGACAGGCCCTGTCTTATGCTCACTCCTATCGTTAGTCCTGTAGCTACGACACCGTATCCTGATAACGTTTGCTTTTATTGCGAATTCTAGAAGCTTATCATTCTGATTCACTTTTGGACACAATGTTTTTCATGTCAAGCATCATTGGTCTAGTGGTAGAATTCGTCGTTGCCATCGACGAGGCCCGTGTTCGATTCACGGATGATGCATTTGTTTCGGTTTTTGATTTTTTTCCGCAACATGGGATGTTGTTTACTGCTTCATTTTCCTGCCGAGACCTCCTCATTGACTTTAATAGTGGCATTCCATACAAGTATGGCAGCTAATAATATAGTAAAGCGGTCTTTCTAGTAATATAATGTGGGGGGCAGCATTCTACTCTCCCACATGTATAGTATCGTACACTCTCGGGGCGAGTTCACCCCTGCTTAGCGTCCTTGCAGGGCACCTCGGAGGCCTTGTGACATATACGGTTTACTTACTGAAAATAATTTTAGATTATTATTTATTAAACTATCATATTTTAGTATGACTGCATTGTAGGGGTGTGTATAGAAGATCTAGGTGCCTTGGGCAATCTGCCAAACATGAAAACTAGCGGAATTCACCATGATATCGGCCATCAAGACCATGTTGATATGAAGATTAAAGAGACTTCTTGACCCCTAGATAGTTGATAAAGCAATCCAATCATTTTTTACCACTTCAGCAGCCTACCCCTGGCATCCAGTATTCCTACAATTAGCAACTGCCAAGGGTTGCCGCAGCGTATTGAGAATCGAAGCAGCGGTGGATAAGCGTATTCGCCTTTCCAGACGGTAGTGCTGTGAAAACCTCGCTACGTCCGTTTCGTGGGAAATGCCTATATCAGTCTCCAATGGGTGAAAGCAAGTAAGTCAGACAGAACCATGTGGCGTCTCGGATTACTATCAATGTGTTCCGCGAACCTATTTAGCTGGTAGAACGTTAGGGGCGTAGTTCTTGCCCAGTGGCCGTGCCCAAAATATTAGGAATTAACAGCCCTTGCAGCTCGCCTACAGCACAACAGTTTAGTGTACAGGCTATAAGGGAGGTAGGTCGAACTAGCGGTCAGGATCAATGGTATGAGTAGTTCCGGTAGTTCTATTTAACTCCCAAAGTTCTGCTGCATTAGGACGAACACGGGAATCCGACCAACACTCTCCAGTAATTGCAAGATGGCCCATCCTCCTCTGCATCGAGGGAAGCATGCCACCGCTGTAATTTCAGAATGTCAGCAATTAACAGACCTCATAAACAACAAAACAGAGGTTACACTTGATGGAGAGTCACTCAATGTGAGTGAAGTTGTTGGCGTTGCGTGGTGTGTTGTCGTCCATACACCCTTGCAGATTCCTCCTTGACCTTGGGCAGTTACCAGATACCGGCGTCAATCACTACAGATCCCCGAGTCCATGCCAAATTGAGAGATAGCGTTCATCACCTCGATCGAAAACTGGCCAACGGTGAGATAATCTACGGCGTCAATACGGGCTTCGGGGGCAGTGCAGACACCCGGACAGACGATCATACAACCCTACAGCAAGCATTAATCCAGCACCAGGCGTCTGGAGTACTGCTTCCAACGGACCGCCATGGCCAACAGTGGGCGAAAAGTCAGACTCCACGCATACGGAATCCATACGGCTCGACAAGCCTCAGCATGCCATCTGCCATGGTGAGGGCTGCCATGCTCATTCGCTGTAACTCTCTGTTGCGCGGGCACTCAGCCGTCCGGCAAGAGGTCATCGAACATATTCTGGCCTTTCTACGCGGTGGCCTCACCCCGGTGGTGCCGCTGCGAGGGAGTATATCGGCGTCAGGTGATCTGTCTCCGCTGTCGTACATTGCCAGTGCGCTGGAAGGCAATCCAGACATCTCCGTCCGAAAGGATCTAACCGAAGACGTGATGTCCGCCGACAAAGCACTCCAGCTGTTGGGGCTTGTACCACTCAGTTTCGGCCCGAAGGAAGGCCTGGGCCTGCTCAATGGCACGGCATTTAGCTGCGGTGCGGCAAGTCTGACCCTCTACCAGGCCAACCAACTCGTTGTCCTATCTCAAATCCTCACCGCGATGGGGACAGAAGCTTTGGCCGGCTGCAGAGAAAATTATCATCCGTTTATTGCCGAGGCGCGTCCGCATCATGGTCAAATCGAGGCGGCATCGAACATCTACGCTCTACTGCGGAATTCCCGCCTACTCAAGGCGTCAGTCGACAGGTCCAACGATAGCTTGGCCCAGGATCGCTACGCTCTTCGAACAGCGTCACAATGGATCGGTCCCCAGATCGAAGACATGCTGCTCGCTATGCGTCAGGTGCATTGTGAGTTTAATTCGACCACCGACAACCCTTTAATCGATCCGACAAATGGCCATGTCCATCACGGCGGCAACTTTCAGGCTGCTGCAATTACTGCGGCCATGGGAAAGATTATGAACGTGATGCAGATGCTAGGGAAGATGATCTTCTCCCAGTGCTCAGAGCTGATCAATCCGGCCTTGAACAACGGGCTACCCCCGAACTTGAGTTTCGACGACCCCAGTCTCTCGTTCACCATGAAAGGGGTCGATATCAATATGGCCGCCTATATGTCTGAGTTGAGTTATTTGAACCACCCAGTCAGTAACCATGTGCAGTCGGCCGAGATGCATAATCAAAGCCTGAACTCGCTGGCTTTGATAGCCAGTCGATATGCCGCCGAGACTGTGGAAGTGTTGTCGTTGATGATGGCCGCTTATATGTATGTGCTGTGCCAGGCTGTCGATCTCCGCACCTTACAGGTCGAGTTCATGGAAACGGCGAAATGCGAGATCAACACCATAACCGCTGAGATTTGTGATTCTGCCTGCCACCTTGCCGAAGCTGAGTTACAGCATATCCAAAATACGATGTGGCATGAGATCATGCAACACTGGGCTCGCGGCAGTACGAGTGACCTCCACGACCGAAGCCAGATGGCAGCACGTAACTCCTTGGGAGCGTTGGTGCAGCTACTGCCTGCGCCTAAGACCACCACGTCGGTTGCTGCTTGGCTCACTGCGCAGCACAACTGGGTCAATCGAGTTGCGAACGCCTTACAAACCAGATACTCTGCGGTACGGGAGCAGTTTCAGGCAAATCCTACCACAAAAGGCTACCTTTGCAGGAGCTCGCGGAAGATATACGAGCTGGTACGTGAGAGGCTAGGGGTGCCATTACACCGCGGGATTGTTGACCACCCGACGTATGCTGCGCCGGGCCACGATGCCAAAGAGAAACAATGCACGGGCTCCCAGGTCAGCAAGATATACACAGCTTTACGAGAAGATGAGTTTCGAGAGGAACTGCGAGAATGTTGGGGTTTTGTTGACTCCTCGGTGAAAACTAGCTATAGATGTGTTGAATGTCCTTAAGACAGACCATCATAGACCAACTAATTTTACCGAAATTGCTCTTTATATCCTCTCAAATGCCTTAGAATTAGATATTGCAAGTGAACCTCGCCTTGCAGGCCAAGTGTGGCGGTGTAAAACCGACTGGAAGTTGGCTTTGTACAACTGAGAGATGCGGCTCGCAAGGGTGCAGGAGCAGACGATTTTAGGCCTAATCGGCTAAACTCTGCTGCAAGGGTTTGATGGATCCTGTTTCAATAGTTTCAATACATTTCCGCGACGGTTTCATGTACCTGTAGAACCCTGTCGCATGGGGGTGGTGGTTGGCTCTGCACTTGGTGAGCGTCACCAAGATATGAGGCCCTACCTAAACTAATTTATGAAACATGGGTACTGACCCTGTATTCTCTAGCAACTGAGCATCCAGCGTTAGTACCCGAGAATCCATCCATGATACCGCACAGACACAATTGGGGCCTGCTCAAGGCCCCTTGCTAGTCGCAGCTCTAACGCCGCTCTACATATGCAGGGGGTTCAGCGCGGCATGTTCAGCGCACGAGTCAGACCGCCACATCCACATCGACTACGCTGACTATGTATAACAGCAGACTCAAGAGAGCTTTGTCGTCCAGGACATACATTTGGACCGTATTTTCTCTCGCCTGTCGCGGGAACAGTTGTGAAAGTTGCTCACATCCCTGGAACATACTTTGCCGCGGATCCATCGAGAGGCTTTGAAAATCTCGACTCGACCACATGGAAACCGTGCCCGGACTGTCAGGCTCCTGATGCCTCGCTTAATATGCTTGCATTGATGGCCACCAGAAAAGCAATCAAGTGCCCTGAGAACGGTGGTGTTCCTTGCAATCGGCATGGCGGAGGTATTGAGTTGTAGGTCAACCGTTGCTGCGGGAGACCATGTACTCAAGGGTCAGGAAATCGGAAGTTTTCATTACGGGGGAAGCCCTTTTTGTTTGTTTTTGAGCCAGGTGTTGAGCTGCAGTTTTCACATGCGGTGTACGAGTCTCTAGCTCGTGTACCAGGGATTACTGGTCAATGCATTGCAGTGAATAGTAAGTTGGCATCATTAGAAGTGAATGTATCTTGAATACCCGTTAAACTCGAATTACATGGGCCCTAGGCATCCAACAATGGACCCTACGCCAAAGACCGGTCCAGTTTAGAGGTAGGAAAGAAGCAGTGGAGTCGCCATTCAGGTCAGAACCACATGAGTGGCCATAACTATGCGCAACAACGACACCAGGTACACATATAGAGCCTCCTTGAGTGGCCTGATCAGGCATTTTTATTTCCGCTGGCATCGCTTTTGAATATATAGCTCCTTTTGTCATCATAACGTGCTCAGTAAAGAGTTTGGGCTGTTGATGAATATTGCCACTGTTGAGGAGAACCGGTTAACAAGCCTCTCAGCATCTGGTTTCCCCCCCAACCTGCTCGATAAAATCACAACCGCATACAGGGAGCCCTCCTGTGGATATGTGTAGAGATAAATCGTCCTTTCAGGCGGATTATCGACGCTATGCGCCGACAAGCGCCAGATAGTGTCTCTGACCTGTGTCACTGGGCTAGGGTTAATATTCTCGTGTAAGACTATAGAGTCAACCTCTGTATCACGAGGCCAGTCCGTACAGTTCGAGACAATATCCTGCCACTCAAGTGTCTGGTAGTCTAACGAATCTATGTGTTGGTTCTGCACTGCAAGTAAAAGATCCTTGACCGTCCAGGAGGCGTCGTATTGTATGCGCACAGGAATCGGGTTCAGACATGGCCCTACAATGTTCTCTGGCTCGGGTACATCGACATAACGGCAATTTACCATTTGACAGAAGTTCAAGTCGTCTTTGCCTGTCTCCTGCCGGAGGACGTATGACCAAGCTGCCTTGACTATCGTAGCCCAAGTTATACCAGAAGGGGGTGGAATGGCGATGGGGATGTCGTGCGCAGCCACGATACATGTCTCCTCAGGGTGGTCTCTTGACGGGGTGAGAGGAATGGTCGTCGGCGTCGACCCAACTAGCAAATTACTCCAGAATCGTAAGGAATCTGGAGTACGCATTTCGGCACATTTCCTGACATAGTCCGCGTAGCTGGTTGGGGTACTGAGGGTCTGACCCTCGTATAACTTCCCGAGATCGTTCAAGATCTTTTCCAGGCAGAGTCCATCAAACTGGGAATGGCTAATTCGTATAATAAGCGTATGTTTCTTGAGGTGATCATCCTGCAGCAGTGTGAACTTCAAGAAAGGCCCTCCCTTGGGGACAGGCGATTTCCGATCCTCTGCACAGAGCGAATGTGCCCACATATCACAGTTATAGCTATCGGTGGGTGCCGTGAAACCAGCCCAGGGTACTTCCACTCTCCTCAGAACTAACTGCACATGATTTTGCCTGAAAGGAACAAAGATAGTCCTCAGTATGGTGTGCTCTCTCACTAGATCTTCACAGGCCCGGCGTAGTCTCACGGGGTCCAGAGGACCCGATATTCGGACAAGTAGGTAATCCATGATCTGATACTGGACGAGGAATAATTGTGTCTCCCGGACTGGAACAATGTCCTCAATCATATCAGTGGTCAGTCCTTCAGGAAGATCACGTACAAAATTCTTTCGTAGAGAGTGGAATTGATCCAGGTCCGCTTTGGTTGAGGTCGTTTGGCTCTGCAGGGAGGGACAAGCCTTGCCGCACTTCGCAAGTGCGCTCAGGCTAGGTTGTTGAAGACAATCAGCGACGGTGATGGATACCCCCCTTGCTCCTGCAAGGGTCACCATCTGCCTTGCTAACAAGGAATCTCCTCCCAAACCGACAAATTGATCGTCCATCCCAATCTGTTCGGGTGCAATGGATAGAACCGTTGCACAGATGGACTGCAGCACTGCTTCCTCATTTGTGATAGGAGGGCAATAAGGTCTGGGAGCATTCATATATGCGAGTATCTCCTTTCGACGTAACTGAGAGATCGTCTCTGCCAACAGTTTCCGATGAAGCTTTCCCGACGGTGTTCTCGGAAGTTTTGAAACGGATATGAAAGAGCTCGGTATCATATACGCAGGCAGCACCTTGCTCATCCGGTCCAATGCTCGCTGGGCAAGGTGTAGGAACGTATGACTGGGTGGGAGGAGCTCGCATAAATCCGACTTTCCATCACTCTGCGAAACGGTGGGGACAATGGCTACTAGCATGCCGTACTGAGACTGACTGTCGCTTGGGCGAACTATCTCAGCGACAACATGGGAGGCCTCCGGAAAGTGACTGCGTAGATGATATTCGACCTCGGCCAGTTCAATCCTCTGGCCGCGAATTTTGACTTTTCTCCCTTTGCGGCCTCTGAACTGGAAGGATCCATCAACCGGATTCCGGGAGAAGAGATCCCCGGTTTTCAGAAATCGACTGGATTGATCATTCCCCACTCGTTGCCCCCATAAAGGATTGGTGATGAGTGCTGCCTGCGTTTGCTCTATGTTGTTCAAGTAAGAGCTTGCCAGACACGGCCCTTGAAGGACCAGTTCCCCTTCAGCTCCCAGAGGCATCAATCGGTCATGGTCCGTCGCATCAACAATCCAACCGGCGCCCCAATCTGGGTAGCCGAGCGAGGATAGGTCTCCCGGTTCGACAATGCGTTTTGTCATGATGGGACTACCGCACTCAGATTGTGCATACATTGAGTAGAGAGCAACTTGTTTCGCCCATTTGCTGATTTCCAGCCGCCCTATCGCTTCCCCCACAAGGAACATGGTTTTGATACTGGGAACCTTCTTGGGATCGATGACTCGAGCCACAGATGGTGTAATCATAGCCCAGGTGACACCCATACTCTGGACCAGCCCTTCCATATTATTTTCGAGCTGATGCTCTGATGGGATACACAAACAAGCTCCTCGGGTCAATGCCGCTAGATGCTCCCACATGCAGGCGCTGAAATTATAGGATGTCGATTGAAGTACCCGAGACTCCGGACCTAGTCCAGGAACTTCGGGACCGCTGGCAAAGGCCGTGTGGCTCATCAAGACCCCTTTGGGTACCCCGGTCGACCCGGACGTGAATCCAACGTGTAGTGCGTGATGGCTCTCATCTGTAACTTCTGTCCAACGGTTTGGTTTCCCTGAAGCCTGACGGGAGTCATCATCTACCACATCCGGTATGATCATGACTGGGGGACCAAGGAGAGAAGCCTTAGCATGATGTCGACGTGAAGTGAGGACCACTTGGGGCAAAGCCACATCGCACAGTGTTGCGAGCCGATGGGCTGGCTGCGAGGGATCTAGCAGTGTAAACGCTCCTCCAGTTTTTAAAGATCCAAGTATGGCGACAGGTGTCCATTTAGACTTCTCGGACAAGATAAAGACAACATTATTTGGCCGGACATTGGCAGCGGACAATGTTTGAGCAAGGCAGGACGCTTTGCTGTCAAGCTCGCTGTATGAGAGATCCCCATCCCAGGCGCAAATGGCTGGCGAAAAGGGCCGTTTTTCACATTCTCGTTCAATCAAATGATGAACGCATTCGATGGATTCCTCCATGCTACCCAGCCTGTTCCACTCGCCCATTTTCTTCAGGTCCTCCGGATTGCTTTCTTGGATGTCTGCCAGACGAGCGTCCTGATTCTTAGTGACTTGATCGAGAGTGAATGCGAATTGGTGAATCATGGATTCTACTATTTCCTGACACACGACGTCGGAGTCAAAAACGGCGTGAACGGTCACACATTCGCCTCCTACTCCGCAGCTCACGATAAATGGATAATCAGAACCAGTTGTCTTGTGTAATGTGGCAGTTGCTTCGTCCAGACCGTTCAGCGGCCGAATTAAGAGAATATTGCGGAAGTCGCATATGCGAGTGGCCTCTGCGCTGCTGGTGCGCATATTGCTCAGACCCAGTTGTTCGAAATGGCGCTTCATACTCCAGTATTGGCTCACCATATCAGATGCAGTCCGCACTGTATCGCCAGACTGCAAGGTGAGATGGCAAGGGACAATAGAGTCTGGCCCCTTGTGTTTCCCGTCACTGTCATCCAGAAGGCCATAAAGAACTTCAGATGAGCTTGTATAAATTGCGAGAACTAATGCCCAGCTGAGGCATAGACGGGTTGGCAATGTGTCATCGGAACTGTGATTTGAGATCACCCTTTTGATCCGGCTGTCAAGCGAAGTCATGTAGGATTCAGACGGTAAAGATGGAAACGTCACACCGTCAAACTCCATAAACTTGCTCCCCATGGCCGACTCTGCCATACTGTTATTTTTTCCGGTTGTGGCCGTCATGTCCAGTTCTGTCCTTGTCGCTTAACAAGATATTTTGATCGTCGATTGCTTCAAGACCTTTCAGAAAAATCACACTGTAAGATTTTAACTTGCTGGGAAAGAGTCTTTTTACATAAGACTCTTGCCAAACGGACGGGGTTCTGGATAGACCCTTTGTGAACCAAAATTACCCTAGGACAGAAGTGCCCCGGTGATTCAGGCATCATTATCACAATTCCTATTTCCCTTGATTGTCATATCCCTTGATTGTCATATCCCTTGATTGTCTCAGGCATTGTTTGTTGATCGTTGCATGTTCAGGATTGCGCAGATTTGAATACTTAAGGGGTGAGGATACGAGGATAGATCACGAAGGGGCAACCTGATTTCATTCGTTTATGACCGTTACCTGTGGGTGTATGAGAAAAACTAATTGTGTTGACACCTTTCAATGCTTCATTCGTTCTCCTTCACTGCCACGCCCCTGGGCATTCTTCAACGGACGTGTAATGATGCCAAACAAATGAGATGGGATTCCTCAAGCATTACTGGCGGCATGATACATAGCTGATGATCCTCAGGGTGAGCTACAATACGCTGCAGCCTTTCTACTACTACATTTTACATGATCTCCCTGCGTCGCCAGTACGCGTGGCTGACCTGGCCTACTATTTCAATTCATGTTTTTGTCTACATTCCAGTGTACTCCCACATTGTTTATGCGAGGGCTAATGCCGGCGCCATGTAACACAAGTAAAGTGGTGTATGGAGTATACATCGTCATCGTAAGCAAGGGAGTATGCATCTCAAAGCGGTTCTTCCCACCGAGAGTTTTCTGGCCTACGGGCAGCTCACACTATTAAAGCCATTTCCACAGTCACTCAGAATATTCTAAGCTTTGCGTAAGGACCCCATCATTTCAATCCGTTCGGTCAGCGTACCAGCTGTTCACAATTACACCTCGACCTGTGCTAGAAAGACTCTCAGTGCTCTCAATATGGGCTCTATCGGGCTTGATCATCATGACCCGCAGCTAGCAGCTGCTCTATCCAGCAATGAGGCGGCAGATATGGCCACTCTAGACTGCTCAAAGCTAAAGGGGTCTCCCTCAGAGCGGCGTGAGGCTCTTAGACAACTGGACGAAGCCCTTCAAAACTACGGGTTCATCTACCTTGCCAACCATGGCATCTCACAGACACTTTTTGACGAAGCATTTCAATGGATAAGTCGCATCCTTTCAAGATATATGCTATCCCATATCATGAAGCTGACTAGTCTCATACTCCGAGCGCTTCTTTCACCTCGATCCTTCTACCAAGAATATGATTGCTCGTCCGGCGAGCGACTCCCTGGATGATCACTATGGGTACGCCGCGTACGGTGTTGGGCACATCAGCCAACTAGTTTTTGGAGAAGAAGAGGTCGAAAAGCATCACGCTGCCTCCCCTGACCACAAAGAGACGCTGGAAGTCGGCAATCCGCATGAGCCAAGTGGAAGCGGCCCAAACCGCTGGCTGCCGGAAAATATCTTTCCAGGATTCCGGAAGTTTTATGAGGGATTCTGGGACGCATGCAACGAAGTCGAAAAATCACTCCGACAGGCGCTCTGCGAAATTATCGGGATCGAGCTTGACACCCTCTGTCGGAAACAATCGCTCAATTTCGGTCACATCAGCTTCCTCCATTACCCTCAGATGGCCCTGAAGCCGCAAGACGGCAAAGACCAGCGGCGATTGAATGCGCACACGGACTATGGCAGCTTGACGCTAGTATTTCAGGATAACGTCGGGGGGTTGGAGGTCCATGACGGACAGGTGTTTAGGCCCGTCATTCCCAAGCCGGGAACCATCGTCGTCAACGTCGGCGATATGTTGGAACGCCAATCGAATGGGAGGTGGAAGAGCGCCTTGCACCAAGTGGTTGGTCCTAGGAAGGAGGCAATAGTGGAGGGGTTCGAGACATCCAAGACTCTTCTCGATCGATACTCCATCGCATACACTGGAGCAGTAGACCCAGAGGTGATCATTGAAACATTGCCGGGATGTGAGGTACCGGGCCGATGGAAACCTAGCATGGCGGATTGTGACGAGGAGAAGCCAGTTACCTCATATGAGTGGCTCCAGAAAAGAGTAGCAGCAGAGTACCATCAGACTTCATAAAAGCCACCAAGGAAGCGAGGAGGGGCGAGATAATATGGACAAAAGACATGTGGTTCTTTTTTTTTTATGGGTACGCCTTCCAATTACGCCTTCCAAGCTGCTTGTATAGACCGACATTGATTCCTGAAGTCCGTATTTATGGGCTTACACTACTCGACGCACTGTATATGGTGAGTTAGCTATTATTTTGCCAACAAGGGTGTACTTGCGCTAGATACTAAGCCAAGCAACTAGAATACCGGGCGCAAGGAGAATCATTAAGAATTCTATCAAGGGATACTGAGTGACCCCCAGTCCTAGGCTGCATACCATACAGCTCTGCCCAATGGTACGTAGCTTTTTGAATGCCCAATGCCTCTATCCCTCTGCCTTTTGACAGTGTACATGAATAGACCGCGAACGCTTCAGTTCGAAAACATTATTTCACCTCTGCTTCAAATGCTGCTCCCAAAATGCACCAGGAACTGGAAGTGCCATCATGCAAGGGAACTCAATGGGCACATACCGGCGGGAGTGGGCCCCCTTGGGCAGTATATGTTATTTTCGGTAGGTATTTAGGACTCTCGTAACCCGCCCACTTTATGCTGCTTGTAGTACATTTATGGTGCGTTTTCAGCATCCTGCCACACCTTATTCTTTAAGCTCGCGCTATCTTCTTACCAGTTATTTCGACCCTGTCTATCTGTCATGGTAAACTTAGCTATTCCATGGCTACGCCGTGGCCGAAGCCAGAAAGCTCCCCTGCTGCTTCAATACAGGTCCTCAGTATTCTTCATCACATTTGTGGCTTCATATGCGGTTTTTACAGTACGTACATGTCAGGCTGAAAAGAATTGGGCCGACCGTAGGGTTAACGGGTGGGCTGACAGGACACGTGATAGGACAGCCTCCTGTATGGATTGGTATGCATTCCTGTGCCTACATACGGTCAAGACCGTTGTGGATTCTAACTCATCATGACTACCTTATTAGCTGGTTCCAGTGATACCTACTGCTATGAATGAGCGCCTTCAAGTTCCTGTGAGAGACGGTACAATTCTACAGTGCTCTGCTGCTCTATTACCCATTTATGAGGCTCATGAATATCCAACATCCATGCAGAGCAAAGATGGACATCTATCTTGATGGCTTTATACGGTGCTGCTCAGTTTATCTTTGCACGTGAGTGAACATCGGGCTGTGGCGCGATCGGTGCTAAATGTGTACAGCTATTAGTGGTTTCTTGTCGGATCGAATCGAATCGAGATGGTGGCCCATGATGGCCGGCGTGCTGACTCTAGGTGCCGGTACCGCTTTACTGTGTGCCGGTAGCAGCATCGGACTCTGGGTAACAGGCCGGTTGCTACAGGGAGCAGCCGCTGCAACGGTATGGTCTGTGGCATGCGCCTTAGTAGTTGACACCGTGGCAGGTGATCGGCTCGGCCACGCGATGAGCTATATGAGCATGGGCATGACGCTTGGAAACCTGGCGGGTCCTCTGACTGGGGGTGCAGTATACGAACACGGGGGCTACTATGCAGTCTTCATTGTGGCGTTTGCTTTTATCGGAGTCGATATTGGGCTGCGGCTGTTGATTGTCGAGAAAGAGCAGGCTTTAAAATTCCTCCCGCTACCTGTTACTCCAAGCTCCCACAGCATCACAGCCCAGGCCGAATCAGGGCTGGAACTGGCAGGTCTGGACGACCATGATCCAGTAAGCCTACATCCACACACGGGTCTAAGAGGTTCTTGGGAACTCCTATCCTCTCTGCGCATGCTCATCGTCCTATGGGCTTGCGTCGTGATTGCTGTTATTGTTTCGGCTTTTGACAGTGTCTTGCCGCTTTTTGTTCAAGACACGTACGGTTGGGAGCAGACTGCGCAGGGGCTGATCTTCATCCCGCTCCTCATCCCGAGCTCTCTCAGTCCTATAGTCGGCTGGGTTAATGACCGCTATCCCAGCTCTCGGCGGATTTTGGCGGGAGGTGCTCTGATGATGAGCGTCCCAACCTGCGTTCTTCTCCGTCTAGTAGAAGTCAACGATACAGGGCACAAGATACTGTTGTGTGCGCTTCTTCTGTTGCTTGGTATTTGCATGGGTATACTATTCCCACTTGTGCTCGCGGAAAGCTCATATGCCGCTTCGGAAAAGGAACAGGAAACCCCATCTATGTTTGGTAAACAGGGGGCAACGGGACTTGCATACGGGTTTTCAAATGCCGCCTATGCTGCTGGCTCAATAGCTGGGCCGTTTTTGGCTGGACTCGTCCGGCAATATGCCGGCTGGAGTACGATGTCGTGGTCATTGGGCTTGCTGACCGGGGCCTCTGCTTTGCCTGTTGTATTGTACTTTGGCGGGCTTCTGTCCTGGCGAATAAATCCACGACAGTAGCTAGTTGAATCAAAAGGGAACTCTACATCTTCCATATCGGAATAAAATGTAGAGATTTAGTGGCTAGGCTCCATTCACCCAGAGCGAAAATGCGAGTGACGGATATGAGAAGCGTTCTAGCTATTATGCTTCTAGCCTTTCTAATTATATCTCATTGTCAGCGAATATGGGGCAATTTGCCGCTTCCGTCTAGATCAACTCTGACGGCATTCAATGGCTTCAAGATAAGCCGATTTCAAAGAAGCCACGTAGTCATATTGCATGTTAAATAGCTTCGTTTCGATCCTCTAGATCAAGAGGATCAGACCTTCATTGAGCCTCGATTCTGCATACAAATTACTAGGCAATACGAAACTTTCATGATTCAATACTCATCAAGTCCAGCCGAAGATTTAGAATTACCATAGGACGGAAACTCTGATTGTTAGCGGAATTGATCTGGAACTGGGGTATGGATAGAAGCAGACTTCAGTTGCATTAATTATGCAGATCTGATAGCCCTAACTTATACGGAGTAGATATAAGGCGATCTATAGCAGTAATCAATGCCTTCATTCAGAATAAAACTCGATGTCTCTGCACGGGTAAGAGCTTGGTTAATCTAACTACAGACATGTTTGCAGTCCCTATCCAGTGAAATGATGTACAATATATTCTCCTTCGCTCTCGTAACAAGTACATACGACCACAGGGTGTGGAGAACAGGGCTTCCCGTCCGCTCAGCCGTACTTAAGCCACACGCCGGCAGGTTAGTAGTTGGGTGGGTGACCACCAGCGAATCCCTGCTGTTGTATGTTTTTGTTTTGGCTTAATTTTTGGCTCTCTGCATTGTACAAAATATGAGTTCCGGAGTGTGAACTCTTCTAAGCCCCAAAACAAAGGAACTGGTGGGCCCGAGACAAGCGAGTTGGAGGGTAGGCGTGGCCCATCGATGGACTGATATTGTCACTGAGTTGTGTTGACAGGACCCTGAAGTGAGGTACCACTCGATTTATGCATTCCGACCATCCAATGATGTACTGATATAGATATTGAAAAACTAAATTAGTCCTGCCGCCACGCCCACGATGGCGCTGTGGAGCCTTCAGGAAGTATGCCACTGTATTTGTATAGCGTGGTGCCTTCGACCATGTAGTGGGTGCAGACGTACTTGTCAACTTTTGAAGTTGACGATCCATCCCAGGACCCGGATCAGTGTCGAACTCACATCCAGGTGGTATCTCACATTCTTGTATTGATTGGAAGCATACTGGTTACCTTATTAGAAGGTCGAATATAAATACGAGTGGCTGTGCAGGTATCTGTGTGTTACAATTCCATTGGGGTCATCGACCCCGGACAACCACTGGATCCGACAGTCGTCGGGCAATTTTAATCCATAGGGTGTCGGCTCCACTGACGGGGTTCTCAACAGCCGCGTACAACTCCACAACTAGATTGTAATACGGTTGTTGGCCTCGGCGTTTCCCGTTTGCCGTGGCCTTCTGGAACTGGATCCGCTCAAATGTATGCTGAGTTGGAGGCTGAGACAGTTGTGTAGCGCCGGTGTAGGAGTCACTGTACTCCAACCCCATCCGCGCAGCTGACGAGCCCAGGAAGAATCCGTGATCACTGTTGTTTGGGCTTGAGCCTGGGCCAGGTATTAACGGCGGCGGTTAACTGGGCTGTAGCACTACCTTGGCGGGCTTTCGCTCGGACTGCTTGTCACGTTTTGGCATGTGCTGGACTAACTCTCTGATCTTGCTGTACTGCCCATTCACAATCGCTGATATAGTCATTGAAAACGCAATGATCCTCTGCGTTGTGCTGTCTGGAAACGTGAGGAACATGGGGCCGTCTGTCCACGGTTGCAGGGAAAAGCTACATGAGACGGAAATATAATTGCACCGGTAACAGGTCCAGTTCTCGTTGATTTGGAAAAATCCCTTGTGGATCTTCGCCTGAATCTCTGGCTTGATGGTCTGCTCTCCCGCCATAATTGGCTGAAGGATGCTGGTATCGTGAAATGGAGGAGCATCGGCCATGGACGGCTGGAGGCGCTGGACCGGGTCCATCAATACAGAACCATGCTGAAGGTTTATACTGGAGGAGTGGTCCATGTATCCTTCAAGACCCGTAGTCATTGTGTATGGAGCAATTCTGGACGTATTGCTCAGGCTCGACAACGACGGGAATGTGCCTCCTCTGTGAACAGTGTAAGTTCCCGTGTAAATATCGATTTTTTCTAGCAGCCCCGTGCCCCCTGACACAGTAGAATTTAGTGACTGAAGAGCAGGCGATATAGTGACAGGATAGTGGCTATCGCAGATAATCGTATTTATAATTAACTTCAGTGCGGAAATAATGCCGTGCAGGAATTTGACTTACAGTGAGGGAACGCGGTAGGATCAAAAATCTGACATCCTTTCAAATCAGAGACCCGTCGAGGACGGATGGATAGAGTGGTACTGGGAGAACGCTTCTATAAGCTCTATGGTCAATTGCTTTGCCTTGAAGAGGCCATGCGTGCAGAACAGAATGGGTTGACAAGGCTGAGATAGGGAAGAACCAACTAGGCCTCGGAGAGGGGCAACGAAACACCAAAGGATTACACTAATGCAAGACCACGTACCCCGGTCACAGAGAACCAATCAACAATGATCCGTACCATGAGGCTTCGTACAGCATCTCTCTATCGTAAGGAGTGATGTCGGCTGCGGTCTGCACCATACAAATACGGCAACACAGAACGCGCCCAAAATGCAATTATCTGTTAGGCTATAAGATATGTAAATTAGACTCCCCTACCCCGTGAAAGGCTAGACATTGTACGTACAATGTTGCTGACACGAGCAAACGAGTCACTCAAATTTCTATGTTGGAGAAAGAATTGAATACGCAATGGGTGAGGGGATCTCTGTCATATTCTAGGCTGCAAGCTATAGTTTGCAGGGATTGGGATTATACGATGAACAAGGATATTGGTTTGTCTATGTCAGTCCTTTGAAAGCACAGCCTCCCAAATCCGGTTCCTTTCTGAATTAGTAGGCAACATTACTGGTTTCGCAACTCTTCTCACTCACCAGATTTAACTACAGGTTAGTGGTCCCTCATTCCCTAAGCCGGGGACTAGGGTGCAATCCAGTAGTTTGACCATCCTTATAACAACTATGGATGATCTTTACCAACCAAGCGAGAGGATAACTGTCTTTCTGTCCTGCTACTTCATCTGTGCTTTGGGTTTAACTATGGTTCTACTGCAACATACCCTGTTGTGGCATTCAAAGACTGTCTAATTCTGCGCGGATAGTCTAGGTTACATATAAAATCTATCCAACAAGGTACCTTTATTAACACCAGTACGGCTGCTCTATTAGCTATGCTGTAAATCCGGCTCTTTCGTGTTTTCAAATTAGCTCTCCAGCAGTATTTTCCCGTTCACCTGTTTCTTGGAAACGTCATAACTCCGGACGAATGGTCTGCTCACAACACCATATAGGCAGGATTAGGCTGCGGTATGACCGCGGTTAACCGCGGTTAGCCATCACCTTTCCCGTTTCTGCAGCCTCCTAGCCCTGAACACGAGCAACCTCCTAATTGCTGCAAAGACATAAAAAGAGCTAGACTGCCTGGCAAGTATAATTACTTCAGCTGTCTACCGCGTACGAAGCCTCAGCACTCAGATCCCGACCTCAGGGGAGAGGCTAACCGTGGTAGAATCAAGGGCGCAGAGAAGCGCTCCAGAATTATCGCGCTAGATTGTGTATACAAAAGGAATTTCGACGGGTAATACGATACGCCCAACGGAAATTCTGGAGAAACAAAATTAATGCAACTACTACGAGTAAAGAGGTATTTGAGATATCCAAGTGGCACAAGACAACAGTATCCTACCGGAACCCTCTAATGAAGAATAGGATTTCTTGCAACCTGGCTCCCCCAGCAGCTAGCACACAAGAAAAACGTGAAATCTAGCCCGAAACCCCTACAGAATTTTGCTGAAGCGGAAGATATACCGCTAGACACACCCACGATCCCGTCTAGATCTCTGCTATTCCCAGATATATCAATTGAGTAGGTAGAGAAAGCAGTGCTGCACGCAGGCAATACAACCCCAGGTAGTGACGAACTGTTTACCAGCATACTAAAGACAGTATGGTCCCTGGTCAAGGATATGGTTCTTGCTCTATCAAGGATACTTATTAACTGGGTATTACTCCCAATGTTTCTGACACGCTGTCCTGGCTATCATCCAAAAGCCAAATAAGACAGACCTGGCGAATCCCAGGTCGTCCAGACCAATTGCTCTTCTCTCAATCCTAGGCAAAGGCTTAGAACGCCTGTTAGCACGGAATATAGCATAGATAGCTATTTCCTACAAAGTCCTGGCTAGCCAACAGTTTGGGCCCTACCTCTTCGTTCTGCTGTTGATCCTACTACCTGCCTGCTACATGATGTAGAGCAAGCTCTAAATCTGGACAAGACAATGAGTTTATCTTTCAGCCCATTGCTCCGGCAGATAATCTTCCACTGCTGCTTCCGCTGTGGAGACTTTCACTTCTCACGGCGTAAGAGGAACGGCATCAGCAGACCGATGCATATCGGGCCGGTGACCAAACACCCATCTAAGAGCGTCAGAGTCCTGGGACTACACCTAGACACGAGACTCAACTGGAGAGCGCACGCAGGGGCGCTGCAAGAAAGGATGGTCACCCAAGAGAACGCACTCAAACGACTGACAGGCTCAACCTAGGGCCTCCCCATGCTACAAGCCCGAAGGGTCTACAACACAGTTGTTCTCCCGGCCCTTACCTATGCGAGCCATGCCTAGCACACCCCAATCGGAGGAAAACACAAGATAACACACCCCCACCCTCCGCCTGGCCCGGAAGGTCCAGGCCAGATGCCTACGAAGAATCACAGGGGCATTTAGAGCCACACCAACGTCCACCCTAGAGATACTTGCCCATACTACCCCGATAGAACACTACCTTACGGGAAAATTGGCCGGGTACCATGCGAGGGCCGCGAAACGGGAAACCAGCGAGCTCACAAAACAGATATGCAAGAGGGTAGTGGGCGTCTTCCGGCTAGTAGTCTATAGACAGGAGGTCGTGGGATACAACAGACCCATGCTACAGGGATGGGGCCAGGCATGGATCAAAAGGGCGCTACCACCAGCGGCGAAGAAGTGGACCGAAAAGTGCAGGATATGAGAGGCAGTCCTTCAGAGATCGAAAGAGGAAAGATAAGGGCTCCGCAGGAGTCCATCCGAGGCAGTCCGACACAGACCAACCAAAGACCTGCTCAAGCTTCAGGCTGGTCTGCACAAGGCCGAGAGCCCCGTGTTAATACAACTTCGGATAGGCAAGGTAGGACTGGCGGCCTTTCTACACCACGCAAAGGTGCCAAGAAGGGATTCCCCGATGTACCCCAAATGCAACGGGGGCAAAGAAGACCCTAAGCACGACAGCATACCACGAGGTCAGACATAAGCTAGAGATACAAGGACGGATAGATGTTGGGCGGCTGCTCCCCACCCCCAAGGGGGTACAAAAGATAACAAGGTGGTAGATACGAAAAGGAGTGGTCAATCAAATCCGGCTGGCAAATAGGTTGATTGAGGGTTAATGAGGCTGGTGCTAGCAAAAGGGTACCAGGGATGTGTACGAAGAACGAAAGATGCATCACTGAGACGGAGGGATTTTTTACCCGATAGGGCCCTCGGCCGGGCGGCCCTACGTGGTTTTCCCCCCTAGACAGCGAGATAGACCGGATGGCTATCGGCCCAACAGAGTAACAATTCTATTATTATGACTATTATTATTTGTCAAGACCTTCAATACATTCGTTCGTTGTAGACCTTGGTCACATGAGCAGAATTGACAATAGTAGCCCCCTGCGTAGCTCACAACATAGTACCTAGTGATCCAGCAAATACCTGAATATCAGAGTTCCGATATCAAGATCCTACCCTCCTTCCCCTGTGCAATTCATAACAAAAATCAATGACTAATTAAAAGTAATCGGTTACGATATTCAAGGTGAATATATCGACCACTTTTCAGTAACGCAGCCCATGCAGAAAACTAGGAACAACAACAGCCCCATCCTTAATAGTCAACCGCTCCATAAGCGCACGCCGCAGAGCATTATTGCGTTTCGCCGAGCCACTGGTCCCGTCGCTGATCTGCAAAGCTTCTGCAAGCTCATCACGCGAATCTCGATCCCACTTCAACCCAAGGGCCTTCAGGAGATCCACAACGGACTCCCTCCATTTTTGACCCTCATTCTTGCGCCGGGCTTCTTGGTCTAGCAGATTCGCGAGGGCAGCACCGTGAGCCACAGGCTGAGCTGAATATCCAGTAGAGCTGGATGTAGAATTTGGAATGATATTAGAGGCCGGGATCCGGGAAAGCAGCTCCTTCGCATAAGCTGAAGCAGCAAGCGCAGCATATCTCTTCCAGTGGTCGTTTTTATGCGAGTCTGCATAGTCGCTGATCCCTCGGATCACGAGAGACGGTAAGTTCCGAACGACACCTGCTGCTTCCATCTCAATACACAGGACGCCGTATCTCGCGCGCAAATCTTCTCGTTTGGTCGCACTTTTGACCACCTGGCTCCCGGAGGCTATTGGTCCATAGTGAACGCGAGGGGTAGGCTCGTCGCGGGCATCGCGCTGACGTAGGCGTGTTTTATCGCACCTGTCGCAGTCGACGCTCCCAGCGACGTGTTCGTAGTCCGATTCGAACAGTTTGTCGTAAACATCGTCGGGTCGTGAAAAGGCGGACGCTTGTTCCACGACGTGCGAGATTATCTGCGCGATATTGCTCTGGCTAACGATATCTGTTGCCTGCATATCGCAAACAGCACTCCGAAGCCGGGGCGCAGGCGCGTTAGGAAAGTCCAATTGGATAAAATCATCAGTCAACTGTTTTCCGAAATCATGATGGGTGATGCCATTAGATAGGTGCCCGGGCGCTGCTACCACAATATCGCCAAGGCGAATATCGCAAGTACTGCTGGGTGCCCCGCCACCGATTCCGACGAGGAGGGCGAACCTAATTTCGTGGAAGCTCCACTTCAGATTGGTAGCAGTTTCCGCTGCATTATGCGGTCCTTGAGTGCCAGAGGTGCACAACACGATATTGTGACCTGCGATTTCGCCGAACTTATACTGGTTCGGGTCTTTCTTGTCAATGTCGCGCGGTGCGGTGTGTTTCACCTCCAAAAATTGGCTGAAAGCCGCGAGTTCTTCAGGAATCACTGTGATACAGGCGATATAATAGTCCTCCTTCCTGAGAGTCACGGAAGATGCCATTGTTTGTTGAACCCTGTGTAGGGAGTGGGCGATAAGTCTTGTTAACAGGGTACACCCAGTGTTATCGAGTCTTTCGTTTCGGAAATCATCTATCAGAGCCATCACTTACCGAGGGATAGAAGCTGGTGCTTATTATTTAAGAACGCAATAATAATGTGGGTCGTGATGGAGGGTAGCGAAAGGCTGAGCCTTGCAGTACAAATGTGTCACGCGGGCCTGGCAAGGCATGTTCAAACTCCGCCCGAATCTCCAAGATTACATCGATGAGTCGCCCATGTCAATTGTTGATAGGGGTCAATGAGGAGACTGGTAACCCTGATAGGTGTTCCAAGCCTGCACTAGCGGTGCTGGATTGAGCGTCGTCGAATGGCAGAGGTTCCGAGTCTGAATTGTTCAAGCGCCCACGAGAAAATACCTTGCGCAGGACAGGGATATCGGCCCAGTGTGAGAGGGAAAAAAAAAGCAATAAATCATATGAACAAGGCGAAATTGGTCTTAGCGAACGGTTCACATAATGATTGGAATCTCCTTAGTCTTGTCGATATTGGCTGGCTCTAATCAGTCACTCGCAGTACGTAAACGCCTTGCTGACGTGGCTCTAGAGCGATGGCAGAGCCTCTCTACTGCCGGCTCACGGTTCTCTCGTCGGCGTGTATAAAGGCTGTTTCCCTGTGCCCAGAGATCAGTTATAAGCTGTGGAGTCCGCTGCATCTTCGGTCCACTAAGTGAGGTAGCAAGATTACTCCCCGTGGAACTATTTTGATCAATACCAGTGAATAGCCCTTTAAGTGGCGCCGCGTCTCATCGTTGATGTGCGTCAAAGCTCAAACGCGTTCCCTGTTCATCGCCCGCGATGAGCTCTCCTATCCTGAAATATAGTTCTGACGGTTCCGGCAACGAGGGTTGCGTAATTGATAATGCTCTCAATATCATTGACGGATGGAAAGAAGACTTGCCCACGAAGGAAGATGCAGTTACGCCAACGGACGATAATTTTACATGGCCCTTCAAGCGGTTTTCAAACCTTGCGAAGGTCGCAAAGGGAAAAGTCACTAGTAGCATGGTCAACTTTATCAAGACACAGTAAGTCTGCGAAGTATCTTTTAACTATTGTAATATTTAATTTTCTAACGCAATCTCCCCCTCTAGTCTGAAGGGAACGAAGCTCATATTTGTCGTCGGCTGTACCGGATCCGGGAAGACTACTCTTCTCGGGGAGATAACAGGTCAAGACCTCAATATTGGAAACTCAGCAAAATCAGGTATGTCTGCGCGTCTAAACGGTTCATGATGAATCTCCCTTATGCGTGTACCACAGGGACCCTTGGTTACCAGGTGCTTCCGGCAGTTGTACACGGAGAGCAGTACCTATTTGTCGACACGGCAGGGTTCGGTGCAGAAGATATCGATGATAGAGTGGTTTTTGAAGACATTATGGGCTGTGTCTGTACGCTGGGAGAATGGGTGTCTATTGCCGGTGTTATGTTTGTCCACGATGCCCGCCAGCAGCGATTGACGCAGAGCGAGATGAGAACGATTCGCTGGCTGCAATGTTTCTGCGGTCCCCAGTTCTTTCGGAAAATCACAATTGTCACAACCCAGTGGGACAGGTTGACTAGCGAGGATATGGACCAAGCTCGGGATATAGCCAAGGAGTTGGAAGTATTGGCCTTTGCAGATATTCTGCTGTCGAAGTATGTCACGAGCGGTCATCTTTATTACCACGGAGTGGACACCGGAGATGGCAACGGATGGAATGCTTTGTCCAGAAGTAACTGCCCAAAAGAACGATCCAAGATGGCTGCAGACCTCGTTCGAGACAAGTACGGACTACGTGATGGGATTCCAAGACTTCAGGTCCTAGAGGAGCTTGCCATCGGCTGGGGACTCTTTGAAACCCAGGCGGCTGCGTCTCTTTTCAATACATACCCGTCTTCGACGATCTGTGTACTGCGGTACAAGGCTGTTATTATGAAAGTCGACGAGAAACTTAGGCCTAAACAGCAAGAGGTGGAATTGGCGGCTAGTGCACCAAAGCCTCCACAGGAGAATCCCACTTCAGAAAAGTCTACTTCGAAATGGTGGGAAGTTGCAAAAGAGGTAGCGTGGGCCTTCTGGGGCTTTCAGAGGACTGGAACTACCAAATTTACTGAATACAGACGAGGGACTACTGCTGATGCGTGGGAAAAATTGAAAAATTGGTGGTCAGGGGAGACGCCGCCTCAGTAGGCTACGCAGACTAAGGTACTGGGGTCCGACGATATATTGCAAGAGCAGTTAGAGGCTTAGAGCCATAGGACTTATTGACTAATAGTTTTCAATTATACTGTAGCAATAATTTGATTTTTTTTTTTCCGACTTTTCATTAGAATATTTTTGCTCGTTCGGGAAACAATTTATGTCTTCTTTGAAATTGTTCTTTATCAAATATTCGCATAGCTGATCAATTTGCAGAAAAGCTTTCTTTGCTGTTTTAAATAATTTTTTCTATTTAACATTGTAACGGTACAAATATATTGAGCCTGGCGACATACACCTGTCGAGAGCCATAAAGATAGGTAAAAGTGCTGTTATTCTCCGATTTTGTCGACAATCCTTGGTCGCGTCGACATTGTTTCTCTGATATTTAAAGTAACGGATATGCCAGCCTTCTAATCCATAGAAGCCCTTTAATTCAAGATTCAGTTTTGGAAAACGCAATTGAGGGTTAAGGTATAGTTCGATCAAGAGGCGCAGAATATTTATCATGCATTCGGCGCCTTCAAAATACGCTTTCTGCGTAGACTCTGTGTAACGCGTGTCAGTAACCAAATAGCATTCTTGCAGGTCTACTATTTGTTTACAAGCTTCTATGATAGATTTAAGCAGATACCTTCGTTTTGTGATACAATCACTATGATGATTTGCCGAATAACTCGGGTGATTTGCGTAAAATAAGGGTGTATTTTATTGTGTTTTCCCCGTCTAGAGGGAAGAAGGGGCAGGAAGTGGAGTAGTCAATCAGGTCGCGCCAGTCGCCGGGTGTTGCCGCGCGTCGCCAGGTGACGCAGATGCCATCTAGAGCGCACCTAGGGAGATCGCGCGACGGCGCCAGCGATCGCTAGGGTCGCCGGTTTCAAGGCACCCACCCGCCTATTGACTGCACACAAGCCACACGCCGGCAGGTTAGTAGTTGGGTGGGTGACCACCAGCGAATCCCTGCTGTTGTATGTTTTTTTGTTTGTTTTTTGCTGGATAGGCCGTGTGCGATACAGACGTTCTGTATGCCGAGGGTCTTTTCGAAGGCTTGTAGGTCTGATAGGGATGCGCGCGCGGGCATGAAGTGCCGGCCTGGTGCGAAGGGGAAGATGTCGGGCTCGAATATGTGGTGGTGTGTGTCCCAGTCTCCTTTGGGGATTGGTTTAAATGGGTAGGAAGGTAGGGAGGGAGAGGGTGATATGGTCATGGCGGATTTGTTGGTCAGTTGAGTTTCGGTCTAGATGGAAAGGAAGGGGATTTCGGAGTGTTGTCTGTTGGTGATCATGGATTAAGAGAAGGGATGAAGAATCGCTGTGTTCTCGGTCAATCAAAACTAGTAGTTTTACGTTCGTCAGATTCGATTCAATTTATCTGTACCCAATATATCCTGTATACTAGGTAATTCTTCTATCTATACGGTCCCTCACCCCCATAATCATCATTCAACCCCACCAGCAAACATAATTTCAGTAACCAGTATTATATTAACACGCGCATCCACAGGTAGCAGACGGTCTCTCAAAACTCAACCACCCGAACGGCGGCTTCTTCGAAGGACTAACCCTCTACTCACCGGACTTCCAGTCCGGTGAAACAAAACTCATCGGTCAGGCTTTCACGGTGAAATTCGTCCCGAAGTCAGAGGTCACGGCGCCGAAGTTAGAGGGGAATTACATATGCTGTGATTGTCTTGTTTTTTTGCCCATCCATTTATCTATCTATCTATCTATACCCCCACTCAAAGGATCTGTATCTATATCTATGCATAGATGTGTGGGTCTTATATTAACCCAATGTCCCTTTGATAGATCGACATGATCCCACCATCTAGCGTGATCTTCATCTCGCAACCCCCTCCCCAAGCCAACGCCGTCTACGGAGGTCTAATGACACTCCGGGCCCAGAAACTCGGCGCCGCGGGTGTGATTATCGACGGCCGGGTACGTGACCTGGGCGAGCACCGGGCAGCAGGGTTTCCAGTAAGTAGCACTTGATACCCTTTCTTTCTTTCTTTCCTTCGATTTCGATCGTGAAATAATGTCCAACTAACAACCCAACTCTTCGCCAAATCCGTTGGCACAACCGCCGGCGGCGAAGTCTGTCGCCCATCAGAAGTAAACGTCCCCGTGCGCCTACATCCCCGCGACCAACCAGATGCATGGATCCGGCCGGGCGATTACTTGATCGGCGACTTGAATGGCGTGGTGTGTCTGCCGCAGGAGATGGCGGAGGGGGTACTGGATCTTATCCCTGGGATTGCGGAGGGGATTCGTGCGGGGAGTGTGGGGGAGGTAAGTTTCTACCTTATCTGCTGTCGAGGGGTTGGTAGGGGGAAGATTTGGAGTGGTTAGAGAGAGATGGGGAAGGGGGGGTGGTTAGGTTAGGATATCTAGGGGTTTTATAGAGTGGATGGCGATAGAATTGAGTCTAAGTGAGATTAAAACACATTGCAGTTGTTGGGCTAGTACTATTGACCCCATTTAGTTATGAGTACTGATACTAAATTGATACTGATACAATTACAACAGCCTGCATCTGGGATTCAAAGTGATTCGTAGCTAAGTTTGAAAGATCAAAATTAGCTTGGTCTAATAGAATGCTTTTCGGAATCAATATCGTTAAATGCGTAAACGGAGAAGCCGGTTCCGGTTCCGATAATAGATGGTCCAAACATGTCCGATGGACTCCGTGGGTCGTCGAATCGTTGAAGGGAGGCAGGGGCGGGCGAGACAAATATCCAACAGGGATGGCAAATGACGCAGGGGCATGCAATTTCTACAAAAAGCACGGGCAGCACGGTCTGTGAATTACCCCTGGATCCACACGGAGACGGTGGCGGAGGTGGTATAGATCATGAAGACAATGCCTAGAGCAACCATGACCATATCGCCTCGCTTAGCCCATGGGGACTCGGCCACGCCCTTCCAATGCAGATAGGCGGGGTATATATACACCAGCGGGACGCAGGCGAAGGATCCGATCAGCGAGACAAACTTGTCGAGGTCCCCTGCTCCAGCGGCCGAGATGACACCGCAGCAGATGACCAGCCCGGTGCGGAACACGTTCTTCTTCCATTTGATGGACGTGTTGTGTTTACCGGACTTCGGTCCGAATAATTTACCCTCGATAATGCGTGCGGCAGGGAACATCTGAATGGGGGTGCCGACTAAGATTGCGAGAGCATACACGAATTGAATCGTGTTCACGAACGGGTCGGTCTGCGGGAAGTTACTGAAGATCTCGGTCTGCGTGCTCTCGCCGAATGTGGCGTAGGAGAGGGCGCCAACGGCCGTGAAGAGAACTGTAATGATAGCCATGATGAGATAGAGAAGTCGGTTGAAATGCTCCGGTTTCTTCATAGACGACTGGATAGGAAGAATCAACCCAATCCCTTCGAATGTGAAGATGGAGGATCCGATAGTCAAAGTAAACGAGCTCGGGTTAAAGAGCTTGACGGTGGGCTCCATACCACGGGACATCAGCGTGGCAAGATCATAACAGTAGATGTAAGCCAGACCCAAGAGAATGAATGCATCCGCAAGGAGGGCGATCGGGCCCAATTTGGAGATGTTGCGGATCCAGCCCAGCGGGATAAGAATAACCAGTTGCAGCACGATCAGGTACCCGGCCGAGATAAGAAAATCCGGGTTGGCAGTCACAGCCTGGAGGAAAGCGTGCAGGTTCTCGGCAGTAAAGATGATACAAGCACAGACAAATCCGATTTGGGAGACAGCGATAGAACTCAAGATGAGGGAGCGAAGTCGAGGACCGGAAATCCGTTCACCAATATCACCATACCCACCACCGTACTGACGGCGACATTGCAGTAGCAAATTGAAGCACGCCGTCGAAATTAGCGCGACTGTCACTAGGGTAATGGACGAGAAGAGGATACCTCCGTTTCGGAAGGCCCTAGGCAGGAAGATGATGCCAGTGCCGACAAATGCCTTGAGCAAGGTTAAAAAGGCTTTCATGTCGGACGCATCGCCTGGTTGGCCAACACGCGACCGTCTTCGAGATCCCAGCAACGCCGTGCGTTCCGTAGCATGTCTGCGATCTCCGTCCGGGTGTCGATCGCGCCGGTCCTCGCTGGCCACCGACTCATCATCCTCCTCAGTATCAATCAGGTCCTCACCCGCGAAATTACCGTACAGGTCCAAGAAGTCCACGAAAGAGGTAGTCACCCGGGGATGGTCAAAGTCGGCATGTCGATGATGTTGAATGAAATGGCGTCGAAAGCTGCCTGGCTCTAGAGCAGCCACTCCCTCTTCGATGGCGTCCTCGGGCTCGCGCTGAAGGTAGGAAAAGCTATAGGCTCGCTTGTCTAGTTTAGCCTGCTTGGACCTGGCCTCGATGCGATAGAGATCACGGTGGACGTCACCGCCTTGGAGTTTGAGGGAGGACTGGGGCTCGAGCGCAGGGACGATGTTACTCGACTCTCCGTTGTCGTTCTCGTTTTCCGGCGGCGATGGGTACTGGTCGTGTAACGACGCGGTGAACTGCGGGTCGAGGTGTTGAGCGAGAATGTCGGCCTCTCGGGGGTCGGGCTCGTGGCCGCCCGGTAACGAGGAGGCGCCGACGGGGGTGTGGTCGTCCATAGTATACTAAAAAGATTCAAGAGCACAGCAATGGATAAGGAGGCAGTCTCATCCTGTAGAGGATAGTGAGTGATGGAGGGGTTTGTTTCAAAATGCCCGAAAGGATAGAATGCGAGAGAAAAGCGACGAAGAGAGAAAAGTAGAGAAAGAAAAGACCAAAAGAGACAAAGGATGACGTTCAACACATCCCTCCCGATGTGGAAAAGCGTGGCTGCTGAGTCATCCGGTGCTGACGCAGGGCGCATCACGAGAAGATCCGGTCTGGCCTGCGCTCAACCTTCAGGCTGCCAACTCTATCTTTCTTCTCTGCCTGGTTGCCTCGGTATCAGATGATTGCATCCTACGATGATCTAAATGCCCACGCCTTGGTCACACGGGCCTGGCATCCCGGTTTCGTGAACCCGTGCCGAGTGTTTGTATATATTTTTGGATAGCACTATAGTTGCCAATTGTCTAGTCGTCATGTTAGAACAAATGGACCCTCCGAGGAGATATCTTGCACTCAACAAAAGTCAGTACCCCTCGCGTAACACAAATAATTGCACATTCCTTATACCACTAACTACGGATTATGTTGAGTAACCAAATCCAACCCCTGTATTCCCCAAGTTTGCAGCCAAGACTCTTGGCTGTTTGCTTTCAATATGCGGTGTGCCATATTATCTTACAGTTATTTGGTTTGGGGATATGTATGCAAAAAGTGACAAGCTCTTTCAACAAATGGTCCCATAACTCAGTCGGTTAGAGTGCGGAGCTAATAACTCCGAAGTCGAGAGTTCGAGCCTCTCTGGGACCATCCGTTCTTTTTTGCTTTTTCCGTCGGTTTACTGAACTTTCTTTTCCTTTTAACTTTCTTTGTTTTTGCTCATGCTGTCCGGTAAATTCCCATACTGACATCTCCACACTCGTGAATTATCCATATTACTATATGGATACCTTATGGATAGCATATACACTGTTGACCAACCAGATATAATGAATAATAAATAGTATCTCTACGCATTTGAGGACTAGAGTTGAATAAACCAGCGTGCATTCAGATAACAACAACGTCATCCTCACAAATGTCCTACTCTCACTCAGCTCCCACTCACAATCTTTGCACATAGACCACATCCCGCCAAAGCCAACTGCCCATATCGCAGGCCATCAGAACATGACATGACACCCCCTTAACCATCCCCTCAATAGACAGTAATCGACGAACTCCCACTACTCTGATATCCCTCAGTCGCGACGATCTGATAATTATGGTTCCCCAAGCTCATGCCAAGCTTAGACCAGGCATTGAAATGATTCGCAGTGGTCACACTACCCCCGACGCGCTTCGACTGCCTAACCGACCAAAACTGCGTAAAGGTCCGGGTGCCTTCGATGGACGGCGCGTTGTACCGCACAGACGTGTAGATGTCATACGTGCCGCCGTCAGAGGTCACTGTGCCTCTGTAGGTGCCGCCGCTGCCGGGGTTGTAGGTGCCGTAGGACTCGACGATGTAGTACTCGATGAGCGGGTTCTGGGTCCAGCCGTAAATGGCGAGGTAGCCGTTTCCGCTGGGGTTGAAGCTGCCGCCGTAGTTGATTGTTCTGAGGGGTGTTAGTTGGGTGATAGATAGTAGTTAGCTAGGTGGGTAGGTAGGTAGGTCGGTAGGAAGAGGAAAAGGGGGCCGTGAGTTTGGGGGTATAAGGTAGATACTTGCCTGGTGCTTCCTGGATTCCAACCCTTTCCGCCGACAAAGTTGCCGACGTTGGACCATCGCACGGTGTAGGAGCCTCCGGCGCCGTTGGTGTAAGTGACGTCGCCACCTCCGTCGGTCCAGAAGGAATAGTAGTAGCCGTTACTATAGCCGGTGCTGCTGGGGGTGGAGCGTTCGGCGAGCTCGTGCAGAGTTTCGTTGAAGGAGTCGTTGGCGTACTCTGCTGGTTGCTCGACAGGCGCGGAGAGAACTCCGACGGCAGCAGAGAGCGCCAAAAACAAGGCGGAGAAGGAGACCATGGCTGGCGATTAGCTGTGCTGTTGAATTTGACGCGAGTCAAGGCAGTGTGGATTTGTGTTGATGGATAGTTCCTTTCTTTCGTAACGAAGGATCGCAGGTGCCTTTTGTATACCTTCATCTCGGCATTAAACACTTAGCTGGGATGCTATGTGCGGGGCCCCGGATGTATGGAGGACCTGAAGAAAGGGCCTGGAACGTCGGCTCTTGTTAGTTTAGGCTGATCAGTCGATCATCCATTTCTGCCGATGTACATGGGATAACCCTATTGGCAGACGGGTTGAAGGAGTTCATGAAGGATGAATGATTGCCACAGCCTAAGATAGGTGTGGAGATGACAGGCAATTGTCACGAAGAAGCTGTTCATCACGCCATTACCCCGTATACGCCAAGAACTGACGGGTTTAAGGCCCTTTTGACGACACCGTCTTTGCCTAATTGTGGACTCTTCAGCGTCAGGACTCGAGCTCATAAGAGCTCGAACATAGCCTGAAATGTTTCAAATAGCCTCCTGATGAGAAGGCCCTGAAGCGGCTATTTCTTCACACCTACTCATTCGGGTTGTGTCAAGACAGCGTTCAATTTAGCCTCTGCGCCCGAGAGCGCCACGGAGGGAAACTCGGCTAGCACCCGCATCGAAGAAAGCGACAAGTCTACCCCGAGTTCTTGGGTTACATCGCGGGAGTTTCAAAGTCCCGCTAAGCTATATCGCTTAGAGGTCTGTCGTGACTAGTGTGTCTAGACCGTTTGAGAGAATGTAAATCTTTAGGATATGGGGAAAAATGCACGGGATAATACGAAAAATTATTGAAAGCAGGCGAAACAGATTCTATCATGGGTAACAAGAAAAAACAATAGAGGTAACGTAAGATCACCTACCCCCTTTCTCGAACGTTGTCGTCGACAAAGGAGATCGAGGTGTATAGGCTGGAGGGCTCTCCTCGTCATGTGGCGGGTTTGAATATGAGGCCTCCGTGACTCCCAATTCTTGCCTCGGTAACTCGGCCTCGATTTTCTTGTCCACTCCACCGGTATCCTGGACATCGGCCATTATATTTATGGCTATGTCGGCAACATTAAACTCCAGTGTTTTGCCAGCACATTCAAACACAAACGACCCGGAAAGCGTGTATTGACGGGATATGTTGAACGTACTAAAAGACACGTCCAAGTTCTGGAACACAAGAGGGCTAAACATCTGATTCAAATCGATTCGACCTGATACTGGTGCTCCAACTGACGATTTTGACAAAATCTCGATGCGCTCGTCGACTTCACCGGAAATAGCGCCCATCAGGGACGGCGAGGCCCGCGCTGAAGTGCGACTCACCACGAACATCGACACAGACTGCAGTACGATATCCGGGGCGGTAGAAACCGAAGCGTTTTCCATGAACGGCACAATTTCCAACACACATGGCAGTGGCGTCGACTGAACCACCTGGGCGGAGTAGGTCAAAGAGACCTGGAAGTCAAAACGAGGTAGTCGCGCAGGCGACAGCCACGAGTGAAATTTCTCCTGAACGCCCAGATTCCGGCCTCGGTTTTCAGGAAGCAGGAGTAAGCTCCGAACGGTGAACAGCTGCTCTCGACGCTGCCGATACAACGACGGCGAATCGTACATTTTGTCCACCTGCGCTGCCCGCGGGAGGAAATTCAGCCGAACAATATCATCGAACAACGGCGTTCTTTTACCCAAGAAGCCCTTTTGGGGCTTCATCACTTGGGCCCGGATCCGATACTCGATCGCACATTCTAACTGGCGCAGAGAATCGCCCACTTCCACCGCAAAGGAGGGGGGCAGCGGATGATTGACATCGCTCCGGAAGGGGAGTTTCTCAGGCCATTTGCCGCCCGACCCAGCGTGCGACGGGACCGTGAACTGAAACGGCCATTCATATGTGTCTGGCGAGACAGAGTCGCCGTTTCGGTGCATGAGAATTCGCTCTTTCTCGAAAAAAACGCATTTGCTGCGATAACTTGCGGATGGAGCGGCGGAGCCTTTGACTTTCTTGACCGTGGCCTTGGAGCGCCCGGAAAACGTCACGCGGACGTCTTGGATTTCGATCAGATTGGGGCACTCGAAGACCACCCGGCCTCGGATGACTTCATTCCCCGAGTATAACGGTAGTGGGTTATCTAGATGGATGGCGAGGGGCATAATGGCGGCCTTGAGGGGATGTTAGTGTCCAGTGAGAGATGGGAGGACAAGCTGACGATCACTTGATGGCTTGAAAGGGCCAAGAGGCGGTGCATAGCTAGTTTAAACGGATCCTGGGCCGATCCAATTATATAAGGGAATATAAGATTTTGGTGGAAGTGTTACCTTCCGTCATGCTCCTTAGGCTGCTAGGCATCCTTTCTCTGCCCATGGAGCGCGCGGCTGTAGATTGACCAATGAGAGGCCAAGGGCTACGAGTACGCGGCAGCTGCCCTTTCCGGCGTCAATCACTCGGTAGATCCCTGCCTCATTTATATTTGGACCGGAGTTCTTTCCTTTCTACTTCCTAGACAAAGCCCCAGTATCCAACAAAGTCTGTACAAAGGCCACAATAGCCCGCGTCCCTATCCTAGCAATCTTATCGCCATCTCCCGCGTTCGGATCAAATGAGCAGACCGTCAGCGACTTTGGCGTCAACTTCCTCGGCACCAATCCCATGCATTTGACCAAGTCCGATTCCGATAATCCCCCGGGCGACGGATAATCATTCACCTTGCCATACGACTCGTCCAAGACGTCCAGATCAAGATGCACCAGAGCAGGACTATACGAGCGTCTCTGGAGCTCTGCCTCTAACTCACGCGGAAAATCCACCTTCTTCGCCGCATCGCCCCAAATCGAAACCATCCCTGCATCAATCACTCGCTGTTGCTGGACCTCGGATTGATCACGTAACCCGCAGTACAGAAACCGAGAGTAATCAAAGGGCTGGAACCCAGGGACGGTGTTCATGAGCGCGTGCCAGCTCTCTCCGCGTAGCATGGAGAGGCCCATAGCGTCGAAGTACCCGTTCTCGTTGACGTCGGGGGAATCGAGATCATCGTGAGCGTCGAAATAAATGAATCCTAGATCTCGGATTTGTAGACCACATGCGACGGCGGCGCTGGCCATGCAGTTCCCCGACAGGATGAGGGGGAATGTCTTGTTGTTCACGGCATCCGAGACGGCTTTGGAGGTGCGACGGAGGACCTCGAAGCTGCGACCGATTTCGCCTTCGAATGTATCTACTCGGTCGATTTCTGTGATGGTGATTTTTATGCCTAGATTTTCGAGCTCGTGGACGAGGCCGATGGAGCGGAGGCGATGTGGCCCGTTGCCTACGCGATGGTCGCGGAGACCGACGTGGTATGGGGAGAAGATGATGGTGACGCCGTTGGTGGACATAATGATGTTTGATTTGGAGGGGTGGGTGGTGAGATGTTTGCTTTAAATAGGATCTTGCGTAGACGTCATGTTTCCTAATTCGTACATTTCCCCAACTCAGTGGGTCTTTTGGATGGAGTGTCATACCTGCATCTGGATGTTTCTCCAAAGTGACCTATGATTAGTCATGGACTTTTTATTAGTTAGTTAATCCATCGTAATAAAATAGATAAACAAATCTAATATTGATATTAGGAGAGATTGTCAAACCAGCGAACTTAATTATATCAGTGTCTTTCAACTAGTATTAATGACTCATGTTTCCCCCAAACCACCACCCAAAACCTCATACCGAAAGAAAACAACACACACAAATCCCACCCCAAACCAATCATCCCCCTAATCCAACCCCTCAATAGTAACCTCCATATGAATCTTCGCATTCTGATGATTCTCCAACGTAACAAGACCCGTCTCCGCCAAGTCCTTCATCGCCAGATCAAAGTTCACGCCGACGACCCCAGCGTCCTCATCGACTTTCCAGACATCGGTCTTCACAGGAAGTTGGCCCGTTAGCGAATTAACGGTCTTGATGGCCGCGTCTTTCGTCCAGTCGAGGAGGATGGATGAGCTGCGCGGTGCGATTGGGGCTGCGGACGCGCAGGTCATGAGAGCCATGGTGGCGGTTGAGAGAATAGTGAAGCGCATGTTGATTTGAGTTGGTTGGATAGTGTTTTCAGTATTATTGTTTCTTAAGTAGAAAGAGTGATGAGGGAACTGGGGTTGGGTTAGTTTGGTTGAGGTCCTGATAGCGATAGGTGAGTGCGTGGGCGATAGGTGTGACATACGGATAGTGATAGTAATGTTAGAAAAGAACGACGAGGCGTAAAGAGCGACAGAACAGCTATATGTAAAACGAACGAATGACTGGATGTAAAGGTTCAAAAGAATGGCGGCTAGATAATTACCGTAGCTTGAGGTCTGGATGGGGGGAAGTCAGTTGCGGGTGTCAAACGCGTTCAGGAGATGACATTTGACAAGGCTGTGATATTTTGAGCGAGATCGATCGTTCCTGTCTAGGCTAAGGGCCGTTCTATTTACTCTCTAAAATTTAGAAGAAGTATAAAGTGTGGTTGGGATGCTGATTGGGGATCGCATGGCGCTACTTTCGTGAAGATCCACCAGGGGTTTGTTATTGTTGGTAGAGGCACTGAGGTGGGGACAATTGTTCCTGAGCTGGGTGTCTTTGCAATGGGCTCTAAACTTAAGCTTTGGAAAAATTTTCCTTTCGTTGCTTGAATTATATACGGTATTGGGCACATTTTCAACATCTGTCAAATCCGGTGGCTTGTTCCTAAGAGTTTTTTTGGTTTTCATGGAGTGTTCGCTTATCCAAGTGGATCGCAGATGGATCCAAATTTCGGCATCGGGAATTCTTAGTGGCTTGGTTCTTCCTGACGAAGATCGATTCTATTTCCGGTTTAGATGAAAAACGGGTACTAGATCCATGATAAGGATGAATAAACAAGCCAATCGATAAGAGCACAAGAGACCAGATGCCACCGCGAGGAATCCACTGCATATACTTGAATATCCCTTCGTTAAGAAGGATTGACCCTTGTTTGGTGCACTAGAAAATATTTCATACTATAGAAAGAGACAGCTAACAGGAGCTCTAGGTCTACACATAATTATCCCTAGCTTTCTAAATCGACTTCACCCAGTTTATCCTCTTATAAACAAGGGTGACACATCGTGTGGAGGAGAATGTCGATACTTCGAAGATAATTGGCATATTAGCCTAACTGAACAAACTGCGTCTTTCGAGAAACTTTAAACTTAGACAAAGTCGTAAATCGCTCTTTGAATGGTCAAATCGATCATTATTCAATAGAAACTCTATCTCAATTGGATGGTAATATCATAGTGGCGAAGGAAAGAGGAACTTATACATATTAATTCGTGTTTTCACCTGATATAATCGCGTAGAATGGCTGTTCACCGGCAAAGGAAATACCGATAATTATTTATACAAACTCTTCTTCGCGAAATGAAGATACTAATAGTAAATCACAGCGTCCTCATTCATCTTCCCTTTGGCCTGTAGCTCCTTCACAGTCTCCTTGATGCGAGCCACCAGCGCCTTGCCGTATTCCGGGCCCAGTGGCGGCGCGGGTTTGGAGGTGTCAGGTCGCAGCCAGGGAACGGGTTTTAGCCCCTGGGAAGCGTCTCGAAGAATCTGTATCGCCTGGTCATCGTATCCAGCACCAAGAATAATGGCTCCGACGCCCCAATCGTAATCCTTACTCCCCAGCGCGCTGTTAGACGGGTCATTCTTTTCACCGCGTAGTAGGGCGGGAATCTGGACCACCCCCGCTTCGGTGGTCGTGACGAAATGAATGACTAAGTTGGGATTTAGGTAACTATTGTTGCATGGGCATCGGAATCTGATCGAAGAGATGATGGATGTTTACCTTCTAATTCAGGCTTGACGGCTTCGACGACGGTAGCGCCGATCTGCTCGGTCTTACCGCAGAGGATAACGGGGACAGAGTCTGACATGATGAAATAGGGACCTGAGCTAGAGAGCTCAATAATAATAGAGGATGGCGGGAAAAAAGAACGATGCTTTGCCAAAGGAATAAACAAGTGATTGGACATGCGTTTGGCTCCCCGCTTTAAATACCTAATTCGTCAGTAGGATGGCAGCACCATTGCATTGGAGCCTTGTTCAACACCACGATGCGATCTTGCTCTATAATACACAACATTATTTGACCAATTGTCTGGAGAAATGCAGTATCTTTTAGAGAATAATATTTTGATTACATAGAAATACGTATTTAATTAGCCACCAATCATTGGACAGTTTGGCCGAGTGGTTAAGGCGCACGCCTGCTAAGCGTGTACTTTCGAGTGCGCAGGTTCGAATCCTGCAGCTGTCGATTTTTTTCTTTTCTTTGGTGTTTTGCATATGCCAACCACTATCTATACATAACTCGTTCTTGGTTGGAGTTCCCGCCTTACCAGTTCCAATAGTGAGTGCTTCATCTTGTCTTGATGGCGTTATTCAGGGAAAGTCAGGACATGCGGCGTTGAATGATATTATGTTAATATACGTTATGCGGTGGAGGGTGGTGGTCATAATAAGGAATTAATTATCTCTTAATAAAAAAAAAGAAATTTGTTCTTTTCTGTTAGCATCAGGTACTGAAAATCATCAGTCAGCTGGCTTTTTGGTCTAGTTAGAAGTCGTACCGTTGTGATTGTCAACATGATACTGATGGCGATACGCCGATACCTGAATTTGCCACTGTTTCGCTACAGACTAACTATCCTTGAATTCACTCGGGTCTTTACACGTAGATGTTTCATCTCTACCTCGATCAGAGCAAGTGTCTTGATATGATTATAGTGGAAATAAATTTGGATATTTGTTGTTTTATTTTCCTTTTTGCTTTATTTTGTTCGTTGATCGCGCCGGGATATCTCTCTTATAATTGAACACATTTGGAGACAAGACAAGAACTATTTCCTAGTATATCCCTTAAAGTACTTTCACTTTGAAACAGCCGAAGCTAGGTATCTCAAGTATAGTCGGTTTAACAAGAGGTCGGGTCGTCAGGAATACAGCGCTTCTCGGGGACCTCACGCTTGCCAAAGTCCCCAGGGCTGCAGGAGGTAGGGTCATCGGGAATACAACGCTTGTTGAGAGCAGCGACGTCGCCGGTAGGGGCAGCTGTTGCGCAGACACCGAGCAGGGCCGTGACGGCGTAGAGGGAACGGAGGAGGACCATTTTTGCGGAGCGAGGAGCGAGGATGTGCGGATAGAGGATGGAATGGAGCACGGTATTCAAGAGGGATGGGTGGATATGCTGCGATTCAGACGTGGGAATTCACTGTTTATTTACGATGGATCCATGATCATAAGACAGGGAAGCAGGGACCTCTACGCATTGCCTGATCGACATACAAAAGGGTGTATATGGCGACGACAACGGGAATTACAGGGTCCTGAAAGATTGATAAACGAAAAGCTTTTTCAGTGACAACGATCTTCTTGGCTGTTGGACAGTCGGTGAAACTCCGGGCCATAAGAGGCATACTCCGGAGTAGATTAGATCAGAAGAGTCCGTATCATTGGTAGACAACGTGGGGGATCGGCGGTTTTGATATTAACCTGCAAGAAAAGCTGAGGAGATAGGTAGAGAAGAGGAGATTCCTCGGGAGGAGATTCCTGACAAAGAGAATTGGCCGTTGGTCGTTACAGTTATTAGATCGGCAAAAAAGTCGCAGAAAATACCTCATTATACTGGGCTTAGAGCCAATGTATTAAATAGATATTTCGACCACATAATATGGAATTGTGACCTCCAATCAGCGGGTTTTCTGTAATTATTTTCAAGTAACCTTCAATAGTAACCTGCACAGTCAACTCATGAAGACAAAAATTGAACTGGTGAATTCAGTAGCAAGACACTCATTAGTCCCAATTTTCTTCCCACTAGAGCTGTATCCTGCGCCGATCAGCAGGGCCTGTGGGGTGCCCGGCTCCCGTGTCACTGTCACTGTTAGTGCCAACCTTGAGACTTGGATAATAATATGCCTTGTTCCTGGATGGAAAGAGCCCAGACAGGAAAAGTCCACGGATTAGCCATTATTTGAATGAACGCCAAGGCTTGAGGGAGAGAGCGAGGCGATGTTAGCGGCTATACAAGTTAACATAGTCTAGTCAAATGTGACTGGTCGTGGTCGAGACCACTGCAATATCCAAAATGTACCAAGGTCTGTGACTTATTGAGAATACGGAGTAGTATCCGTCTCCACACCAACCGAGAAACTGAAATGTTATTGGCAGTGACATCAGAGCTCTGTTTGACCTTGAGCTAGCAGACGTCTCTACCTACCTGGACGTCCCTCGCCCGAACTTTATGCAACCTATATCAAAATATAGTGAGCTACCAAGGAAAGAGTGGGGGAAAAAGATAGACACGAAGTGTAAATATTAAAAGCAAATATCGAGAAATTGGCATTAGAAACTTCATATTCGCCCCATTAACAAGGACCACGTACCCTCTCCCCATTAAGGTATGGGTGAATCCACTCTTAGTGCAAGCAGAAGACGCCCTCAAACAGAGGCAAAACTCCCATGGGTAACCGAAAAAAAGTTCTCGTATCAATATCTTTGTCATTATCATAAAAGCTGCGACGAGTGAAATATCGTCAACTCATGGTTCTTTTGGCAAAGTCTGTGGATATCTCCTGAATATCACTGAATATCAGACCGGTTTCTTCTCTCGTCAATAGATTATTTAGACCCCTTGAGTCACTGAAGATGCCCTTTTACCGTATGAAGTGTCAGAGGCTATAACATCGTTGTATGAATCGTTGAAGTGGTAGTTAAACTTGATAGATGATCTCCGTTTGGGACCATTGCAGCACAGGTGGATTGCGGATAGACAAGTACGCTGTAATTACCCGCTGGAGAAACCTACGGATCTGGCGTTGTAGGAATCAGGTCCTCTCCCAATAGGAACGGAACCTCTTCGCCACCACTATCTCCCGTCGTCTCAAACCCGATTCTCCTCGAGTACCAAGAACAAGCAAAATATCCGCTAGGGTACGTGGCCAGGTAATCTCAAGAATAGCATGGTACGAGAGTTCCCCGATATAGTAGCGACCACCGGACGTGATGATAAAATCAACATCAGCATTATTCCATTTGTCCCTGTTGAATAGAACGGGCGTGAAATTTTGTAGTCCATGACGTTGAACTAGACAAAATTCGCAAGTATAAGGTTTGAAATGCTCCTCGAGTAGCTGGGGACCGTCGGACCACCCCATTGGGATTGCGTCTAGCTAGAAGTGAATTAGAATCAGATTTTGTTTTTCTTATATTCTGGGACATCGGTGAGATAGGGCTTACGGGAATCTTCTTGATAGTAGTGCAGTCCGGGCACTGATGGGTAATGCGGAGACGAGGCATGACGTTGTTTTTGAACAAGTATAGTTAGAGTGGTGGTCTAGAGAGAGATTGGACAGCAGAAAGATGCGTTGACTCAGAGATTGAGGTGGTCCGAGTTGTTGATGAGTAAATGATGACGGCACAGTATGTACTTAGAACATGGACCCCCCACACTGTCTTGAAATTTTCGTCCGATTTACTACCGTGACGCTTCTTCAAAACATTTTATATATGCGCATATAAGCAGATTTGATATTTATACATTTAAAATATATCTTATGACTCTGGTAGATAGAGTAAGAGTTGTGATAGAAAGATATATTAGCAATGTAATGATTTCTATTGTATGACTCAAGATTGTGTAGTTACCCGGAGTTGTCAATATTATGCAAGGAGCCAAAAGAGTACCTCAGAATATTTGGTAAGCGTGCCTAATCATGGGGTTCTCCAATTCTTTAGTAAAACCAAACCCTCGTTAATGATGTATAAAGACTGAGCCAGTATTATGGCTCGTGTATTTTGTATTCGGTTCAGAATAATGATAGGACTTGAGTACCTATGAAGATCTTAATAAATTGGAACAAAGCCTACTTTCTCACTTATAAAGCCTTTTAATTGTTAATTCCAATCAAGTATAGTAGATTATCTCCAGTTAGGGATGATCAGCTACGGCGTCCCACCGCCAAAGCCGCGTGGGTGTACATTTATCTACCCGCTGTCTAAACGTTGCACTGAAATGATCATGGCTCTCATTGATCAGATTTTTAGCCGTCTATCTCGACCATTGTCTCATGTATTTAATATACAAACATTTCATGAAGACATCGTCTGGTTGGTAGCCTGGATTAACACCCGCCGATACGTCGTCAGAGGATTAGCTCCGTTATCCTTGACCTCCAAAATCAAATGCAACAACCAGCAACCCGACGGGCTATCACCCTTCCCATTACAGCTGTCGCTGGAAGAGAGAATGTTCATCTGCACCCGCTGACCGTTATCCGAAACGGTCAAGTTCAGCGCAGGAACCTGGCCAGCCACGTTCCAATCATCCGATCCAGGCTCTTGATATTGGAACCAGTTGTACGACAACTCATCGCCATCGGGATCATAAGTACCAGTTGTATCAAATCTGATAGGCGAGCCCACCATAGCGGTCACCTTGAAGGGACTCAACTCCGTGCTTCCATTGACCGAAACAACGGGGTGGTGGTTCGCCTTGCTGACATTCGCGGGTAGGGACCACTACATGCGAGCAGCGAAATCACTTTGGTACGCATCGCGCCATCTCCACATCGTCGCTTGGTTCGATTTGAATGTCTGGTTGTTGACGCCGACCACGCGATCCGCTGCATCGCTGTAATGGTTGTAGTTTACCTCCGTCGAGGGATCAACCTTGGTGTATCGTCCACCCCAAGATCCGTACCCGGGGTTCTCGGGGTCGCCAAGACCGTTCTGGATGAGATACAGGAAAGTCGGGGTATCGCCTTCCATGATATACTTGAAGCTGGGATACGCGACACTACCATAGGGACAGATCTGGATGTTGTCGCGGAGCCACTGATGAGTGACGGTGCTTCCGTTGGGACCGCCCTCGTCGACGCCGTAGTAAGTCTCGCCGGAGATAGCAATCCAGGTAGCAAGGCCGTAATGGTTCCAGCCGTGGGTGGAGGAGATGTAGAAAATGTCGGGGTAGTTGCGACGGATCCAGGCGCCGGTGTCGTCCTGATCGGAGATGGCGTACACACGGAGCCGAGAGCGCAGAGTCGCGGCTTCCGAGGGCGAAAAGTTCTGGTTGATTTTGTAGACCACTTGGGCGAGGACGTTGGTACCGCCCCAGGCGAGAACCTAGAGAGGTTGATCGGACGCCTGGAGACGCTCGAGGAGGAGCTTCCCGCCACCGCTGAGGGTGATGTTGCTGCCGACTGCCTTCATGCCGTAGGTCTATGGTGTGTTAGGTTTAATTGTATGTGATGACTGGGAATGGTGTGGAAGTGACCCACCTTAGGCCCACTGCGCAGAATACTCCGGAAGTAGTCTCCGGAGCGATATTGTGCATCAGGAGGAGCGTGCTGGTTGAGGTTTTGCGTGACATTGCCGTAGGCGTTGATCACCTGCAGCATATCCTCTGGGTGAGTTTCATCTCGGAGCCAAGTGGATGTTGAAGCAACGAGACCCTCGGTCTGGAATTGGTTGGAGTAGAGAAGATAGCGCGTCAAGGATTCTTGATCATCCGGTTCGGTAGAAATGTACGAAAGGATGAACACCCGAGGCTTGTCTAGGTAGGACACAAGGGATGATCTGTTAACAGCCTTGCACAGGACTTGGATAGTCAAGATCCAAAGGATCGTGGACCTGAGCAAAAATGCCGCCATGTTGCGAGACTCCAAAGAAGCAATGATGAAGCAACCGTGACCTAGCAGAGAGGTACAGATACCTTGGGACTATCTTCGAGCCCGTCAAGCCACTCATTCTTGTATGTATTGAGAGTATATTAATGGCAAGCTAGGTATTGACGGGTCTACAGCTTGGAGGTCTCATCACTGCAGTTGTCGTTCTTGGCGCTTCAGTGGACTTGATTATCGCAGCCGAAAGTGGGTCCTATACTATCAGAAATTCAATCTTCATTTAAATCCTAAAGATTCATCCTTTACAATTGTCTCGCAACAAATGGATCAGTCTACAATGAAGCAATGGCAAGTGGAAAGCTCCCAGGGAGCCGACTCTGCAATGCATGGAGACCACTATCCCCCAATCTGGGGAGCATGAAGTCCTAGTGAAATTTAATGTGGCATCCTTGAACTACCGTGATATCATGATTGTGAATGTAAGAATGACGGCCCCAGCAAGGGAAACTATTAATTGAGAGGCGGCCCATAGGGCACATATATGTGGAACACCAAGGATGGTACTGTTCCTGGGTGAGTTGCACGTTCATTTCTTCCTCCGGCCCTATTCTCCGTTCACGTATGCTTACATGTCCCCAAAACGGCAAAAGCTCCGATGCAGCAGGAGAAGTGGTAAAATTAGGACCTAAAGCAACGCGCTTCGCCATCGGTCACCGGGTTTCTCCCATATTCCACCTCACTCACCTGGTGGCGTCTTTGCAGCCGAGAGACTTTTCCTTCCAGCTAGGCTCGACTCAAGATAGCGTCTTCCGAGAGTATGGTGTTTTCAACGAACAATTCTGTGTGGAGGTCCCCTCCAATCTAAGTTACCGCGAAGCTGCATCGCTCCCATGTGCAGCTGTCACGGCATGGAATGCGCTCTACGGCGGCTCCCGCAAACTGATGCCCGGTGATATCGTTTTGACGCAGGGAACCGGGGGTGTCAGTATTTCTGCCCTGCAGTTCGCCAAGATGAGCGGTGCCCAAGTCATCGCAACGACCAGCGCCGCTGAAAAGGCAGAGAGATTGAGAGCGGAAAGCGCGGATCATGTCATAAACTACGAAGAGGACCCACAATAGGGAGAGACGGCCAAGAAGATCTCGCATCGCAGACGGGGAGCGGACTTTGTCATTGAGATTGGTGGCGCCAACATCATGACACAGTCTACGTTGGCGGTGGCTATTGATGGAGAGATTGCTGTCATTGGTAGTCAAGCAGGGGCAACCGAGGATGGACCATCCAGCGGTAATCATTCCACCTCGATCGCCATTATCCGTAGGATCGTGGTGGGCAGTCGACAGTTGAGCGAAGCAATGAACGCAGCTATTGAAGTCAACAATCTGCATCCGGTTATTGAGCCGAGGGTTTGGAAATTCTCAGATCTCCCCAAGGCCTACGATCATTTTGTTAACGGCGATCATTTTGGGAAAGTAGTGGTAGACTTTGATTGATGAAGAACAATTCTATAGTTACGTCAGGTCTCTCTGCAGACCCAACAATCAGCTCCCCAAGTCTTCGCTCGTCCCCGGTGAAAGGATTTCAGATATCTTGACACGAATTAATGATCATGTTCACTGGCTGAGACAAGTGTGTCATGGGCCACCCCAGTAATATATTCCGCTCCATCTTCATATGCTCACCCTGCCAAACGTTCATCAGTCAGTGATCCTTTCAATTGCGGGATGTTCACCTCATACGTACCTAATTTGGGATGCATCAATAAGCCAGGCTCGTATATATCCACGCTTCTCGATCTCATCCAATCGTCGATGCGATTCCAATCTTTACATTGGTGGCGGCCTTGGTCAATGCCGAAGGGAATTCGTTGCCTAGATCTGTCTGAGTGCTCGAGATGACTGAAATTCTTGCTCAATGAGAAGACTTACCCAACGCCCCATTGCATAGGAAAGATGGTTAGATCAGCGTTGCACCTCACCGCATCCAAGAGATATTGCAAGCAGTGTTCTGAAAATAGAGTTAGCCGGAATTTGTTGTCCTATCACTGACAGGGGAGTAGGCTGACCGGCGTGCTGCAAGAGATCAATCTTCTGCTTTTCACTTCTTTCTGGATGGTAATGCTCGAAGTACAACATATGGTGAACTCGCTTGATGCAATGCACCGAGTGGTACACCGCAACATTAGCGTAGACATCTCCCGACCCGTCATTGAGCTCTACAAGACCAGGCAGACCACGATAGTCCTCTGGGACCTCGTCTGGGGAGATACGGATGTTGTTGTCTGTAATTATTCTTTAGTTAGTTTCACACTGGCGCTCAATGTGGTTACCACAGCTGTACGCACATTTCACAATATCCGCCCAGGCGGCGTCAGCCTCAGGACCGGGTGGCAAGAAAATTGCGTGCTGCGAATCGGGAACCTTTCTCCCCTTTTCGTCGTGTGTCGATTTGTCTTGTAAGTCATATATTGTCCACGATATTGCTTCTTCCATGGGCGCTATGCATAATTGTCAGTGGGAAATACTGGCGAAGGGTGGAATTGTGGATGGCCTAACTGGATACAAGATTTGGCCCATTGATCCCATATGGACATTCTCTTTTGGTCAAGAGATACCAACTTGTACCGAAAAAAAAAGACTGCATGAACCAAGATTGATATGAATATCCATCCAATGAAGAATTCGCTTCCTATTCTGCGGTCTGACTTTTCCGTACAGTTGCTCTTGACCGAGGCACTGTCGCGAGGCAGAAAAGCCTCTGTCGAGTCGTGCTCTTCAGACCCGGAAGGACTGTTTCTGAAGAGGCTCCTCATTTTTAGTTGGTATTTCAGCGTGGGTTAGTCTTGTTGCGCGAAATAGGTGATTCTAGGTGAGCTGTACCGGTGGGATCTATTTCTTGATTAGTGTTTGGCAGGGTAGCTCATCCGGCCTTCCCCTTGCATGGTATCTACTTGATCAACCGCCCCCAGACAATAGACCCACTGCCATACGTAACATGCATGCAGCGAAACCCTCACACGGCCGCTTTATTTATCGTTTTCCCAGAATTGTCCATGCGAAAGTTGGTTCCTCGCGCCACGCCTCATCCTAGCTGCGGTGAGAGGTGCGGTTAACAGACTTTCATTATGACATGTCAAAATCGCGCAAGGATCGACCGCAACTTGTCACCTTTCGAATAGTTAAGTGCATAATGCGGGGTATTTGGACTCATGGCGGCATCTCAGTTTGAAGAGTTTCCCGACGAGCGATATCGTGCTCAATTGGCCTCCCATGGAGTATAAATATCTCCATCTTCTCTGCTAGAATTAACCTCTCACCCTCTCATCCACCTCCAGTCAAACGAGTTTTGCAGTACTCTTCAGTTCACAATTTACCACAACCCCAAGCCTATTGCCTTTTCTTCTGACGCCATTCACCATGCAAATCTCAAAGCTGCTTTGGACCATGGGTCTACTGGCCATTGGAGCCCAGGGATTGCCGCAAGGCAACAGACCTGGTAAATCAAAACGGGGTTTAGCTCTCTGAGAGTTTTGCTGACAGTGATTCAAGGTGCTCACAATGCTGGTGTCCAGCATGGTGGCGATAATGCCATAACCGACGATGGCCACAGAGGCCCGACTAGCGCCCCCCACGACTCTGTACCCCAAGTTCATGACCCTCAAGTCCACAATGGCCCCAATTACGACAACATTGGTGACGATCATCAACGCGGAGAAAAGCAGCGTGTTGTGAGTGGAAATGCGGACCAGGGACATCAAGACGAGGAGAAGCATCGTGCTGCGGGTGCAGATGCGCACCAGGGTCACCAACGCGAAGGTAAGCGTGGTATTTTGGGTAAAGATGCGGATCAAGCTTATGAAGGTAACATCAGCCATCGCTCGCCGGGTAAACACGCTGACCAGGGCTATGAAGGTCTACTGAACCGTCGTTCGGGCAAAGATGCGGACCAGGGTTACCAGGGTATCAACGCAAGAGATATTGGTGCTGGTCGTGGCAACAACGGTCACGTTCAGCATGATGGACATGAGGACGGGGACAATGGTCACAATGGTGATCGCGGCGATGATGCCAATCGCGCTGATAAAGGTGTCGTTCAACATGATGCGCATGAGAAGGCCGACAATGATCACAATGGTGACCGCAGCGAAAAGGGCACTGATGGCAACCGTGCTGATAACGGTCGCATCCAACACGATGTGCATGATGAGACGGACAATGGCCGCACTGATGATCGCGACCAGAAAGGCCCTGATGCCTATCGTGCCAATAAAGGTGTCGTTCAACCCGATGTGCATGAAGAGGCTGAAAATGACCACAATGGTGATCGCGGCGAGAAAGGTCTGGATGCCAATCGCGTCATCAAAGGTGTGGTTCAATATGATGCGCATGATGAGACGGACAACGGCCACAATGATGATCGCGACGATGATGCCAATCGCGCTGATAACGGTCGCGCTAACCATGATGTGCATGATGAGACGGACAATCGCCACGATGGTGATCGTGGTGATGATGCCAATCGTGCTGACAACGGTCGCGTTCAACATGATGTGCCTGAGGAGGCGGACAATGCCCGCAATGGCCACAATGACTTCATAATGGGAAGGGGTAGTGGTGGTAGAAACTAATCAAGGGTGTAATGGTGTGAGCTGGTGGAGGAAATCGATTAGAGCTAAAATCGGATTGCGAAAATGGTAAAGCATGCTAGCATCGACTATGGTGATCTTATGAAGGGCATAGTGGCAGGAATTCTAGCATGGGCATGGGCCATCCTGGAACTGTATCGCATAATAATTTTCATGTCTATAGCAGATGATGCTCGTTATAATATAATACGCGAATGATGTCTCTTTTTCCAATCTTGGTTCTTAAAATTTTTGGAAGTTGTATGGAATAATATTCACAGCTAGCCGTTGAAGTAAGCCTCCGTAGTTGATACAAAGATGACAATTTGTTCGAGGCAGTTCAGGAAATAATAAACATTACTGCCTGCAAGCTAATAGTAAGCAGTCTAATAATCGTACTGAGAGTAATTCAAGTGAGTTTAAAAGGAAATTCCATCGACATAGGACGTTTAGTTCTGAGATAGAATATTTTACTCCAAACATGCCTGGGCAGTATATATCTGACAATAGATAACACGGACCCCCAGCGAACTCTGTCAAAAAACCTGCTCAAAACTTTGTCTCCCTAACCATCAACCATCAACTCTTGAACCAGTCTCTGCTGAGAGACCACTCCCGTATAGCCTCAAAGTTTCGGCAGGTGTGCGGTCGCTCCGTTTCGCCCGCAAAGCCAGCACCACGTGGATTGTTTTTATCCCCAAAGTACAAAGGCTTGAGTGTCACCGGGGTTAGATCGGCCGAGCACATAATTCCTTGTCGCAGATGATCCACGCAGTGATCTGCCGGTGATAAAAAAGGATTAGCATGGAGTTCTTTGTCAACGTTCGGCTTTTAATGCCGGTGCCGCACCCCTGCAGCTGCAGCCGAGCCGGCTCTTAAAAAAAAAAAAAAAAACTTTGCAAGGAAAGAATTACCGATATGAATTCGCATGCCGCCCTCTTCTTAAAGCTTATGTCCGCCGTGGTGAGCTTGACCGTTGATATATCTCCTGAGCGCGTCCAGGCAATGGAGTGAGTGCAGGACTTCTACCCCCCCAAACACGCCGGAATGTCTGGTGTGACTTTGAATGCCAACTAGGGGCTCGAGGGCTGGTAGGGATGGTTGGTCTTGATTAAGCCGATCTATTTCTTCATCATGCAAGACAAAATATCGACGCCCAAAGAGTTCGTCCCAGGCTTTGTCGACAGCCTCTAGGTCGCGACCGACATATGCCGTCTCGCCAGGCTTTCCCTCGGCGCGGTATATGGTTCCATTCTCTAATACACGGAGACCCGATGAAAATCGACGTCGCTCGAGAGAGATGTGAAGTTTTGCGTCGTCGAAGTCGGTCGCGAAACCGGTCTCGTAAGACCCTCTGAAGCGAAACAGCGTATAGGAAGATGGGAGGAGGAGAAAGAACTGTATAGTCGCGATTACCAGGAGGATGAATGTTGATAATTGCCAGCCATATCTAGAAAGACGCCGCTGGGAGGGAGGCTCCTCATCTGCTATATCTTTATCACACTCGCACTTTTCATCCTGGCATTCTTTTTTGCGTCGCAGGAGCTTATAGTGTTGCTCTTCATCCATTTTGATCTTGGAGGCGAGAACGCTACTGACGGAATATACAGGTGGCATGAGCACGGGCAGACGCAGCAGCTGAACAGAAGCAGGCGAAAGGATGAAACTTGCACGAGAACTTCATGATCAACAAATACTCGGTAGTGGGTAGGGACTGTCATTCTCGTGGGGAGAAACTTCCCGCCATCAGCGCCGCTGCTTTGGGGCATCAATAGCCCGCCGAGCTTAAGCCAAAAAAAAAAAAAAAAAAAAAAAAAAAACCTTGAATAACCTTTCCATTCAAGGAAACTCAAAATTTAGACTAACCTATTCATCAGTAATCACTGGCTTAAATCCTCAATCGATCTCCTTTTCTTGGAATGTAAGTGATATCCATTCAAGGGAGACGTATGTTGTCCGCCACTCTGCTTTTCAAATCCATTGAAGAACTTTTATAATGTTCCTTCTTATCGGCATTATGCATGAAGCCCTTGGCATTTCGCAATATTAAACATTCGGATGATGAGTTTTTTCCTTTGAAATTAGAAATGGGGGGATAATCGCAGATCAAACTGCTGGTGGCTCATCTGTCACTAATGAGACGAATCCATATCCTAAGAATAGCTGCATAATGTCTAATCTATTATCAAGAACTCTATTCTAGATATTTGGGAGTATAAAGGTGAAATAACAAAATTAACTAAAGTAAAAGAGAACAGTAGGGGAGGTAAAATCTTCTGTCAGAGCCCGGCAAGTCTATATAAGCATATTAAATGGTTTGACGATACGATATGACACAAATGGATGCTTTATCCGCAGCCTTTCTCCATACTTAAAAAAAACACTAAAGGGAGAGGAAGCATGGCTAATGCAACAAACGCTAGTAAAGAATTTCCCCATCCAACCCCCAACGCGTCATACATGGATGGCCCTGCAAGCGGCAAAACAGCTCCCATGAGTGAGCGAAGCACTGTATTGGCCGCTGCTGCTGACGCGGCTTGAGTCGTGAATGCATCGACAAGATATGCTTGGACCCCGGTCTTTAGGTTAATGCAGGTTAGATCTTGTGCTCAGTATACCATACCAAGATGCAGAACATTTCAAGACAATGAGCGAAAAGAGCAAAGAGAGAGACATACAAATGAAGCCACCACACCGACCCCAATCCAGCAAGTCCCGATGATAGGAAGTATTCCATTTCCTCTCGTACTTAACTTATTAGACATACAAGAAGATAACTATTATGTGGAGGCGGCCAGAACCTAGCGCGAATATCGAAAATGAATGAATTACTGAGAGACACGGCCTTCGGAAAGCTGGTTCGAGTCCTGAACGGCCATCGGATTCTGCTCTATCCTGAGGATGCCAATGCTAGCGAAAGAAGGGCCTGCGCTTGGTATAAGTATCGTGGAGTCTGACTCACAAGATACTATTGCTTCTCACCCCGTCGAGAATGCTGGTCCACCAAATAACAGGATTATCGTTGTTGACTCGGGCCCTGATGACAGTGAAGTAAGTTTATTCAGCTGCCCTTCCCGATCTTAATGCTGAGCTAACGCTTGACAGAATCCTCAGAACTGGAGCTTTGGGAGGAAGCTTCTGGCCAGCCCAGTGATATGATTCTGACCTTCGCTATCTATATCGGCTCAGCTATCTACTCGCCCGGCATCCCTGGCGTAGCGACTGAGTTCGGTGTAAGTACGATCGCCTCGACGTTGGGCCTCACCCTATTTGTTTTAGGTTACGGTATCGGTATGCTTTACCCTGCTGGAGATCACTTTGTCTCTTTGAACTTTTCTGACAACGTTGTAGGTCCCATGATATGGTCCCCTCTGTCCGAGCTTCCTGTGATTGGAAGAAATCCTGTTTATCTCTCGACTCTGTTTGCTTTTATACTCCTCAATCTAGTAGTTGTCTATGCCCCTAACTTCGGAACGCTTCTGGCTTTTCGATTCATAACTGGGCTTTTTGGCTCCCCTGCCCTTGCCACTGGAGGCGCATCTATGGCGGACATATGAACCCCTAGAGCTGCCGATTATATGATAATTATATGGGGAACATTTGCTATCGCTGCGCCTGTCCTTGGGCCCATGGTAGGGGGTTTTGCCTATTCGGCCAAAGGTTGGACATGGACTATATGGCACCTGATATGGGTCTCTGCATTCGCACTTGTTTTGTTGTTTTTCCTCATGCCGGAGACGCACGGACCGAATATTCTGTATCGTTGTGCTCGACGCCTGCGTCTTGCCACTAAGAGAGAAATCTTCTACTCCCAGGCGGAGCTTGAAAGTCATTCGTCTACACCCAAGGTTTTTTGCGCATTAATACCTCTCTTTGGAAACTGGGACACTGATGACACTCTAGGACCTTCTATTCGAGACTCTCGTTCGCCCATTCCAAATGTGTTTCTGCGAACTGATCGTCCTTGTCATGAACATCTATATCTCCTTGGTATACGGTATCCTTTATACCTGGTTTGAAACATTTCCAATTGTTTTCAGTGAAATTCATGGATTCAACCCTGGCGAAACCGGAGCAGCCTTTCTCAGAATAATTGCAGGGTCAGTTGTCTTCGCTGTCCCAGGCTATATGTGCTGGAAGTGTTTCTACCAGTCTCAGGTGGTTAATAGTGACGGCTCTATGGCACCAGAGATGCAGATGCCTCCCGCATTCGGGAGTCAGTTGTCTCCCTATTTCTCTTTTTTGGTTCGGCTGGACAGGCAACTCTGTATCGATTAACTGGATGGCACCTATCGCGGCATCAGCACTGTTCTCAATTAGCGGATGTCTGATATTCAACCCCATTCTGTACTATTTACCAATGTCGTATCCAACCTACGCCGCGTCAGTTCTCGCCGGGAATGACTTTTTGCGTTCCTCATTCGGAGCGGGATTTCCCTTGTTCGCATCTGCCATGTTTCACAATCTAGGGGTGGGTTTGGCCTGTACGGTGTTGGGGTGCATAACTTGTCTTTTTATACCGTTTCCTTTCATTTTGTACTGGCGTGGCAAGCAGCTCCGAGGGAGGAGTAAATATGCGCGTCATGAAATCTGATTGTGGGGTTTCTCAGTGTCGCTTGGAGTAGACCTTGGTTTCCATATTCCAAGTTGGAATGTGTGGGCATGATTCTGATTCTGTACTTTATCATTAGGTTGCTAATAATTACTTACATGACTTAAACCCACCTTGAACAGGCGCTTCTAGCGGTGCGCTGGAATCTAGAGCCGACTTCCAAGTGATTAAGGAAAAGGTTTCTACTCAAGCTATTTGCTCTACTGTCATGTTATGTGCGCAACAATTGAAGTGACATTTTCTTCATCAACTAGAATTTCCATTATGATCTCAATTTATTATATTCATCAATCCAATTTAATCAATAAGGATGACATTGGTTACACCAAGCCCTCTTACCGCAGGCTCAAAAGACAATACGAATGACGAAACTTTTTCCATGCCACTTGTCTTCGTTTGGCGCTCACCCCTCCAGATATCCAATCCCCTGATTATATGATCAGGAGCCTCTGCCCTATCTTGCCTGCACTGCAGAGTCACGACTTACACATCATAGGGATTGACAGCCCCTTTGAATTTGTTCTTTGGGTCGTAATGTCTTCTCGACGTCTGTAACTGATGGAAATGGGGTCCCCAGGTCTAGAGCGTGCGTTAGATGCCCGACTATAAAGCCGCAATTTGCAATGTATAAAGCATCATACCTTTCTCGCATCATGAAAGTCTTCAAATCCATTTGGCAGGTAGTGGAATTCTGCACCTTCACCGAGAACGCGGGAGGCGGCCTGACAGGCGAGGTCTCGTGAAAGCTTCTCTTTCAAGGGACCAGCATCGCCAGGACATCCGGTGCCGAGAAGGAGAATGTGCTTTACGCCTTCCGGCCTTGGCCAGCCGCAGTTTGATCTCGGTCCAGCGGGTTCACACTAAGATTGGTGGTTAATCTGGGCTCGTGCGACTCTTTCTAGTCATTGTTATGCTTACCGAGCTTAGTAGTTCGAAAATGAGATAGGTGCAGTCAGCAAGCGACTCGTCGAGCTGTTGAATCTCTTCAGACCATCGAATAGCTCTGACGACGGTCTCTGCGGATAGTTCTCGGATCAGCAAAGGAGCCCAGAACTGCTTCATGGAACCTTTGACGATATGCGCCTTGTCTAGATATTTTGTCAACATCTCAACCCTGGGAACGAATATTTAGATGGTGTCCCGGCATATGAGTCTCACCTTGCAATTTTGCAACTCCTGCTAGAGTGTTGATCTTCGTTTGATCAATCGCCCCGGGAATATTCAACGCCCATTGGAAACTCTTACGACCATGCGCTTCACCAAGGGCGTCGAACGCATGGATGACTAGCATGTCCGAGTCCGTTCCGATGGACTCGAGCAGACTTTTCTTGACCACATACAAAAACATCGTGATCTTAGGATCGAGCGGCTGAGAGAGGAACGTCGCGATTCCCTCTGCTACCTGCTCAAGCCGCTCCCGGGGGACCAAAATCTGACCGGACCAGATATCCTGAGAATAAGGGAATACTCGGAGCACAACCTGCACCATGACTGCACATCTGATCGTCAGCCAACGCCTGTGCTGGAGGTTTCCGAGGGCCATCTCAGGGCCACTTACCTCCAAAGCCACCTCCACCGCCACGCAGTGCCCACAGTAGCTCCGGCTCTGCTGAAGCCCAGACGACTGAGCCGTCATACTTGACGACCTTCGCATCTAGCATGTTTGCGGGGTCCGAGATGCAACCATACTCGCCGGAGAGCCATGAAAACCCTCCGCTAACAATAGTACCAGCCACTCCGACACAAGGGGTGCGGGCTCCCACGACTTATGATATCACGTCAGCCTTGGATCACAAAGTCGCTGATTACTTTGAACAAAAGCGAGATATCCTTACTTCCATATTCCGGAGCCGCCTCTCCTAGCTTCCGATAGACCTCAGACCACGTCTGTCCGGCACCAATAGTCACCAACTCCGAGTGCTGATCGAAGTTGAAACCATCAAAGGCCGACGTGTTGATCAAGACGTCCTTTGCGGATGCGGACATGAACCCCTGTCCATATATCCCGATGTCTAGATCGGTTGAGTATAGGTAGGCAACAGTCTTACTCAGGGACTCGGTCGATGTGGGTCGGACCACAAGGTCAGGATTCATTTGCTTTTGAGAAGCCCAGGTTTGAGCGCGGCACTGGTAATCCGGTGAATCTGGAGTCAAGATCTCATCAGGGCGTAGCAACGACCGCAACGCCGCATGCTGGTCTTCACTAATACGTGCCTCAGCCATATCAACCGTTTTTCTGTCGAGTTGGAAGAGATTTGGTTTGAGTTTCAACCGCCTGAATGACCTGTTGAAATGATCCAGTGGATTATTTATAGAGTTTTTCTAGTAAGCGGTGCGTAGCACAGAGTGGGAAATGTGCATAGCTAACAGGGAACACTGCAATACCTCCATGGCATGATCAACATGATGGGTTGACCAACATGACTCTATTCTCTAGTACTACAAGGTCCACAACACCATTTGTAATTTTAGCCAGTCGAGACATTTCTGCAGCGTCGCCTTTCGCGCTCCGAGAGTGCGCGAAGGGTTCCGAGACTAGGCCGACCGAATCGGTGAAACCTCCGAGAAGGCATTGCCTGTTTGTCTCGGACTTCCGAACCAATCTTGGTGCTCTCAAATATGGACCGTCACAACCGAGGTTTTATTCTTCAGAGAGGGGACTAAATTAAATATACATTAAATTATCTTGCAGCTATTCTACACTTTATCGAAACTCATCCCTATTGAATCCAACATTGTCAGAAACATCATGCCCAACGTTCTTGTCACAGGAAGTTCCCGCGGCCTCGGGCTGGAGACATAGAAGGTATCTCGGTCATAAGGAGCGAGCTTCAAGCCATGTCGAATCCTAAACGGCAAGTCTGGGTTAGAAATAAAATGGCGGCCAAATGCGATCAAAACCTGCTTGTCTGCAAATACATTGTCGACTGCATCTCTCGCCGTGCTGGGAGTAAACCCACCAGCAAGAATCACCGGCGCTGAATCACCCCACGCATCGACAAAAGGATCAATCTTGTACGTGAGTGAATTGAGGCACCGGGTCCTTCATTCTCATACCCTGATACCTTTGCCAGGGACACAAACGGATTCCCACCCGATGAGAGCCCACTGCATTTGACACGGCGCTCGCAACTTCAAGTATAAATCGAGACCGATTTTCGATGCTTCCATCATATTCATCGTCACGCGTGTTGCAGTTGTCTTGAGTAAATTAATCAACCAAGTAGCCACCAGCGCCGTGGATCTCCACCCCGTCAAATTCAGCGTCTATTGCGTTCCGCGCTGCCCGGGCGCAATCGACGGCAAATTGTTGGATTTCCTCTTTCGTCAGGGCTCGTGGAGCTGGCTGGCTATCGTTGCGCTTGAGCTGGCCACATCGAACCCTTCAGCTTTCGCAGCTTCAGTCATGGCGACTCGTCCAAGGGCCCACAGCTGTAGGAATACTACGCTGCCCTTTTTGTGAACCTCATCCGTAACGGCTTTCCATGCTGTGATCTGCTCAGAGTTCCAGATACCAGGAACATTGGGGTATCCGCCCGCCTTGGGTGAAATGAAGGTCGCCTCGCTGGCGCAGATGCTCGTTGTCCGTAGTAAGTTGGCACAATAGGCAACGGGACGTAGTTGGCATCGGCCTTGAAACGAGTCAAGGGAGCCATGACCACTCGGTGTTGTATCTGCGAGCCACCAATATCCAGCGGCGAGAAGAGGCGACTTTTGGCCATGGTGGAATACGATAGAGTCGTAATTGAAGTTCAAGTTTATGAGGATGGCTTCAATATACCTCGTCAATCCATTATGCAACTCGAACTATTTATATTTATATTTTTATCTGGGTATATACTCAAAGTTGAGCAGACGGATAGTTTTCTTGATTTGTAATGTTCCATCAAATTTCTCCCTTCCATTTAAAAACGTCCAGAGTTGACTTCTACCCATTAAAGGGCTCGGGGTTATTTCGGCCCCATTCGAGGCCCGTCACATTACGTACCCATGGGTGAACTGGACAATAAACAACTCTGCTCCCGTGGATTTGTGTCATTCTTTACCAAGCAAATTGGTCAATAAACATAAAGTATGTTTGTTGATGTACTTGGGCCAGTCGAGCATCCATAGAACATCTATAGATCTTAATAGAGAAAGTTGACTGTCCCAGAAGGGAAAACTCTTTCCAATCGCTTCTAATTCTATATTCTATGATTTCGGAGTGATCTCACGGAGTACCTACAATACTTCTCACTGTTATTTATTGGCGAACCTGTGTAGTGAGGACCAACTATTGATTGCGATAATATGTGGAGAAAATGGGCGGAATACAATTTCCGCTCGGAATGTCTCCGCCAACAGATCCCATTTCAAGATCATTCGCTGTTAAATCTTGTGAATTTGCAGATCCCTTTAATGATTTGTTCATGGAAATTTATAGAATAATAAACAAGTATGTGGCTGGTTGGTAATAGTAAGGGGGAGAAGAGAAAGAATGAGCAAACGATTGCTTTGAAATCAAAGTTAATAATGACCCCGCTCTGGACAGCAAGAAATAGCATACATCTGTTTGCATTCTTCACCGTCCCCTAAGAAGGCCCAACTTGCCTACACTTCCAATTCAGAATATTCCTCCACTTTGTCATATTTACTTATTTATTGGTGATTCGCGCGCTTTGTTCACCTTACCATGCCCCCTGTAAAGCTTCTACTTGTGGGAGCAACCGGTTTCATGTAAGTTGCAATTGCTCTATTCGCCTCGTATTCCATTTTGGATGTACCAACTCAGAATACCTGCAGTGGAGGAAGTATCTTACATGAGCTACTGGAAACATCAGAAGCACAGAACGCGAATGTCCAAATCACCGTTGCTGTACGACAGCCAGACCAAGCAGAAATCCTTTCTAAAAAGGGAGTCCGAGCAATTCTGATTGCCGGACTTGATGACGCCGATGGGCTCGAGAATGCAGCTTCTGACCATGATATTGTGATAAATTCTGCGACGGGCCAACACACCGAAGCACCCAAAGCTCTGATTCGAGGTCTCGGGAAAAGAAAGGAGCAGACTGGGCGGCACGGTCATTTTCTTCATGTGGAATTTCCCTTTTCAATTCTTCTTATTAAAATTTGGCATTTCACTAATATTGGGCACTGGTTCCTTTCAGCTCTCCGGAACAACGAACATTGCCGTCCCAGCCATCACGCCATCACCGTACCAGCTGAGGAGCTTCTCAGACGAAGATGACGACCTCTTTGATTACGAAAAGTCCCGCGCAGAAGAAGACCCTTACGGACAGAGAGTTGCAGATGTCGTGGTCGTTGAGGAAGGTATCCGATTCAACGTGAAAACCTACATCGTCATGCCACCCACAGTCTACGGAAATGGCACGGGACTATTCAAGAAACAATCCCATCAGATCCCCACTCTGATAAGAAGCGCCATCAAAAGTGGTCATGCTGAGTATATCGGTACTGGCGAGTATCAATTAGGCCACGTCCACGTCACAGACCTAGCACGTCTGTTTAGCCTGCTAGCCACAAAGGTAGTTGCGGGCGAGACGGCTCCTTCGGGCCGACAGGGCTATTACTTTACGAACACTGGGAACCATCAGTGGGTTGGTGTTGCAAATCTCATTGGGAAAGCGGGCTTCGGTATGGGGGTTCTACAATCGCCAGTTCCGAGGTCTATAAGCTTGGAAGAAGGAGCTGTTAAGTTTGCGGATGGAGATGTGAAATTCGCGGAGGCTTGCTTTGCATCAAGGTATGGTTTCCTGTGCTTTTCTTCATGCATGGAGTCATTCAATATTGATTGAGGCGCTAGTTCGAGCTCCCTACCTCGCAGGGCATTTGGATTGGGTTGGAAGCCCATCCATACTGAAGACTTCAAGGCCTTGATTAAAACGACATTTGAGGAGATACGCAACGGAGGTGTATAAGTGACGGTGGGTCTATTCAGCTACTGAGACAAAGTACTTATAAATTCACATGAAGGTCCAGTAACGCCGTTGAATGGATGTGATTCACCATGGGAGATGGGCCATGTCGCTATAAATTTGTCCACTTTGAAAACACCGTCGACTTGATTGTCACATCAAGCACTTCAGAAATGTCCTATAATCGCGTCAATGTCCTTAAAAGTATATACTCAAAAGGCCCATCCTCACTCCCAAAGTGACCTAGGCCTGACAAACCGGGCTTGTGCCCGTTTCCTTCGCCCCCTCTGGATCATAAGCTGAAACCTCAATTTTAACCCACATATTCTCACCCCCCAGACGACCGACCTGTACACATGTCCACGTGGGATGGTTATCTGGCATCCACTTCCGGAAGTTTCGAGCCATCGCATCCTGGCTCACGGCGTCCAAAGAGATGTGGAAAGAATTCACGCGGTAAACCTGGGACCAGCCCTTGCTGCCTGCATCCTCTAGAGCGGTATCGTTATTGATGAAGGCCTGGTCGATCTGCTCAACGATGGTGTTCGGCTGTGTACCTGACTCGTTAAGGTAGCCACCTGAGACGTGGATTAGCAATTGCTTCTTGTATAGCTAATCATATGGAATGGGGATGGATGGAGTACCTACCTTGGCCAGCACAGTGGATGAAATCACCGGTTCGGACAGCTGAAGAGTACCAATGGCTCTTTCTCGAGAGCTCGCCGAATCCTTTGTAAGCGCACTGTCGCATAACTAGGCATGGTATTTTGTGTAGTAAGAACCCAGTTCAATGCTTGCTTAGTGGGGAATCATTGGCTCCATCCAGAGGAGATTATATTCCGCTTCACGAAGTACCTGTGCATATGGAGACGATCATCTAGGCTACCTAGTAGAGCCGGTGAGTCCAATCCAACCCAGACCTGAATCTCGGCTTTTGGGCTCAGCTCTCAATTGATTGCATGCTTGATTTAATAAAAGTAGGCTGAATAGGATCATGTTCCGCAAAAATAATCCAGAGAAATAATGTATCTTATAATTGCAATCATGGTCCTAAACTCGAGATGTTGGTTAGCTGAAGAGTTATTATCTTAACTGTTAGGAAGGTATCTAGCTTGATTTCTACGACTGAGCAAGGGAATTGCCGAAGTCGTTATGGAATTCAATGGTATCATTGAGTCAGGAAATGATCTTACGTTGGTCAACACAAAGTTACATGCCATGTAGCCGACGCGAGTTGATTTTTTGACTCTTGGTTGTGTTCCATGTTATTCTAGCTCGAGCCTATGTAGAAGATATTCCCGTGAAATTTAACTCATATAGTAGAAGTAGACCCTATGGGTGTAGTGACTACCTAAATTGCCGGGGCCTGTCGCGGCTGGACAAAGCTCACGAAATCAGACCAGTCATAGCTCCGGCCCATCCGTAAATTCAGAGCCCGGCGCTCTGATGTGACTACTTTATAGCAGTCCGTCCTGGGCTCGCGATTCCGGGCGTCAAGTTCTCGACGCGATCCAGATGATGGAGAGGCCGCTGCCAGTGTGTATACCATCTGTACTTATGTGCTCTCTCCGGGCGTCATTTATGTGATGAAGGTGAAGAATCTACCGTATAGGACCAGATTCATAGCAGATCAGTCCACCACTCGTTCAATCACTGTCTGCGTCCTCCTCATCGTTGGCATTCGTGCTGGGTAGCTGAGAGCTCGATCTGACTCCGCTTTGTCGCTGCGTATCAGTGTTCCGTCTCCGATTCTGCGTGGACTGCTCTGTGGAAGTGATCGCCCTCTCTCCAACGAACTTGTCCCCGGGCCACGCGGCCTTACAGACAGGACACTGTTCCGCCTGCTGCACGCGGAAGAAATTCTGAACACAATGATCATGCAGTCGGCCTTTGCAGTCGCGATTCGCACAGCGTTGTCCCTATACCAAGCAAACCGTCAGTTAGCAACAGTCATGTCTTTTAAACAAGGCCAAGACATTAAAAATAAGCGCACGCACCACCGTAATGATATCCCTGCAAGCTGCGCAGAACTTAACCTTCTCCATTCTCCCCCCATCCTCGTTCTCGTCGTTATACGTCGCCACCAACCAGCCCCGTAGCTCCATCAACCCGCGCGGACTCAGACTATAGTAACCCTTGCGACTCTTCTCAAACCATCCATCATTGACAAGTTGTCGGAGAACAGTTTCAGCCTGCGACATGCTCAGCGACTGGGCTGCCCCGCCTTGTGTCTGCGTCTGTGTCTGTGTCTGCGAGTCCATGTTCGATTCCCGGCGATTGGAATCCCCTGCTGATGCCTTGGCCAGCTGAATAGCCTGGATGCCACTGACGACCATCGCCTCGGATCGTCGCGTGTTGTGCGTGTCGAACATAGCGTCCAGGACGCGCTTCACGAAGGCGATTTCATCGGCGGAATAGGTCGTCGCGAGCTGGATCAGGGCGTCGCTGGTTGTGTTGACGAGCGCGTAGATTCGCTCCGGTCTTCGGTTCGTAGTCGCGTCGGGATCTATCGTTGATTGAGTCAAGGTGCTTCGGATTTCGAGATCGAATGGCGAGATGGCGCTGTTCGCTGCCGCGATGTACGAGGAGAAATCATCTTCTGAGATGTCTTCCGGGGAGACGCGTTCTTTTTCTATATCCAGGACAGGTCAGCGATCAGCGAGCTATTCCGAAATAGAGAGGAAATTCTGCGCCCCGAAAAGAGAAGGCAAAGAAGTGATTACCATTGACCGAAAAGATGGCGGCCAGGACGGCATGGGCTTCCTCGACGGTCATGGTTGATCGGGCCATGAAGGCTTGAAGGAAGGCGCGGTGGCCATCATTATAGCGCTCTGTCATTGTGGATCTCGAGCGTCTTGGTGGTCTGAAATTCCAAGCTATCGGAGAAATGGAGCTGTGACGATGACTTTTTGGAAGACAAAGAAAACGCGGTGGACGCGCCCCGCGTTGTTCTCCAAAGTGCCAAGACTTTCCGCCTTTAATTGGTTTCTACGGAGATTCCACCCTCGACAACTAAAAGGAAGCATATCATGAATATCACAACCAGAGCTTGATATCATAGCAATTAGAACAAGAAAAGAAGATGCAGCACACAAAATATGAAGAAGGGAATAGTACAGATGACAAAGAAAGGCCATTATCCCCCAACGCCCACAACAGACGGAAACAACAGCAGATTCTCTTTCTCAAGTAATAAGCACCGCCACCGCTAGGAAGATTCTCAGATCTAAAATCTCCGCCTCGTCGGCTCGGGGCTCGGACTGCGACTGACGCTGCGGGCGTCCCGGCCCCGTTCCTTCAGCCACTTCTTCGTGCTGAGACGAATGTCCCGGTCGAGCTCATTGCTGGGGTCCTTCCGGTGAATGAAATTGCAGAATCCCCCTCGTACACAGCCCTCGCCACTATTTAATCGACAACAAGCTTCTCGAAAATCTGTCACCGGTGATAACTCGCAATATATCGGCCGCGCTGCATACCAGCGCGAATTCAGCGCATCGCAGGCTGCTTGCGCATCTTCCTCGTATTTGAATCGAGCGTAGACGTTTCCGATGAGGTCTGCAGCGAAGAAACCGCGAGGTCAGTTACACTCCTTCAAATAACACGCAGCAAATCAGGGATGCTAGGGGGTCCGGAAAACTCACGGTCATTGTTGTTATCGCAAACCACCAATTCCTCTAGCTCGCCGTACTTGCACATCTCACACCATACATCCTCGTAAAACGCGTCGAAGTGGTTCTGGAGTTGACTGGGGTTCATCTTGTTCTTGGGGTCGTAGGCGGGATTTTGGTACATGTTGGGCATGAGGATGGTCTGCGAGTAGGACGGCTTGACGTGCTTCCGGGAGCATCGGTCGCCGTGTCGGCAGGCGCCGATCTTGTAGTAGAAGGAGCAGTTGACCTTGTCCTGCTCCGTACCGAAAATGGAGGCGAGATAGTTGGCCATGGTGGTTGATGTGAATGCGCCCGAGTCAGATCCGCTGGAGGAGAGTCGCCAAGGGGAGGAGCAAATGAAAGGAGGTGGATAGGAGGGGCGGAACTAGAGGATGGGATAGTGATAGGAATGGGGACGATGGAGAAGCAAAGGTGGTCGTGCGGAGAAGACTCGCTGGAGCTCTCGGTCATTGAAGATTCTGGAGAGCTCCCGTGGCGGCTATGCTGACTAATCCTGATGCCTGAGGTGTTGATTTATCAGCCCTCACTTCTGGTCTTCCATCTACTTTTATAATCTTGATGTTTCCTGTCTCTTTTTCTCGACCTGACAGTTTCCAGTATTACACTGAACTGATTCTCTGCAAGGGGACTCCTGTCTCGCAATACCTACGCGTGTCAGAAAATAATCAGGACACCCTTAGGTACATATAACAACGCACAATCAGCAACTATACTTCTTGTTCTTTTCCCCTAGGTCCCTTCAACGAAATGTGAAGAAACGCGATTATATCATGCGAAGTTTCCTTATAACACTCGAAAATGAGAAGCGGACCCACTCCCACATCGATATAATATCCACTAGCTCGGGTCATGAATTCGCGATGCATACCAGAACCATCATGCACAAAGTCCAGTTTAAAGCCAGCTCGCCCCAGCCCTTCGAGGGTATCATTTTCAACCCTCTTGACCTCGTTAGTGTGTTCGACATAAAGCGCAAATTGGACCAGAAGAGGAAGAACATGAGAATAAAGATCGTGCCTTAGGTAATCATCGACACGAACATTGATGATTGAGATACAGGGATGTCAAGCGCTAAATCACCCCGCACGCACTCGGGATATTTCAGAAGGAGCCGCCCTCCATTCTCTTTTGGAAGATGATTGAAAGCTGGTAGGAGACTACGAAGCCACCGGATTCTGGAATGCAATCCCATAGCTTTGCTTCCATCAGTCTGACTCCCAGATTCATACAATTCTTGTCTTTTGTCCAAAATCCCGCGCTCTATTGATCTCTGCTCAATCAACTCTTGGTCAAATATTTACGAGAATGGACGTCCCTGGATTTGCGGTAATCACCGGTGCTGCCTCTGGCCTTGGAAAAGCCTGTGCGATCGCTTTCGCGAGGGAGGGCGCCGCCGGAGTCGCACTACTAGATGTCAATAACGACGGGCTCCTGGACACCAAGGCCGAAATCGAGCTCGCTCAGGATAGTTGGAACCGCTCGAGACATTGTCAACTTGAAGCCTTCACGGTCAATGTGACAGATGAAGACCAAGTGAACCAAGCCATGCAGACCATCGCTTCCAAGTTCGGTCGACTTGACTATGTTGTCAATGCCGCAGGTATCACCATTCGTCATGAACAGGGTGCTGCTTACGCCTCAGCTGCTGATTGGCAAAGGGTCATCGATACCAACCTGACTGGCACATTCCTTGTTTTCCGAGCCTCGGCCCAGATTATGCTCAAACAAGAGCCTCTTAGATCCTCGCTTGATGGTCGGGAGCTCCAACGCGGCTCGTTTGTCAGTTTCGGTTCAATTTTGAGCCTTGTCGGCAAGCCTATGTCGACTGGCTATATCGCAGCCAAGCACGGTGTGCTGGGATTGACGAGGACGGCATCTGAGGATTACGCAGACAAGGGCCTGAGAATAAACACGATATGCCCGGGCTACATTGACACACCAATGGCTGCGAGTGATGAGCTCATTCAAAGAACTAGCCAAGAAGCGCTGGCGCACAAAGTTCCTATGAAGCGATTCGGGACTCCTCAAGAAGTTGCAGATGGTGTCTTATTCCTGTCGGGCGGAAGAAGCTCATTCATAACTGGATTTGCACTTTGTGTGGATGGTGGCTACACCCAACGGTAACCAAGAATTAATGCAAGATAACATACCTGATCAAGTATAATTGAGTCGTAGCTGCAGCTTTCATGGATGGAAAAGGGCTGTTTTGATCCGGAAGTACAAAAGCGAATGCAACAAACTGGATAATCCAAATTGGGGTTCCTTCTATCTCCGGTCAGCTTGCATTGAAAAGAAATTGTCTACTATGCATACTGTAATGAAAACTCTTTGATTACCGATGGGGGTCAATTGAGTGTCACACCCGCCAGTTATTAGAATCTCTCAGGATATAATTATTTAGCTTACTGATGTACGAGCCAGTAAAACCATACATTTCTACCATTGAGAAGGAACCGCTACAAATGTACATCTATCAACTTCCACTCACATCCCATCTAGACAGAAAACCTCAAAAGATGGAATCAATCTCCACTGCCAAAATCAGAGGAAAGCAATATGCTGAGGGTCCAAGCATAACCTCTTAAATCCGAAAACCGAGCGCAGTAATGTGCTAATAAATGAGCCAACAATAATATGATGCCATAGTTAAGCGATTAGATGTTACTTACCATCCGTGCACTATTCAGGCTTAGTGCAACTATCTCGCAGTGGCGTAATGTATGCTTACTCGCACTGTCCCCTCAAATCGGACGCTCGGAGCATCGGCTTTCCGTCCAGGCCTTGGCTGATTAATGTCAGTAAGCAGCAGCGCCGTTAGTTAAGGTAACTTACCCGTAGCTCGTATAAAGATACCTGATTGGTAAGGCTAGTGGTTGTCTATTACAGGAAACATACGTCAATCTAAACACCTCGTGTACAAATGTGCTCGGCTTCGGCGTCGGAATTATTAATGGTGAATGTGGTTGATGCCGAGATGAAGGTCTAGCAGTTCTTCTGATGTAGTGTATAAAAAGAACATAGATGGAAACATTCTCAATATTAACAATCACAGAAAAACTTCTTGCATACAGCATTACTTCTTCTAAGAACAAAACAATCAAAATGTCCAACCAAGCAGCCTGGATCAAAGAGAAGCACGGCCGACTCGTGCTCGACGAAGCCGAGATCCCAATCCCCGGTGAGAATGAGGTGCTTGTGAAAGTCGATCTGATCGCCTTCAGTCCCATCGAGTCGAAGATTCAAACGTAAGAACATCCACCAACCTTTCTTTGTCTCCAACCTCCTCTAATACAAATACACTAATGAACTCATCAGATTCGGCACCCACCCTATCCCCTATCCCAACATCCTAGGCCAGTCCTTCGCCGGTACAGTCCAATCCATCGGTCCCAACGTAACTAGCTATAAGCCCGGTGACCGGATCGCAAGTAATCGAGGGGCCAAAGCAGTCGGAGATCCTCGCTTCGGGTCTTATCAGAAATACGCCCTGGCGTCGGTGTCCTCCAGTTCCAAGATCGCACCCGACGTCGACCTCCAAGGAGCGGCCACCTCTATTGTGAACCTCGCCGCAGTGGTGTCTGCGTTGTCGATTTATTTGGGGTTGGATCGGCCACCTCTCTCGGGCAAACCAGAACCCAAGAGCAAGAAGGTCTTGATCTATGGAGGCTCCAGCTCCACTGGCGGGCTGGCCGTACGGTATGCTGTCACAGCAGGATACACTGTCGTGACGACCTCGTCGCCGCAGAATCGCGAATTCGTGGAGTCCCTGAACCCGGCTTATATCATCGACCATACGGCGCCGGCAGAGACAATCGTCGAAGAACTTCGCAGTCAGGGTCCCTTTGACAGCATCTTCGACACGATCGGATTACCACCAGTGACGAACATCTTGATCAAGTACATATCTTCGATCGGCGGCGGGAAGTACAACAGTTTGATTCCACCTATCGGAGGGGAAGACCCGATGCCGGATAATGTGGAGAGGCTGTTTGCGCCGTATAGCCGGGCATTTGAGGACGAAGCGAATCGAGAAATTGCTCGTTGGCTTTTTGAAGAGTATTTGCCCAATGGATTGCAGAGTGGGTTGGTTGTGCCGACAAGAGCGCAGGTTGTGGAGGGAGGATTGGACAATGCGCAGCAGGCGCTTGACCTGATGACTCAGAATGCTGTGAGCGGACACAAGCTTATTTTGAACCCGTGGGCTGGGAAGGAGTAAGCTGTTCTAATGGCGAGGGTTTTAAGGAATAAGCCTGTTTGTAATTAATTCTATTGCGTGGTTTCGAATTTTACTACGTCGGAATTCGCAGCGAACGCTTTCAAATATTGAATTCTCGTCCGATCGAACTAAATACGTAACATGAAAAGGGTAGATCATCAAGAAGAGTATCTTGAACTGACAGGATCAGTCCATATGAAGCGTAAAATGCACGCAATGGTATGAATTATAACGTTAATATTATCAGTGTAGCAGTTTACCTTAATTCGCTCGCACCAAGTATGACGCAGTCCGGGAATCTGATTGTTGGCAGGTATTTTCCAATGGCCCTTCGCCGGGTCATGCTAGAAGTTTGCTCCTGCTCGCCAGTAGGCGGGGCCTTCACTGCCCCCGTTGTCTTCTCAAGCAGCCAGGAGAAAACACCGGCGGTGATGCGACCAGCGGCGCCGTCGTCAAAGTCCCCAGTTGACGGTTTGAGCGGCTATCTTCGAGCTTTTGACGTTGGCACAGTCGTAGCTGTTGGCTCCAAGACTCCACCAGGCATAGTGGGCGCAGGTGGGGTGGTTGTATTAGGGCAGGTCACGCAGACGTTGGTGGTTTTCGAAAGCAAGGACGGTCATGGCCATGAAGGTCAACAATGAACAACTAAGGATCTTGGTTGCTCCAGCAGAAAGACAAGAATACATCCATTTTTCTCTATACTAACTAGGCCCGACCAAAAGCAGAAAATGCAGATCATATCATGAAAACCTCTTATTAAAGGCGTGCTGCTGACCGTCATGAAACCTGTTGCCGGCTTTCCGATAAGTACTCATGGAGCGAGAGCGTGGGGGGCAGAGAAAAAAGGCATCCTGATCAGTGACCACGCTGAACCCTATGTGCCATGGCCAGCCAAGGGTCTACTACTGTGTTGGGTGTAAGCGCCGAAGGGCTGCCGTGATACATGTTCCAAAACCCTGATCATGCATTCACTCCATAGAGTTGACAGTTGCAGCAGGATCAATCGTTTACCATCTACCACAGGCATGGGAGTTGAACACTCCCCACTCTTATGACTCAGCCAAGCCGTTGTCACGCCGTTAGTCTGATCTCGGCCTACGGAATACACCGATGTACTCCGTATACCAGCGTACGGAGTACTCATTCCGTATTCCAATGCATATGAGACCGCTGTCTTAACTTATTAGTTGGCGTCCCGGCCGATCCTGGAGGTCTTGGCGCAGGATTCGGGTTGGCTCTGCCGGGAATTCTAGGATGCAGGATGCAGCGAGGAAATCTATATCGAGATTAACAGGCAAATGGCCTCGAATCTGATTTGGTGTGAAACATCGACGTATCATCGGGTTCTAAAATTGCTTTTTGTATTTTACCTTCAAGTTAGTGGGTCCAGACTTGGTCTGTACACCGAGTACTCCGTAAGTATCAAATCGAAGTACTTTGGTCTACAGAGCACTCAGTATGCAAGCAAGCGAATCGACATGTCATGTCCACTATGGTGTACTACAATATGCCTTCAGAGGACTCTATATCGGTCCAACTGTTCACGATAATCCCACGACGTCACCAGATTGTCCTATAGTCGGACAGCATATCTAGATACTCAATTCGCTCACATCTACTACAGGCTGGACCCCTCTCACCATATCGGCAATAACCTTCCCGGTTCCTAGGGACAATGAAATTCCCAGGTCCCATGTCCCGAAGCAATAAATACGCCTCCTTCGCGATTTGTCTTGATGCCTTTTCCTAACAAGCCATCATTTATCCTTGATACTATTGGTATTCCCCATTTTGAAACTGGACGGAAACACAATCCTACGCGAATAACCTCTAGGTCGTCGAGATTAGGATTCTCTTCGCTTGATTCCAGGGCACCATCAGGAAGCTTCCCCATAAGCTGGACAGATATTACCTAAAGCTTATCGAGATCTTTCCGTTGCATGAGATTCAAACTATCCTCTGCGCGTACGGGAAGCTCGGTACGAGGGCTATTCAAACCGGCGATGTTAATCTCACCACCTTGGCGAGAGAATATCTCTGGGCTAATCCCAGACAAGGGGCTCTCGGCGAAGATAGAATGGCTGCGGCCGGCATGTAGTTTCCGTTCGTCTTCCAGTGTATATCGTGGGGGAGCGGAGAACCAGTGAGTACCCCGCTAGAGAAGAAACAGGTATATCGAGCTGCGAGGATGGAAAGAGATCATGGAAGACCTGTAGGGTCCAAGGGCCTGCGCACACAATCAGGTTTGTACATGATAGAACAGTTTCCATATCCGTTTCAATGTTTTAAGATCGTGATCCCTGTGGTAGTGTCACCATCTCCATCTGTAGCGAGACAGCTTGGGCAGGTTGATGAAGTTGGACCCCACGAGAGATCGCCGAATCCATCAGAAACGTGGACAGTTTCAGTGGGTCGCTGTTGGATTTGTTAGGATAATACTTCATTATTTCTTCCTAGGAAGGTCCTTACACTTGGGCAGTATCATCATCACTAATTCTCTCCAACGCCATTCCCTTCTGCCTAGTCAACCACTCTGGGACTTCAACTATAGCTGACTCACTCGATCCAGCAGCAGTCTCGGCTCGACTAGCACCTGCAGTGAGCCAGTCGTCACCGCGAAGTCCCATTTTGCTGCCCATGCTAGGAGCCAGACTCATAGCCGTGCCTTTCATGTAGCCCCATTTTTCCGCGCCACCATTCTCAGCTGCTAGAGACTCGTGTAGATTGAATGAAAGCTCGCCCAGAGGAGCAAGAGAGGGCGTAAACCAGTCTTTTGCGAGGAAGCCTGCAGCATAGCCAGATGCGCCGCTGAAGAGTCATGAAGACTGCTCGATTATATGGACATCTCCAGCTCGCTCGGATTAGGATAAGTAATAGGCGATGGAGGAGCCGATGATTCCTCCACCGAGGATAACGGTTGGCATGTTTGATTTCTCGTTCAGTAATCAATGGGATATAGAAAACTGCGATATGCCAGTTACCAACTTCGAATGGTATGATTGATGTTTTGTTGATGGCCTTACCCAATGATGACCTCAGGATGAGCCTTCGCTACTTCATACACAATCTATAACGAGGTTCCCAATTACGCCCGGCATTAAGTTGACATGCGAGAAAGAGGCAGGTCAAATAATTGACTTCAGTCAAAATAAATCTATTGAAATAGGTGAAATGCAAGATAGACTGCGACCTCATTCTCAATCCTCATAACAGACAATATGAATCAGTACCCCACCGTCCCCTCATAGTTAAATGACATCACCGTCAACCGTGAATACCCTTCCTTCCAGTCTTCTAGAATTCTAGATGCCTCATGATATTGTTAATACAATAGGTATAATTGATAGCTATATTATAAATCATTTCTATTAATATAAATAGAAATGTTAGACTCATTCGGAGTTTCACCAAGGATCCCCGGCGGTGCATGGGGCCGCCGGTTTCCCGGCTAGCCGTGCTTATGTTCGGAATCGTCAACTATATTAACCCAATTCCTTCCCACACGGCTCCATACTTCCCAATTCACACACTCTTCCACCACACCCCCAAACCCGCTTATTCAATATGTCGCCCAAGACTTTCATCGTCACCGGTGCCTCGCGAGGTAGGCAATGGCTCAATCCAGCTCAAATCAATTCAATCCGGCTCTTTCGCGAACCCAAAAGCTAATTCATCTTTTCCCACGATCCAGGCATCGGTCTCGCAGTCTCCAAGTTCCTGCTCAATGCGCCTCAATCCCACAACGTCGTCGTTATCGCTCGCAGCCTCGAACCCCTCCAGAAGTTGAAAGACGAGTACACGAAGCAGGTCGAGGTGCTGAACGGTGATCTTGCCGATTTCTCCCTCGGCCAGAAGGCCGTCGATCTGGCCCTCAAGTCGTTTGGGCGTCTGGATGGCATGGTTCTCAACCACGGCGTGCTGGGACAGGTGGGCAAGATTGCTGAGGCGGATCCTCAGCAGTGGAAGGAGGGATTCGATGTCAACTTCATCAGTCTGGTGGCTTTTGTAAGTTGATCCCGCTGTTTCTCTTGAATGCCAGTGTCCAGTGGTGGGGGGATGGCGGGGTTCTTAGGGCAGGCAGAATCGGGACAAAGGGTTACCGTACGGGTTATATATAATGGCTGCTTGCTTATGCTCGTTTTGCTACAGGTGAAAGCCGGACTTCCTTCGCTTCGCGAATCCAAGGGCAGAATCGTCTTCACGTCGTCCGGAGCTTCCGTCACGGGCTACCCGGGATGGGGTCTGTACGGTGCGACCAAGGCGGCCATGAACCATCTGTGTCTGAGTCTTGCGGGCGAAGAGCCCGACGTGACGTCCATTTCGATCCAGCCGGGCCTGGTCAACACCGAAATGCAGCGGGAGATTCGCGAAGACCACGCTACGACTCTGCCGTCGGACTTCCATTCGAAATTTACTACGGCCCACAAGGAAGGACAATTGCTGAGACCCGAGCAGCCCGGGCATGTCATGGCCAAGCTGGTCATTGGCGCGCCGAACTCGTTGAGTGGAAAATATCTCCGGTAAGTTTTACGCCCAGCTTCTACGACTTATTATTTTTAGTGGGACTGACGAGAGAAAAAGATGGAGCGATGAAGAATTTCTGGCAGCTTTCCAGGAGTAGATTACTAGATAAAATATCTGAACATGACAGTTAGCATATACCGCAATAGAAATTTTCATGATATATGAGCAGCATGATTGGGTAATATAATCAGCCGAAAGATGAAAAGCAATACATTTTAGAAGCATTAGGTGCAGAGCACCTTCATACTTAGCATGGAATGTGTAGGGTGTTCATCATATTACGAAAGGAAAGAAACAGTATCCAGTGAATTCCGTACCTTTTGATTCTTCGCATCTTATTATTGTAACTGAATTTGCTACCTTCCACCAACCGACACGCATTGTACTATTCTCAAGCAAAAAAGACATATGGATGAAAAGGTATGCGGGTTGTGGTTCCTAAATTCTTGGAGCAAGTCAGTAACAATCTTAACAATGACTTGGCAGTTCACAAATGGATGTAAGGATTGTTATCAGTGAGTCCGTTTGGCTAGGACAGTGTAGGTCACCACAGAAGGTCTGATAGGGGCGACAAGCAATGTTCATCATGGTAAAGGAAAGATCAAAAACTGGGAAGATGTGAGGAACGTACCATTTACTACAGTTAGTGATCACTTTGACTGTGTGTTGAAAATTTCCTCAAAATCCTTGACATGAAAGGATCCCAGCCAGTTTTGGCTGTTTTGTCGTTGTGGGAAAAGTATTTGTCTGGAGTGAAAGAAGAAGAGGAAACAAAAATTGCTCGGCGAAAATATACTGCTCTCTGGAGCGGTGAGTTTCTGCCGACCCGTAGTGGTTCGCCCGTCGTTGTTCCGTCCCGAAGGAGTCCCTCCGCGCCGGAATTCAAGGCAAGTTCATTCTTATAAGGGAACAAAAGGCGCCCGCCTGACTCGGAAACGTTCCAAGAATCGTTCCTCTGACAAGAACTCCGCCAGTTTCTATGATCTCTCTTTAAATTTTCATATCTCTCTTTCACCATGTCCGATCGCGAGTTCAGTTGTACGTCTGATCACCCCAAGTCTTGGCATTCTTTGAGGTTCTGTGCTGACTCGCGATACTGCAGCGAACGATGACCTGTCGCTTCCCAAAGGTGTGTGTTGAGCGCATTTCTTCCATGACCCTCGCGTTACTCTTCGCGTCCCTGGAGCTTGTCGGCTTCACCGTGAACTCCTTGCTCCTCGTCTCGTGGAGATATCCCTCATCGCTGCCTCTCGTCGCGTTTGCACCTCGCATACTAATCGCGACAATCTACAGCTACGGTCCAGAAAATAATCACCGAGATCCTCCCCCCGTCGTCGGGCCAAACATTCTCCAAAGATGCACGCGATCTACTCATGGAATGCTGCGTTGAATTCATCACCCTAATCTCCTCCGAGGCCAACGACATCAGCGAGAAGGAGGCCAAGAAAACAATCGCCTGTGAGCATGTGGAGCGGGCTTTACGCGATCTTGGCTTTAGCGATTACATCCAGGACGTTCTCGCCGTGGCTGATGAGCACAAAGAGCAGTTGAAGGTATGTTGTGGGATCCGCGCGACATCTTACCGGCGTGGAGTCGCTAGCTAGGGTTGGGTTGCTTGCTAACATGTTCATCCCTGCGCAGTCTCGAGAAAAGAAGCAAAGCAAGATGGAGCAGAGCGGATTGTCCGAGGAAGAGCTTTTGCGACAGCAACAGGAACTGTTCCGCTCCGCGACCGAGAAATACCATGCCGCTCCTGAATAAATGTCCTGGGATTTACACATAGTGGAGTTCGTGCCGTTTTGCTCGTGCTGGCCATAGAGGGAACTGGATTTGGAGTCTTTGTTTTTTTTTTTTTTTTTTTCTTTTTGTGTTTTCTTCTCTTATTGGTCTTCGAAAGAAAGAAAAGTCCTCGGAGTTCAGGTGGCTGGGGATTCAATCCATAGCTTATTGACAAGGTGGGCGGGTTCTTCTTCTTTTATAGCTTCATGCTTTCTGCTCTGTGTGGTCTTAGTACAGCAGTTGAATTGATACCTTTTCATTTGTCTTGCAACTGGTTGGTGTTCCAGGATTTCTGCGATACCTTGGGAGGTAGTTATTCTACATGGGAGCATGTACCGTCTGGTGGCGAAAAATAAAACGAAATACAGACACATCAATTAGCCTCGAATGACAGTCATTCTTATTCCTATAATCATATTAGAATAGTACTTAAAAACAATAGATGCTACAATAATGGGGGTTCACTATAAAAATCGACACCCACAGCAAATCCCATGCACGGGTCGCGCTTAACCCAAACAGGCGACCGCCCAACCTCTCTCGCGCGCAAAGTCACCGGCTGCAAACACCGCGGAGCCATCCGTTCTCCGTCCGCTGCGAAGGTACTACGAACTGATTCCCTCCCCCCAAGTCTCATCACGCTGGATCGCCCAGGATGCCCCCATTCAAAGATGAGCATATCTTGGTACGTCTGACAACCTTTGTTCCACCACCCACCTCACCTCACTCTGCTTCATGCACAATCCGACATTCATTAAAAGGGCCCCCCCCCCAAAACTAATTCCCTCCATCTCTCCAGATAATTGCTCCAGGTTCGCAAGTGACCCTGGCGCAATTGGGTCTTCCTGAATCGTTCACGCCCGCCCGATTTCGCTTCCCTTCCCGCATGTTCCCCGCCGAGAAGAAGGGCGAGTATGAACCGTACAAGATCCGCGAGCGCCGACACGAAGTCAAAGTCGGCAATGGCGTCGACGCGCCCAAGGACGATGTCGAGATGAAGGATGCGGAATCCGCCGCACCCGATGCTCCCGCGAAGACGGAGGCGGAGACAGACGCGCCTGAGAAACCCGACGGTGCTGAACAACAGGAGGGCAAGACTGAGTCTGAGCCTGCGGCGGGACAAGACGCCGAGGGAGAGACGAAGCCGGAAACCGCGCAGCAGATTTACTACGAGGAGGATATCATGTCGGATGAGGGAGCTGTGTATCCGCTCCGGAATGGAAACATTGTCGATTGGCCGTGTTTCTTCGCCCTTCTTACGCATATTCACAACACGCTCAGTCCGCCGTTCCATACGCCAATCATGCTCATTGCTGAGCCTATCTGGACGGCGCGCGATCGAGAAGTGATTACCCAGTTCGTGTTTGAGAAGTTCAAGACGCCTGCGTTTTGCCTGATGGACTCTGCGCTGGCTATCTGCTATGGCTATGGCACCTCCACGGCCACGGTGGTCGATGTCGGGAAGGACAAGGTTGATGTCACCGCCGTTACCGATTTCCTCGTGAATGAACATGGAAGAGGAAACGCTCTCGAAGGATGCGGTGGAGATTACATGACCGATAGACTCTTGGAGTTGCTGGGCTCCAAGGGGTTCACGCGAGAGATGTGTGAGCAGCTCAAGAGAAGCAACATTACCGAGATTCTACCCGTCGGGATACCTCTTCCTGGCGCGGCTGCTACCGCCCGACAGAACCCCGGAATGACCGGAAACCAAGGCGGTAATGATGCAGCTCCGAAGGGATCGGGAGAAGGCACTCAGACCGGCCAAGAAGGAAGCAACGAAGACGAAGATGAGGGGGTCCTAGATGTCGCAGCCATCGTGAGCGGCAACACGAGCGAGTTCTTGGCCAACAGGGAAAAGGAGAAGGGTGACAAATCGACAACTAAGAAGGGGCAGGTTGATCAAGCCGGAAAACCTCTTCGTCTTCCCAACTCCAAGAAAGAGAAGGCTACGTTCCAATATGAGGAGTTCGTGCAGATTGAGCCGGAGCATAACGTCGCCAGCGGTCCCGGGAAGTTCATTCGTCAAACACGAGATATCGAGGTTGGAGTGGAACGATTCTTGTCCGCAACTCCGAAACAGAAAACCGGAGAGCGGTTTTCAAGCGGTATTTTGGATGACATCGCCACCCAGATCCATCACACTATCCTCGCTGTGCCTGATGCAAGCAAGCGAAGCGAGTTGTGGGACTCGCTGATTGTCGTTGGCAATGGCAGCAAGATTAAGGGTTAGATTTGATTGCTCTTACAGGTCTCAGGATTCCAACTAACTATCTTTGCTTAGGATTCACGTCATCTTTGCTTGGCGCCATCACACAGAGATTCATTCTCTCCCCATCTGCAACCATCTTCACCTCCGAACTTCCCTCCAACTTTTCCACGCCACTTCCTACGGGGGGCACCAACACACCGGCACCCAGTGGGCAGCCTGGCCCAATGCACCACCCTGCAGGCCACGGGGTCAACCCCCTGCTTGTCGCCGCAACCCACTCCAACAACCCCGCGGTCCCCACGATGCCTCCCGGCACGCCTTCGATGGACGCTGCCGCGATCTCCCACTACCGTTCGACCGGTCACTCCCAGACCCCAACCTCAGTCAAGACGCTTAAACCGCCAGAGTATTTCCCCGAATGGAAGGAACAAAGCAACACCAACGCCCCTGGGGCCAGCGGCGCTGGCGGTATGAACAACGCCCCCGCCGCTGCCGGCGGACCTGGCAACCAACCCTCGCTAAGCGGCGGACACGGAATGGAGGAAGCAGTCTTCCTGGGCGCTCAAGTTGCTTCCAAGGTGGTCTTCGTTCTTGACCAAGGACTGAGCAAGGGCTTCATGAGTCGAGTGGAGTATAACGAGAACGGGCCATCCGCGATCCACGAGTACATGATGTGATGGTGCTGCTCACTCACTGACTAAATAATCATAAATTCACAAACATTTGCATGAGAATACGTTGTTTGACAGAGTATTCCGGGAAAGATATGCAATCCATAAAATCTTGCGGGATTAGGGCCTTTTTATTATTACTTATGAAGCTTTTTTTTTCCATTTTCTTTCTTTTTTTTTTGCACCCGCTTCGTTGTTTTTTGTCGTCTGCTTTCCATTTTTTTATATTTGTATTCTACGTGGTGGCGTTTTCGTATAAAAACGATTTCCCCAAGGACGCGATCGATAGGCGGGGAGTCAGGTCAAATACATTGTTTGGGTATGAGCTTTCAATATGGAAGATTGATCTGTAAATCTAACTCACATCTCAGTAATATCAATAGACCAAAGGCACCATACTATGGCCATTGTAGTTATGTGGGGAGCATTCACATAATTAGGATATAAATAGCTCATCTATTTCATTTGGTAGTTTTCTTCCGGTCTTGTTGCTTATTATCATTACGGAGTAGGTAGGGTATAGAGATAAGAGAAGAAGAAGGAATAAAAAGAGCATTATTCCCACCCGATGGTGCTGGGGTTCGATCTCGCGTGGGAACCTCCCGCCGCTGTCAGACCCCTGCACCATCGGGTGGGACCATTCAACGTAATTGGGGCATAGCTCGCTCATCTGTTTTCATTTAGTTAGTCGTTTTCTTCTGCTCTTGTTGCTTGTCGGTAGAGAGAAGATAGAATTAAAAAAGAGTAACATAGATAGATAGGAAAATTGAAACCCAGAAAACTAATGGAAATGGCTGGCTGCACTGGGTCACGTGCCTATTCATATAAGCGGACGCTCCGATCGTCGCCACTCGCCGCAGATTGTCGCATCCATCACCCTCAACCTACTGTCTCTTCGCACTCGATACTTCTCTCTTTCGATTGATCTAATTCTTATCCAGTCGCCAACATGCCTCGCGCCGAAGCCGGAAGTACGAAATCGCTCAGCAACAAGATGAAAGCCGTAAGTCATGGACTCCGCCCGTCGAGGTCATTTAACGCTAACGTCTCGAAGAAAGGCTTGGGCAGGTTGCGATGGTATTGTCAGCTTTGCGAACGACAGATGCGCGATGAGAACGGCTTTAAATGGTGAGTTTATCACTCCACGTCCCATACCTAATTTATCAGGGAGGAAAAAAGAAGGCAACGCGCTAACTCACGACTTTCCTACATAGTCACGTCCAGAGCGAAAGCCATGTCCGTCAGGCGCTTCTTGTCGGTGAAGATCCTAAGAAACATATCGAAGATTACAGCAGGGAGTTTATAAAGAATTTCATGGATTTGTTGCGGACGACGCATGGAGAGAAGAAGGTGCATGTCAACCAGTTCTATCAGCAGGTTATTGCGGATAAAGAGGTGCGTTTGGATATCCCTGTTACTTGTTATTGCCTGCAGGGGGGGCGGGTTGTGCTGACGGTTAGAATCTAGCACGTGCATATGAACTCGACGAAATGGACATCGCTGTCCCAGTTCGCGGCGCACTTGGGTCGAGAGGGATTGGTTCGCGTCGAGGAAACGGAGAAGGGCCTTTTTGTGTCGTATATTGATCGGAGTCCGGAGACTATGAAGCGTCGGGAGGCGATCATGAAGAAGGAGCGCCAGGATCGAGGAGATGAGGAGCGAGAACAGCGGCAGATCCAGGAACAGGTGGAGCGCGCCCAGCAGAACGCTGAGAAGGAGGACGAAATCGATCCGGAGGCTAGGAACCTGCAGCGAGCGGAGGGCGAGAAGGTCAAATTAAACCTCGGCTTTGGTTCTAAGCCCACTGCCACCGAGGAATCGAAACCCGAGTCCGAGTCCAAGTCGAAGTCGAAGTCACAGTCGCCCACGGAAGAAAACGGTACAGCTTCGGAATCTCCTGCCCCGGCGCCGGTCGAAGCGGCTCCGCAGCCAGCCCCGAAGATCTCGATGTCGTTCGGTGGGGATAAGAAACCGAAGAATGTCTTTGCTTCGGCGGCGAAGAAGAACCCTCTTGCCGGCAAGAAGGGCTCGGTCATGGAAGCGCCCAAGAAGATGTCGGAGCAGGAAAGAATCATGAAGCAGGAGATGGAAGCGATGGAACGAAAGCGCATGCGTGGACCATCTGGATTCCCCAACGCCAAGCGCCCACGAGTGACATGAAGAATGAAGCTGAAGGCTTGATTCAACATTCCATGCTAGATGGATGCCTACAGGCTCACGACCTCGGGATGGCTTTCCACTACCTCGCAGGCCATTCCCATTAGTGGCTAATGCTCCCTCAAATAGATTGCTATCACCGATCATTGGAGGAAACGCGTCGCTTTATTCCACCCCCATCAATGATTGTGTCCTGGCTTACAGGATAGGTGATAGGCCATGGCTGCGACATATGTGATGACTAGAGTTGTATTTTCGAGCGGGTAGCGCGTCGGCAACGTCTTACTATCATTCTTGAGGTTTTTGCATTCTCACTTCAGAGTATACTAAGCTACTTTCTATAAAGGTGGCGACATAGATACTGAGACGACGTCATTCGGAGTCAGAGCTGCCTTAATCAGCGGAGTGTCCTGGTTCATAATTACTAGTTTTGAATGACCCTTGCATGAAATACATAGCGTAAACCAGAGCCAGTTCTTCAAGAACTATTTAGCCTAGAGTATTCTGCCCCCGGCTCCACTCGTATCTAATTTAGTTGAGGCGGTTCACTAAATAGTCTAACCAGCCGGGCTTTGTTTCTCCAGTTCCGAACTTCGGCTTTCTTCACCAGACAACGACATCCTCCGCCTGCCGTTACTTGGCCACACCTCGTGGCGGAGATTCACTCCACGATGCCAGCTCCACGAGGGAGCAAATCAAATCAAAATGCCAATCCCGATTCCGATTTATGGAAGGAGCTTGGGTACGAGGCAGTCAGTGTGACCCTCCCCTCGCCTCCTCATCGCCATGCGTCTCTATTATCTAGCTTTTTTTTTTTTTTTTTTTGCTCTCTAACGCTCTCTTCTGGTTTTTACTCAACTTAGCCAACAACTGATGTGGACTTGATGGAACGGATCTGCGCCGTCACGAACGCAGCTGTCGGCGTGAAATTCACGCCCTCGTTGAGCGAGAATCCACCGCCACTTGTCCCTGTGGAACAGATCCGCAAGGGTCTGAATATCTGTCCGCATCGGCTAAATGGCTGTTTTCTATTAGAGCTGGACGCGGCGACGATTCTGAAAGTCGGGGAGACGGTACGCATGGGGGAAGCGGAGGCTATGATTCTGGTCCGGAAGCAGACGTCGGTCCCCGTGCCCCGGGTCTTGAATGCGTATGTGATCGAGGAGGTAGGGTTCATCGTGATGGAAAAGGTTCCCGGCGACGAACTTGCGGAGAATCTACCCCGCGCGATCAAGGAGTCCCTAGCGGGGGAATTACGGGGGTATATACAGCAGTGGCGCCAGATCCGGGGCCCCTTCTTTGGCACGGTCGATGGCGGTCCGTGTCAGGACGTAGTCTTCAAGCATGCCTGGGAGAACAAGGAATATGACTACGGGCCGTTCACCTCCCGCGGGGATTTCAATCTCGGCATGGTCGAGGCCTTGAGGAAGTCGAGGCCTAATCTAACGCTGGAGACGCAGGAGGACGCCCTCTTTGCCGAGGAGCTCCTCGGGTCCGGGGCTGACCAGACAGACACCAGGATATTCACCCACGGCGATTTGGACCAGTCGAATATTATGGTTCGGGACGGGAGAATCTCGGGCATCATCGACTGGGGGGCTGCGGGCTATAGCGTGCCGGAGAGGGAGTACTTTGGCCTGCGGTGGCCAACGCTAGATCTAGATTGGCGCGAGCTCTCCACGACCATCCTACCGCCGGACGGATACGAATTTTGGAAAAACGTCAACCGCGAGATGATGCGATACACATGTATCTAGATAGCATATAGACCTCCCTCCCTCCCTCCCTCCCTTTTTCCAAGAACGCACGAAACGAACGAACGCACGAACGCCTTCCATCCAGCCCCCCTTTCCCCCCCTTCCCTCCTTTCCCCATCAGAACTTCCTCAACGCTATCCAATTCGCCCCAACAGCCCCCCTCACGTACCTCGCCGGCTTCCCAATCATCTCCTTCCAGAACTCGGACGTCCCCGGGGCCACGAGCTCCTCAATCTCCAGCGCAATTAACGTACTCAGCACCCAATCCTGACAATTCCTCTTCCCGTCCTTCGGCGCCTCCTCATTCGCAACGATCTGAGTCGCCCGCTGCCGCTGCTGATCCGTCAGCGTCGAGATCACGCACAGCCCGAGGGCCTGTTGCGTATTCAGCCTCGTTCTCAGCCTCGGTTCGAATTGGAAAAAGATCCCTTTAGCGTCCAGGGTGCGCACGTGCAGGAGGTCGCCGTATGGGTTCGGGGGTTTGTTGATGGTGAAGCCCCAGTGGGATGGGTCGTTTGGGTTTTCGCCGTCTCCGAAGACTTCGACGGAGAGTTTGTATGCCATCTCTTTTGTGTTTTTCTTTTTCCCTTTTTGTATTGCGCTCGCTGGGGGAAGGGTTAGATTTGTGAGGGGTGATGGGGATGGTCTGGTTGGTCATACATACCTCACTTGATGTATAGCGAGAGTGGGTTATTTCACGCCCTTTAGTCTCGTGGCTTCATTGTTTCACCCGTCGTGGCCCTTTCATTGGGCGTGAAGGTACCTATGGGTATGGACGGTATGGTCGTATAGATATATGGATGTATGTATCGTGTGATGATGACCTAGGTAGTAGGTAGGTAGGTAGCTAAGGTAGCGATGCGGTACTATGACGCAGTGCGCACGGAATCCTTCGCTCCTTCACCAATACCTAGGCCGGCTATCGAAAACAAAGAGCAATGAGCTGCAGCACCTCAGAGAAGCAAACCCGACCCTACCCGATGAGAACAGATCGACGCGAGCAAGATGAACCCAGCAGTCTTAGAGAGGTAGCAAGAGACACCATCTATCTATCACCACAAAGCTTCTGTGATCATAACAGGTGTAGGGTTTTCTTTCAACAAGGTCGCACATGGTGGACAGGATTCTTTGTTTGGGGAAAGACCTGGGGCTAGCTGGCTGGCTTTCGCCTAGCCGGGCGCTTACAGGGGGCCTATTTATGGGCTAGACTCCGGGTCTAGCATCCGACTTGCACTCATTCGTTGGCTTTTGTGCTTTCGTGCTCGGTGGCTATTTCCCTGTCGTTTTTATGGGCTGTTTATTTCACTGGGGGGAGAAGATCTTTCTTACTTGGTGACTACTGACTTGGTTTTGAGGGGTTGAGCGATCTAGTTGTTGTTGACTGTGTCAACTGTGACGTTGCAGTGGTCAATCTGGTTCTTTGTTTTAGAAATCAGTATTGATCCTAATTAGATGGGCGTCATGCTTGACATCTTTTCTGTGATGATGGATAACATGATGGAATGAAAGAGTGTATATAAACAGAGACAACAAACAAAGCCTCATTCACGTCACCCGAAATATATACAACCGTGCCTCCCAGAGCCAAATACACATAAACATCCGCAAAACCTCCTTTATCCACACAAAACATAGATAAATCAACATATATAGTTTAATAAATTAAATACCTATTCCCTTAACACTTTCTTGCAGGCCCAAGTCTGAAAACAATCAATGTCTCCAGCCCACATGATTCAGCACACGTCATCTAAAAGGATGGACAAACCGTTTTGGCTTATATAGTCAAAGTCCGGGAATTTTTTTTTTTGGTACCGCGTTCGATTCGCGTCGAGGTATTTATTTTTAGGGTATTTTTTATTGTTATTTTTTTATCCTTTACTTGATTGCATGGGATGCTTGCTAGGAGAGAGATGAATACATAAAAGAAGTGAACTCGTTAGGTTTCCGGGTCAATATCTTACCGCACGTACGGGTCTGTGAAGACTTCTTTCCCCTTGGTGTATATAGTCTGGATGTCAGATAGAAGCGTACTCATCTGAGGAAATCGGGAAATATCCCGATGACCAACCATTCGTCGTACCTCCCTGTAATAGATTGCACCTGTGCCAATTTTCATAGATGGCTCTAGATGCCCGAGGCGCCAAGCATTTCGCCATGCCTATCCCTCGATGGTAATAGGAGATTCACTGGATGATCTATGGGAATTCGAGACAAGTGAATTGTTCTGAAAGTTAACTAGACTCACCGGAATTAGTGACTGTAAATTCACTTAAGGTCACTGATAATGATGGAAGGAGGGGCAACAACAGAGACCCGCAAGGGGTCTTTATCTGTTGCTCCCGCTCGGCTCCATCTCCCGAAGTGCATCCACATCCCCAACCCACTGATCATCGACCATCATCTTTTTCATTTCTTCTATCGTATCTTCTTACCTCTTCACCATCTCATCTTAATCAGCTTCTATCTCACCGCTACCAAAAATGGCATCAACCCGCACCATCGCATTCATCGGATGCGGTACGTCCAATTGATTGATTGATAACCCCTCAGCGATTCGGCTCAATCCCGGCTGACTTACCATCTAGGAAACATGGGTTCCGCCATCCTCGGCGGTATTTTGGACGCAACTCGCGAAGAACACAAAGCTGGAGGAAAGCCTACGATCTCTCGCTTCATTGTGTCCACGAAGAGCGCAGCATCAGCAGAGCGTCTGCAGTCGACTTTCGAGGCGGACAAGGACCGCTTGGTTGTCGGATATGGACAGAACCTACGCGCCTGTAAAGGAGCAGGCATCATTATGCTGGCGTGCAAGCCGTTTCTGGCGGCAGAAATCCTCTCAGAGAAAGGTATCTCGCAAGCTCTGGAGGGAAAATTAGTGATCAGCATTATGGCTGGAAAGAACCCTACAGAGATCCACAAGTTCATCTACCCTTTCGGCCGACCTAGCAACAGTTTTTTCGATGGCGATTTCAAGGCACCGATCATCGTCCGAGCCATGCCCAACGTCGCCGCACGGATCCGCCAGTCCCTGACCATCATCGAGGAGAACCCCGACCTACCAGAGCATCTGTCCGAGACGGTGACGTGGATGTTCTCGCAGATCGGAACCGTCAAGTATCTGCCCTCGGACTTATTTGATGCTGGAGGGCACCTGGCGGGCGCGTCGATGGCGATTTTCACCGTCCCGTTGGATGGGATCTTGGATGGCTGTGTGGCAGAGGGAATCCGCCGGGCAGAAGCGTTGGAGATGGCGGCGCAGGTTCTTACGGGGATGGCGGGACTGCTGAGGGAAGGGGATCACCCGGCGTTGATGCGAGAGAGTATTTCATCGCCTCGGGGAGTTACGATTCAAAGCTTGTTGACCCTGGAGAGGCAGGGGGTGAGGGGAGCGTTTGCGGACTCGATGATCAACGGGGTGAAGCCTTTGAAGGGTGAGAAATAGGTGCTGGACATGGATTATGGTAGATGCATACATGAGAAGTTACATGGCCAATCAATATCCGATAGATAAAAATAGCATTTGCCAAGTAATGCTCCATCGAAAGCATAGGTGATGCCTAGTGTAGATCCGACTACTGCAGTGGACGATGTCATCGTCCCGTGACGGAACCACTGACCGACATGACGGAATGTGCCTCCGAGCTTATCTGCTCCGACAACAGTAGGAATCGATCAAATGACCCAATTGATTTGACTGCGGTGGAACTAGATCTTTCATTCAGACCCAAAGAAACCAATCGGTCCTCGAGCCGGCCTGCAATAACCCCCTCGCCTGTATTCGCTGGCAATCAGTATCAATCAACCCCTCACATAGTGCATATCGGAAGCATGGGGAAAGGTATATAGTGCGTCGATGGCAGCAAGGAGATGCAATGATCACTCCCCCCAGATTCACAGATTTATCAGCTAGAATGGGGCTCAAGATTTCCTGGCCCAAGCGGCCAGGGCTCCTTCATTCTGGGACCAAGCCACTCGGATATGCGAAGTCCTCGTCAACAACTCCCCACCATGCGATTCCAATCCAAGCGGCCTCGTCGCCGCCCAGAAAGGCTCCTCTCTCGGTGATGCCGGCGAAGACGTTTCTTCGGAGTCTGCTGTTCACGTCGGTCATGTCGTCGCCGCTCCTGAGACCTTGCGTGTCGATTTTGAAATATGTGGTCGAGTCGAAGTCGTTCCTGCTCAGTCCTTCTAAGAATCCGATTATGAATTACCTACTACGCACAACAATTTACAATCACTTCTGTGCGGGAACAAATGAGATCGGAGTGCGACGGACGGTTCAGGATATGAAGAGTCTAGGATTCAAGGGTGTCATCTTAGGATATGCCCGGGAGTCTGTCGCGAGGATGGAGGGTGCTGATTCCCGATGGGAGACCGTGAGCCAGAAAGGGCTGGAAGAGAGTGCCGTGGAGGAATGGAAGCAAGGGAATCTGCGAACGTTGAAGATGATTGGCGAAGGGGACTATCTTTCCGTCAAGTGAGACGAAGCCCCCGACAAGACCTGAAGATTTCCCTATTCTGACAGACGCAGATTCACCGGCGCCGGACCCGCGGCTGTCGAGGCTCTCGCGCGTGGCGACCTTGTTCCTCCCCCGCAGATCAAGCAGGCAATCACCGAGCTCTGCGCGGCGACTGCGGCACAGAACTCTCGTCTGTGGATCGACGCCGAGCAGCAGGTCTTCCAGCCGGCAATCGACGCCTGGACGATCGATCTTATGAGACAGTTCAATCGACAGGGAGCCGTCGTGGTACTCAACACGATCCAGGCATACCTGAAGTCATCCGCAGAGAATGTCCACCATCATCTGTGTCTTGCCGGAAAAGAAGGCTGGTCGTTGGGTATTAAACTGGTCCGCGGCGCATACATCGCCCATGATATTCGATCGCGCATCCACGACACCAAAGCGGATACCGACCGCAACTACAACCACATCGTGGAATGTCTGCTCACTCAGAGATTTCCACTGGGAGAGTCGGAGGGTACACCTGTGTTCCCCGACGCGCGATTGTTCGTGGCCACGCACAATGCGGAAAGCGTGCGGAAGGCATCTTCCCTGTTCCAGCACCGCGTTGTGAACGGGTTCCCCACGATCCCGATCGAGGTGGGCCAACTGCAGGGCATGGCCGATGAGGTGAGCTGCGGGTTGGTGGCGCAACACCAGGCCGGAAATTATCTACCAGCAGAAGGAAAGCCTGTCGCTGCTAGCGCGGTCCCCGGCGTGTTTAAATGTCTGGCGTGGGGGACCACTCAGGAGTGTCTGCATTTTCTGCTACGTAGGGCAGTTGAGAATCAGTCGTCCATGGAGAGAACGCGAGATACGGCTGCAGCTTTGAGAGAGGAAGCGAGAAGACGAATTGGGTTGTGATTTTCTTTTTCTGATTATATGAGCGTTTTCTCTTTCTTTATTTTATTTTATTTTTCTTTTCATGTTTATCTTATGACCGAGACGCAAATTATGATTGATTCTCATTTTTCCGAATGTATTCGTGCCCAATACAGATGAAATGTAGTTCGTATGCCGATCTTGCAGACTGGGATGGCTTATGCATGGGGTTAGTCCACCCAGATCTTGCCAACTCACGACATGCCACTTTGCATGTGGACGAGATAAAGCTAGGATTGCGGAGAAGAGAAAACATGGGGAGACTGATCCGTACGGCTATTGGCCATTAGGTAAAGGGTAGATCGAGATCATCGCTCTAAAACAGGTCACTGTGCATAGATATCGGCTGTCGAAGCCGAGCTCGGTGCGAGATTCCGCAGGTAAGGTACACCGTATTATTCTAGCTAGTCTATTATAATCTTTCTCGGAATCGAGTACATGGGTATAAAGGTGTGGAATGTTCTTGCTTTCGCATCTAGTAGATCCTTTCATATGACCTGAGCCAGAAAGGACAAATCATAGCATGGGTCCTCGCTTCTTCTTTAACGTCTCCTTCGCTTCCCCATACTCTGCATCGTCGTCCTCTAGCACGGCTTCCTGTTCACACACCTCTATGATCTCCAAGACATACTCCTGACAGTCCCATTCGAGCGTCTTGTTATCTACTCGGGCGGCGTCGATGATCGCTTGGATGGTGGGAATATCGGGATCTCCGACTTCGCTGACGAAGATGGACTTGATGAATGTATCTGAGTCGGAGGGAGGGCCTGTTGATGTGGCTTTTTCGAAACTTGGGTGCTCGCCGTCTACTTCATAGATGTAGTCCTGGGATGAGGTGTGCAGGTGTAGAGCCCAGTGCTGGAAGTTGCCGTATCGGGGGTGATAGATTGCTACTGCGAGGTAGGGGCGTGTGGTCATGATAAAAGGAACTAGCGGTGGGAGACAAGGTGGAAGGCAAAGTGTATGATTATAGAGTATAGATACATTACTGAAGTAAAGTGAAGAGAGATATCAGGTTTGTTTTGCTTATATTGACGACAGATTCCAGGAGCATGATGTTGTGGCCTGGAGCAAGGCAGCAGTGTGCCTGAGGCCTGTCTGTGCCTGAGGCCTGCCGGGTGGAAACCATCGTCTGTTCTTCCCTCTTCATCTCCCAATCCCCTACAACTATCCTTCATTTCGTCCTACTATTCCTAATCCAGTTATTGGTGTTGGACTTCATCTTGTCCAACTAGTAAGTGTCCAAGTTCAATACTAAACCCAAAGGATCTCATCGTGGCTGCAGGATTCTTCCCTCACATCCTCCCAGCGTAGCGCATTCCGGGCCCTGCGGAACCCCAGATGCGCCTGGACACCCGCCAACCCCACATGATGATGCAAGAGGCTTCCTCCGCATCTTGTCATTGAGATCGTCCAACCCGACGGACTATCATCGGCCAAGCAAAACTCTGGTTCCGGCATCCCGCATTTCCCTTCTTTGTGCGAAGCCAGATTTTCTGGTGGATTTCTTTCCCCTCGGAGTCACGTTGGAAGTGTGGCTTGCTGTTACCCCGCATATTCGTTACTAGACGGTTGGTCTTGAGCAGTACCGAGACTTTCCTTGCTATTTTTCTTAGGCTATATTTGCTATTGTCTTTTTTAAGTAGAGCCGAGTGACCTGAGGTGCGAGCAGGGCCGACCGGGCCCCGGTGCTTTCTGGCTTTAAGCTAGAGGGGATTTCAGTCTGGGCGCTCGTTGGATCAGCGTCTACTTTCCCGGTCTTGGATACGAGTGTGGGGACTCATAGTCCACAAGCGAGGTGGGATTTTTACGTTATTATAATTTATAACCGTTGTTGCTGCCTGCTTGGAAGTTGGCGAGGATTTGTTTTTCTATTCAGGATCTCTCCCTTGACCTGGTTTCCAATTGTATGATTGTTGTCTGACGTCTGGAGACATCTCGCGATGAGGTTGAAGGTAGGCGATCTTTATCCATGGAACAGTTTATCAAAGTTAGCTAGAATTGGAAACTAATAAAGTTACAGATCTTGGAAGCAGCATTGCTGCACTCGTTTCTGTCGACAGCAGTCGCTGGCTCTTCTGGCAAGAATGACCGCATTACAGGTGCCTTGAATAGACACCGCGGAGGCCATGAGTCACAACCCGGCACAGGAAATTCCTCATATCTATACCAGACGAGATTTGACGGAGTAACATGGGATGACGGCAATTGGATCCTGGAGACCACTGCCTTCGACCAAGGACGTTACCAGGCGCGTGGCTCGGTTGCCAACGGATATCTTGGCATCAGCGTGGCCAGTCTTGGGCCTTTCTTTGAAATCGATCGCGAGGATAACGGCAATGAGATTAGTGGATGGCCCCTGTTCTCGAGACGGCAGAGCTTTGCAACAGTTGCCGGCTTTTACGACTCCCAGCCCACCACTAACTCGACGAATTTCCCGTGGCTGTACCAATATGGATGGGATAGCGTGATCAGTGGCGTGCCGCACTGGGCCGGACTCATTCTCGACCTGGGCGACGGGAATTACTTGGATGCTACCGTGGACAACAAGACGATCAAGAATTTCAATTCTGCCTACGATTTCAAGGCGGGTGTCTTGACGTGGTCCTATAGCTGGACTCCGAAGAGTGACAAGGGGTCTTTTGACATCACATACCGACTCTTCGCGAATAAGCTCAATGTCACTCAGGCGGTGGTCGATATGGAAATCACCTCCTCTCGGAAGTCCAATGCCACGGTGGTCAACCTCATTGATGGGAGATCGGCCGTGCGCACGGATTTTGCAGAATCAGGTGAAGACGATCACGCGATCTTCACAGCTGTTCGGCCCTGGGGGGTTTCCAATGCCACAGCTTACGTGTATGCCAACTTGACAGCCTCTGCCGGAGTTGACCTGACAACGCGCACTGCTATCAAAGACAAGCCCTATGTGAGCGCAAATGCATCGTCTGTTGCGCAAGGTGTCAAGGTCAACTTTGTGGCGAATCAAACCGTACGCGTCACCAAGTTCGTCGGGGCCGCTTCCTCCGACGCTTTTGACAATCCACGGAAAATCGCCAAGCAAGCGGTATCTGCAGCATTGGCTGCGGGCTATCAGACGTCGCTCAAGTCGCATGTATCCGAGTGGGCTACTATTATGCCTGATAACTCGGTCGATCGTTTCGTCGACCCCAAAACCGGCAAGTTGCCCCAAGACGATCACGTCCTCGACTCGGCCATCGTGGCGGTGGCGAATGTATACTACCTGCTGCAGAGCACTGTTAGCAAGAACGGAATTGCAGCAGTCGCGGGAGCTCCGGTGAATGACTACAGTATCTCGGTCGGCGGACTGGTTTCCGATTCCTACGCTGGGCAGGTCTTCTGGGATGCCGACGTCTGGATGCAGCCTGGGCTTGTCGCCTCCCACCCAGAGGCTGCTCAGCGGGTGACCAACTATCGTGCGGCGAAGTTCGGACAGGCGAAGGAGAATATCAAGACCTCGTTTGCTGGCGCGAAGAATCAAACAAGGTTCGAACCGTCAACGGCAATCTATCCCTGGACGAGTGGCCGTTTCGGCAACTGCACGGCAACTGGACCTTGCTGGGACTATCAGTATCATTTGAATGGAGATATTGGGCTCTCGATGATTTATGAGTGGGTTGCAAGTGGCGATACGCAGCATTTCCGAGACGAGCATTTCCCTATCTACGATTCCGTCGCGACATTGTACTCGAACTTGGTGGAGCGCAATGGATCGTCATGGACTTTGACGAATATGACTGACCCTGTAAGTATCATGGGCATGACCTTTGCTCTTTCCACTTTGCTAACGGACTACTAGGATGAGTACGCAAACCATGTTCATGCTGGTGGCTTCACGATGGCTCTCATTTCGGAGACGCTGGATAATGCCAATGCATTCCGCCAGCAATTCGATATGGAGATGAATGAAACCTGGTCCGAGATGGCTCGAAATGTGCTGATGCTTCAAGAGGACGGAGTGACACTAGAGTATACCTCGATGAATGGAACGGCTGTGGTCAAACAAGCGGACATTGTGCTCATCACATACCCTCTGGCCTCTGAAAACTACAGTACCGATTCGGCACTGAGTGATCTTGACTACGTGAGTCGTCCCGTCCTAATTGCAACGCTCTATTCTACCCTACTAACCCCATCTTCATAGTATGCCAACAAGCAATCAGCCGACGGCCCAGCCATGACCTGGGCGATATTCTCCATCGTAGCCAACGACATCTCGCCTTCCGGATGTTCAGCGTATACTTACCATCAATACTCCTTCGACCCCTACGTTCGACCCCCATTCTACCAGATGTCCGAGCAGATGATCGACGACGCCAGCATCAACGGCGGCACCCGACCTGCCTTTCCCTTCCTGACCGGCCACGGCGGCGCCAACCAAGTTGCCCTCTTCGGCTACCTCGGCTTGCGCCTCCTGCCTGACGAAGCCATCCACATCGATCCGAACCTTCCCCCCCAAATCCCCTACATCACCTATCGCACCTTCTACTGGCGCGGATGGCCCATCTCCGCCGCCTCCAACTACACACACACCACGATCCGTCGCGCTACCGACACTCCCGCGCTAGAGACCGCCGACCCTCGCTTCGCCAACTGCTCCATCCCCGTACACGTCGGCCTGGATTCCTCCAACACAACCACTTACACCTTGCTCCCCTCTGCCCCCTTGGTCATCCGCAACCGCCAAATCGGCACCATCCCCACCGTGGACCAGAACATCGCGCAATGCCGTCCCGTCACCTCCCCATCGGACTTCGAAGCCGGGCAATTCCCCATCTCCGCCGTCGACGGCGCCTCGTCCACCAAATGGCAGCCCTCATCATCTGAACTCTCCTCCCTCACCGTCACGCTTTCTGAACATAAACTCGCCTCCACCGCCCAAGTACAAGGCTTCTACTTCGACTGGGCCCAGACGCCTCCTGTCAACGCAACCGTCCTCTTCCACGACGAGTTCATCGAGAACCCGGCGTCGTTGTTCACTCCCGGTCTCAGTCTCAGTGCCAGCGCCAGTCCTAACATCACGAACCAATACAAAATAATCACCCACCTCTCCAACATCCCCCTCTCGAAACCATGGCTCGCCACGGAAGATTATAACCAAGTTACCATCCCCGTCGGAAACACCACGCATGTCGAGCTAGACCAGCCCGTGCAGGCGACGCGATTCGCCACGTTGCTGATAGCAGGGAACCAGGGTCTAAGTGTGGGGCAAGACGGAGGCAAGGAAGGAGAGAAAGAAGAAGAAGAAGATGTAGGAGCGACGGTGGCCGAATGGGCGATTCTAGGACCGAAGGGTGGAAAGAAGAACGAGCATGAGCACAAGAGCGACAAGGGATTAGAGAGAAGGAAATTAAAAGTAAAAGATGTGGCTTGGTTGGGGAGACGACAGAGTAGATTGTAAGACGGGATCTATCTACCTACCTACCTACCTACCTACCTACCTACCTACCTAGATGGCGAGATATTCTAGCTCTAACTACGTTAGAAAAGACCTCCTAAGCTATCCTACTACTTACCTAGGGTATAACAATGAATGAATAACTCTAGCTCTGACTGATCTACCTACCTATTCAATCAAGAAACCACTCAACCTACTTTTATTTACCCTTACGTAGAGATTTGAAACGATGCAACCTCTCTCTCTCTCTCTCATATATCTAGCTTAGACCATGGGGAATAAACAGTTCCTTTCTTTTGCTCTCTCCTTGCCCTCGATGGATGGCATAGTCTTCCTTTCTTCTAAAGTCTTCTTTCCTTTACCTTTTCTTATTTCTCGCATTTTTGCAGGTGAACGCAGAAGAGAGAGGGATGAGAGAGAGATTTTTATAAAAACTACATCATATCTCCCCTTATCCCCAGGAACAGACAACCACCCATCTATTAGGCAAGAGCTTCGGTGATAAAAAAAAAAAAAAAAAAAAAAAAAAGGATCCAAGCATTAAAAGAAAGAAGTGAAGCTGGCAGTTTACTGCTAGGTAACTTACTTACCATCTGGATAGATTTCTCTCCGTTGTGTATTTCTACAAAGCAAGCTCAAGTGTCCCGAGTCATGAATAAATAAGTGTTGTCCAATATTAGAATTCGGTTGGATATGATAGTCTGGCTAATAAAATCCCAATATTTCTTGAAAATAAGATACAAGGAAATGGAAAATATGGAAAAAAGATAGAGAACATCTAAGAAAGCAATGCTATGCATGCAAGCAACTCTCTAGTCTAATACTCCCCTCCTTTCCCTTGAAGAAATAGATCATCGATCATCGATCAACCAAAAGAAAGGAAGGTAAGAGGGAGGAACGATCTAGACATCCTTCGCAAATCGATCAAGGAACTTAAACGTCCGCAGACCCTTCTTGATCGAGTCCGCAAACGCATCGGTCGCTGACTGCGCCACATACACACCCTCGCGGCTGGCAGAGATACCAGCGCCCCGGAGCGCGGCAGCACCGTCACCTAGAGCACCTACGGGCTTACCGAAGCGGAAGCCGTCGACGAGGATCTGCAGGGGACGACCAGCAGGGAAGAAGGTCGCCACGGATGCGGTCGCGTTGGACGGGGGCGCCGTGAACGACGTAGGGGCGAACAGGCCCTCCGCGCCGGGGGCCACAACGACAGCATCGAACTGGATAGCGTCAGAGCCGGAGTACGTCTGATCGACGCCGTCGACCTGGCGCTCGGCGACGACAACGGTATCGATGCCGCTCTTGGCGAGGGCGTCCTTGAGCTCGGACGCGGCCTTGATGGAGGAGGCGTTCTGGGCGGAGGCCAGGAAGCCGACTTTAAGACCCTCGAGCTTCTTGAGGGGGTGGCCGAAGGCGCCGATGTTGAGGGTCTTGTTGGTGTGGTAGAAGGTGGGGTCAGGGGAGGGTTCCTTCTCGCCGATGGCGCGGGCGACGCGACGGGCGAGGTCGTTGTCGACGCGGTTCAGCTGCAGGATGACGTTCTGGCGGACGACGGAGCTCTTGACGTTGGAGGTCTCGAAGCGCATGGCGTCGATGAGGAATTGCTGTTCAGCGGGCAAGAGCGAGTTGTAGAAGAGACGAGGCTGCGACCACACGTCCCGGAAGCTAGGGCTGACGGAGCGCGTGAGGTGACCGCTGGGGGAGCGGTTGGGGGCCGTGAAGAAGCCGTTGCCGACGGTTTGGTTGGCTTGCTTGGGAGATCCCTTGTTGGAGGTGTTGGGCGTGTAGGCGTTCGGGTTTAGCGGGATGTACATCTGGCCGGCACCGTCGCGGTTGTTGTTGTGGATGGGGACGCGAGGCTGGTTGATGGGCAGCTGCTCGAAGTTGGGGCCGCCGTGACGGTTCAGCTGCGTGTCGAGGTACGAGAAGAGACGGCCTTGCAGGAGAGGGTCTTCGGTGAAGTCGACGCCACGGACGACGTGGCCGGGTTGGAACTGAGATTGGGGGTTAGGGGTGGATTAATTGGAGAGAAGAGGGAGGAAGGAACGCACCATGACCTGCTCGGTCTCGGCGAAGTAGTTGCGCGGGTTGCGGTTCAGCGTAATCTTACCCAGCGGAGTGATGGGAACGAGCTCCTCGGGCACAATCTTGGTGGGATCAAACAAGTCGAAGCCGAAGCGGAGCTGATCCTTCTCCTCCATGACTTGAACGCCCAGCTTGATGCATGTTAGTCCGACGTGGAATAGAAAAACAGAGGGGAAATCAACATACCTCCCATTCAGGGTAGCGCTCCTCCTCGATGGACTCGAACAGATCCTGGCGCAAGAAATCGGGGTTCTTGCCCGACACCTGCTGGGCCTCTTCCCAGACCAAACTAGCCTTACCCTGCAGGGACTTCCAGTGGAACTTGACGAGCTTGGTGGAGCCGTCTTCGGTCACGAGACGGAAGGTGTGCACACCGAATCCATCAACGTGACGGAAAGAACGCGGGATACCGTGACCGGCCATAGCCCAGAAGAGCGTGTGCAGCGAACTGGGCTGTTGGCTAAAGAAGTCCCAGGCCGAGTCGTGCGCGGTGGCAGCCTGAGGAATCTCATTGTCGCCTCGGGGCTTGACGGCGTGGATAAGATCGGGGAATAGAATGGCATCCTGGATGAAGAAGACGGGAATGTTGTTGCCGACGATATCTAGGTGAGTTAGTATCGTTTGCTGGTATTGATCCATGGAGACAATGACTTACCAAGGTTACCCTCGTCGGTGTAGAAGCGAAGGGCGAAGCCGTGAACGTCACGAGCAAGGTCGGAGCTACCACGACTGCCAGCGACGGTGGAGAATCGCACAAACATGGGCGTCTGCTTGCCCTTCTTACCGAGGAAAGAAGCGGCGGTGATGTTGGAGTAGTCGCCGTACGAGGTGAAGACACCGTGGGCACCGGCACCTCGAGCATGCACGGCACGTTCAGGGACCTTGGATACATGTCAAAATTCTGGCTACTACTGGGTACAGGACATAAAAGTTATTATGAGGGAGGGAAGGCATACCCGCTCATGGTCAAAACGCTGGATCTTCTGACGGAAGATGAAATCCTCTAGTAGGGTCGGACCTCGGTCTCCCACCTGGAGACTGTCCTGATCGGCAATCGGACCTCCCACATCGGACGTCAGGAATGCATCCTTGTCATTGAGATAGTAGTGAGACAGGAACTCCTCGGTATTGGCCGCCGCACCGTCGTTTGAAGCCTCGCGGCGTTCATGCTGGGTGCCCTCGGCGGCCATGTAGGGGCAGACCGCGTTGGCAACGCCAACGAGGCCGAGCAAGGGAGAGAAACGCATGGTCACTGATCAGATGCAGATTGAGATTAGTGTGTGGGTGCATAAGAAGGGCGAAGAAATAGGAATGGGAATGGAATGGAGGGGAATGGCACTCGGAATGAGGGAAAGGAGAGAGCAAAAGGAGGAGGAATGTGTGGGGTAGACAGGAAGACGCGATAGTATTCGAGTACGAACCAATTGGGAATCCAGCGGTGAGACAGAGCAATTGTGAGTTCGGAAAGCGACGAACTGGCGCAGATCGAGGTAGATGTCAGGAGTACTTATATGCCGAGGACCTGCACCGAGGGATCGCAGAACCAATGACGAAGGGGGAGTCGAAAGTCGAAACAGAAAACGGAACAATCCATTAGTTTAGCAAGCAATGATTACAGAAAAAAAAAAAGAAATAAAAAAATGTGATACGATCAGGCCAGCAAACGAGCCCCGGGAGGCTTGGAAGCATGACGCAGGAACGCCCATTCGTTCAGGGCCCGTCGATCCATTCTTGGCGGAGGAATTAAAGGACGCTGGAGGAAAAGTGGATCTTTGCCAGAAGTCGGTCGCGGTCGCCATCAGTAATCCTGGGCCTGCCACTGGTGCTTGGTAATTCTCACGGTCTGGAGCTGTCCGCTGACTTATTATTAAGTCCTGGCTTTAATTCACCATGACTGGACGATCCATTCCCCTGTAGTGAATACTCCGTACGGTGTACTCCGTCGGTGGAGGCTGTTTCGGCATGACGGCCGATTCATCATCTTTCATCTGCCTGAGACACGATCTACTCGGACGTTCGAATCCGTCAATGATGATGCTGCATTGGAGATGAAGCCTGTCGTTCCAGGAAGGATGACGAAGATCCTGGAACGACGGGTTTAGTTGGGTTGGGCCTGCATGCGCTGACGGTCCCGTGCCCCTTCAGGCCCTAACTGACTGGACCTCCATAGTAACCAGAATTTGATTTTTTTCTTTTAGACGGCCGAAACTAAACCCCGTCCAGTCCCTACGAGCTATCATCTGCTATCCACTATCTCCCTAGTCACGCTCCAATGCAATCCGACCGGCGTTGTCACACCAGTCGCGATCGTCATTGGTCTGCTGCGAACCGACCGGCTCCGGGATCCTGGGATATGCAAGGGGACTCTCTCTCAGTTCTAAGAATAAATCCCCCCTCCCAACGGCCAGTCCGGTTTATAGGATTACTATTGACTAGTTCGGTCTCCCGGCCGTTCGGCGTCTGATTACGGAGGATGTTTGTAGACTCCGTGGGTTACTAACTCATTATTGAACCCGCTTTCACATATCCTTGCTCAACTGTGCTCCGTACTTTTCCTCCGTTTTTCTCTCTCTCTTTTCTTGCCTCTCTTCTTGAATCGTCATGTTCCTTCCTGACTTTGCTAACTCTTCTAGTCAATTACCTACATAATACCAATTACCTCCCTTACTTGAACCTTTTGCCTTTTCGCCATCGCCATCGCCATCAGCCCATACACCGTCGCCGCACGGCATACGCATACTAGAAGCATCCCCGCACTGCCGAAGCTCTTGGTACTCGGACTAGTCGGCCAATTCACCGACTCAGAGCTCTCCATCTCGCCATCTCCTCTTTCCACCCGCGCACGCCTCGCGTCATATCCCCGACCGGTGATGGACTTCTCTCGGCATGCATACAATGACGGATAATGGGTTATCCGGGATGGCGACCGCTGCCTTCCTTTTCGGACGGGGTCCAATCCAATCGAATGAAATTCAATCATCGCATCCCAGGATGTTATTTTTAAATCAATGAGGTCTAAAAATATATACATATGCAACTCACATCACGTTTTGATTCTTTTAATCACATTGGCAAGTGGACTCATTTCACAGACAGGACTAACTAACTACTAGTTACTACTTCTACTAGTAACTACTTCGGACAACAGACCCGGCCGATCTCCTCTTCGGCCGATTTAGTACCGCGGAAAAGTGGGATAGGACCAGCTCTTGCCTCCGTGGATCAGTCGCTGATCGACTCCCTCACGCCCGCTGCTGACATACAGCGCCTTCGCATATGCATTCTCGTTCCAGTACCGGTAGGAGACGTGTCCGGGGATAAAGGCCACATCGCCCGTCTGCAGCCGGGCCTCGGGGTAGTCTCCGATCTGGATCGTCAGGGATCCCTCCAGCACTTCGAACGCCGCCGCGCCGGCCGCGTTCCACGTCGGGGCCTTCGCCGACGCCGTCTGTCGGCTCACGATCAGCGTGGACATTGTGAAGTTGGTATCCTGCGACTCGGAGTTGGTGACCAGCGGCTGCACGATCTGGTACGCGCCGTGCTGCGAGTTGAGGTACTTCGGGCCGTAGTTGTTGGCGACGAAGTAGGGGTTTCCGGGCTCGCCGAGGGAGTCCGACTCCGTGTGCCAGCCCGCGTCCGAGGGGGCAGAGCCGTTGGCGAAGTCGCGACGCGGTTCGAAGTCGAGTTCGGCGTACACGTCGAATTTCTCCAGGCCGGACACGCCGCCGGAGCCGGTTGAGCCATTGCTGGCCTGAGGAACGTAGGGGGTGTTGGTCTTGGAGGAGAAGTTCTGGCCGAGCGCGTAGAAGAGGTCTCTGTGAGTTACGACCGTCCAAGTCAGCGAGCTAATTTTGGGGAATTTCATGTGGACCGTGACCGTGGTTGGGTCTCCTTCTCTGTGACTTACTCGAATCCGCCCGGCACGACGACGCCCACCATCTCGGTGTCGGGGTCCAGGATCTGGAACGTATGCGTGGTGTTCCTGGGGACCGACCCGTAGTCTCCCTGCGTCAACAGCCGGCCGTGCTGCTCTCCGTCCTCCTTCTGCGCCCACAGCTGGAAGCGGCCCTTGAAGTTGAAGAAATTCTCATAGTGCTTCTTGTGGATATGGGGAAGTACGCCCAGGCTGCCGCTGGACGGGGCGTTGGTGCTCATCAGAGTGAAAGCATAGTCGGACGAGGGCCCGGTGACCGTGAAGCGATACAGCTGCTGGCCGACGGTGACGGCGTGCGAGTCGGCATAGTGGGGAATGATGTACGGCCGGGGCGAAGACGGTGCGTCGTTGACATAGAGGTCGCTGAGGGACTGCGACGCCACCAGGGGCAGCAGGGAGAGAAAGAGGAGGTTCATGGTGACTCGGTACTGCAGGAATTCTGGCTGCTCGTCGGCTGCTCGAGCGATGTCTTGCGATCCCTTTCCTTATATGTAGACAGACAGCTGGATCTGAAACGAAACGCCATTCGGAATTTCCAGACGACTGCCGACTCCAGCAGGCCCATCCGTCGCCTAATGCTATCATGCACCCCGTTTTTATCCATTGCCCACCCCAACCGGTTAACCGGTTATCAGATCAAACTGGTTCTGCAGCATTCTGCCAATGGGCGACCCGGGGACGGTCGGGAATTCCGAGCCAGAATGAAGATCAGCGTCCCCACCGGGGGAAATTCGTCATGGAACCAGGCAGCTTCGTGCCAACGCTCCGGTGTGCTTTCGGCGTAGAATTAATGCGAGATGGCCGAGCGGAATTAACATCCTGATCATTTTGGTCGATACTGCCTCCGTAGGTCAGTCGGACTCCGGCAAAATCCCGGAGAATAAAGTAGAGATAGACCATCCTCGCATTTGTGGGGGAGGCCCCCGTCGCAGGATGCAGGATTCCATGAGGGATTCGAGTGGATCGAACCGCTAAAACCTCGGACGTTTCGCGTTTGCTGAAGTGGTTCAGGGACAGTCCAAGTCCAAGGCTCCAAGGCCACCACCCATGGATGACGAAGCGTGGCTGCCCGTTACTCAGCGGAACGGCTGGACCGAGGCCGTTCCTGCCTTATCAGGCACAACCCACGACACTTCCTATGGCCGTGGACTCTCTCGGGCGAGAAGACCCCGGCCAGACCCGTCGGTGGAGCCTGGCCTCTGCAGGGGATTCGACGATGGATTTAAGCTTATCAAGCTGGTGTAACATCCTCTATAGACCTACTTCGTATAGATATACTTCGTATAGATCAGACTGTCCGTGCTGCGTCGTTATCCCAGCGTGCCTTCGTTGACAGTGCACTACTACTGAGTGCTGCCTCTGCCCTAACAATTCCGTCATCTGCTTCCATCGGATTCCATTCCATATGGCGCTGACTTTGCACGTGTCGCGTGGCCTTTTCTTGCCCTAAGAAGCCCTTCGAGACAATGTACGGGGCTGATAGACTTAGAATCAATTCAATCCTGAGATACTCTCTTTGAGATATTTCAGCTTTCCCATCAGAGTTACCCATCAGAAATGCCCATCAAAATCGCACTGGACAATGGCTCCGACTTCGCCGTCAACATCGAACGCGCTGGAACATGGTGGAAATGCTCCTAGGCAGCAGCCCCCAGAATATGGCATTGCATCGCAATGTAATCACAATTGCTTCATCTTTGCCGCATGAGTCAATGCCTCCTTCTTTGCCGCTCTACGCGAGGATGATGGTATCGTTCGCCCGCAAACGTCCTCGATTGGCCAACCTCGGCGCATGCCTCATCATCACAGCATCCCGATGCCACAATGACCACATCCTACCAGAGATTCCGTGCCGAGTATGACTGCAAGCCCGTGTGAGTCACACCTGCCCATAAGAACCCCTTCTCCTCCCGTCCCTGAGCCCCTTCTTTCTTCCCTCCCACATCTCTCCGCTTCATACTGTAGGCCCCTGCTGTTGCACTACGACACGATCGACACTTCACTAGGTTCTCCTGTAGAATCACTCGGATTGCACCCAGACTTGTATTTTCCTCTCCAAGATTGATTTTCATGATTACTGACCTTTTGAAACAGATTCCTTCTCTTGACAAGCTGTTGAGACAGCGCGTTCAGCCATTCCTGCTTCTTTCTGGTCAGCCTGATCAGTGCAAAATTTCGATCGTTGCGTCTTGGTCGCTCTTGCGACTTTTTCTTCCTGACCCCGTTTCTTGAGGCTGTCTTTCTGATTTTATTTTCTTTTCGGAGGCGTGTTTGTGTGTTCCCTTTCTCTCTCTCCTGTGCTGGTGTTGGTGTTGCCTGTTGTGACTCATCGTGAGAGCTTCATGTATTTCCTTTAGTGTCTGTCTGTTCGGGGCAGTGTTAGTGTGTCAAGACGATGTGGTTTCTTCCTTTCTCTCTATCTTATTCTTATCTCTTCGTCCGCTTATTGCTGGCATCTCGGTGACTTCCACGGACTTCGACATCTTCTGGTTTCGGTCTTTCCTTCTCTGGACCGGCTCCTCCTGGCCATCCTGGCTCATTCGTAGATCTAGGCGGGTGGGCGGGTCTTCTAGGTACGCCCTTTCTTTCCTTTGTTGCCCTGGACAATCCCAGTCCAGTCTCCTCCTTGAGAGGTGTGCCCCATCTTGGATGACCGGTCCAACGACCCTTCCAAGCGCCATTCAACATGGCAATGTATTCTTATCCAGTTTAGCGGTGGGTGGGTGGGACTAGGTATGTATTCTCTTTTGTATGCCCTGGATAATCCCAGTCCAGTCTCCTCCTTGAGAGGTGTGTTTCACCTTGGTTGACCGGTCCAACGACCTTCCAGGAGCCATTCACATGACAATTCCTTTTCTTTCCTAACAAGCGGCGAGTGGGCGGGATTAGGTCAGGTATGTATTCTCTTTTGTTGCCCTGGACAGTCCCAGTTCAGTCGCCTCCTTGAGGGGTGTGCTCCTTTCTCTCGTGAGATTGAGCTTGATCTGCATGATCGGTCCATCGACCATCCAACGGCCATTCATATGGCAGTTTCTTTCCGACCTAGCGGCGGGTGGGTGGGACTAGGTCAGGTATGTATTCTCTTTTGTTGCCCTGGACAACCCTAGTCCAGTCGCCTCCTTGAGAGGTGTGTTTCTTCCTCAGCGTTGAGGTTGAACTTGATCTTGGATGACCGGTCTAACGACCCTTCCAAGTGCCATTGACATCACAATTTCCCTTCTTTTCTTTTCATCTTTTCCGTTTCTCTTTCTTTCTTTTCAGCTTCCTTCTCCGTTACAAGATCGTCTCATATAGATCTTTCAAGGAGGGAGGGAGTAAATGCATTTTCTTATATAGATTACGCAGTTTTCCTTTGTCTCTTGTGGGTGGGTGGGAATGTACCTACATCTGCGTTTTCCCTTTTCTTGTCTTTTCTATTTCTCTTTCTCTTTTCTTTTCTTTTATTTTTTTTAATTTTTTAATTTTTTTCATTCTTTGCTTTCTCCGCTTACAAGGTTATCTTTCATAGATCTTTATGGAGGGAGGGAGAGACTGATGCTTTTCTATTTTTCTATATAGCTTATGCAGTTTCCTTTTGTTTGTGGTGGGTGGGTGGGCATGCACCTACCTCTGCGGTTTTCCTTTCTCTTCTTTTCATTTTTCTGCTCTTCTCTTCTCCGCTTACAAGGATCTTTTATGGAGGGAGGGAGGGACTGATGTTTTTCTATATAGTCTATGCAGTTTCTCTTGTTTGTGTGGGCATGTACTTACCCTGGCGTCTTTCTTTTCTTTCTTTTCTGACGTTTGCTTTGGGCGACTCTGCTTTTGGCGTTTCTGACTTGGCGTTTCTGGTTTCCAGGTTGGCAGTTGATTATAGGGTTGGACTTGGAGGATTTCGGTCTGGGATCTGGGTGTTGTTTTTGGTTGTGGAGGATTGGGTTCGACTTTGGCTCGACTGACCGACTATCTACGGCATCGACATCGACACTAAAAGGCAATTTCATCAAGCCCTGGTAGGGTGGTAGGGTCGCTCCGACCCGGCGTTCTGGTTCGACTTCATCTTGGGATACAGTAAATTGAACATCTGATCTGATTTTGAGAAGCAGCTGCTGACATTGAGAGGTTTTCCGGCAACCTGGGCATTTATCAAGAGTTGTTAGGGCGGTTGGGATGGGATTGGGCTGCTTTTGAAACGGCGTTGTGGGGGATTGGGTTCGAGTCTGGCTCGACTGACTATCAACGGAATCGACATCGGCGACATCGACACTAAAAGGCAACTTCACCAAGCCCTGGTAGGGTGGCAGGGACGGGCTTGGGCTGCTTTCGAAGCGGCGTTGTGGTTTGTATTTGGTATTGGAAATAGTGAGTTTGGCTTACTTTCCTTTCCAGCCTAACAAGCAGTCGCTGATTGTGAGAGACTTTGCTACAATTTCTTCGATGTCCTCGTGTTGGCATTAGGAGATCTGCGAGTTCCTTTTCTTCGGCGTCATCAGCAACTTGAAGAAGCATTGGTAAGGTGGTAGGTATAGACTTGGGCTGCTCCGAAGCAGCGTGGTGGTTTGACATTCTTCTTGGAAAACAGTAAGTCTACCATCCAACTCAAGATTGAAAGCAAATACTGAAATCAACAGACTTTCCTGCAGATTGTTCAATGTCCTCGTGTTGGCATTGACACAATATCTGCAATCCGCTTTTGTTCGGCATCAAAAGCAACTTCACCAAGCCCTGGCAGGGTGGTAGGCATGGGCTTGGGCTGCTTTGAAGCAGTGTGTGGGTTCAATAATTTTTGAGAGGAATAGTGCGTCTGATATTCATTTCAAATTTTTGAAGCAGGTGCTGATAGCAACAGGCTTCTCTACAAGCTGTTCAATATCCTCGTGTTGGCATTGATACAACAACTGCAACATTCTTTGGTCAGCATCAACGAATAGCAATTTGACCAAGCCCTGGTAGGGTGGTAGGGATGGGCTTGGGCTGCTCTGAAGCGGCGTTTGGCTTCAATCTGTCTTTGAGAAGAATAGTGAGTCTGATATTCATTTCAAATTTTGGAAGCAGGTGCTGATAGAAACAGGCTTCTCTGCAATTTTAGTGTCCTCGTGTTGGCACTGTTGCAAAATCTGCGACCTGCGACTTGCTTTTATTGGGTATCAAAAACAACAGCAAAGGCAATTTTACCAAGACCTGGTAAGGTGGCAGGGACGGGCTTGGGTCGCTCCGACGCGACGTTGCGTTTGGGTCTGGCAGATGGAACTTGTGAGTGTGGCACTCATTCAGGTTTTTCTGAGAGTATCTGCTGATATTGAGAGTCTTGCGTGCAAGTTTAGAGGGCCCCGTTTTGGCCTCTTTGGATACCGGGTTTGGGAGTACCCCCTCTGACGTTGACTGCTTATTATATTAGTCTTTCCATGACTTGGCGGGCGTTGACTATTCGCTACTATAGCTTCTTCTTGTTCACCCTTTATCACTATTAGATATCGGTTGATGGTCCTCTGGGTCTTAGCTATTATTTTGGGCGTTTTTCAGCTTGGTTGTGGTTGATTTTCTTTCTGGCAACTCTCTGGGAAGGGGCGATCGGTATCAGCTTTTGAGTGGTCTGCTTTGGGGTCTTCTATTCTTCTGGTGGATTCCTGCGAAGGAATGTTGGTCGACCACTTCTGCTGTCTCGTTTCGGGGGGTTTTTTTTTTCGGCTTTCGTTCTGGCGACTTATTTTTGCGGCGACATCGCGATTCCCTCCTCTTCGCTCTGCTTATCGACGTCAACTCAGATACATCATCAACGACACGGTCTTAGAAGGCTGCTTGACCAGGCCTTGGCAGGGTGGCAGGGACGGGCCTGGGTCATGTCAACAAAGCGGCAAATTCTGACTTTATCTCCAAGAGACTGTGAATTTGATGCGGGGTCTGAAGCTTGAGGATGTTTGCTAACTTCTTATGCAGGGGTTGAGAGGAGGTTTTAGTGGTACTGACCGATTGACCACCGGCGACTAACAACATTTGACTGACGATCGATGCCAGACTATTCATAATGAACAAATCAGCGGACTTCTTTTCTTATAGTCTTTGACTTTGATTCAATATAATCAAGCCTCGGCGGGTGGTTGGGATGGGCTTGGGTCACTAACGTGATATAGGGTCTTTACGCAGTTATTGAACTGTGAGTATTCGATCGGCCAAATGTCAGGAATATGCGCTGACTGGATGAAGGGGCCACTAGATCATACGGCTGACTATTGTTGGGTTGTTCCTCGTTTGACGAATCTTTCTCGCGTTTTCATCAAGCTCTGGTAGGGTGACTGGGATGGGCTTGTGGCCACTGCGAAGTGGTTTGCTGTAATGATTGTTGTTGAAAAAGGGGTAAGCCAAGGATGACCTTCAAGGAAAAGGAAGTGACTGATATTAGATGTAGTGCAAACGGGGTCATACTATTGACTTTCTTTTTAGGAGGGTCGAGTATGCGCGCTTTCAAAAAGCTCTGGTCGGGTGGATGGGATGGGCTTGTGGTCACTGCGAAGTGGTTCTCTGTGGCGATTGTCGTTGAGAAAGGTAAATGTGGGACTGTCTCCAAAGATGAACGAGTGAATGTCATTTGGTGCAGTGAATATAGGGTGATCGAGATCATACCATTGAGGTTCCTTTTGGGAGAACCGAGTCTGTCGAAGGACTGCTACCAAGTCCTGGTAGGGTGGATGGGACGGGCTTGGGTTGGGTGTTTTTCAGAGATACTGGGGGTTGATGGTCACTTGAGAAAATCGTGAGTCTGATATTCGTTCGTCGGATGAAGCATACCTACTGATTCTCTGAGGCCATTTGGATGAGTTTCCTGGAACGTCGGAGCGTCTTTTGACAGCTATTAAGCCCTGGTCGTGTGGATGGCATGGGCTTGTGGTTGGTGTCTTTCCAAAGACACTGGGTTCTGACAGTTACCTGAAAATCGTGAGTCTAATATTTCTTCATTGAATTCCGCATAAATACTGACTCTTCAAGGCCATTTGGATGAGTTTCCTGCTACATCAAAGTTTGCCTTCGGGCTGTTACCAAGTCCTGGCTGGGTGGATGGGACGGGCTTGGGTCTCTTCGCAGAGAAATTGCTTTCACGCTGACTTGAGAATCGTGAGTTTTCAAGTCGTCCTTTGGATCGAGTACCTACTGACTCTTCAAGGCCACTGAGCTGAATCTCCTCGCAACAGCAAAGCTTGTCCTTTGGATTGGTGTTTTCCTTGTGTGAATTAGGAAAACCTGGCGGATACAGTTGGTCTATTTCCCCATACCTTACCGCATTCCTGGAGACTATGTTTATGCTTCTGTTGTCCCTTCTAGTATCCTCCAACCTCCGACCTCCGACCTCCGATTGCGACTCAGCGACTGAACGTGATGGGTACGTGGAGGCATATACCAGGACATCGGCGTCATTTCTCCTTTTCTTCAACCGTCACCGACTCTCAAAGTGACGTATCGAACAACCGACAACCAATATTCGGTAGCCACCTGAAATAAGGTGGAGGGATGGGGGTGGGCCAGAAGGGATTATCCTTCTTATTCAACAACACCAGCACTGCGGTTATTCAACAGAAAAATTCGGTAGCCGCCTGAAATAAGGCGGAGGGTAAGGGGTGGGCATTCGATCGTTCATTTCAACCTGACGATCAATCACTTATCTCAACACTGCAACTTTCGACAAAAAACATTCGGTAGCTACCTGAAATAAGGTGGAGGGATCGGGGTGGGACACGGATCGCTTATGCCTTCGGGGTTGCGAGCAATATGAATATCAGAATCAACATCTCGACTTATCGACAACAGAAATATACACCCGCCAAAAGGGTGGAGGGTTCAAGGGCGGGCAACTTACGACTTCCAGCATACGCAGTTTCAACATGATTGCAGGTGAACACGGCATGGCGCCGCTTCTCGACGCAATCAACGGAGTCCTCGAGGTATGCAGCTGGGTATCACCAAGTCTGAGGAGTTGAACGAAGCCCCGGCAATGGCGATAATTTATTGTCGATCCCGCCTCAGACATGGTAAGTGGGTGCGCAGGGAAGGGAATGTCTCCGTGAGTTCGTTCCTGAAACGTTTGCAGAGAAAGCAAATCAGCTGCTAATTTTATTATCTAGAGGTTGGTGCATACGAACATGCATACCTGACTGCAGGCTGTATTCAACTGTCCACGGATTGCTGAAGTGTCCATGCGAATTGGCGGGTGGTTGGCGGGTAGCAATCCAGACATGACGGACATGTTGCAGTCCTGCCAATCGGCTTGCGCTTGGGCTTGGAAGAGAACGCAGTGTTTTTTCCCTCAAAAGTAATGGTATTATCTATGGTTACTATGGGTCCGAGCAATCCAACCTAGAAGCCAACAGAAACCTCATATCCCTCCGCTATCTCCTGAACATCAAAGTTAGCCTTGCCCACACAGTCCCCATACTCATACGGCTTTCCCACGGATCCTTCAACTCCCTCAACAGAAGAGAAAGGGTCCCGGAAGGTCGCATTCGTCGCGGGCAACGAGTCACACGTATGACTGGGTTGTGCGTTCCAGGGATAATACTCCACAAACCCGACCTGCGAGTCCGTGATTCCACCAGCGCCCTCAGGCAACGTATACGAGCCGATATGCGTAGAGTTCCCATCCTGGGTATCCAACAATTTCCCGGTCCAGGTCGTAGTCCCCTGCTTATTCTCAACCACCAAGTGGTAAGTACGATCATAGGGGGCAGGGATCTCAATGCTACAGCTCACACCTTCGCCGCCGTCTGCGCCATCGCTGCAGTTGTCGTCGGAGCTGGTAGATCCGGGTACGAAGCTGGAGAAGACGGCGTGGATGATGCTAGTGCCGCCGGTGCTGTCCGGACGGGGTTGGAGTCCAGTGTATCCGATGTCTGAGAGGCCGTGGAAGCCGTATTGCTGCGCGAAGTAGAAGCCAGTCTCGTGAGGCGCGTTGGCGATGGAGATCGGGAAGGTGATGTCCGTGACGCCGGTCGATGGGGCGCCTGTGATGCTCCATTCAATGCCGACGAGGGCGGAGGCGAGGGTTGGGAGGAGGGAGAGAATGGCGGATGTCTTCATGGTGACTTTCGACATGGTGCTGGTGGTTAGGTTAGCAAACGACTGACTGGTGGAATATGGGAAAAGCGAGACGGAGATGGACTGAATACACACTTTATGAGCTGGAGTGCCTGAAGAATGATAGGATGACGCAAGGGATGATTGGGCGGGAATGTATAATTGATCGCTCAACGACCAAGGAGAATGCAAAATAGAAGAGAAAGGAACGGCTAGAGAGATTAATGAACAATCCTGATCAGTGATTTTCGTCAAGGCGGCCATAGATCAGTATTTATAGCTATTCTCTGGAGAACGCGACATGGTTACTTCGGATGAACTGAGTCGCACTGACCTAGTACTGAAGCTATTAGAAAATCGAAACATCAGACTGGGGTTGAATGGTAACATCATGCTAAGCGACCATCTAGGTGAAACTGGAATTAATGAAGGGTTCATGATCAGCTTCACGATGATTTGACAGGCGGTTTGCCGATCGATCGCTTATGTTCCTCGGCTCCACCGGACGAACTCAATGTCGACCCAGCAATGTAACATTAATTAGATCCTTAGACCCTGGATGCTGCGAGACTCGTGTTTCGGGGTTCTGACGCCGGTAAGACGGATAAACGGCCTAACTAAGGATGTTCAGACAGGCGAAGTATCGTTTGTGTTTGGAGAAGGTGGAGCCTGTTCCTCAAGGCAGCTATTGGGGAACAAAAACATTAGCTAGGAAGACGGTAAGGGTGGGTCGACAGCTTCAATCAGGAGACGGACAAATCAGGAGACGGACAACAAAGAATCGTTGGGATAAAAAAACAAAGGGAAAAATGAAGGAAAGAACATGAAAGATCAAGTGATGACCAGTATGAGTTGATCTTGCTATGCCTCGTACAAATTCGAGACGATGACCTTCTCCAAGCACAATTCCAATCCTTTGTCCAGCCTCAGCATTGAACAACTGCAGCCTTAACTTCCCCGTGTCCTCGGTTTCCCTGAATGGGCTGTTTTATTGTCGGAAGATCGCGCTTCAGTTATCACATGACAGTCCGTTGGGATCTCTGACGAGATGGAACAACAGCCGACTGATAAAAATATCTCCAGCTACTTGTTCATGACTGACTAATTTGCCAGAACATTCGACCCGGAATATATCAGAATTATAAAAGAGAGTGATATGATCAGACCAGCGGCTAGGAGAGTTGCTGGCGGTGGATCTGGGCTCGCTGAACGGGGTAAGGCAGGCTTTGACAAGTACCGAAGCCTGAAGGATGTGCGATGAGCAATTTTGTGGAGTCATTCGCTTCTAGAAACAGCTTCATTAGTAGCCTTTCTGTAGCCTGTAGAGAATCAACAGAATTGCATGGGTATCAAGCCTGATCGAATGTCATGGTCCGTTATATATTTGCACACACTAATACCGTAGTTTTGTTTCTCATCCACATCTGAACACATTGTTGTCTCCTCTATGCGACAGATCTCGGTTCTGAATAGAGTGAGAACAAATGCAGCCGAAAAAAAAAAAAAAAAGCAGCCTATTTCCTATCATTAAAGAAAAGACACGGTGACATGCCGGTTCCCATGGATGATTGGATTGGCGACCTATAGCGATTGACCGAGGCTTGTAGACAGCATAGAATGAAAGACAATGCTCAAAGGTAGCAAATTTGGAGAAAGCAAGTTGGATTTAGCAATGTGGATTTGGGAATGGGTACATTTGAGGATCGGGACTTGGCGAAGAAGGCGAAAGGCAAGAGCAGTGCCAACGGAGCCTGAGGCATCCGGATGATCCCGTGTCATCCAATGTTCATCCGTGGAAACACTTCTTTCTATCAGCTTACTTCTTCTTTTTTCAGAACCAATGGCCCATCTAGTTACGTTCAACAAACAGGACTTTACCCGAGAGGGATCTTGTAACCATCTACCTGCATTCGGTGAGTTCTGGCCTAAAGGTTCTTGAGATAAACAAGAAAATGCATCACTTCCTGGTTTCTTCCATATAGAAGTAGAAGCTGAAAATTGCTAAATGAGAGGAAATCATGACATTAGATGCAAGAGACTAACTGTATCAAGGACAAACGGAGACGTCTCCTCCACCAGAGCAAATGCTTTCGATCACCGCAAGATCAGCAAGGGCTTCCCTCGGTCCAGCCTTCGAATCTGCCTTTCCGAGGGATGAAGCATGGAGAAAAGCTTTGATTTCTTCTGATACACCTTGTCCATCGATTATCTCCTCACTCAAAACCTTGCCTTCTTCATCCTCAAGAACGATTCGCCATCCGCCATCCGCCCCCGACACCGTGACAACTTTGTCGTCACCTACAAATATAAATTTAAACTTGTTCTTGGCGGAGGCGAAACAGATACTCAAAGAGCCCAGCGTCCCATTCCCAAACCGTAATGCCGCATTCACCGTGTCCAAAGGTGGGAGATGCGAATGAGTTTGTGCCACAAGACTTGCAGTACTAACGATCTCTTGGCCCGAGATATACCGGATCAGAGCGACGAAATGCACTCCACCATCGAGGACGAACCCTCCTTGATACTCGGGATTCTTGCGCCATTCCGTTTCGTACCATTTGTTGCTAACGGGGCGAATGTTCGTCCATACCCGCGCGTGAACGTGCTTTAGGCTTCCAATCTTCCCCTCCGCAACGAGGTCCCGGACATGGGTGAAGGCACGGTCATAGCGGAACTGCTCCGCGATGGAGAAAACCAAGCCTTTTGGTTGAAACTCCTTCTCGTATTCGAGGATCAGCTGAGAGGCGGCTGCCACGTCTTTCGCAATTGGTTTTTCGCACAGTACATGCTTTCCTGCCCCCAGACAGCGTCGGACAACAGTTGGTTGCACTAGAATGGGCAGAACAACGATGCAGGCCGTGATGTCGTTGCGACCGAGTAGATCCGATAAACCTCGTCCTTGGGCTTCTTCCTCGTCGGAGTATACATCGATTTGGGAGGCTGAAATACCGAGAGCGTCGGCTGCAGATTTCAAGGATTCAGCTGAACGAGTTGACCGCGAATACACCGCAAGAAGATTCGCTTGGTGCTCGGCTATCGCAGGAAGATGGGCTGGAAGATAATGGTTACTCTCGCCGATTTGTATTCTTGAAGTGGTCTCATTTACCCTCTTTGGCGAAAATTCCAGCCCCGAGAAACGCAATTCCGACCATGATGCCGCGAGCTTGGAATTATGCTGCTATTTGGGTGATCTTCGGACCTACAACAGACAGTGCAGTTGGACAGTCCCCGCCTTTATAAAGCCAAATTGATTGATGCTATCAGTCAGCTCCCCGCACTGCCAAAAGCAATCCGGCTTTGCTCCGGCACTGAACCGGTTAGCGTCAGCCTGGGATTGTTGATAAGTTCCAAATTTCACTGATGATGGCAGAGAGCTCTGTCCAATCATGTTGGATTATGCCTGGCGACGAGGATCTTGAGGGAGCTATGTTCGAGACCTGTATTGCAAATCCACAAATTCCTTGACATTATCACGATTCAGATTTAATTAACAAGCTATATTCTATTAGACACAACCTCGAAGATGAAGCGAAAATCAGAAGAAATTTGATCGATCAAAGAAACGACATTGAAATATGTTCTATCGACACTCGACAGAAACCCTGGGCTACAAATAGGGGGTTCCTCAGAAAAAGCATGAATGATATGCCATCATTGGCAATACCGGTTGATTTAAGCATTTTTTCCCGTCAGTTCGATGGTTCAGTGTGGACGAACCAGTCGACCGTGTGGATCCCGATTTCAACCAAGCAATAAGAGAAGCCCGTGGGCGCTGGAAAGTCGGTCCCTGAGACATATGTCGGATTTCTGGGATGCACCCAATAAAATACCACGTTCATCTTTCTGAGTGGATCTGGGAGCGATTTGTAGGACATATCAATGGCCGACAGCAAAGTGGAGGCCAATATAGATCCGGTTTATCGCGACTCACTTACCCTTTTGGGCAAATGGGGTTCTGATTGTTGCCCGTGAGTAAGGCTGTGCCCACAAGATACATGCGTCCAACTCGCAGTGCTCCTGGAAATGTTGGCTCGAAAGGCTGTGCAGTTGGAAATGGACAGGGGAAATACTTGTGAGATAGAGAGAAATTTTGTCTCTCTTTCATCCTCATCTATGTGATTTTTGACGAATACTTGCTCGGCGACAGGCTTTTTCTCCATGCGACCCATCATCTGGAAATTGTTTTTCTGTTTGAGTATCGTTCTTTGCTGGGTCTGGTATGGCAAACAGCATTTTTATCGCGACCCGGGCAGTGTTTTTTATGACAAGGATAATGCTTTCAATCAGCGTTATTCACAGCATCGCAGGAGAGAGGTAGACGATTTTTTACAATCACGACTGACTCCTACTACAAACGAGGACACTAAGCCGGGTCATCGTCCAGCCCTGTGTGCGGCATTCAGTTCGGTGCAACGAAAGAATGCTCAATATCTAGAAGTACGCGCTCTATCCACAGTCATGTCTGTTGTATGCTGACCCAACAAGACCGCACTAGGGAGCCTAGTTCAGGGTTTGACTAGTCAGGAAAGACAAGATTTATACCTCACCGTTCTTATCGCCGAGACCAACGCGTCAACGCATTCAAGCTGGGACAAGCAGTGGGTTCACGATCTGGCCGACGACATATACACGTATAATGTATCGACTGAAGAGCATCGGCACCTGAATCGCCTTCAAAGCACAAGCGCATACTCGGAAAAGGGTGTTTACGATTATATTTACGCGTTGAAACGATGTTTTGAAGTAGGAACACCCTACATTGCGATGTTCGAGGATGACATTATTCTGGCGGACGGGTGGCTCATCCGTACCTTAACTGGCTTGAGGCAAATTGCCTCATCGGACAGAAGCTCATGGCTTTACATGCGGCTTTTCAACCAAGAACGATCTATCGGATGGGCAAATCAATATATTGGAGGAAATAATGAGCACTGGATTGTATTTGGAATTGGACTATTCCTCTCTGGCTCTGCCATATTTGCACGGAAGAGATGGAGAACAGCGCGAAGCTGGATTGACATTGAAACATTATGTATTGTGGCTTTGATTTTGAATCCTGCCATGGTCATATTGTTCTTTCAGTCGGGCAAAGCGTCACTTCTGCCGCCGTCACCAGGTGTCGTCGAGGAGCCATTTGGTTGTTGCTCACAGGCGATGGTATTTCCGAGAGAGCAGATACCGATGTTGATAAACTTTCAGGGAAATAAGCGAAAGGGTCAAATCGACTTACTGTTGAACGAGTTCGCCGAAGACGAACAGCTAGACAGATATGCAATGTATCCAGTGCAGGCGCAGCATATCGGTAAGTATCATTCCCCCCCTCTCCTTTCATTAGTCCACTTCTCGATTCTTTTCTGGTTCTCTCTCATCTTTTTTCCTTCGCCTTTTTATTTATTTCTTCCTTTTCCTAACTGGGCTAACATAAATAAAGGTCTTGAATCCGCTAGAAAGACATTAAAGACCGAAGCGCAAGCCATTTGGAGCATGGCTTTCGAAGATCTTGATGCTTCAGCTTTAAGGACTGAGCATCTTCTAATGGTAGAAGATTATTATTCCCGCTAACAATAACAGTAATCGCGACACAACCGAACTTGTAAATAGAGCCTATGATGACAATTCCACCAATGAATATAACCAGAGCAAATCATCCGCGAAATCTCCTACTGGAATGACAATCATTTTTCCAGCAGGCTGAAAACGCATACAGAATAGACAGATCTCACGCAAGAAGTCTGAGCACTTCGTTAATACTGCTCTAGTATTTAGTTCACCTTGCATGGCAGAACGGCCCGCAGAACCGGTGCAAGAGAAAACTGTGCACACCAATAGAAGCGATCGGCAAAGATGACCTGGAATGAGAGACCTGAAGAAGTGAGCCCTGCAGATAGGCGGAGACAACAGCATAATTAAGCTTAGCCGACAGTTCGATCATGCAGCAATTGCCGGGTGTCGTTCCTTGCCGAAAGGGGCACGGCCACGGGGAACGTACGATTTCGCCATGCGGGGAGCAATCACATCTGGTCAATGAATGTAGACGCTAATGCCCCGAAATTGCTAGACCGTTAAAGGTGATTTTCTGGATCAGTAGAATGGTCTGGATGTCTTGGCCTGTCTGTTGCACTACCATAACAAGAGTCCGGTTAAAGTGGTGGCCTAGACCTACACTGCTTTTTTAGAAGATGACCATACCACATTCATTGCACGGAACGCCACTGGAAGCCAATCATGTCGGTTTGAAGCAGAGGCATCACTACGTTTGCGAATGTGGTCTCTCCGGAAGCTACATTCCCTTAGTGCAGGTGGTGAGCGGTCTTGTGATATCTGGTTCCCGCCTATTATCACAACGGTCAATCTGCGAGAAGCATACTTCATGGCCATACCGAATAGACCACGGAAAGCCGGCAATTCGGCAGTTGATTCCGCCTCAGCTTTCACCTTCATTACTATATAATCCGTGGTGATGCCGACGATTGTAGGTGCAAACCATCACAAGCAAAATGCGGTACACTTCGAGTCTTACATTGCAAGCCCTTCTCTCCGCTGCAGCCGTTCAGGCCCAGCAGACTCTTTGGGGTCAATGTGAGAGACAAAAGTCCAGACCTTTCTTTTTCATTAAACTCGACTGACTGTTACAGGTGGCGGAGCTGATTGGACCGGAGTTACAAACTGCGTCGCAGGTGCAACCTGTAGCACTCAGAATCCCTGTATGTCTGCCTTCAGAGATCTTCGCAATTGATACTCACCCAAAAGCTAGACTATGCACAGTGTGTTCCTGCGACCGCAACTACCTCGACCACTCTGAGCACCACGACTCGTGTCACCACCACCACCACCACCACCACTGCAGGAGGCTCAACCACGACGAGAACTTCCACCTCGGCAACTATCACCTCGGCGCCGTCTGGAAACCCTTTTAGTGGATACCAGCTCTACGCAAACTCCTACTACGCGTCGGAAGTACAGAGCCTGGCTATTCCTTCCCTGACAGGCTCTCTGGTCGCAAAGGCCAGTGCTGTGGCAAAGGTGCCGTCATTCGTATGGCTGTGAGTAAACAGGCTCACTGTACCTGAAACGAAACTTCACTAATTCTACCCAGCGACACGGCTGCTAAGGTTCCATCCATGGGCACTCAGCTGGCGGACATCAAGGCTAAGAACGCTGCCGGTGCCAGTCCCCCGATCGCAGGTATCTTTGTGGTTTACGATCTCCCGGACCGAGACTGCGCCGCTCTGGCCAGTAATGGCGAGTACTCTATCGACAACAACGGCGTCGCGAACTATAAGGCATATATCGATTCCATCCGGGCCCAGCTTTTGAAGTACTCCGATGTGCATACTATTCTCGTCATCGGTGAGTTCTCGCCGATCGTGATTTTTCGAAAAATGTGCCTTAGGATCTAACGCAGAGGCCAGAACCTGACAGTCTAGCCAATCTCGTGACAAACCTGAATGTCGCCAAATGCGCCAACGCCAAATCTGCCTATCTCGAATGCGTCAACTATGCGCTGGAGCAGCTGAACTTGCCTAATGTAGCAATGTATCTAGATGCCGGTATGTCTATCTCTGTCATGTCACCAACATGCCCTCTCCCTTCTCTATCAACCCCTCAACTAACAAAATCAATGAATAAACAGGACACGCGGGATGGCTCGGCTGGCCCGCCAACATCAGTCCAGCTGCCCAACTCTACGCATCGGTCTACAAGGACGCAGGGTCCCCCGCCGCACTACGCGGTCTGGCTACTAACGTCGCTAACTACAATGCCTGGACCATCGGAACTTGTCCTTCATACGCGGAGAGCAACACCGTCTGCGACGAGAAGAAATATATCAATGCGATTGCTCCGCTGTTGCAGAATGCTGGCTTTCCGGCTCATTTTATTGTTGATACTTGTGCGTTCTTCTTCTTCCCCTTTCCCCTTTCTCCTTTTTATATTCCTGTCAAGCCCAGTTCATCTCTCCTATCCATCGAAAACATCGTCCTCAACCAAAAAGACAGGCGAAAGCAAATGACCACTAACAAGTCCATCTAACAAAACAGCCCGCAACGGCGTCCAACCCACCAAACAAAACGCCTGGGGAGACTGGTGCAACGTAATAGGCACTGGCTTCGGGGAACGATTCACTACCAACACGGGCGACTCTCTCGCCGACGCTTTTGTCTGGATCAAGCCCGGTGGCGAGAGTGACGGGACATCTGATAGCTCGGCGACTCGATATGATGCGCACTGCGGATACAGTGATGCTTTGAAGCCAGCGCCTGAGGCGGGGAATTGGTTCCAGGTATGTTTTAACGTCTACTTAGTTCTGGTTATTTGGTGGGGTTTTGTGCTGATGTCTTTGGGTAGGCGTATTTCGAACAGTTGTTGGTTAATGCGAATCCGTCGTTTTGATTATGAGGTTGATTGGAGGGGGTGGTTTAGGTAGTGACGGACTCTATCGACTAGGTTTATGTCTGGGAACTTGGAAACGGAAGTTCTTGAAGGACCTTCAGATCTCAGCTCTTTAGCCAAGCGTCAGCAATTATTCTTAGGTTTTTTCTGCTCAATCTCACAACATTCCTCAGATAATTCTCCAGGTCTGTGAAAAGGCTTACAGAATCTCCACTTCCAACCTCAAACCCGCCTAACTCTCTATCACTCATCATTCCCCAACATACCTGTGAAAAAACCCCACATAATCAAAAATACTCCTCTTATAAACCCTCGTAAACTTCCCATCCGTCCGGTTCACCCCCTGCAACCCATACTGTTCCCCATAACTCCCAAACTCATTATTATCCTGCAGCGACCACGCCAACGCCCCGATGACATTGACCCCATCCTGCTCCCTCGCCTTCATCGTCTCGGTCAAGAAATCTTGATAATATAGCGTTCGCTCGAAGTCGTATCGCTGCGCGGACTCGGACCGCTTACTTTCTTCGAACGGGTTGAATCCGTACTCTGCGATTAGGATCCCGGATGGCCGGAACGTGTTCCAGATGTATCCGAGTTGTTGGCGCACGTACTGTGGTGTGATGTATGCGTAGGCGTTGGAGGCTTGGCCCATGGCCCAGCCGTTGGATTGGATGTTGGTGAGAGAGACGCAGGTGGGCCAGGAGGGGTGGGAGGTGTTAGTGTGGCAGGATTCTTGGTCTTCGTGAGTGAGTGGACTGACGAATTGTGCGGTGTATGGATCGAAGGACCAGAAGTCGACGGTGTGGTGGATGTGTGCGATCTGGGCGTCTGTGAGAGGCGAGAGGAGAGTGCCGTTGGTGTTCGTGTTCAGGGTTTCCTTAGGGTATTGTTTGCCGAGGAAGAGTGGGTTGGCCATGATGTCCAGGATGAAGGATTGGTAGCGCGACGCGGCGGCGTGGTGTGTTGCGTCGTTGAGGTCCTGGGGCACGCCGAGGTTATGGGCGAATTTGAGAGTAATCTGGCCGGTGCCTCGGAGGGTGTCTTTGTACCATCTGTAGACGTCGGCGTGGGCGAGGAGGAGCTGTGTCAGATCGCCGTAGGAGGGGAGCATGAGACCTGGGGCGATGTTGGGCTCGTTGAATGTGACCCAGTAGGGCACGCGGTCGGCGTAGTGGGCCATGGCGATTTGGGCGTAGTAGAGGAAGTGGGAGCGGAGGGAATCGATGTCCTCGATGACGGAGGGGGGCATGTCGGCGTGGTTGAGCGTGACGATGGGCGTGACGCCGTACTCGAGACAAGTGTTGATGAGGTCGTCGTAGTGGTCTAGACCTTGCTTGTTGATTGGGGAACCGGCCACGCCGAAGGGCACGATGCGCGACCAGGAGATCGAGAACGAGTAGTAGGGGATTCCGATGGCGGCGAGACGAGCGATGTCTTGCTTGTAGAGGAAGTAGTGCATGTTTGCGACGTTGGAGTCGTTGAGGTTTCCGGTCTCAGAGGACAGGGCATTGCCTAGTTCGTCTAATTTGCCTGGTCCGCGACCCTCGAGCTGGAGAGCCCCTTCGATTTGCCAGGCGCTGCTTGAGACGCCCCAGATAAAATCCTTGGGGAGTCGGTATCCCGTGTCCGGAGGAGCATTGTATAGTTGAGGAGGAAAGACAAGCTCTGACTTTGCTACTGGGGTCGGGGATACCGTGTTTGTGAAGGGGGGCGTTGTGGTATAAGAATAATCCTTCCACAGGGCAGCGTATGCGCTTTGACCGTATTGGCCATCTGGGGACTGAGTGATCGTAGGATTGTACGAATACGTCGTAGTGGTGAGGCTGTCCGGTAGCAAGGTAGAGGCCTCACGGAACGAAGGAGCGAAAGGAGTTGGAAAAGAAAGTGAAGAAGGCAATGCCGTCGCATAGACATCCGACGTCACCGGAGTGTACTGGAACGACAAGTAGGAATGGGATGCCTCAGGCGAGGACGAGGCCTGGGGAAATGCCAGGGCTGGAAGAGCGCATTCCAGCGCAAGACTCGCTATTGCCAGCCAAGACTGACTCGAAGGCATGGTTTCTGATTAAATGTTGTCCTTTTGGTTGCGCATAGGAAACCCCGCAAACCCAATTCTTAAATATCTACAATCGGCATAACTTCGGGGTGTTCGATCAGCTTCATGATCCCCGCAATATCGCGGGGAATGACGATCATCGCCAGTTCGGATATCCCGAGAATTCAATGAGAGGCTATCCTCTTAGGTAACAGAATCGTTTGGTTCGGAGCACGAGGCCGGCAGTTGCATGTTCCATGGCTCACTGCTTTGGACTTCCTTTAGTAAGAGTTAGTATATTTTATGAAGCATTTCGAGCTCAAATACCCCGCAACCCCACAGCGTTGTTGCAACCCTTGCCAATGAGATATTAATTTATCTTCAGCCGGGGAAGATGGAAGCATCTACCCCACGTTAGTTGTCGATCTCCACATCGGGATGTGGTCCCGTTGTGACTTGATCAAAATCCCCAGATAAGCTTTCAGGATACTATGGGGAAATTCAAGGGTTCAATCTCTTTCAGAAGGTGGAATAAAATGTGATATCAATCTCTTTTACTTGCGGCGGAAGCAAGGGGTTGCAGTAGTGAATGAGAGAACCGAGGCAAGGGGTGGCTGGATGGCATGACAAATTTGACGGATAACTGCTGCCTGGACCTAAGTAGAGATCATAATTCATTTGTGTATGGAGTAACTACTAGATGCTGTGCTGTGAACCAATGCAACTTCTCCTATTCATTTAATAAATTATCTTCTCTTGGACGCAAAGACTTGACAATAAGGGAACCGGGCATCTAAAATGCACGTGCACAGCGCAGCCCTAGGTATCGCCCTTCTGAGCTACCATAACTGATCTCACGGTGCTTCTCCGTATATTATCCAGAAACGCAATAGTCTTCAGTAAACCCCCTATTCTCAGGAGATTCGCCAGAAAGAATACCCCTGAGATCTAGAGCGCCCCGACGCGGATCCTATTCTGGAGACATTCTAAGCACATTCCAGGGGCAGGACATCCCTCGGGATCTGGAATGCACTCCTGCAATAAATACAAAACACCCTTCCTCCCGCCCAATACAGTCGATTATCTCGTATCTGAGCCTCGGTGCTCCCACACAGCAGCATGTGGACGCTCCTCGCACTCGGATTCCTCGCGAGCCTTATATCGCAAGCCATTTGTCAAAACGCTATTCCCCCTTCGCAAGATATCTGGTATACTCCGCCAATCGACATCGACAGTTACAAGCCGGGAGAGATAATTCGCACGCGCCAGGTCTCGAATCGATTGCAGTCATTACTGTCTCTGCCGGTCGACGTCTCGGTCGAGTCGGTTCACCAGTATATGTTCCGCACGACTGATAGTCTGGATAATGCAGCCGCCGCAGTGACTACCCTGATGGTGCCGTTTAATTCAGATCCCATGAAACTACTCGTCTACCAAACCGCCTACGACACCTCCAACGCGGACTGCAGTCCGTCATATACACTGCGGTACCGATCTTCGCTGGACGGAACAACATCATTGATCAACAGCACCGCACCAAGTGACATGCCACTTGTAAGCTCCCAACCCTCCCTCAACCCATCTATTCTAACCCTTTTCACCCCAAAAAGCTAGCCGCAGCCCTCAACCAAGGCTGGTGGGTCCTCACAACCGACTACGAAGGCCTCGACGGCCACTACGTCGCAGGCGTCGAATCCGGCCGCAGCACCCTCGACTCCGTCCGTGCTGCCCTCACCGAAGGTCAGAAAATCGGCCTGTCGCCTGACGTCCGCTACGCGATGGCCGGGTACTCAGGGGGCGCGCTGGCCTGCGGATGGGCGGCCGAGTTACAGCCGTCATACGCGCCGGAACTCGAGTTCGCAGGTGCCGCGTTAGGCGGGACCATTGCGAACGTAAGTTCCGCGTTACGGCTCATCCATGAGAGTCCGTTCGTGGGGCTTGCGTTTCAGGGCATTCACGGGTTGGGGAAGGCGTATCCGAACTTGACGGAGTGGTTAGATGAGAACTTGCTGCCCGAGAAGAAGGAGGAGTTTTATTACATTGCGAGGGCGTGTACGGTTGCGGAGACGGCGGAGAGGGCTAGGGGGCAGGATATTTTTTCGTTTTTTGAGGGAGGCGAGGATGCGATTAGCGAGGATGTTCCGGCGTCGGTGCTAATGTGGGCCGGGTTGATGGGGGTGAAAGGGACGCCAAGAATGCCCATGTTGGTGTATAAGGCTGTCAAGGATGAGATTAGTGCTGGGGAGGATACGGACGAGTTGATTGATAAATATTGTGCGGATGGGGCGACTATTGAGTATCATCGGGACTTGGTGGGAGGGCATATCACGGAGGCGATTACGGGGTCGGCGAGCGCGTTGAATTGGTTATCGGAGAGGTTGGATGGGAAGAAGGTGCAACATGAGGGATCGTGCGTGAGACGGAATGTGGTGCTCACGGATCTGGATAGAGGCACAATTGCCTATTTTGGGGAGGAGGTGTTTTCTTTGTTGAAAACGTTTCTAGGAGGAATGCTGGGGAAGTAGAGTAATTGGTTCATATGTATAGATTGATATTTGATATTCACATAGTGCTTCACAATGATATAGTTAGAGAAGATTGAAACTACCAACTTAGTAGCCCAACAACTGTAAGAGTGATACCTCCGATCAAGCCTCAATGGCGACATCGGCGCACGACAGATAAATCTGTCCGGTCTGCCAAGAGTTCCACTTCCAGGAAAGCAGAGTATGGTCGGAGACATAGTCGGGAATCTTAATCTTCTTCGTCACCGTATAGCCCCCGGCAATGCTGGTATAGCACGAGTTCAGCTCCGCATTGTCGACGCCCTGACACTTGGGGCTCTCGGACGCCTCAAACCCATTGCAAGTAAACCAGTCATTGCGCCAACACGCCTCACCCTCTTCACAGTCCGCACTGTACCCGCATTCCTGGCCGTCGACGTCCGTGCACTTCAACAAGCCCTTGTCGAAGCAATCTTCCGCTGCCTGCTTCTCGTCATCGGTCGGCAGGTAGTCCGGGTCGAGCAGCTTGTCGACGATGTCTTGGTCCTGGCAGATGCGGTAGCTGAACATGCCGCCGTGGTCGCCGTTGTGGTCGACACACCACTGCACTTCGATCTCTTCGCCGGCTTTGTACGTCGCGACAGTGGAGTTGCCCCAGTTATCGGTGGGTTGGTTGTAGTCGATTCCGTCACGGGCGTTGTAGCCGCAAGGGCCGCTACGGCTGACTGGTGCAGCGTCGAGGTCGGGCCAGGAGGAGACGGGCTCGAGGATGGCGCATTCGGGGCAGGAGTCAACTCCGGCCTAGAAGATGGTCAGGACTTTGTTAAAGGAAGGAGACAAGAGTGCTTACCTCGTTACCGAGCTTGGTACGGCTCTCAGGGATATACAGGTATCCGTGACCAGCCACGGTGGTAGCAAGGGCCAAGGAAAGGACGGTGTTGACTGTCTTCATTTTGAAGGCGAGGGGATGTTTTTCTTGATCTAGAGAATTGCTCTGAGCTTTGCTGCTGAACAAAATCATTAAGGCAAGACCTCAGCGCCGTTATATACATGACTAGATTAAGATCAACAGCCAAGATCGGCCCGAGATAAATGACTCAAGTCCGACAAGACAGGGAACGGAGAATCCATGCCAGTGAGATGGATAGCTCAAGCACCGGAGTATCATCTCCAGTCTGCAGGACCGCTGATCATCTGCGCTGCAGACCAAGATATCGCGATTAGATTGGTCTGGCCGGGACTAGCAATGCCAGGGTTAATTTACCGTGCCGAGCCGACGTCGTATATCGCGGTCACTAGGAGGCTAGTCGCGACTTGGCAGGCAGGGAGATTGGATGAGAAGGTCCGGTAAAAGCCCGATGCCTTGAATACTGTTTCGATGTCCGTGACGATTGTAGAAATTTTTCTGACAAGGTTGAGACTCTTGGAATCAACTGTGTCAAATCAATTGGAAGCGTAAGACAAATATTTGCTGGATATTGGTAAACAACAAGTAGAGAGGAAGGTGAAGTTGGTGGGTTGTAGGTTTATATGATATCATGAAGTTAATTTATAGTAAGAATAATAGCAATTCGTGCGTGCAGAAATGATATGGTGGCGTTGGATATCCTGGTCGTTCCGCGCACCACCGCGGGTGGCGCTCTGCTACCCTAGATTTCTCCTCTCTGCAGATAAGAACTTATTGTGACTCTCCGAACACTAGAAGAAATCTTTTCTTGAAAGAAACATTCTAATCCCACTGTTTCCCATTCCACAACTTGAGCAGCATCGAAGCCCAGTAGTCTCGGCCTTTGATTGCCCACACCACCGAGCTGGGCAGAGTATACCCGAAGGCCATCCCAACTCCCTTGTTTTGCCCGATCGGTACAAGCTGCGATACTCTAGTGTTCTCTTTAAAAATCCTATCGTCCCCAACTTCGGTCTCGGTCTTTCCCGAAGCAAGAAGAAGATCGCGTTTGATGTTGGCGCCAAGAACGGGAATAGCCTCGATGATATTGTGAACCGACGGCTTGCCAAATGACGAGGCGTCGCCGATGCCATAGACACGCGGGCCGGCTTTATCCACTCGCAACGTTGATGTATTTGTCTCGACCCGGCCGTCGGACGTCAGGAGAGATTTAGACAAGAAGCTCGTGTTGGGCACTGTTCCCATCGCGGGGATGAAGATGTCGGCTTCGAGCGTCTCCCCGTTGTCGAGAGATACGGTCGTTTTGGTCACAACTGCAGTTTCGGTGCCGGCGTCGGCTGGGGTCACTGTTTCCACTCGGGTGTTCTTGGTCACGGTCACGCCCACCCGAGCCAGGAAATCCTCGGCCTTCGCTGCATTCCCAGGAGTCATGTCGGGAAGAACTTGCGAGGCCGATGTCACCACCGTGACAGGGACTTTTGGGTTCTCGAGTTTGCAGCGAAACCAGCCTGCCCGACCGTTCAGATACTCGCCCAATTCGCCGGCGACCTCGACACCGGTAGGACCTCCACCAGCGATAACGATGCTCTTGGCAGACGGAAGCGCTGCCCGCAGACTGGCCCAGTTTTGGCGCAGGTATTTGTCGTCCTGGAGCAGGGTGATCAGTGGTGAACGAGTGGATGCGCCGGTCGCGACGACCAGAGCGTGATAGTCGATCGTCTCCGCATTCCCATCTACCAGATCGATGGTGACATTTCGACTGTCATGATCGACGCCTGTCGCCGTGCCATGTACAAAGCGAAAGTTCTCACTGGGGTACTGCTCAAAGGACGTGGGGATGTCGATGAAGAATTGATCCTGCGCAATCAAGTCATCGGCAATCATTGCGCGAGGACAGCCGGGTCGACAGATGGCGGTTGCTGAAGGGCTGACCAGGATGACCTGATGCGTTTCCTGGTCGGGTAATTGAGGGATGACGTGTTTAAGGACATAATGGGCAGTGGAGATACCACCGAACGAGCCGCCCAAGACCACGATATTCTTAAGATGCGTTGACATGATAGTGATGATGACAGACTGAGCTCTTTATATGGTGCTGGTCTATCGTGAAACTCCTCCAGTGCAAGTCCGACCGGTTTATATATAAGTCTGTCAGGTAACTCTGTTAGCGTGGATGTCGGATCGGCGGGTAGTTTGGATGCCGACCGTCGGGCGCCGATTGTCCGATGGTCTTGCCAGGAATGAGAAAGAAAGTACGGTGTAAGACTGAGAGATGATCGAATAGACGGGACTGTCAGGGGGATGGAATGTTGGATGGTTCTGGCCCGTTCATTGCTCCGGACAGCTGAGCGCCAAGAGGGTTTGACTGGTTTGCACTGCGGTCCATTGTGGGTGCCTGAGCCATGAGGCAGAAACCAACGCCGGCATCAACTTGTTGAAATTCGTTGCTTATTTTCTATAGCTATCTACCATTCTGCCCTGCTTCTCACTATTTTCGGAACACCAAATTAAGCATTTATTCTATTCTTCAATCAGTGCTTTCATTGCGTACTACATCATCTTCTTTATCCTGAAACTCCATCCAGCGACATGTTACCCATCTATGTCTCTTCGGTCTAGCCTGTTGACGTCCATCAACGGACAAGGAATAGGTAATCGGACACCGAACCGCTGGGACACTGAACCGCCAGTCCGTCACCGCCGCTTCTTATCAAAACGAGGCAATTCAACAGTATGGAAGGCCTATCTCGAGATAGGAGGTTAGCGCTCGCTACTGAGGCCCTTCAAAAAGGCCAGTTCTCCTCTAGACAGGCCTGTGCGGCCGCTTTTGACGTCAAAATAAGCACTCTCAAAAGTCGCTTGAAAGGAATGAAATCGCGCAATGAAACAGAGGCGAATTGCAGGAAGCTCTCTAATAATGACGAATTGGTATTGAAGCGAAAGATCCTCGGTATGGACTCTCGTGGGTACCCTCTTACTATTGAAAAAGTCCGCTATCTCGCAGAGATCCTCCTTGCCGCGAAATTGAAGCCTTCCGCTCCGAATAACGCCTTTATAAGCTATCGCTGGGTCAACCGATTCATCAACCGCCATGAAGCTGAATTGCAGTCAAAATACACGAGGCGATACGATTACCAACGAGCGAAATGCGAGGACCCCAAGATTATAAAACGCTGGTTCGATATGGTGCAGAATACCATACAAAAATATGGGATCTTGAACAGGATACTTACAATATGGATGAGACGGGGTTTCAAATGGGGGTTGCCTCTACTGCAAAGGTTGTATGCGGCGCAGAATCACGAGAAAGGCAAGATCAGTGCAACCAGGCAATCGAGAGTGGGTCACGGCGATCATCACGATCAGCGCCGCAGGCGTTGTTTTACCTCCACAAATCATCTTCGCAGGTAAAATGCAGCAACAGAAGTGGTATGAAGATATTCCCGATGGCTATCAGGTCAGCGTGAGCGAGAATGGATGGACGAATGATAAAGTCGGGTTTGAATGCTGGGGAGTGTAGGCGCCGGCGCGATCCTCAGAGTACTAAAGTGCTTTATGGTAATCTTCAATCTATACAAAAGGAAGGTAGGAGCGCTTCATTCTCCTCGAAAAGATCAGAATCGATATGACTCTGTTGCGCCTGGAAGCATTGAAAGCAAACTTTCTCCGGGCCAAAGACTCCGATACTGTGGCCTTGTCCCTGCTGGTACAGAATACTCACTGCCGCGAGACGAGCCGCCCAGTTCCCATGCGCACGAACAATCCCAACCTCCGGGGCATCTAAAAGCTCATCCCAGTTATCCACTGAGAAATAATCACTATGGGCAATGTCGCCGGTGGGACTTTGGTTGGCGGCCGGCTCATGTCCCGAACAAGGGTCGCAATTCGCGAGAGCTCATCGAAATCAATGCAGCGAATATCGAGGCCTGCCACCCATCTACCACGGTCAAGGACTGAAATAACAGATTCCACCATCATCACATCCTGATCAATCGTTTGCTCCTCGTCATCGGAGAGTGGCAATTTCCACTCGGTGAATGAGAGATGCAGTGATGTACTCCGGAAATTGTCACGGAGAAAGTCATAAGGTAAGTGTGAAATAACGTTGAACGAGTCAGTGGGCTTGCGGATCTTCGGATGCTGAGGTGCCACTAGTATACTGATCCCCGGGCGTCCAATGATTCCGACAATACGTCGTATAGAATGTGGGGCAGGACTGTCAAATGGATCCGATAGAACAATCGCGGCCACGAGGATCGACTCACCAGAGGCTAAGGCGAGTGCAGATTCTAGATCGGCTAGATCAACGTCACTTGTACCGTTTTCAAAACGCGCGATGCACGGGAACGTCTTCGCTAGGTCCAGTGGTTGCGGTTTGGCGGGAATGACAGCAGGCTCGCTATAGTCGAACCACTTGCCAATAGTGTGGTTCCTGAGTTTAGACTCCTGGTAGAAGGGGCTCGGCAGCCAGCGAGATTCATATAATGGCTTGTTGACGAGAGTTAGCGGGATGGTCGCCCCCTGTAAGTTCTCATAGACATCAGCCGCTAGGCTGAAAGCAAACAGCGACTTGCAAAGATTCACAGGGAAATGAAAAGGGAACACGCAAAGTTGTAGGCCAGGAATTTGACCACCATACTGTAGATCGTTGTTGTCTCGACATGGGCCCGTATTTCGAATTCCTTTGTTCACTATAGTGGAGAGATAATCTGCTAGGAGCACAGGCGAGATGGTAGCTTGAGCAAAGTTTTGTAACGCCTTTCTGGGGCTGGGGATATGGTTGCTAGGCTGTACTGCTTGAGTTGCATTTGTCGAAGATCATGGCCAGGTGGGGTCTTGGTGTACAGCCCTAGCTGCTGATTACCGAATACCAAATAGTACAGAGCTTGGGAGGTGTTCTCTGCAAGGAGCCAGAGCGTCTGACCATTCGAAGCTTTCATTGAGCCGAAACGAAAAAGTAGTGACAAGAGAGGAGAAATGCTCCCCTTTCTTAGAGCAGGTGGTTGAGATAAAGTTTGCGAGAGCGATGGAATCAGTCGAAGATCTGGAGCCGCCGCTGAACGGGACGGGCAGTCTCCTCAGCAACAAACAATTATGTGGGTGGCGAGGGTGCTACTTACTTTGCCAATAACCAACGGGCATGCACAGGGTAGCTGACATTTCTGCCATCCGCTCCACGCTTTCGAGATACCCGCAAAGACGGAATAGCTGTTGCGATTTGTACATCAGTAGCAATGATCTTCCCATAATCGGATTTCTTCGTGCCAAGAGTGTAACATATGAATGTAGAATCATCTTCGAGATTTAGCGCCTTGGCCATATAGCGAAGGTATTCAATTCCACACGGATCGTATTCAGGTTCGCGATGATGCTATGTGCTTCTCTCGTGGCAATCCAGGTCATTTGCCTATCTATATTCTTTCAAACACTCTTGAATATCTAAGTCAATGGCCTGTCGCGGAGATCGAAAAACATGTCCAGTCAATGACCACAAGGCTTCTCGATGAACTTGAAAAGATAGTGATCCAATCATCAACACCCAAAGCAGTTGAGCATCACGGGGCAAGTGTTACTATTGACTGTGCTCGCGAGACAAGGTTTTTGCATACCCATCGCATCTAGAGATGAACTCAAGTTTGTCACAATTTTAATTTTTTACGCATAATAAGATTGACGGTATCACGTCGAGTGGTTAAAGCACGGTAACCCTGAATTAGTGGCGACTACAGCAGGTATAACCCTAGTAAGGAAGTTCAGGAACTACCACTTTTTTCTTTTTATGAAAGCCATACTGCTTCACTACTCGGTATTCTTGATCCCCGATGAAACCGAAATCCCTTTGACCAAGACTTTCATTATGAAGTGAAGACAATGACTCAAGCCTTGACAACATTCCCTGCGACAGCGTCATAATAGATATTCACCGTCGGTCCGTTCTTCTCCGAGTAGGAGAATCCCAGCCATCGCTGCACGTTCTTCGTCTGCGAGAGGTCTTGTCGGGGGCTACAAAGTATGGGTCAGTATTATTCTCCTCCCAGATAACTGCCAATGGAAAGACTCACAATCGTTGTCGCAGCTCCTCCTTGTAATGGGTCGCTGAATGCGTCCAGCCCAGAACCTTGAAGAAATCCATCAATGCATCCGCGATGAACTCGTCATTCACTCCGAGCAGGGGGAAGTAGATTTGGGGCTTGATCGCCGAGCTCCCAGGCCGCACTTCGTAGTTCAACATGAAAGGCAACCGTTCCGGGTCGATTGTCTCACAGGCCTTGTCACCCAGGTTCAAACGTTTGGCCAGCGTTTCTGCCAACTCAAGTCCTTTCGTCGTGGTCTCATCACTCATCGCACCGCCGATGGTCCAGTACTCGCGAATTGTGGCAAGGTCCATGCGGAAATTGGCGAGGTACAGTTTCAACCGCGACTTACTCGACTCGAGACAGTCGATGCCGACCATGCCCAACAGGGATCCATTCATGGTACCCTCCGCGGGTACGCGTGGCTTGAGAAACTCCTTAAACACTGCCACGGCCGACTTTAACCCGGCATCCTCCCGGGTCATTTCCAAACTCTCCAGCGCGCCGAAGCCTAAGTCGAATAGCGACTTCCCCGACCCGATATGGACAGGGATGGGGTAGAAGTATGCCTTAGGCACCATGTCGTTGTTTTTGAAGTCGATCGATAGGCTCTCGACTCCGTGGGACTCTCGAAGAAGTTTGCTCGTGACGGCTTTCTGTTGCTCGTGATCGAGGGCAAACTGGCCATGGAAATGATCGAACCACCGCAGGTCAATCTGCGGGAGCATGGTCGACAGCTGCGCCAGCATTTCGCGATTGCTGTCCCTGTTTAGAGGGTCGCGTGTCGTTCCCGCGAACGGTCCGATGGGGCTGAAGCCCACCCTACAGGTGGCCGCGGTGCTGTCCATTTTGACACTGATCTCAAACGGGTGTCCTCCGTGCGACAGACCGCAGATGAAGTCTGGTTCGACCCCGGGGCGCCGGAAGGTTCCCAGCCGGGCGACCACGTGGCGGTGGAAGAAGGAGAGATATTTGTACTGCATGTCGACGCTATAGCCGCACTGAATCATCACCCGGTTGAGGCTTTCAGCGGTATTGAGCCACCATAGCTCATGGTCGCGGTTGTCGAAGCCCAGTCCCTCGGCCAGGATCTGCCAAGGGAGTCCATCGTTCGAGTCGGCGGACGGAGGCAGCATGGTGAGGAGGATTCCTAGAGGTTTCTCGGGGCGGGGTGCTAATGATGATGGGGATGAGAAGACTTTGACAGCAGCGATCGACAGGTCTGGAATCTGCAAGGCATCCCGTGTTTAAGTAGCGCGAACAACATGCTTGCTTTTTGTGTCTCAGGTGCAAGTAATCACTGCCAAGACGAGCTGATCCACTGGTGGGGGCTCTAGGCCAACTTCACGAATTGCTTGCTGACGCGAGTCGAGTCCTGCATCTTGTCCCACATTCATTCGGGTATTCGCCGGTCAGAAAGTTTGCGCTCCGCACTCGGTACGTCCTACGAGAATGACAGCAGACAGGTCTCCTCAGACACGTAGTTTGCTGGCATTGGTAGGTTTATCCATCGGTGGTTTCTAGATAAAGTTCAATAGTTGGACGCCATCATCGCGCAGCCACCAACTCAGCTCATTTTAAGCCTGTTGGGGAGAGGGAGTGGCTTTCTTCAGGGGTTATGTGTATCCCATGCATCATATTGAACCGCCTCCATCGGGAAGTGTACGGGATGTCGGAAAAAATGGCGAGTGGCCGACCGTGAGATCCTGAGATTGTAACTTCGGAAGCCCTAAAAGTGGGTGATCGGGGGAGTCGGGATCCGGGCATTCAACCAAGCCCTCGTCCCGACTATATGTATGGATGGCTGGGAAGAGTCATTATGCAGATCTCCGTGTTTGCTTGACTGCGGAGTAGAAGCCGTCGCATTAATGGGAAAAGGTATTCCTTCCGCGCAGAGAAGGAAACTGATACATTCCTACCACGCGGATGTGATGAAGTACTGTTGGTTTTGCCTGGTGGAGGAAATTTATCCTCGACTGTTTTTTTACCTATGAGGCAGTCAAATAGATGACTCAGAGTAGAGGACTTCACCTTCCTAACCACCTTTCCCCGAGAGAAGGCGCAGCTCACTGCTGCTGTGTAAGTTGAAGTTCAGGCCAGGATCCCGAACTTACGGAACCGAACACAACCAGCCAATAGGCAGCAGACATGCTATAAAACCCAAACTAAAAGGACCATTCCTTCAATTGACCAATGAGACTCGAAGAAACTGTGTTGACATTGATATTAAGGCACCAAATAATCTACCATCCAGTAAATATCGGCAGATTTATCAACGTTCACCTCTTTGGCAAGTTCATTCCCCGGTAGAAAATTGAAGATGCGTCCCCGTCAATATTTATCGGGCTCTATGCCATAGATAATCTCGTTTGCTGTCTACCAAGCGTCATCAGCTTGAGAGTAGGGCGGATTCACACAAAAATCAATTTAGGGTGAATCCATTATCCGTATTTATCACGCTCTCATTAACAGACGGAAGATTATCATCATAGTGACCGAAATAGGTCTGTAAAAGAGAGTTGTCGGGAGTTATGAGACTGGAAACCAGAGACAAGCTCTTCATGTACGCGGGAATGCCACCTGACACAAGTAGGGCATACCAGCTGCGAGGATCGTCTTGTGAAAGCGTAACTTGATGTAGTTCTAGAATTTCGCGACTATCCCATAGACCTTCCCGTCTGTCTAGCGAATTTAGAAGTAGACATGCATATCTCTGGAGATCGGGGCGAGATGTGGAGGACACAACAAGAGATAATCCGGAGATGAGGACACCGTCTATGGAGAACGTTCGTCTTTGTCGTGAAATAAGCGATTGCACCATCCCTTCGATTAAAGTCAAATACGTTGCGCAGGATTTGTCAACGAACGTCTGGTCTTGGAGGTGAATACCGAGAACAGTAAGCCATTGAGTTTGTTGGAGTCGTAAGTGTTTTAGGCGATGTAATTCCTCCGTTTGTAAAGGCCAACGGCACATCTCCTTAACTAGTGGGTCGAAACGGGCATTCCAATACCGAAGGCGAGTGTTGAGAGTATCCAAGGCTATTTTCCTCGACTCTTGACCGGGAAGGTTGGTTTCTGTGTATGGGGACTCCTGTTTTAAAAACAACTGTATATCTTGGATGGAGTCAATATCCACCTTCTTCATGGCTTGCTCCGCCTCTATTAGGTCTTGGAAAGGCCGTGTTTGATCGTAAGCGGAGACCGTCTAGTTGAAAGGATTTCTTAGTGGGAGAGGCTGATCTTCAAGGAATATCGGCACCTCTAGACTGACACGACCGAAGACATTGAGGAGCTCCTTTGCGAAGTCAGAGTCACGAATGCCTGCGCGGATTTCGTCAGTTGGGAGGAGCTTCAAACCGCCTTTAAGATGTCGGATTGATTCCGCATATCGACCCGTCATGCTCTCGTAACAAATGAACAAGAGACAGCATACCATAATGCTCTCGGGTCTCAGATAGGAACTGGTAGTGGTGGAGGTGATGGCGTCATTGTACAACCATAATGCGGCACGGTCCAGCGGCCACGTGCCCCCCGACTCACGTTGGATAAATATCCGATGTGCGACACCGGCTGCCGCGATGGACTTTGCCACAGCCGCGTCGCAGTGGGCCAGGGGTAGCGCATAATGTGTCCAGAAAACGCTGCCGCCTGGAGTTTCCGCCAAGTCTACACAGGTGCAGGTGCAGGTACGGAAGTGGTGGAGGAACTGGACCTCCAGGGTCGAGCAGTGGGTCGTCTCGGATGCCAATGGGGCATTGAACGGGATAGACTGGGCGGGAACGTGTGGATAGTCGTCACAAACGACCCTATCTGCTTGGCACTGACGACAGGCCGGTTTCCCCTCGTCGCACTTCTTGTGTCGTATCCTGGACTCAGGTGATTAGCCTCCGAAAACGAGTGGACCTGCGGATCTGGTGCTATGTTGGAGTCAGCCCTACTTGCTGGCGTCAATGGAAAAAGGAACAGTATTAGCTCCAATTGGATCTGATCAGCCAATGGAATGGAAGTACCAGGTCAGACATCCCGTGCGGACTTGATGACTGAAGGCTCGGGAATAAGGGCACACCCTTCCGCGCACTCGGTGGTCCGAAGTCATGTCATTGGGAGTAGCGAAGTTGACGGGGGAGTAGACGGTAGAAGGGAGAAAGTGAGATAAGAAAACGGGCCGAGGGGAAGAGGAGACTAGTCCTAAGTAGGCAAGTCAGCTTCCCGCCAAGACATCTATACGCCGTGACCAATCACCGTCCGGCGTTGCCTGTAGATCCGTCTTGGCGCCGGATAAGGTAGGAATATACTGCCATGGCCAAGATACTAGGATCAGGGGCAAACAAACATCGACTCTACTGTATAAATCCACACCACTTACCTCCATGACAGTCTTCCACACCGCCACTCGCTCCAAAGAAACCGAGTCTTTCATTGCTAGTCCCTGACCATGCATCCCCGCAGTGCCTTGTTAGGTGAGCATCCTTTTCTTACTCCTTCTACTCCTACTATCTTTTTTGCAACACGACCAGAACAGAAATTGAGCATCGAAATATCTACTAGGCCTTCTCCTTCTCCCGGCTGTCTTGGCTGGTTAGAACAGCCCCCGCGCGGACATTCGTGCAGACACAAATCGAGACAGCACCGTCGATTTGATCGGTGACTCGGACGTTACGGGAAAGCAGGAATGGACCGAGTCTCACGGCGCTGTGTTCCTTCCGAATATCGGAGATACCGACAGACGCTGCTCTAAGAAAGCTCTTAGCGGTCAACCCCTGTCCAACGAGGAGCTGGACAAGTGTAATGATGCCTCGGACAATGTCCAGCGAGCTCCCCACCTGATGGCTCCTGTCCGGACGGTCCCCATTCCGGGCCTTCCCAGCGATGCCCAAGGCTTTGTCTCCGTTGTCCAAAAGCCAGCGCAAGAAAGTGTTCGCATTTTTCGCCCTGATGGTGATGGGTGGGCGCTCGTGAATGCCACTCACGCGTTTCCTAAGAAAGAGCTGGAGAACGGATTGAAGCTTGGTGTTGATGGACGTGATACTCGTCGTCCTAATGGCTGGAACGGTCATGCCACTCTGCGCTTTTCGATCATCGGCAAAGATTTGAACTCAACGGATGAAGTTCATCTGAGAGTTGCCCCGGTGCTCACTCACCATCACCTGTAATCTGTGCAGCAGGTTATTACTGTTGAAGGAAACACTACCGGAACCCCGTGGCAGAAGAAATATACCGAACACCTCTCAAAGGCCGTCAGTAACGTAAGTCTTGATACTGATGTCTACCTGTGCAACCACAGCGATGATATCTGGGCCCAGGACTTCATGGAGCCCGGGTTCGCCAATATGCCCGGGCCTAACGGCACCATCTCTATCCGAATTATGATCCGTTGTTCCCAGGACTCTCGCGTCGCTGGTCGCCAGCTGTTCGAATACTGCCGCAAAGCTAGAGTTAGAGCAGTCCAGCACCTAGGCGGTGCGTGCGACGGGATCAATTCGAGCGGAAATATTGAAGCCGTCCCTCCACACACTGCCCACGGAAAGTCGTGGCCGGCTGGGCGCGTTATTATCGGTACCCACGGTGACCAGAAGCATCATATTTTACCCTATCTCCAAGCGCAGCAGACGCAGGACCCGATCCTCCTCGATACTGACTGGCTAGCTATTGGTCATGTGGACGAGTTCCTGCAATCCCTGCCGGCTGACAATGAACGCGGGTGGCTGGTGGTCGTCGATGACCCCAGGGCAGGAATTCAGCTGCTCAACGATCTCAAGGCATCCGGTCATGGAAACATCCCGTCTAATTCACGCAAAAATGACACACACAGCGGCTAGACGACTTGCGAGGAGGGCCCCGGTTGTGACACGATACCAGTCACGCCCTCTACTATCACCCAGGCCCTCGACGATACGGAGCTGCTGGAAATCAACCGCAAGTGTGCCGAACGCATTGACGCCAACATCGAGATCCTGAAAAAAGAAGTCGGTCTGACCGACGAGGATTTCATCCACATTCCTGCCCTGTTCGAGAATAGCGAGTTCACTGGTGGTGACTCTCAAACTCTCAAAGTGGGTTCGTACCTCCCAGGCGTTGTCAACAATCTCGTTCTCAGCGGCTTCAACACCTGCATTGCGCCCAACCCATGGGGACCCTCTCCGAACGGCACCGATGTCTTCGCAGCGGCAAATCGCAGCAAATACGCCGACATTGGAATCAAGCTCGTCTTCATTGACAAGTGGAACACCCACCATAACTATGGCGGCGAGGTTCACTGTGGTAGCAACTCGATTCGTGATATGTCGCAGGCCTGGTGGTGAAGTTAGGATGGCTAGTGTTGATCCATTAGGTGTGCTGTGTTGACTTTGCTGATTGATGGGCCGCCTTGTCTGTCTTCTGTCATTGAATTTATGACAGGGTAAGTGAACTGGCTACTTGTGATTGAACTTCTCTTTCTCCCCTGCCACAATTCCTTTGCAGGTCATCCAGTCTGTCTTTTGTCTTCTATATACGATGGCGCAACTGTATCTAATATGGCTAGAGTTCAGTCTTGTGATCATAGACAAGAAATTACACCCATATGTAGCGGCTTGCGGACAGCGAGTCAAATATTCCAAAACTTAACCCAGCGAAACTGCTCTATATCTTCTTACACACGGTTTCAAAAATATGTCCCGATAGAATGACGGCATTAGGAGACCAAATCCGCGTTGCATATGAGAGGATGAGAGTTTGAGAGGAAACACTACATATCATTTCATAGACTAGCAAACGCGGGTCGATTAGTAGTTGGATGGGTGACCACCAGCGAATATTACGAATTTACACTTAATATTTATTCTCCAGTTAGAGCTTTTGTCCAATCTTATTCTTTCCACATAAATAGGAGAGTGACAGGGAGAGAAGATAGAGGGGGTATAAGCGGATGCGAATCGACAAATCCGCATCTTTCTATGTAGAATGGCGCTACCGTATACTATGTTTCTGACGCTCTATATATTGGCGTAGCTTCTCGCATGTCACTGACAGTGTGCAATGTCGGGAATGCTTGAAGGAAGTACCGTTAGAAGCATCTTCATTACCGCCATAATAATACACATAAAGTGAATCTTATTCTGAAAATGCCGCCACGAGATCCATTGAGAAAATCAAGTATGGGAATAAAAAATACATTTTTAGCCTACAGTGTACCGCATTCTCTTGGAAACATACTCTTCATCGTCCGAAAATGACGCCAACCGCCTCTGTATATGCACCACTTTGCGGTCGAACATATCGCGAGCGCCAATACGAGAGAGAAAGAGCTTCGTAAAAGCAGCAGCAGTAGCCGCTGCGTAGCAGTGCCAATCGTCATTCTTGTGAGCATCCGCATTATCGCATATTGCTCAGATAACCAAGCATTCTCCAGTTGTCATGACCGCCGCGCCTTCCATCTCGATACATATGGCACCTGTTTGATAATGAATGTGGTCACGAAGCATTGAGCTTTTGATGACTTGGTTCCAAGAAGCGACGAGGCCGTAATGAAGGTGTGCTCCTGGACTTCGTTTCTCTCTGGGAAGTTCGGTACCACCAGAGTTCCCGTAGGATGGTCGACCATCTTCAAACTCGAGCTCAATTTGGAACAGCTGGTCTCGCTCTTCCCCTGGGCTCTGGTATTTGGGCCGTAAATTGACAATATCTTTTATATACTCCTACAGCGGAGTATAAGAGAGATTTTGGTCCGATCTCATAGCACTGAGAGCCGTCATTAATGCCCTGTCTGCAGGTGCTAAGTTCGGTGGATCTAAAAGGAGGATATAGTGAGATTTTTCCAAAACTTAAAAGGACCAGAGCTGTTATGGTATGGAATCAACATGCCTTATCACTCTTCCGGCAGCGGAACTAACTAAATGGGCCGTTTCATCTAGTTCGAAACTCTTCGCCTCTTCCCACCGATCATGGCTATTCCCAAATGGACAAACCATCAACCGCAGAGTTTGCAAATCGGAGATCAGGCGATAATCATCCCACCAAACACAGGAGTATTCCCTAGTATCATGGCGCTCCAAACTCACCCGGCCTACTGGGAGGATCCCTTTGCCTGGGACCCACGACATTGGATATTTTCACAGAAGACCGATCCAAACGAGCCATTGTCTCTTCAAGACAAAGTTTTGCTCACTCCTCCCAAATCCACCTTCTTCCCGTGGTCTGATGGTCCGCAAAATTGCCCTGGGAATAAGTTCTCGCAAGTGGAATTTGTGGCCGTGATTGCGAGCTTGCTACGGAATCATCGGGTCGGAGTTGCGGGAAATCTGCACGGGGCTTTTGAAGAATCAAAGAGGAAAATCCTTGACACGGTCAACAACGTTCAACAAGAAATGCTATTGTGTATGAAGGATTCCGATCGCGTTCGGCTGGTTTGTAGACAGGCGTGATCTGCATCTAACTGCTTGCGGAGAACTACTTCTTGAGCAGTAGTTTTATGGTGCGAGATAGGGAAATAAGTTTGCAAAGACTGGAGACAATAGTTGATAGATGGTCATGATGATGCCTTTTTTTGATACTAATAAGACCGAACCTTCTACGGCTAAAATTGTACTGGGGTCTTCGCAGTCCGGTTTAATCATCAACTAGGACCCCCTAACCACCATCGTCGAGAAAGAACAAACCGGATAGGCGGAGTTCCTTTGCATCCGATCCTAACGAGATGAACCAGCGTTCAGGCGAAGCTGGTGCTAACCACCCAACTCACGTCATCGTTGAATGAGTTGGTCGCATCAAATGTGTGGACGCCGCCGTTGCTTGCGATGTAACCCGCGTTGGTGTAATGCCGGATATAGCGGGTCGGGTAGTTCCACGATCGGATAGAGCTTCCTTTGCCATTGAGACTGGTCTGTGGGCAGAACGTCGCGTCTTCTTTGAACTGCTTCGTGCCGTCGTTGGCATTGAGCAGCAGCACGAAGTTATTGTGCCGTATATAGCTGCCGGCGGTATCTTTCGACTCGAATGAGAAGCAGGCGCTGTTGGCAAGGCCGGCGCGGACAGTCCAGCTGGCCTGTTGCTTGAGCGCCGTACTGCTGGAGGATGAGACGACCTGCGTATCGACGGTTGAGCCGGTGTGTGCGAGGTAGCGCGTCGTGTAGCCGGAGGTGGTGGCTTGCAGCGAGATCGAAGAGCCCACCGTGAGCGTCGTGCCACTGGTGAGCGACCCGGCCGCATATTTAGCAGCGACGATGTTGGCCTGCACTGAGTTCTCGGTGGCATCGGACGGATAGCCGGAGGTCATCACGCCCTCGTAGAATGTGCCTTGGGCGCTGACGCTGTTATCGCCACCGATACCAAGGATGATGGCGCCCTCTTTGCTCATAGGGTTGTAGCCAGATGCGCTTGGCCGCGCACCAGTGTAGTATGTCGACAGCGAGCCGGACGCAGCGTTGGCGCCCCGAAGAGCCCACTGGTTTGCCTTCCCCTTCAAGACTGTAGTGAGGAATCGGTAGGAGAGCGACGGGTCGCCAGCGTTGTAGCCAGTGTTGGCGCCAGAGAAGAGGTTGTTCTCAAGATCCGCCATGAGCCATGGGCCACTTCCAGCACCAGTTCCCCAGGCAGAGTTGTCACCGAAGTAGATGGCCTCCATGTGGCCATTGCCCGTGTCTAGACTGTTTGTCTCGGCATTGCCATAATCGAAGCAGCAGCCACCGTTGTAATGGGTTCCATCCAGGACGGCGTACATGCCCTCTGCCACGTCACCGGTTGCCGTTCCACTGGCGGCGTTGTTGCGATAGCCAGTGCCGGGCGAGACAAAGACACCGTACGCCTTCTGACCGTTCAGCGTGACCGGGGCGCCAATTGCGCTGGCCAGGTTGTCATAACCATTGGCCTCGGGGCCTTGGAAGCCGCCGGGCGGAGCTTGAGTGAGATGGTTCCCGCGGCCGGACTGGTCATAGATGATGGTAATGAGGCAGGTCGTGCCGGAACAGAAAGAGTCCTGCGCGGCGGCATTCGCGACGCCACCAGCAGAAAGCGGCGCGATGTTGGTTGTAGTACCGTCAGAACCGCGCTTTACCTGGTATAGAGAGCCGCTGTACGCACTGTACAGGGCTCGAGTGGTGCTATGCGCAGCAATGCAGGGCGTGCCACCGGAGGAGTAGATATCGCAAGGACCAGCAGCAACGACGGAGCCGGTGCCAACGAGGCCTAGAGCGAGCACGATGGGATGTACAAAGGTTCGTCGTAACATGGTTGATTTCCTCCGCTGGCTGCAGTTTAAATCAGAGACGATGTAGTTGTGAGGCAAAGTAATACCGCATTTACCCTGGAACATTCTCTAGGTCGACAGGTCTATCGTTTTATATCACCTCATCTCTATTTCACTATCTCCGCTTTTTACGTGAATAATGCCACGAGCTGCGCCTGTGGGGTGAATTTCCCTCCAATGAATAAGTGGTGCTTACATCGTTTCCCTACTAGGTGAAGCAGCCTGCCAGTTCTCCAGGTGGAGAAAGTCGATTTTAGTGCTTCAAAAAGCTTGGTAAACCTTCATGATCCCATGCAATTTGGTTAATATGTAATCTGTATATGAGTCCATCCTAGCTGCTGCCGCGTTATCACATCAACGGAAGGTGTTGTTCCACGTCTGATGCTGGTGAGAGAAAACCTCACATGAGTCCCAAGGTCCTCCCTAGACATCCGATTGACGGGGTTCATGAGGCCGTCACTCCATCAAGGCACCCCGCACGACGCCATGCAGCATCGTCATGGAGTGCATGAAGACTCAAAAGGAAGAATCCAATCCGCACATGTATAGCTCAACAAGCCAGCCGTGCCGCCGGAATATTTCCTATCTTTACTCGGCAGAAGTCAAATAAGCGACGGTAAAGGCGGGGGCACTAGCTAAACAATCAAGGGACCCGATCGTTGGCACTGGATGAAGACAAGCCCTGGCCAGCGTAGGATTGTGGCGCCGGGGTGCTCCACTAGGCTAACTGCAGACATCGTAGTTGCAGGAGCTCCGAGCGCATGAGAGCCTGACGACTCCAATCTGCCGTGCGGGGCCCCAGACCAAGCGGCAAAAGGGCAGAGGTGAACAGCTCTGAGTCAATCACCAGGCCCTTGCATGAAAGAGTGAGGAGATTCCGGCATGGAGATGAGTCCGTATCTCCCGAGGGAAGAAAGTAGGAGGTGAACCGAATTCAGAATTTCATTAATATTTTATTAGATATCACTTATACAAATTCAAATATTTTCGCGTTAGATATTATCTAATAAAATTAATAATAATTGTTTCTTTACAAGCAGCATCTTAGTTCTAATAAAATTAGTATCAAAATATATTCCGTTAACATAGATATAAGATGTTAATTGTTTAGAGCCATAGAGCCTGGGGTTGTGCTCGACGATACTGTCATTTATCAGGAGCGATTGCTATCTGCCAAAAAGAATAACTCGGGCCTACTCGTTCCATCCCCGGAATTGTGTGGGGCCTCGACCCGACGTTATTCAAGCCCAGTGATTTCTACAGAGGGGTTGGAATTGAAGGCAACTTCTAAGTATAGGACGGTTGGCGGCGGGCCTTGAATGTGTCCAGGTCGGCATTTTACAATCAATGAGGTTGCCATTATCCTAATGATAATGGTTTGTAGAATTGATATAGTGCCGATCGCAAAACAATGTTGGAAGATGCCAGAGTGTTGACCGCACATCTCGACCTCTATTCTGTCACCTGTTGATGATCTGGCTGTTGAAACCATATCGAGGCCCAATGTCGATGATGGGACATGGTGCCTCTCGTGGGGGACGTAGAAAAGATATGATGGTCTCGCGGCATAGCCATTCTTTGTATTCCACGGAGATTGTCAGCGTATGTCACGATCGTTCATACATGGCCGATTTTCCATGTCATCCACACGCTGGCTATCTATATAGATAAGTCGACAAATCTCCACTTAGTAGACTATCTGTCGAGTACTACCTTGGTGATATATCAGCTTAAGTTACCTGCAGGACTTGACTACCCTTTGGGGTTCTACTGCGTACAAAAGGTTCTACTTGCAGAGCAGAAATGCGTATAGAGCTTTGATACGTGTTGAATAGAGCTGCACATGGGATAATACTGCAGATGAGATTCAACTGCGTGTGGGATGAAACACCATGTGGAATATCATGGCTAGATCGTCGGAAACGGACACCAAAGGACTCCGTACCTATGGTCCTCTGGACGAGTCAGCAAGCGGAACCATTTCATCGTTCGACCGGTTTGGCGTGAAAGGCAACTTACCAGGCTAATGGTATGATGGATCCCCTGGCCCGGTAAGAGCCCTGGTTCTCTGATCTCCACATCTATTCAAATTTGAGACAGTCTGAAGTCTACTGCGCAGGAAAATTAATTAAGTCAGTATGGAGATTGCCCAAGATGTGACTATATAAGGTGCTGGCTCTTATTGACTTTCTTCGATTGTTTTCTTTGATTTCAGCGTGCACATTTTGAGATGAGTTAGATGAGAAAACATATATCGCATGAACCCAGGAATGGGGAACTTAGTGATACTCTCTGTTCACGAGAACACAGCCATCCTACCAGTCAGCAATTGCACATTCCGGAAAGACATCCGAGCGCTCCTATACGCAGTGTCAAATCAAGTGATTAATTCGGTTGCCTGAGATGTCTCATTGTTCCTGATCTCATTACGTTAGATTATGATCATATCGTGAAGGTGAAGTAAAAATCCTAGTTTAGCACAGTCAGCTCATATCCAAATGGTCCGGATAGGAACTGCACGTGTCTTACCACAAGCTTGGCGTGCCCTTTACCATAGTTACATCTGACTATGTGTCGGACTTCCGGCTGATCTTTTGACCCTACGGGATTTCAAATATGACCACCGGTGTCATCAAACGGCCACTGTGACCTTTTGTACACTTCTATCGGTAGCATCAGTAGTATGGAAACTTCATAATACTGTCCCATATTGTTGCTTTCCAGCACATATAAAGTCCTTCGGCTTTCCCCCCTCAATCTGACTTTCATTCCAACAACCTGCCTGACAGAGACCAGCCCAGCGAATCAACACTTCAAACCAGGACCCTACCACATTCTCTCATCATGCGTGCCTGCCTTCTATTCGTCTCTGCCATTGTGGCATCTGCCTCAGCCTTGGGCGTGCGCAATAACGACGGCAAGGACATCGACAACAAAATCGACAAGAACCTGATCTGCGGTGTTGGCGGCGTAAAACGCCCCTTTGTTTCTTTCTATTCTCTCCGAGCAAGAAGGATGAATCGCTGATTTACGTTTTTGGGTCCAGATCTCCGATTTCTTTGACTTCAAGCACATTTTTCACCACATCTGCGACTGTCCCCAATTTGTAAGTTTTTCTTTGGCCAGGGCAGAAAGATTAGATACTAACAAAGATGATAGACCAAATCCACCCCATTCTTCGATAAGCAGGTGAGTCGAATCCTTTCTCACCCATAGGCCGTTCCCACTAATCGATCTATAGGGTATTCTGGTCGGCAACGTCTGTGCCCACTTCATCCACAAGGACGGCGCGCCAACTCCCACACCCGGATGGGCTTGAAACTCGGGTCAGTCTAGATTCCGCAAGGCAGGAGGTTCGAGATGATGGGTTCAGGTGGTATTGACTTGCTTCTATGTGGGGTTGGGATCCTCCTGAAACATGCTTTTTGCTCCTGAACATGACTGGGGATATGATCAGTTCCAACTGTTGTCATTCTTTAGCTGGTTTTGTTAGTGACCAATGTTGAAGAACGCGGCCACATATCGATTGCTATATATTTTGCATGTAGCAAATAATGAATTCGTAGTGCACTCGTAGCGTTTCATCCGCATGTGGAGTCGTTTCAATTGAGGCGGTAGATCTCAGAAAATAGCGACTACCAGTTGCGCAAGTTAGATGTCTAAACAGTGAATATAATGTATTGTACAAAGGCTGGGCACGTGTCAAAAGATGAATTGAGTGATCACGGCGCGTAGGTCTTTTCCAGATAGCGTGTGAGATTGAAGGCATGTTAATCATTGTGGAAGATCCCGGAAGTTTCCATATTCTTGAACCCGAGATCCTGCATGCTGACTACTGCATTTCGCATAACTATATAAAATGCCTCTTTCACGTAGATAGATTATTATATCAATAATCATACTTGAATTCTTAAAGTTCTCGATAAATAATCACATTGCAAACTCTTCTATCCACCATAGCCATGGAATTCGAAATTCGATCTTCGTTTCATCTTCACTCTCCTCATCGTACTGGCCATCGTGGTAGCCGTGAGCCCTACTATCGCTGGTGATGCCGATGCTAGTTATACTGATGCTGATACACTCAAGGTGCGTCATGACAACTATAATTGAACTCTCCGCTGCATTGGTTAGTATTTCTACATCTGTAGAACGCACATGTAGCACCTCGAGTATTTCCGCTGCGTTGATAGTAGTGTTCCTGCCCAATGCTATCATTGACGTTTATTGGAAGGTTTACCTACTCTATTAGCTACTGTTTAGATTATCAGGGGTATAGGGCTTACCCAGGTAATTGTTTCTTCGGTTAAAAATCACAACCTCAAGATTTGAGGCTGAAAGGTTGCTTGACGCCATATTTTGTCTTATCTAGTTAACATCGCAGAAAAGTGTTACGGCAGGCATTGAGGACTTTTAAGTCCTACAAATACAAGCCACAGCAGATAAGACCGCAATAATGAGCCTCGAGATCCAGGTAGAGGTAATCCAAACAGACATTATTTCTAACTATGCCTGATGTTCCGATGAGAGGTTAACTTATTATAAGCACGGACACAGCAAGCTAAAATAATAAATACCACTCTTCCCATGTTGTTTCTTGGACCTTTCTTACCTCAACTAGCAGAGCCAATCTGTTTATCTAGAAATACCTTCACAGATGGCTCAATTTTCTCTCGACTGCACAAAGGGCCCTGTTACTACCCAGGATCACCAGCCACCTGGATGTTATCAGCCAGAGGATGCCCTTGAGTTTGATCTTCCCCTCCAATTTCTTCCCTGATCAGGGAGCAAAGTGTGGTATCTGGCGACACTATTCCAGACACACCTTATAGCCCCCCAGAGAGCCGCATGTTTGGTCATGATCCTGTATTGCCGGAAAGACAATTGGGCGACATGTACCATACTATCCCAGACCTAAGAACACAACCAATAGAAAGTGAGTCAAGTGACCTTGAATTATAGCATAGAGGCAAAGCTCAAAACTCCGTCACACTAGACTCACCCCCTATCTATGGAATAGGGGAGTCAATGACGTTATATCTCTCGCAACGACTGAACCCCGACGGTAATAAGCAACTTCTACGCCTTCAGATTAAATGGTGCTCTGAGGCTGAATGTTCCCAATGAACACACAGGTATCTTAAATTTGTTATGATTGTAGGAGCCTGGTTGATATAAATACTGCTAGTGCGTAACAAAGAAAGATTGACCCGTCTTGACTGGCTGTATACCAAATAGTTCGCAGAGTAGACGATATAAAGAGGTACAGTGTACCTTGTTCTTTAATACAAGGTCTGAAAGTGCAATGAATAAGATATGCTTGTCCTACTATCGCAAGATAGTTTCACCAAGCTACAGGAAAGCCCCACTGATTTTATCGTACATTCAAGTCCAGCATAGACAGCCTCTGAGGTCTGGTTTGGGAGGGTTCCGGTAAGGCTACGGGACATTAGCTATCTAGGAACTAATGGCCGCATCAAGATTATATTTGGAATATCAGTATACTTACGGGGCTTTTACAGTGGCGCGGGTAATAGAACATTATTGAAGAAGGTTCTGTTGAGTAGTATAATGATATTAAAGATACCAGCGGTAAGAGAAAGCGCCGATATATTGTCAAAGGCTAAGGAATCATACAGAGCCATGCTTGCAGAAGGTGGGAGAAAGCGATAGCGACCTTTCACGACTAGCAATAAAGGGGTGAAAGGGGCTATATGAACCCACCTTGGATTTCTTTGTCTTCAGTGGCCACGTCACAGGCCAGTCTCTTGTATCACTTCAATGCTTGTACAACATTGACATCCGCCCTTTTCCTTGCTATCCTGCCAGTGTATTATCTTTTAGAACAGTTGAAACTTATATGGTGTGTATCCAGCTATATAGTCTGACCCAAAATGTCCTTCCATGCTTTGAACAGACTCAACTTGTTTTCAATCCCTAGTTCCGAAGCTCTAGTCTTCTGAAAGTAGTTAGCCTATATTTTCAGCTTGTATCCGCCATGAATAGCACTACGCCCAATTAACACTCCTAAACGATTGTCTATATGATACGTAGGAAACAGCCAAACAATCCAGTAGTTGCCCAGATCCCCAATATAGCGAGCAGGCTGTGAACCAGCGCCGCAGAAAGCAAGTCGATCTCATCCCGCCTGGGCTGGCCACAAAGCATTAATCCTCTAGACCTCCTCTGGTTGCTGCTCACTAGTGGATGCACACACGCAGGTGTAAGGGTTAATTGGGGGAGGGGGGGCTAAATAGAGCGAGCTAAGGGGAGCGGAGAGGAATTGGGGAAAAGTAGATAAAGCTCCGGCAGGAAACGACCTATTAGGTTCAGGCGCAAACTTGAGATCTACGTGCCTAAACCTGCACGAGCATATAGCGCTTGGAGAAGGTTCCCAGGATCGCCCTTAATCCAAAGCAACTTGTTCGTCTTCGACCATATGTACTAAAGTTTAGGCTATCAAAGAATATATATCGACCCTACCAGACTTTCCAACCACCCTTTACCATAGACAATAAAGATTTAGTATCCTACACTCGGCGACGTTATGAGAGTAACCTGCAACCACCAATAATGCCGACCTTTTTCAAAGGATAACACATGGGCAAATCCACCCCTCGCCCTGCGGCGGTTGTGGAAAACCCTCAACCCTCATCCTCTCTTGGAACCTCTGCTCCTCGCGTACCTTTTCCCCAATCGCAGCCCAGTATTCGCTATCGCTTTTACCCGTCGTCTCCCTCTTCGCATCCTCGATCAGATTAACCCTTCGCCGTGCCTCAACATACGACCTGTCGTGTCGCTGAGTTTCCAAGATCATCCGCACAACGTCCTCGTGCAGAGTTCTGAGCAACCTCTTACCATGAGCCAGCTTATCCGCCCTAGGCCCCGTCATACCTTCCAGCGGCTGGTATGCCAAAGCACCCTCCAGCAGCATGATGTTCTTAAATGCCAAGCATTGGTTTTCGTCAAAACGCTGAATCATGTCCTTCTCGATGCCCATTATACGTTGCTCTTGCGCCTGCGCCCTGTCCGCATTTGCTGCAACGTCGTCTCTGCTCGGAAGGAAAACACTGGCTATCATGTATGGGATCAGGAAGTGGAGGCCGATAATGTGCATAACAAAAGACCATAGCCAGCTGACGGAGGCTGCAACCTCACTATTGAGCTGGTTGATCTCCTCCTGACGCCGATAAAGCCTACCGTTGGGCTGCAGATCCTGTGTTATGACCTCGTGACACTTCTCTGCATCGGTTATGGCTATACATAAGGGGACTGAGGGTCTTTCTTCAATATCTGGTGCGCTTGTTTAGCTGCTGACATCAGTAGTAAGCATAGGTGAAAGTCATGACGGAGCGTACCTTCTAGGTTCCACGGGCGATCCTGCAATATCCCCGCGCGCATGAAAGGGAGGGGACTGTAGAAGACACAATGGACAGCTTGATTCGCCGCGCTGCTCAACATGCCTGAGATTTCCTGCCACTCGGGATCCATGCTGGAGAACTTGCACAGAGTTCTATGTGTCCGGTTCGGCGAATACGTGACCTGCTTAGGACATTCTTTCAAGACAGCCGAACTCTTATCGACAATCTGGGCCGGATTAGAAAGATACAAGTTCCTTCATACTTTTTAGATAATAAGGGCAAGGTTAATTCTTACCAACCCAACATTGACTCCCCCGACCACCTCATATATGGTCTCGCAAATTGTAAAGAACCTATACGCCTCCAGTAGAGGCCGGAATCTGACATTGAGCGCATCGTTGTACGACGATTGCGCCTCGACGGCTTGTAAAAACGAATGGTTGACCTGATTGTTCAAACTGCGGATGACCTGAGCGGCTGTCTGCCCCCAGGAGGCATGCTGGGAGCCGTAATGCGGAACGCCGAAGAAGAAAATCCCGTAGGTCATCGCCGGTATTGAAGCATAGGTCCCGTCGCCATGGTAGGCAGTCGCAATGGCCTCTTTCACCAGAATTCCGCCCATGCTATGTGTGATGAAGATTATCGGACGTGCTGGGGCTGCCTGGCAGTGTTGCGATCAGATCGTTAGTCGATCAGGCTTAAATATTTCTACCCACGACGTTGCTTTCTAGGGTCCCACAAACCTTTCGCTTGTTGGATAGACACAACAGCAAGTTGTCGGCCTGCTCTTTTATGCCCGCCGCCGATGCCCCAAACAGGATGTTGGCATTGTAACAGTATGCCAGGATCCTCGCGTAAGGGACTATGCTTGGAAGAAGATCTTTAAGCCAGTTTGTGCCAGTCTCTTGGTCGGTCCAGGTATTCTCCGCATGATCCGGTCTGTTTGTGATGTTCATTCCATGAACTGCGACGATACTTGCAAAGAGTTTAGCAAGGCTGTGTAAATGGTAACCGATCAGCGAATGTCGAAAGACTCACTCCAGCGTCGTATTTGGCGGACAGACGACCTCCTTGAGCCAGTTTGCGTTTGGCGCTGACTGCTAGAGAGAATATTAACCGTGGTGTCAAGGTCTAAAATTCAGGGAAAAGAGCTGGGACACAATACCATTTTTTTTTGGAAGCTAGGACAGCTTAACGACGAGTACCTCTAGGTATTTTGTCGAGTGATCCGGAATGGAAACCTAGCGGTCTCTCGATATCTCGATCTCGGTCATGACATACCCCGCTCTCACCTAAGCGCCTAGGTGCCCCCAGCTAAGTTCGTAGTCGAATGCATGGTAAGAGCGAATCAAAAAGCAAAATACCTTGCCCGGGAGTGTGATCTTTAGGATAAGAAAACTCCAAGGCACAAACAGTCTCACCCCTGTGAGTATCGTTCTTTTCCGTTTATGTAAATTAGCCACCAGTAAACCGGCAACCACTGTCTAGGCGCGGGGTCGTCGCTCTTTCTTAAGTATTCCGAAATCATTCGAGAACTCTGGACCACCGTTGGACCGGCAGACTCTGAGAAACCATTGATTCGACTGGGCTCCGCCTCGCCGACGCTGGGCAAGCGGGCTTATCTACAAACCCCCGCAGACAATCGCGCACCTGCAACCTCACTGAGATCTTTGATTCTTGACAGAACGGACCAACATCACCACCAAATTTCGGTTCACGGGAAAGGATCTTGGACAATGCTAGGAGTAAAGTACACAGCCCTCAAACTTCAAAACGGGTCCTTCCTACCGTCGCGTCTCAATAGCCCCGCCCCGCGTCCTCACCGATGACGAGATCCCCTTCATCGATCTCAGCCCGATAAAAGGTGGCCTGAATGCAAGGAGGAATCTAGCGACGAAGATAAGGGCAGCGCGTGAAAACACGGGGTTTTTCTATATTAGGATTCATGGGATATAGGAGGAGCTCATCGCGGCTGTCAATGATCAAGATGTCGTGCCATCTCGACGGTTGGTTGCAAGATAGATGAACACGCTGGCCTGAGAATTGAGGACGGCATAATAGCTAGGCGGGGTGTATCCTTGACTGTATAGTAATATGTTATACACATAGCCGCGGTTCGAAACCCAGGGCAGGTTTAATTCTTATTACCGAGTACTACGTTAGAAATTTTACCGCTTCTTACTAAAGATTTACTGGTATAGTTACTGTATATACCTGTGACGTAAAATCTATAGGTGTGAGATAATTAGACTACTATCTGGCTACTTTATGGGTCTCGGAAAGAGCCCCGTTGGGAAGCTGATATTCGAGGATAAAATACAGTCAATCAATCAATCAATACGTTCTGTACCCACAGTAGGTCCCAGCTTGAGGAAATGCATTAGAGGTCACGGGAAAAACTGGTAAGCTGACGGAAAAACATAATTTTATATATTTATACTATTTGCTATTCGAAGTCTTTACTTCATATAAGCTTACAATAGCCTATGCAATAGCTATATTCGAGTTTCAATAACTACCATAGTCTACCCGAGCATGCGGTACTGGAAAGTTCTCTTGACACTTATTCTCTTTATATTTCCTTACGGGAGCTGTCAATGTAACGACGAATTATATAAGATTGATTGGTCAAAGACACTGAGAGTTGATCATTTGCCATCTGCGATTCTGACAATGCCTATTACTAGACGGACTGCAGTGGGTTTTGCTATAAATGTTGCAAACATACTGATGCTCATAAACTGAAGGAGCGCCACGACAACGTGAAAAAAAGGTGTAATAAGTCCTGTACTTTCCACTCGTAGTGTAGTGGGCTTTGCCAGATATGTCGCAGGGGTCGTTGTCGGAAGATAGAAGAGCTAAAAGATCTGATTTAAAGTAACTGCTTTCGAATCTGTTTTCTATTCTGCATTTCTTCTCCTAGCCGAATTCCTCGATTAGGTGAACGGCGACCCTCTTAACAGACTGGATGCATTATTCAAGTAAGTTCAAAGAATATTTTAACCCTTCGGATGAGAGATACCTTGGTATTAGTGATTTTCTGGGCTTCTTTAGATGTTCCTTAATTAGGATTTCGTCTAATCAATTGATTCAAAGGGATTTGAGGATGGCGCCAAGATCTGCCAACTCCTCCAGCCTCTCTGCGGATTGCAACGATCTATGTAAACGTGCTATCTTACATTCCACGTTTCCTTCTCAAATCTGTCAAACAGGCCAAAAGCCAGATCACTTATATACCTCCAAAAAGTGCCGTGGACGTGGAGTGAATACACACCTGCCAGTATCTAGAATGACGCGATCCCTTACTGTACCACTCTGGCGACTTGAAAGATAGCACCCTTTGCACGAGGACTCTGTATCTCAAACCCGGGAAAGGAGCTGCAGGCCCCAGTGAAAGCAGAGCGTTCAGATGCATCTGCTTTGTCAAATCTCCATACATGATTGAGCTGCATTCAAAGTCACAGTGTGCCCTTCACTGCCGCTTTGGAGTTGATCACGTGTATCTTGAAGTTGGAGAACCAGGCCAGCGATCTCCTCCTGTCTTCGATCATTCATCGATCCTGCTTTCTAAGATTATTCAAGCAACTTTGGGTATTCATGTGCCCATTCTTATGATGTTTTCCAGGATTGGAAGCCCGAGATTATTAATCTCGTCGTTGCTCCGTGACATAGCAGTTACGGTAGCTTCTTCAAATTCTGCAGGGAGGTGGAAATACAAGGCAACCCATAACCAGAGAATTAAATTCCTACAATATGTTGGGGGGATAGTTTCATCCAAGCCGTTGATCCATGTAGACGCTAAAAGATCGACAGCTTCCCTACTCCGGGACGGTCTCTGTGGGGGAACCGCGGTCTGAGCGGTCTGACGGCGGGCATCCAAGGGCACAGCCGCGTAAGATTAACTCGGAAAAATAAAAATAAAAAAGCCAGGTCCCGTCTAGTTCCAGTGCAACAAATGGCGTAGCGAGTTGCTCATTATCATTGCTGTCAACCCAGAAGTCCTCAAACAAGTCGAATGTGCTTCTACTTACGGTACTGATATGAGTGGAGTCGAAACGTATTATAACTTCAAATCACATGATGAGCTACACTGTAATCTATTAGAAATCACCATACGATCGATACTCATATCTCAATGCTTCTCACGAGTTACCACTCCAATATTGACATCATTCCTTCTCGCAGAGGTTGGATACATACAACTTCGCCGAGTTTGTGCAATCACCACTTAGAAATCTCAGTAAATGTAAATTTATTAAGCATCCTGCATCTTCAACAGAACGAGAAGCCCAAACCAAAACAACGAATCTTTCCTTAGCGTCGCTTGATAGGTCACCTGGCAGCGGGGCACTTTGACAACTCAGCTATATGCTCACGACTTGCTTTTGACAGCAAGCGAGTGAGGGTGAAAGCTGCGCTTGACAAATAGACCAAGACAAAAGAGAGCGAACGCAGAATCTTGCCAGATTGTTAGGACCACCCCTTTGTTTGGTCTATTGCACAAATGATTCCATCTGCTTCAACGAGGAGTTACGGTACGATGAAAATGACACATCGTGGTCACCAGTGAATACAATACAGCCAGCCCTGCATGGCTTACTAGGAGGAAAGTTAAAATTCGATTAGCGTCTCTCCACTTAGGGTGCGGGAATTAGATCGCAAGATTTACAGTAAAACCAATTTCGAATTCCACTATGATTCTATCAATTAGAACGACAAATTCGTTGCTGTACCCGTCTCCTCGTTTTCCACGGTGACTTCCGCGGTTTGCTTCACAGAATTCCAGGTATCATTCAGCCTACACTTCAACCCCTCGTCGGCTACTGGCTCATGGATAGTCAAACTGTTCATCGCAAAGTGAGCTAGCTATACGAACCACTGGCATTTATAGAAAAAAGGAAGAAGAAAAAGGAAGGACATAGTAATGACTGGGAGTGGTATTAGACGTACCCGATCGCTCGAGCAGGAAATCCAGTAGGAGATGGGACAGGCTGTCCAGCAGAGGGGCGGGGTCTATCGCGCACTTCGATAGCCCGCCATCCCGCACATGCATTCAGGAAACTAAAGACACTTATCGTTAATTCAGAGCTTCACCCGCGTTAGATGAATCATCTGAGATCAGGTTTTATCATACGCTGCGAGGTTGGCCGCCGTTTGCTGAGCACGATGCTGGCCAGCCCAATCCTCGTCACCGGGGGCTTGTGCAGCTATTTTGATCAACTTTGCATCATTAGTAAATGGTTCTGTTTGAACTGAGGAATAAGGTAATTCCTACATATGAAGACATGGTGGTAGATTGAAAGAATAAATTTAAACTATGTGAAATATAGAAAAAAAGTACGGTCGGTAGAGGGGTTCGAGGACTATTATATACCTCAATCATCGAAAAGCCTGCCTTCAGTGACCCCTCGTATTCCCGCTACCATTGATTGTGGAGCGAACTCTTCTTTCCCTTCCTGCGGGACACGTATAGAAACTACATAGTAGACACCAAGCCATTCTGGTGGTGGGGGGATCCTCATCCCCGACCTATCGATTAGACCCACTCGGGAACTTGGGAGCTGAACCCGGGATGATCGATCAGAAAATGACGATCGGTAGAGTGAAATTTTGTGTGGTACGAGGCAAGTCTCCATTTTGCTCCACCCGACCTAGCAACATACTCAGCCAGCCACTAGCCAATACTTCATACGTAGACACGCTTCATCGCCTAGAGAAGGTTATTACGCGGGTAGGTCAGTCGCGCCCGCGCGCGGTGGAAATCAATAGTCAATTCGCAGTGCCGGTTCTCTTTCTTTGCTAAATAAAGAATAAACTGGGCGGCTCCTTTTTTGAAATAAGACATTTATAAGATCAGACCTATGCATATTCCCGATATCCTGGCCCCAAGCTTGAAATCACAGGCAAACAGAGAACACTCGGTTTGGAGGCGCTGTTAGTGTCTTTCACAATGTTGTCCAGCGTGAACAATAGTAGGGAGTATGCGACGCTACTGAGATTGTATCCGCCCGTGATGGGCGGAAAACCATTTCCAGGTGAAGAGTTAATGTCTTGTGGAGACGAGGATCCACCTTGCGAAGCTCCGCTCTATACTATACGGTGTCCACTTCGTGCCGCCACGATCGTTCTGCACTCTCCGCACTTATATTGCGGACGATCTTGCCTAAGACAGCAGTCTTATCGAGTTCACAGGCATTGCGACTCAATCGGTACCCCCATGGAGCGACTTGCCGCTGTCTATATGGATGCAGTCACCTTTTTAACCTGTTCTCACTCCCACTCGCTTTTCTTGACCAAGGTGGGTCGCGAATATTGTACATCATTTCCTATTTCAGACGTATGCAGCTGTTGACGTGGATAAGGAGCTGAACGTCCCCCTCTTCTTTTGGGGTTCTGCCTTCGGAATTTCATCTCGCTTATTTTGAGCTGAAAGCTGGTGTTATATGTCTCAATAACTCACGCGCCGCTGAAAACCCCCGCACTGGTCTGTATCTTCCACTTCTGAAAGGCCGTACACGAAGCCACCTCTACAAGATCTTAACCAGCAACTCTTGAAGATGTTCGGCCATATTAAGCATATTAAGGCGAAGTTTCATAGGCACAAAGGCAATAAAGAGGTATTTCAAAAATCCCGGATGGTTATTTGCATCTTGTAGTCCAAAATAGTCCCTCTTTCCTTGTTAAGACTGACTTATTATCCAGCCTGTTGCACCGAACGACAAGCCTGTTGCAACAACCGGCACACTCAACACAAAGGACCAACCCCAAGCAGCTGCGCCTGCTAAGTCCAGCCCGGCAATTTCCTCACACCACGTGCCAAAGAAGCCTGCAGAGAAGGCCCCTGAGGCAGAAAAGCAGCCAGATGGCTCAAAGGATCTATGGGTAGAGGCGCTCAATTCCCTGGACAAACCGAAGCAGGACATATTAAAGAAGATGGGATTCAATACTTCATCAGTCCAGTCAGGGTCTACAAAGTCCAGCATTGACGACCTGATTGGCGTGGTAAAAACGAAGCAGGAAGAGTGTGAGAAAAATTTTTGGAAGGTGAAAGTTGGGAATGAGAACATCCTTCTACGCGATTATACGAGCAGTATCGTCGATTGGTTGGGCACAGCCGGTGATATTGCAGTTCAATTTGCCCCTCCACAAGCTGCTATTCCTTGGGCAGTTATCAAATCTGCTATGCAAGTAAGCATTCGGTGACACTATATGGCCCACGTGCGAAATTAACTACTGCAATAGATTCCTGTCATCGAAGGCGAACAAATGGCCGCTCTCCTTACGACTACCGAGAAGATCGTCAGTGTTATCAGCCGTGGTCAGGTTTACGAGAACGTCTACCTCAAGAACCAAACGGTCGCGGACGACCTATCCAAAAATCTTCAGTCTGCGTTGACCCGAATCTATTCGACCTCCCTAGATCTCCTTGCCGACTCAGGAGGTCTGTTTTCTAAGAAAACAGCTTCCCGCACACTGCATGCGATTTTGAACCCCGGCAAGGCGTCTGGTGGAATCTCGTCCATTAACAGCCAAGAGGACGATCTTATGCGAGATGTCTCGGCTTGTGAGGTCAGACGTAGTGCAAACGCGGATGACAGTATGATTGAAATGCTCAACGCATTAAATGCTCCAATGAAACAAGTGGACGAGGGAATCCAACATCTACTTACGAAGATGAAAGCAAAGGAGCGTATTCAAATGCTGGAATGGATATCCGCCATTCCATTTGGCAAGAATCACAACAACGTCAAGGGAAGACGTACCCCTGATACGGGAAAATGGCTCTTAGAGCATGATGATTTCAGAAACTGGGATCAGGGAGAATCATCTATCTTCTGGCTTCAAGGGTCTCTCGGTACTGGAAAGACGTATCTCACATCGACCGTCATCGACTTTGTACATGATCGTTTGAAAGAAAACCCCAGAGATGAAGGATTCGCTTTTTTTTATTGTGACAAGAACGAACCGCAGCGATCGGACCCTCTGTCGGCTCTTCAAAGTATTGTTCGCCAGCTTTCAACTACGATGAAAAACCCAGACGCAGTACAACACAAGCTGGAGGCACTTTATATCAAATGTCGTGAAGTGGATCAAGCTTCAGCCTTGAGCAATGCAACGAACAAATTCTGTCGTCTATCAGTATCTATCAGAAGACTACGATTATCATTGACGCGATGGACGAGTGTGACCCCGAATCGCGTGATAAGTTGATCGATGCACTGAAGCTATTTGTCTCTAACTCGCCGACGAAGCATATCAAAATCTTCATCTCAAGTCGACCGGATCCCGAAATTCAGAATCTTTTGGAGAAGACGCCTAATGTTGGCATTGACGCCAGTGACAACAAGGAGGACATCAGAAAGTATCTTTCCGAGGAACTAGAAAAGCGCGCTAGAAAGGAACCATCTTTCGGACCCCTCAAGGAAAGGGTTATTGAAACTCTGCTTGGGCGCTGCCAGGGAATGTTCCAATGGGCTGCGCTGCAGATTCACCAAATTCAGAGGTGTAAAAGCGAGGCTAGCGTGTGGAAACGACTTGAGAACCTCCCCGACGGTCTACAGAAAGCGTATGATGAGGTATGGGGCCAGATTGAAAACTTGGAGGATTGTGATAAACTGATCGTCAGTCGCGCCATCATGTGGGTTATGGCTGCAAAAACTCCTCTACTCTCTGGTCAACTCCTCTGTGCTGTACGTATCAACGTGACGGGGGACGAACCTGCCCTGGCTGGCGAAATTGATGAACAGGGGCTGCTCTGGCTCTGTAATAATCTCCTTACACTTGACTCTCAACAGAAGGTGTGGCGCTTTGCTCACTTATCTGTCCGCGAATATCTTGAAACCAAGATGAATTGGCACTTGCCGCAGGTCAACCTCCACGTTGCCAGTGCTTGTCTATCATTGTTTATCAATACATACGACAAGGAGGAGGAGGGAATCAAATTGATGGAGTGGGAGAAAGACCCAGAACCGACTGATATTTACTACCCTATGCATCATCTTCAGCTCTACATCAGACACTACTGGGCAAAGCACGTACAAGTGGCATGTGATGAGGAGGGCAAGTTGTCGATGCTTCTGAAAAGATTCCTCGGGTCTCCGGAAGAAAGCAGCAAGGAGTACCAGAAATGGGTATCGTTGATCAGAAAGGATGCTTTCGACATATTAAAGATCACAGACTTCTCCGTGTGGGAAATTGATGCCGATTACTCGTACCTTATAGCGAGCGGTTTCACTACCGAAAAGGGCCTCGACACAAATGACTTGAATCAAGCCAGACGGCCCCTCGCTCCAGATCAGTGGTGGAACCATACACATTGGAGCCGCGTAGATAGGGCTTGGATGGAAGAGGAGTACCAACGGGCACAAAATCCAACTGTGAATGAATTCGACAGTGAGCTATTACCAGCAAATTCTGCTGTTTTTGCGATGTGTCACTTCTCGTTCGGGACAATCCTAGCCGACTGGTGGGAAAAAATGGAGTTTGATCCATTTTGTGTGAATGAAAGAGGACACAATCTTCTCACGCTTGCTGCTCGGGTCGGATGTACTGAAATCTGCAGGGCGCTCGTCGAGAAGGGAACAGACATCAACCTCCAGGTCGGAAGCTCACGTTGGGCAACGTATGGTAGTGCTCTTATTGCAGCTGCACACCGTGGTCATACAGATACGGTTCGGTACCTCGTGGAGAGCGGCGCCGATGTGAATATGAAAGCGCAAAATGGAGAATATGCCACCGCGCTCATCGCTGCTCTTTCCAGTCAAAGCATTGACATCGCTCGATACCTGGTTCAGAATGCAAACGCAGACGTGAACATCAGTCAGATTCTTCCCGCGAAAGAAAGCACGAAATGGGGTATCGGCGAGCCCATCGTACTTCTGACACCGGTCGGGCTGTCAGCAAATGTCAATGGCACCGACCTGCTGAAGATGATTGTCGATGCTGGGGCCAATGTCAATATTCAAGCACAATCTGGGAACCCACTTTGTGTCGCTCTTGGTGCTGGTAATGTCGAGGCTGTCAAGTACCTTATCCAGGAAGCCAAAGCTGATGTGAACCTGCCGATCTCGAACGCATCATTTTGCACGATTCTCGAGCAAGCCGTATCTGTCAACAGAGACCTTGATATTGTCAAATGGTTGGTGGAGGCAGGCGCGAACGTCAATCCATCCGAATTTGGCACTCGTGGTCCTCCTCTTTTCACAGCTGCAGCTGCAGAAAGCAGCCCTCAAAGTAAACCTGATCTTCTTTGCTACCTTATTAATGCAGGAGCGGACATTGAAAGAGGTGATGGCGAGAGAAGTCCTGTCATTTTCGCATGGGATCACAGGAAAATACAGGCTGTGGAATGCCTGGTTGAAGCAGGAGCAAAATTCGACGCCCAAGACGCCCTCGAAAGGGCTGTTGACAGTGATTTCCTTGCTGGTGCCAGGTACCTAATCAATGAGACCCCTGACAGGAAGCAACTAGTTCTTAATGGGACTGGTGGTGATTTGCTTCAGGTAGCAGCAACACGTTCTCTCTCCCTCGTTGAGTTGCTGGTAAAATCTGGCGCAAATATAAACGTCGATTCGGAAGTCGGCGATTATGGTAGCCCTCTAATAGCAGCATCTGGGCCGAGAGGTGATATTGAGACAGTGGAATGGCTGATTGAAGCAGGTGCCAACGTGAACATGTTGGTGCAGCATGGAGACTATGAATGTCCTCTTGCCGCAGTGATCATGGGTTCGGGGAGACTTAAAGTTGTCAAGGCCCTAGTGAATGCAGGCGCGGACGTAAATCAATCTCTACAGCGTGCTGAATATCCAACTCTTCTAGCTGCAGCCGCGGGTGAAGAGCAGATTAACATTTTGCGATGCCTCTTGGATGCCGGGGCTACTGTGGATCCGTCTCTTGTGCAAGGAGAATATCGCGAGGCGCTAGAAGCGGCAAAAGAGCTGCACGACTCAGATGACGGCTATGTTGACTCGGAGAACGACATCGGTTTCGGGCTTTTTATGTAGTCAATACGGCCAATCAATATGATAATCGTGGGCTCAAACCTTTCCCATAAATGGAACCATATGATGCTCACAAAATGAAAACATATCAATATCCTTCACAATTACAAGTTCATTGTGATCTTCTTGAGAAATAGCACCATTGATTTTGTCTCGAACGTTTTCCTCGTAGCCCTTGGTGAAAAAAAAAGCATAGCCCTTGCGTACCGCTCTGGAGTCTCTTTAAGGCCCTCTCGCTTGATGTCTTCGCCAATGCACCCAACTATTATCCGCACAGTACCAGCAATCTTTTGCAGGCGATCTTCAGACTCTTCGGGTGTTGAGAATTGGCGATTTGAGGTACCTGGGCCTAGAATATTGATAACATTTACGCACTGGTACTTCAAAATTAAGTCCATTAGTCACTTACAGGGCACCACCAAGCAGAACAAGCGCTATCCGAGCCTCCGGGGTAGTCCCTTTCTCGCAATCTGATCGAGCAGCGATCCACGATCAATAAAGTCTGGGTCACGACGGAACGTAACGGTCGAGAGAGGGGCGGTGGAGTTTCCGGTCGCATTGGGCCAAGAAGTGGGAACTATTCAACTCCGAGTAAACCAAAAATCATCTGTGATGACCGCCGCAATGAGCCAATTCGCCTGCCTTTCAATTTCGGCTACGTGACCTAAAGCGTGTGCTTTCTTTATATAAAAGGCCCTCATAATTATCAGCATTCGATATTTTTTCCCCCCACCTTTTTTCCTTGAAAGGAATGGCCAACAAGAAGAAGGAAATCTTTGGACCGTGAGAACGTCGACTAGAATGCATCGATAAGTTACAGTATACAATTCCATCAACAAAATGTTATAAGATTCCATCGCTTACATGACTTCCATTGCGCCGACCAAGATAAATCGCCTAGTAAGTACAGAGTCCTTGATTTTCTGAACAACGATTCGCTCTTGCAATAACCGATGAGGGGACCCCGTCACCACGAGGACATTCTCACGCAAACACGCCGAAGCCGAGTATGCCTTTCGGTCCCTTGACCTGGATCAGCCGTCGATACCCGTCGACCCAATGGGTTTGGGAGTACCTGGTCTTGTCAGTTTATCGACTGGATAGATTTCAGGTCTTTAGAAAGAAAAACATCGAATAAGTATGGTCACCACATACAGTATGTCATCTCACAGTTAATATAGCATATGCGAAGCTGATGGCCAGCGAAAGTCCTTTGATTGGGTGTGCCAGAGCTTTAGGGATTAGAGGTCCTAGCTCTTCCAAACATAGATGTCAGAGATATACATGAAGCATTTAAGATGAATGGAGATATGATCTGCGCGGGACTAGACTTCGGCACAACCCATCGATGGGTCCAAATGTTGGACCCATCGCCAAACCCATATTCTGCACAAATCTGAGACTTGGCATACCTACATAATCCAGCTTACTTAGCAAAATTTCAGATTGTAATTTTGACATGTTTTCTCTTGCTTAGCATCTAATAGTCTTATAGCTATAATCTCTACTAGAAATTTAATTTTTCTTGTTAGCAGAAGGGTCGTCAAATCTGATTCTCTATTAATTTCAGATCAAAACTTTAATTTTAGATGGTGGTGGTATTAAGTCTGTAGTTTGTAAAGTTGTAGTCGGTTTGATGGATGAGGATAAATATTTATGCAAAGGTAGTACACATTGAAATAGAACAAATCTTTGTGAAAGCTCAAAGGATTTTTCTTCTGGCGAAGAACTACAACAATTCAGGGGGAAAACCTTCTAAATGTAAGCCAATAGGTAATGAAGTCTAATATTGTTATTATTCTCATGTAGTTTTGCTTTAATACTACTGTTCTTTATCTATTTATCTTTGAAATGAGGACAAGGCAATTCTGGAGGTTTTCCTCCTGAATATTTTTGGACGAGTAAGGGGAAATGGGTTTTCGATAGGTTTTATGGGTATTCGATAGGTTTTTGATGGGTTTTTGATGGGTTTTGGTTGGTTAGACCCACTAAGATAGCCAATAATATTTGGTCTTCCTATATTGCTTTTGCTTTTCCCCTTAACCAGCTGGAATTAGGGGGATATATCAATTCAGTTTTCTCGACGAAGGTGTGTCCTCTCCTTATACCCCTTTGTCTTGCTTTATGACTTTTGGTATCAATATGTCTTAAAGCTAAAGCCAGCACTCTGACTTCTTACTCTCTCTTTATGAGAAGGAGACAGGTCATTTATCCTATCTTATACCTTTATACTACTTCGCTACACCTACAGATAATATCTTTGGCTCGTGTCTGTCGGTTGACTTAGTCATTGCCCTAAGCAGATATCCTATCGATTCAACGGAAGTAGGTATATGCTCGGTGGGTAAAAGTGAAGTGCTATTCTAAATTACTAGCTTCGTCGAAGATATAATAGCTGTCCATGCCAAGGGGTCATATGACTTAGGCATGTCAGCTGAATAATGGTTTCAACAGTGTCCAATCGAAAATAGCGAATCTGACTTTATCCGACTGAGCAATCCTTGTATCTCTGTCTCGCTTACTCGTGTTGGCCCAGATCAGAGAAAGGCCTTTGTACTTTATAACAATATGGCGTATACTGATTGGGTTGACTGGTGGCTCCAAACAGACTTCAGACAGAAATTTAACCTTAAATAGGATATAAACTATAATGCAGATATCTGGAAACATTTTGATCAGATCGCCTCTCATAAAGACGGGGCGCCAAAGGTAATGTGTAAACGCTGCATCCGGATTTTGGAGCATCCTGCAGCCACTTTACCTAACCGCAAGACCCTATATGGTACATTGACTATGTCAAAGCATCTCAAGACGGTAGGCTGCCAAAAGGCTAAAGCTAACAGTAAAGAGAATGTCTCTCGATTTCTCAAAGCAAAAGTATGTTACCTCTCAAACTTTATTTATCTTATATTGATTATCTTAGGACAGACAGCTACTACTAAACCTTTCGCAAGCTACATAGGTGGCTCAGCTTCTACAGTTTGTTACTTTGAATCGCCTGCTGTTCTATCTCGTTGAATATCTAACCTTCCATACCATTATTCAATTAGCATGCTCGGCGCCTTCTTCTCCAATAATACCTTCTTCGACTACACTTCGACGACAATTACGGGATATTATTTAAGATACACAACGTTCTACTCTCCAAACCCTTCCGCCCGGGTCAAAGATATCGGTTGCACTAGATTGCTGGACTTCCCCATATAATCAGGCCTTTATGGCGATTACAGGTTATTTTATTGATATCAACTGGGTATATCAAGAGGTTCTTCTTGGATTCAAGCCATTACATGGCTCACACACAGGTGCAAATTCTAAGTGCAGTTATTCTCGAGACATTAGTTGGCCACAATATCCAAGACCGGGTGTTCGGGATTACAACAGATAATGCAACAAACAACAAAACATTAGTTGATACAGTTCAGCAAGCACTTCCTAGTGATGCCACTGTTATCCGAATTCCATGTATCGCCCATGTGATTCAGCTGTGTATTAATCAATCAATTACTGGGTAAAATGAAGGCAGTACCCATCAATGATGAGACTGAGATTGAGTGGTCGGATGAGCGTGCATACTCAACACATCCCAAGCGCACAAACAGAGAGATAGTTGATACTCTGAATAAGGTAAGTCTTTCTTCCTCACTTTGACTATAAAATAACTAACCTCTCACTCTATATCTAGATTCGGAACCTTGCTATCTTCATCAATGCAAGCCCACAGCGCCGTGAAGCCTTTTTAGGCCTTCAGACTGAAAAGCCTCATCTACTCCCTATTCAGGATGTTCGTACACGATGGAATTCTACCTTTCTAATGCTCGGCCGTGCAAAGCGACTATAGGAGACCTTTAAACGCTACTTTATACAGCTCTATCCAGAAGAACGGCAACTCTACGGGCAGCCTCGCGCCTGGCTCGAGCCTTCCACAAATAACTATCAATGTCCTTCCGTCACAGTTATCACAATCTGCGGGCTCTTCCTCGGCGCCTCAAGGAGCTCTAATCTCGGTTGAGGATGACTTGAATGATGTTCCTGGACTTCTTGAGGCAGCAGTGGAAGAGTATGCCACTTGGCACCTGTCCAGGGTGGGTACCGAGAGCTATAGGGAACATATCAGAAAAGCGCGGGATATTGCATGGGAAAACTGTCTTGATATTGCACAAATCCGCGAGGAAAGCCCCCATTTCTTTATTCGCCAGGGAGTGGCGGTAGGTGCGGCACGCAGATTTGTTGGTCATACGAGGCTCTGGCTAAAGGGAAGGGATAAGGATACTGCTTAATATGTTACGTCGCCTTAGCGTGTGTATGATTTACATTCGCTCTCTGGACAGTTCGTGATTATATTGCCAATTTGATTCTGTCTATAAAACAAATCCTTCTTGTAAAGCAGCAGATTTAATGGACCGGTGTTGTCACTCTAAATGGGGCAATTATTTTACCTATTAGGTCAGACAATATCAAACCTCGATGGGAATTGCGTCGAAACAAGCTATATAGTTTGTGGGCTATGGACGACAACAAGAATAAAGCCGATGACTTGGTGGTTAGGCTGGTGGAATCTCATAGACACACTCAATCTTTGCAAGCTTTTCTGTTTCGACAACGTAATCAAGCAAGCTTTCGATGCGATCATGCTCATAACCAAGGATGTCATATACGTAGTTATTCAGCTTGACACTCATAGCCTTCATATAAAACGCCATGTTCGACAGCCCATGTTCAGACATAATCTGAGAGATAACTTTCAGGATCTCTCGACGGCTAGGTTCCCTGATAAACCTTAAACAACCGATAAGAGGGCGATTGGGACACTTTATATTCACGAGGACAGAATAGCCCTTTTGTTCCACATGGGATGATTCTAAGCATTGCGTGGTCGGCGTGTTTGGTTCTGTCGCATGTTCACCTGAGCTTGCTTCTGTGGACATGTCAGTTATCGTTCTCAATAGCGTACGCGCTTTCACAAAGTCACTGTAGCCCGCACCTGCTTCTTTTAGAGCTGCCGTGTGTTGGGACAAGACGTCATATTTCGGAGGTGTGGGTTGACCGGCTTTGATCGGTGAGTCCTGTTCCCGGGGCAGGACGATGCGGCATTTTGGTAGCTCATTCTCGGTCACTTGATGATTGTGGTCGATAAAATAAGCCCGCACGCGATTTGATGATAGAGCATGCAGGGCTCGCAGCGCATATGTCACATCTAAACCTGAACTTTGCATGACTTCGATTCGCTCTCCCTCGGCCTCTACCATATATGCCAGGGCGACAACCCTGCCCTCGATATTGCAGGTCACGACATCAACATTGTTACCAAACAAGACGCGAAGATTTGCTGCGATTTCATAATTACTACTTGATCGACAACGCAAAAGGGTAGGACACACCTATTGTTTGCTCACGAAAGAAGAGCTCACGGCTTGGGGATGCCTTCATAGTGATATTGATCTCGGTGAAAGACTTCAATGCCGTGGAGTACTTACCACGTAAGAATAATACGATGCTGGTTATAAATACTCGCAAATCCCTTAATGTAACTTGGAGGTACCGCGGGAATGTGAGGATAAATGCTTCGGTACTACGAGAATGTTAAGAGGAATTCTCCGGTACCACCGTCCCATCTCGAGTTACTAATTTTTCGAGCACTCTCAGCGGTTGAAAAGGGACGATTCCCGCTGCAGCGAAGCCATTTTGAATATTTAAAGCAGTAAAGATCTGTAGATGAGCGGTAGGATACGCCCGCAAGAAATCAAGCTTATCAATATTATTATACCCGAGGCGAATCCGCTGCTCAACAAGTCCTCCATAAGCGCGTTTTAGAGGGCCAAAACAACCAACATCGAGTGGTTGCAAGAGATGAGATGAATGCGGAGGCATGCAGATCGGTATAATCTTATTATCTTGACATAATTTATCGGATGCAGGCGTCAGGTGGCTTCCGTGGCCATCTAAAATGAGCAGGCGATACTGGCCCACTGTACGGCGAGATGTTGTAGGAATAAAGGCTTTTTTTAAGCCATAAAAGTCCGATTTCATCAGTAGTCCAGTCATTTGGGCTAAGTTGAATCATTCAATCGCCTGGAAGGTGTTCCTCTGCATACCAACCTTCAATGTGGACCTTTGTCTTTGAAGATAATGCATGTAGGGACTGACCACCCGTTTGCAGACGGCTACTCGGGCCATAGCTTTCGGAAGGGAGCGGCTCAACATGCACACGATAGTGGGGTACTTGACAACCAGATCTAGATACGAGGAAGGTAGACTTCGGAGCACATTCAAGGTGTATTTTACGACGAACGCTTCAGTTCTGTACAAGCTCAACCACCAGTTCCAGACAGGCTCGGCGGCCTCGCTGTCTCTGCTGGTTGCACCACCGTCCCCACCACCATCCTAGTTTGGCCCGGGTCATTTGGGCAATATCTGAAGCTACAGTCTAAGACCGCAGCGACAGGTGACCCGTTACGGCGAAACTATACTCTTCTTCTCCCTCTTGACTGCGTGAGGTCACCAATAAAACTAATTAACTAACTTCTTGCTCGCACGGATCATCCTCAATGATCTGCTTCAGGATGTGTTCGAACTTCTGTCGCAGTTGTGCATGTTTATATTCAATTCTTCTGTCGAAAGGCATCCGGTCATGGATATTCCATGTTAATCTTGACGCAATCCGTTGACCCTGACAAACGCCCAACATGATTCATGATCTGCATTTGCCAGCTCCACCTTGACAATTCGTCATCGCGGAACCCCGATTGCTCATCAGCAGCCAATCTACAGCGTTGACTTCAGAGTAACTCCCGGTTCCAGGCACGTCGGCATATCCGCATCTATTTGGCCCACCGAAAAACTGGCGCGGGAACTTCTTTGCCATGCATGATCAACACCCCGTCGGAGCACTGTCATTTGCAGAGTCTATCGCGCGATGTGCGGGAAAGATGAGGTGCTGCTGCGACCTGCCATGTGGTGCAAGTTGAATAATAAGGGTCCCCCTTGCACCAGGAAAGTCTGAATCTCGCAAATAAACATCGGCTGTCAGTTTGTCAGTGTACGGCTTCTGGGATTGCCTTTCTGATTGACACCATGGCGGAGTTAACTGAGAAAAAGGAACTGGGTGTTCCCTCCTCGGAGGCGAATTTGAAGTCTGCGACCGGTACTGCTAGCACCGAGGCGAACGAGCACGTGGGTATTAATGAGAAGGCGTTGCTGCGCAAGCTGGACATTCGGCTGCTGCCGCCGTTGACGATACTGTATCTTTTGTCGTTTTTAGACCGTAGCAATGGTAGGTCGCTTGGATTAGTTTACACTGGATAAAGCTAAGCTGTGATCAGTTGGAAATGCACGACTAGAGGGCATGGCGGATGATATCAATATGAGTGCGCTCAGTCCCCCGATTATGAATGCGACTTTCGCTGACACCCAATCCGCAAATAGCTGGAAATCAGTATCTCACGGGCCTGACCCTGTACTTCATTGGCTACGTCCTGTTTGAGATACCCTGCAACATTGTGCTGAAAAAGACTACGCCTCGAATCTGGCTTCCTACGCTTACTTTAATCTGGGGTATTGTGGCCACACTCCTGGGAGTTGTGCAGAACTATGCCGGGTATCTTACCTCGCGAACAGGTATATATTAGACCCTCAATATCTCAATAAAATGACTGCTAATTGCAGAAGGGGTCTCTCGGCTCATTGGATCACTTGATCCGTGAGACCGGAAGGCTTCGGGTATCTTTAGCGCTTGGAATTGCTGAAAGTGGTCTTTTCCCGGGCGTGGTCTTCTACTTGTCTATGTGGTATAAGCGGAATGAGCAACACTACCGAGTGGCTTTGTTCTTCAGCGCCGCATCGCTAGCGGGTGCTTTTGGCGGTATTCTCGCTTGGGTATGTTTTTTTATTGTACGATCGGACCAGCTTACTGAGGCTCTATAGGGAATCGCACACATGCGAGGCGTCGGGGGTTACAATGGATGGCGATGGATCTTTATCCTGGTATGTTCAGTCGTGCACCAGCTGAGACTCCATCTGACGAGGAAATAGGAAGGACTACTTACGGTGGTGATGTCCATCATCGCCTATTTCTGGGTCTACAATTACCCATCGACTGCCGAGTTTCTCTCAGAGAAGGAGCGGGCGTTTATACAGTACCGGTTGAAAAATGATAACGACTCAACTCGCGATGAGAAATTCAGCTGGACGGCCGTTGGAGATGCATTCAAGGATCCCAAAGTCTGGTTATATGGTCTCGGATTCCACACCATGTCGCTGCCCTTGTACACGCTGTCTCTGTTCCTGGTAAGTCTTCTCTGGTATTCTATTGAGCAACCACGCTGACGACAATAGCCAACCATCATCAAGGAACTGGGCTACACAGCCGCCGAAGCCCAATTACTCTCCGTTCCCCCATACGCTGTGGCATTCGTGCTCACTGTCACAGTCGCCATCCTCTCGGAACGCACGCACATCCGAGCCCCCTTCATCATGGGATCCTCCGCGCTCGCCTGCATCGGATACATCCTCCTCCTGACCGACCACCGCCCGGGCATCTCCTACCTCGGTACCATCTTCGCCGCGGCGGGCATCTACCCAGCCGTAGCGATCGTGCTGTCATGGCCGGCCAACAACGTCTCCGGACAGACGAAGCGCGCGATCGCCAACGCCATGCAAATTTCCATCGGCAACCTCGGCGCGGTTCTCGGAACGCAGCTTTATCGCACCGAGACCAGTCCGCGATATTTTCTGGGCCATGGGTTCGCGTTGGGATATCTAGTCGCCAATATTGCAGTCGTGGGCATCCTCTGGGAGGTGTTGAAGCGGGAGAATGTGCGCAAGGCGGAAGTGCGCGAGAGGGAGGGCTTGCAGGCGCTAATGGGCGATATTGGGGATGCTGAGGGTGACTTCCAGGGGGACAAAGATCCGAGGTGGATGTTTCAGGTTTAGACGAGTGAGTGTAATGAATTATCGTTTACAGGTGTCTTGAATTGGACTGCAAAAGCGTGCCCATGAGTACGAACCGCGGCATTTTCTCGCAACTATCGAGCTACAAATACTAGCTAGCAGCAAGTATCTAACCAAAACCGTACATTTCAACGGTCCACGGCCTCGAATCCCAGTTCAGACTCCTTATCGTCAATCGGCCGTAAATGAAACCAATTAAACGAGCCCGGCACGTGGTCGATCTCCGCGATGTCATTTCCTCCAACGAAATCCACCGCCGCCGAACTAACGATTTAGCTTCCCTGCAACGACGCTCGTCGGCCAACCCCGCAGGAACGGGTTAGAGCATTCGTGGCACGATGTTTAATTTCCCGAGGTTATAAATGCAGGTACAAACTCTGACCTTGGGAGCTGGATCGGATGAACCAGAACAAAGTAGCAGGTATCATCTGATCTGAGAAAGAGCAGCCAAAATGACAATCGCAACAACGGCCCTACTGCTCAGCTTGAGCTTAGGCTCCGCTGCGGCCGTCTCTAGCTTTGAGACTCTGGAGCATTTGGGCGCCAATTCGCCTTGGTTTGCTGGTATGCTTTCTGCTGCAGTGTTGTTGGTGCGGGCGCATTTAGAGTCGTTGGGCTAATGATGGCTAGGTCCAAATGTGAATTCCATCCCGTCTACCGTGCCGGAGGAATGTTCTGTCGACCAGGCAGTATACGTCGTTCGTCATGGAAGCAGGTATCCCGACCCCGGGGCCTATGATGAGTGGCAGGCGCTTCATGAGGCTGTGAGTGCCACCACTTTATAAACCACATTGATGAATGATACAGTTTGCTAATTGATGTGGATAGTTCCAATCTGCCGAGTTCACTGCTTCCGGTTCATTGAGCTTTATCTCCAAGTGGGCTCCTGTCTTAAAGCATCCTGATCAGCAGATCAAACAGCTTTCGGTGACGGGGTACAAGGAAACGTATGTTATCATTCCCCATGTTCATCCTGAAATGGTTTTTCGTTTTATGATCTTCATACTTGATCATTGAGATGGCAATTAACGTGGACTGAAGGTATAATCTCGGCGCCGATCTGCGCTTCCGGTACCCCGATTTCTACGCCGACAACACCCCCTTCATGCTCTGGGCGAACGAGTATCAAAGAACTATTGATTCCGCGAGGTATGTCTAATTCCTTACTCTTACAGAAACCCCTTCCCGGGTTAATGGTCTAATGAATACAGACTCTTCGCACGCGGCTACCTCGGCCCCAACGCCTCCTACGGCAACGTCATCAGCGTGAACGCGTCTGCTTCCGATGCTGTAGGCAACTCGCTCGCCCCATCGGGACAGTGTCCTAACTTCAATGACGCCAGCGGTGGTGATCAAAGCTCCACCTGGGATAGCATCTATCTTCCACCGATCACCAAGCGCCTGAACAGTTTGATCTCAGGAAACCTGACCTTGACCGATAGCCAGGTCTCCATCTTTCCGTATCTTTGCGGCTTCGAGACGCAGATCACTGGCAGAAGAAGTCCGTGGTGCGATGTGTTCACGAAGAAGGAGATCCTGGATTATGAATATCGGCAGGATTTGCGGTATTATTATGGTACCGGTATGTTGCTCTCGTTGACTATTCTCTTTTGTGGTGAATTAATGGAGAGCTTCTGACAAATGAGGTACAGGTCCCGGCGTAAACAAGAACATGACCGTCATGCTTCCCGTGCTTCAAGGAATCGTCGATCTCTTGCAGACTGGTCCCAATGCTACCGCGGAGACTGGGAAGGGCAATGTGACGCTTCCGCCGCTGGTTGTGGCGTTCACACACGACAACGAGATTAACGAGTTGGCTTCTTTGTTGGGCGTGTTTGATGAGCAGAAGCCGCTGTCGGGGAGGAAGAGAATGACCAATAGGGTATGTCTTATCTGCGTTTGTCTAGTTATTCCACCCTCTAACTGATATGCCTTTCAAGATCTACGCCAGCAGCCGAGTCAACCCCATGCGAGGAACTATCGCGTTCGAGCGATTGAACTGTGGCGACAGCACGAACGTGCGCATCTTGTTGAATGATGCGGTATACCGTAAGTCACCCTGAACCCCATACACCTCCAGGATGAGTATACCAAGGATAATGACGATTATAGCTATCCCGTCCTGCAACTCTGGTCCCGGATACAGCTGCCCTGTCAAGCAGTACGCCTCGTACGTGTCTAACGAGAGAAAGAAATATGGTTCCTTCGCGTCCATCTGTGGCCTCGAGGAGAAGGAAGTGTCGGCAGGAGATAACGGCGCTGTGACCTTCTTCCAGGATTTGACCTTGGATTATCTGAGAGTCTTTAAGCCGTAGACACTGTAGTCTGCAGCTTTTCTGTCCGTATGTAGCACTAGAAATATAAATATCAATGTCAATGTCAATGTCAATGTGCAGCCAAAAAGCTAAATTGAGGTATAAATATCCCATAAACAAAAACACCATATCTTTTTATCTGACCCTGTGCTTATATTTAACCGCCACACAACGAAATAAAGTCAATCAAGCATCTCTCAACATACAAATCCCGTTCCTGAACCCCTCTCTCCCGTAATTTGTCATATCAATTACAATCTCATCCTGCACATCGCGAAACCCACATTTCGTGTATACATGAAGCCCTTCATCCGACGCCTCTAGCCAGGCGGGAATCTTGCGTTGTTCCACCTCTTTGAGACCGTGTCTTAGGAGTTGCGTTCCGATGCCGCGGTTTTGGTAGTGCGGATGGACGACGAGGACTTGGAGGACTGATGCATTCGTTAGTAAAGAAATATAAGAAGTTCCGTTTCTTGCCCATTTCCTAGTATGACTAAATAGGAAGAAATAGCAAAGGAAAAACAAGTGCGGAGATATGAAATGAAGGAAATAACATACTCGCCACTCCACCCCCTCCCTCACTAGACTCCGCATTCTTGCCCAAGTTAGGGCTGTTCTCAATCCATCTCTCCCTCCTCTTTATAACCTCCGCCTTCCAATCGAGATACGCAGCTGGGTTCAATGCCGTGCTCGGCACCTTAGTCGCCCTCGTTTTGTCTTCCTTTGCGGCCTCCAGGTAACTCTGCTTGTCGGGGTAGATGTTCCACCAGGCCCAGCCGGCCAATGTTTCGTGTTCTGTCCCTGGGTCAGTGTCGGAACCTGACTGCGAGTCTGGATTCATTATGACGGCCTGGGTGAACCGCGCTGTCAGATCTCCGTTCATGATATTAACTATGTCCGACGCAAAGGAATCGACTTCTTCGTCGAGAGGGCCGTACATCAATTCGAGAAAGTCGTCGGTGGCAAAAGCGGCGTTGTGGAGGGTTGCGAGGGCACAAGCAACAGAGTGATTGGCGGGTATGGGTCGAAGGGCGACTTGTGGTTTAGTCGTGGCCGCCGTGTTGGTTTCTGACATGATGGGCTGGATAGTTCTGATAAGTTGATATGGGGAGGATGGAGTAATTTGGTGTATGATAGGGTGTATGAGATTAGAGTATTTCGGGACAAACCTAGTCGTAAACGAGACGACATAAAGATATATGTATGGACACGAGGTAGTATTTCCAATCAGTGGGCTGTTTAGAAGGATTGGCGACTTTACCGGATCGGGACGCCGATGAGGTTATTGTCTATACCGGACTGGGAGCCCGACAATAGCTAGCCCCGGGAGTCTGGGAATAGACCCTACGAGCGGGAATCTCTTCAGCGGCGATGTTGCAGACTGAACTGCAAGTATCGCATGTTCAACGAGGTGACCAACTGCAGTGCTTATCGTCGGCGGGAGCGAACCTGAGCCAAATAGTTTAGATACCGATCTTTACTTCGAGTATGGCCCACTATTCTATTCAGAGATGTGTTATACCAGACATGGAGACGGTGGTAGAGCTAATGGAGGCAGAACAACCGCACGCATAGTAACGTAACAAGGTGATTCATATTGCTATGTGACCTGCAAGTCTATCAAAATCGAGTTCTATATGTTTGTTCCAGTACAGATTAAAGCACATACAACCACAGGGTGTGCCGCTCCCTGTATGCCAGATATAGAGACACTATATCGGTAGGGCTGACATACACGCAACTAGGATTATCTCATGAAATTAGATCAGAATGTTATAACAAATGTAGCCACCGGCTAGAAAACCTACACACCCGTCCTCCTGCTCTTGTCTACGCTCTCACCATATCCCCTATTGAGAGAAAGCTTAGGCGCCGCGAAGCAAGAGGTAAGGATATGGGAGGTAGGGGGTATATATTTGCGAGCTTTGGGGTTATAGAGATGAATGTAGGGGATAGGTAGGGGGTAGGATTTGATTATATGTGATACTATTTTCAACTAAACGGTAGGGAACTGTAGGGAGCCCTTTAGGGTATCGCCATCATCCCCGACAGAGCGCGCCTGGGCGCAACCGGGCTCGCTCAGATACATACTGAACACGAAATAAGTGTTAATTCTCTCCACTGGACTAAATATTTGGGGGAAACTAATCAGGGTGTAGAGGTGATTGGCCGGTACTGAGAATTCCCCTCACTATCGAGTCCTTTTCAGCGTCCTCCTCGACCATACTTCTGAACACACCATTATCTCGACGCATAAGCTCTACAGGTTGACCGAACTCCAAAACTTTACCTCCGCCAAGGACTAAGATTTGATCAAAGTCTGCCACTGTACTTAGACGATGGGCGATCACAAGCAGCGTACTATCATTTCGACCGAATTCCGACCGGATTGATTGTTGAACAACGCTGTCTGTTGTCTTGTCAACGGCCGAGGTCGCTTCGTCGAGTATTAGCAAGCGTGGCATCTGGATCAGAGCTCGCGCTAGGCACAGAAGTTGGCGTTGGCCGTATGAGAGATTAGAGCCTCCGTCAGCAACCGGGCTATCCAAGACCGAGGTGTCATCATCGCTCTTTTTTTCCTTCCGTGTGCCACCCTGCGAAACAGGTTTGTCGATAGCCTGATCCTCCGAAATGTTGGCCTTGCTCCAATGAACGCGAGAGAGGGCCGAGAGAAGCTCAGCGTCTTCGCAGTTCCCGAAAGGATCCAGATTCGATCGCAATGTGCCTCTAAAAATGAAGGGAAACTGGGGAATCATAGCTAGTCGTTTTCTGACGTCATGCAGACGAATATCAGAGATATCAACTCCGTCGATAAGAATCTGCCCCTCACTGGCGTCGAGGATTCGAAATAGCACGAGGGCCAGAGAGGATTTCCCAGCACCGGTTCTCCCCACTACTCCAACACGTTGGTTTCGTGTCACTCGGAAGCTAACATTTTGAAGCGCTGGAAAAATGCCAGGGGCATATCGTACTGTCAAGTTCTTCACTTCAAGCACCCCTTCTTGTGGCCAGTCGACAGGTGCAGGATGACCCGAGTTATCCTCGATCTCTAGATTACAGTACTCTAGAATCCTCTCCACGCTACTCAGGTCCAGCTCCAAGGACGCATACCGGCGGATCCCCATTGATATCGACTGCGTGAGTCTCATCGTAAAGCTAATGGTGAATCCTGCGGTCGAGGCATCTACCGCAAGCATAACCACAGCAGCAGCAGAAATGGCCGTAAAGATCGCACCGATCAAATCCAAACGAAAAGCGAGCCACTGGTTGAACATCCAGCTGTGCCATTGCGTACGAGCACGGCGGTCAAGCTTCTGTCGGAATTGCTCCTGGTATACACCAGTTTTTCCGAATGCGCGGATTGTCCACAGACCTGCCAAAGACGACTCGATATGCTCGTATATAGGGCTTCGGGCGACGCTGTCGAGCCGCTTCAGTTCGCGGGCACCGACCAAGTACCATTTTGCGTACCGAGTGGTTATGGCTCCGAGAATACCGCTAGAGACGAGGAAAAGGGGGTTGACGACTAAGCCCGGGACCACAGCCATTAAAACTTCCATTGAGTAAGATAGGATGGCTCGCACATCATCGCCAAGTTGGGTGTCCACGAGACTGAAGTCGTTCGAGAAGCGGTTCAGCACTCTCCCAACAGGAACTGTATCTATCCACCTGAGAGGGGTCCGGAGGACCTGATGTAGAAACCGACGAAAGAGGCTATGTGAGGCCTTCATGGAGCCCAGTACTGCAAAGTAGCTCCGCAGTGAGCCGACGACGCACACCAGTACCGACAGAATAATGTAGATTTGGGCGTGGTATCTGAATTGATCACTCTCTGTCGTTGACGGAGACTCATAGGATTGACTCCATACGCCGAGCCACCAAGCCTAAAGAACATCAGTTGCCCTTTCCGCCAGGAATACGAAGTTGCGTGCTTACCCTGCTAAGCATGAGTCCGCTATAGCTCAGGAACCCCAATATAAGTAACAGCCAATAAACCAACGTACCACTCTGTTGAATATAGTCTTGCAATATCCCCCATTGAACTGAGCCTGTTGCCCGGAACTCATCATGGGTAAATCGCTTGCCCGGGGCTTGGGTTAAACCCCTCGCTTTCAGCGTCTTGTTCTCATCTTTGCTAGCATCCTTAACATCACTAGACGCCAGGATTGATGAAAGAGGCATGCGATTGTTTTCTTTCCCAGATTCTCTCACATTAGTAGCTCCACTGTAACATACACTACCTTCGCCGATATGCATTACACATGTAGCGTAGTTCAAACACAAAGATACGTGATGTGTTACAAGAACACATGTCCTTCGCTGTGCCAGGGGCCCAGTCAAAGCATGTTTGCACAAATGAGCCGCAGTGTGCACATCAACTGCGCTAAGTATATCGTCCAGAAGTAGGACCGTGGCTCGCGAATAGAGGGCCCGAGCGAGACATAGTCGCGACTTCTGTCCACCGCTTAAGTTGACACCATTTGGACCCAATTGAGTCCGGTCCCCATCGGGAAAGCTCTGCAGATCATGATCCAACGCACACGCAGCCACCACCTGGTCGTATCTTTCGGGGTTGTACGGCAAACCGAACAGGATATTATCTTTTATCGTAGTGGCCTCGATCCATGGGGTTTGAGACACGTATGCAATTGCTCCCTCAACGAGCCACTCCTGGCCCCGTTGAAAGGTCGGGTTCCATTCCCGCCTGGTTGGAGCTCGGACTGTGCCGCTGAGAATGTCACACTCGCCTAGTATTGCGGCCAGGAGAAGACTTTTGCCAGCACTCGTCGGTCCCGCAATAACCGACATACCGTGTTTTGGAATTTTTAGATTGACATTCCTTAAAACTGCCACTTTGCCATCTGTATGTCCATGCCATGCTAGGGATGCATCGTGAAATTCAATATTTTCAGATGGCAGCACAACAGAAAGCTGCTCGGGGGTGGTGAGGTATTCCGACAACCGTTTTGAACTAAATATGCAATTGAGTCCAGATGATATGATCCCAGGCATAGCCGTCAATGAGCTTTGCATGGTGTTGAGCACAGACATGACCGTGAAGGCAGTGGCCGGCGAGAGGGACCCATGAACAACTGAGTGCATCGTCAACACCACCGTCGACAGAACTGTGGGCGTCAGTAGGTATAGAGCCATCAGGACGAGATTCCACTGGAAAGTCACTCGTTGTGCCTCCAGTTCCCCTTCGCGCAACAAGTTGATTTTGTCCTCCCATTGCTCTTCCATCGCGGAAACCTTTATCTGACGAATACCATGCAGAGCCTCTGTCACCGATGCCATCTTGCGGTCCCTGTATTCCATCATTGTTTTATTCGCACAGGTATAGCGCTTTACAGTGTACTTATTAAGTGGCCAAAGCAGCATGACAATTATCACACTGGCAAGCAGACTTTGCCAACCGACAAGCCTGGTTAGCATCGCAGCAGATACAAGGAGGCGTATCGGAGTCTCAAAGATAGCGTAAGAATTTAACATAAGGTCTGATACTCGTTTCAAATCAACCGACATCAGGGTCATCAGACTGCTAGGATCTGCTGTGTTTCTGGCGGCGGTCTTTTTCTCCATCGATAAATCAGTTGGAGAGGCTAGATCTAGACGGGTGGCCTTGTCGAACAAAGCGACCATCAGGTGCTGCTGAACTCGGAGCGATAAACACCGGTAAGAAATCCAGTATCTCCTATTGTCGAGTATTGCCGATAGAACGAGTGGCAGACACAGACCGAGGACATATGCCCAAGAAACCGTCCAAGAACTATTGAGCGAGTCGAGAAGACCAAACAGTGCTGCTTGAGGAGCGAAGCTCAAGGCAGTGATCATGATGCCCATCAATATCTGCCCAGGAAGAGATTTGTATGTGAGATTCCATAGGGCAGATACGAACGGCCACCTTTTTCGTAGCGCAAAATTCCTCTGCTCTATCAAGAAGTCACCTTTCATGCTACCCGCACTATATTCATCGCGGAGGTGAGGAAGATCCTGCATTTCGAGAAGCCCTTTTTCATTGGAATTTTGCAGAAGGGGACTTGCCCAGCTGAATGACATTTTGCTGAAGAAACTGCTCGTTTCTTCTTGGTCCACTTTCTGGTCCTTTCGCGAGGCACCTTTGGAACCAGGATTAAATCTCCAATTGCAGTAGACTCCACCTATAGCCGTAATTACTTGGAGCTGGGAGAGTAGTAGACGCTGATGGTGAAAGCTACCACTCCTACGTTGTCGATAGCAGTCAATCCCAATGACTATGGCGGTTACAAGCCGCCCGGCACTTCCTGGTAAGTCAGTGGAAAGGCCAGCAGTATCCGGTCGCCCAGAGTAGCAGAACAGGCATTCGAGCAGATTTAGTGTCTGTTTCGGTCAACGATCTTCTCAGATCAACGCGCATCCAAATGTTTAACTTACCCACATTGACAGTTGTAGTCCGATCTCACGTTTCATGGGCTTTCGCTCGGCATCTAGGAACAAGGTCCATAGACTGACCACAGGCAGTGCGGCTCCAAGTGCAGTCCATACCACATTGCACTTCCTGCCATCGATGGCCACCCTTTGTGCATACTTCATAGGTGTTTTTCCTGGAGTTGGTTTCCGTGACGCGTGTTTGACAAAGCGCAGTCCTAGGTGCTTGGAAAGGCAAAGGTGGGCATGAATTCGGGTTGAATATATTCCTTTCGTTTCCGGGGATTAAGCCAAGGACTGTACGAAGTATATTTGCTGGTCTTCGGATCTTCACACCTGTATGAAAACCCAACACATCCACTGCTGCAAGGAGCATTCGATAGACGTCCTGCACCCGATCGAACATGATGAGGTACTGTCCGCAACGCGTCATTAATGCAGAGTTATAAGATCGACATACCACCTAGCACAGACTTGTCATTGAATACGTCTTTTCTGTACCATGCAGAAGACATATCACGTTGAGTTGTCAATAGCTCCGCAGGGTAGAAGATCCAACTTCGGGGCCCCACCGAGGGCCTTTTTCTTGGGTGTCATATGCAGACAACAAGTGCCTGTTTTTTGGGTGGATAGAAGACTTTGGATCCTATTATTCGTTGTTTGTCTCATCTCTCTACCAGTTGTGCTGCAAGGGTGATTAAAAGCAGATTCCTAATTCTTTCAAATTTGACGATATATTTCGTGCACGGACTGACCGTGTTTCTCTCTGCTCTTCAATAGCTCAATGGTATTGTTTACCCTTGCTATCTCAAAAGCTTTGCTTGTAATGATTAGATTTAAGGCATACTAGAGTCCCACGCCTTAGCTATAATTTTATAGTTCATGACACCATGGCAACATGTCTATCCGCTCGCACCAGCTCCCATTCCTTAAAGAAGGTTCAAGGCCCCATATACCACAATCATTACCTCCACAATATCCTTCCAGCTCACCTTACCATTCGCACACTTATTCTTCTTCTTTACCTCAGGTGCCCGATACGCCCCATCAACATCCTTATTCAGTAGCTGTCGCCTCTCCGGCACAGTAGGCGGCCATGCCATATACTGTACCGGAATAGACAACTTCATAACCGAAGAGAACAGAAAAACGACCACCGCAGGACTAGGCGATATGAGTTCTCGTGTTGGCGTGGTTGTGTACGAAATGCACCGCCACATTAGTAGTACAATCGCGTAGACAATCCACCCAACATACATCAGGATCATCGAGTTCAGAAGACGAGTCCATAGTGGTTTGCGGTGCGTGGCGGAACGCTCGTTGATCGATGATACCACTGTTCCTGTGATTTCGAAACTCACGATGTTGCCGGGGATCCAGGAGCGGATTATGCGTGCCGTGTTTACTGTAGGATGTAGGTCATATTAGTACGGAGTAGGAACGAAGGATTGTGTCTTGGGAAGAGGTACTGACAAGGCGTATTCCAGAATCGGTTGGCTTGGTGGTTCTTAGCGACTTTCACACTGACGCCTGAGTGGATCCGGGCGTAGCAGAACTTCTGAAGTAATGTGGCAAGTAGGAAGATGAGGTAGGATTGACCCAAGTTATGTCTCCATGAGTCAGGTAGTTCCGTGCCGGTCCATTCGACTGGGTATAGAGCCAATGGAAGAAGGACAATGAAGAACATGTTAGGAAGAGCGACGTAAGTCTTCGCGATGTGGCATAGTCCTAAGATACGCTGGAGTGCTGTCCTGCGACTACCAAAATCGTTGTTTGAGAGAAACCAGCCAAGGTTGCGATATGAAAGAATGTTGCCGTCCGTCTAGAAAGCATGTCAGGTTCGGTCACAATCAAGATAGAACAAAGATTTGGGGACAGATATCAACCTACCCACCGTGCACGCTGCTTGAACCATGCAGCCAAAGAATCAGGAGCCAGTCCGAATTGTACCTCATCTTTCACAAACGTAAGGTCCCATCCTTGGGAGGTTAGAAGCCAGGCACATAGTATATCCTCTCCGGCGTTCTGCAGAGGCCATCCCCCTATGCTATTTAAAGCATCACGGCGACAAACGTAGCCAGACCCGGTACAACAAGTACCTCCCAAGCTGTCGTTCATTGGCTCTGTCAAACTTGCGAACACATTCGTATCTTGGCCCAGCATGTCGTTCTTTGGGGTGTTGTAGAACCGCTACATATGGATCAGCCATGCAAGGATTTCAAACCAGTGGATAGAACAATCGCACCTGCGGTGGAATAGCCATTGCTACATTTTGATCCAGAAGCAAATGAGGAACGACACGTCGAAGCCAGTCCTTCACGGGGATCATGTCGACATCCAATGCTGCCACGAACTCAGCTCCTCCGCCTCTTCTGGCACTCTCTGATAGTCCATACCGGAGATTCCCCGCCTTGTAGTGATGCGGAGCTCCTTGTTGCTTCTTCCGGGCCAGATAAATGACATTCTGGAAGCCATTGGGTCGTTGATTGTTGAATTCTCGGACGGCAGTCTCCAGTGCCGAGCTTTTCGCGTCGTCGAGCAAGAACACACGGAATCGATCTCGTGGGTAACTTTGTGAGGCGGCCCCCGCCACTGTATCCATTATCACGTCCAGATCCTCCCCGCAACAGGTGATACATATATCCACAGCGGGCGCAATATCTCCATGTAGGTAGTATGATGGACGATGAGCAGGTCTGCGCCCAAACGGGATATACAGGAGAATTTCGAACCGGGAGACAAAGTCTGATAGAATGTTGATTACCTCCATCAAGACATTGAGCCATAGGAAGGACCAAGTCACGGTGTTAGGAACATACAGCTCCCAGATGAGCTTTACTCGCCATGCCAGATACCCGAAGTAGAGGACCCATGTCGCAATGTGGGCGCCTGCGGTTACCGGCGAGTCCAGTGGAAAGTCCTCCAAGCTGGCCGATGACTCCTCAATCTGGTATGTCGGAGACTTTTTCCGAGACAGGCTGGTTGCCGAGGGCTTCGTGTAAGTCCTTGACATGCCGTTTGTCTATCAATAGACTGTCGTGGTAAGTGGAATAGGGTGCCTGGCCAAGCGTTGCCGGGAGGGGATGATGAGGTATTTATCCGATTTGTCTGTCCATTAAGCATCATCTGTGAGTCCATTTCATGAAGATAGCTAAGTACAGCAACTACTTCCCCCCTAATATGCTCGATTCAAGTTTAATGCCGATGTATAGATCCCTCGTTGGGAGAAGATCTGCGTGGGCTACACCGCTCCCCGGCTCCTTGCATGACTGAGGAATCGGAATGGATCTGTCAGATCTGAGGGAGGATATACCTGTCGATCGGATCTCATCAAGACACACCGTCAATCTAGGACCCGTGAATTTCCCGATTGAGTTCATTAGGAATATCGTGAGCGGATCAAGCTAACCAATGGACTCACGAGCACTGTTGGCGTGGCTTTCTTCATAGGTTCTGTGCATTGAACACCAGCTGTCAGATGCGAGATACCATCAATCGAGGAATAATATGCCAATTCGGAATATGACCCATGTTCCAGTGACGTACGCCTGTTGTCCTGGGTCCAATTCCAAGTTTCAATCGGGGCCACTTCCCAGTCAATGTATATCAGTGGCAAATGTTCTGTCACAGAATAAACTCGAATCTCCCACCCGACTAGAACGCTGAGGAATCAGGATTGAGTTTCTCTCTGATAGTACGGAGTACTAAACTTGTGGATTCACGAACCAAGCCTCTTGAAATGGACCAGCGAACAACAGTCAAGGATGCCCTACAGGCTAAGGCCGCGTGCAACATGATCATATGCGGAACCATTCAGGACGTTCGACATCAGGGAGAATACTTGACCCTCGCTATCAACGACGGGTCTACCGTGACTCCAATTCAAGCCCGATTAACCAGGGCCCAGGTGGGAGATGACTCTGGCATCTCACGAGGCAGCACTATTCAACTCCACGGGCAGATGAAACCTCTGAGATCGTCATGCCTCGACCACTACAACCACCCAGCCTTTGAGATAGAGAGCTTCTCAATCCTTGGCCGATCTGATCCCAATTCCTATCTTATTTCTCTGGTCCATCCAAGCCCAGAATTCCTTCATAAGAACCCCCACCTTCGTGTCCGCACACCACAACATGCCCTGGTTGCACGGTTCCGCTCAACAGTCATATCTGCCCTGAGCAGGTTCTTCGATTCTCACCCGGACGGGCCATTCTATCAAGTCCATCTCCCTCTTCTCACATGGACAGACTGTGAAGGAAGTGCAGAGGTCTTCGCCACGCCAACGCAATGCTCCAAGCAAGAAGGTAGCGAGATGAAAGACACCTATTTCGACGCACGGCGGTACCTCAACGTCTCTGCTGTCTTCCACGCTGAGGCGTTCGTGCAAGGTCTGGATCGTATCTGGACACTTTCTCCCTGCTGGAGAGCCGAACGCACGGATAGCCCGCGCCACTTGGCTGAGTTCTGGATGCTTGAAGTTGCTGTTAATTACATTGACTCGCTGGAACCGCTATATCAGCTCTTAGAGGAGACGATTCGCAGTATCATCACACTTCTGCAAGACAGTCCCGCCGGACATGAAATCCTCGCTCAGTCGGCTACAAGAAGCAAAAACCTCAAACAGCGTTGGAACAAGCTCCTCACCCAAAACTGGCCGCGAATCACCTTCGCCGACGCAACGAAACTTCTTGAGCCCGCTCGCGCCGCAAAGGGCAGCCAGCTCCCAACAAAGTCCTCTCCACATGACGTCACGCCTGATGAGGAAAAGTACCTTTGCGAGCATTTCGACTCCCCTGTCTTCCTGACACACTTTCCCTCACAGATCCGCCTTTTCCAAGCAGCCCAGTCAGCCAAAGACATCGCTGAGATACCCCCAGGGACAGGATTCCCTTCTTCGCAGACAACAGAATCATTCGATCTTCTTCTCCCCGGTATTGGAGAGGTCTGCAGCGGTGGTCTGCGAGAACACAGACTCGACGTGTTGATCGATACCATGCGCAAGAAACGGTTCCTGCAGGGCCAAAGAGAGGGCCCTGTTCCGGAGCGTAATGCCCCCGCAGATGCTGAGCCATATCCGTATCTGCATCCGGGCGAGGATCTCAAGTCGGTAGAATGGTTTGCTGATTTACGGCGGTGGGGAACGTCGCCTCATGGTGGGTTTGGGGTGGGGTTTGAGCGGTTGTTGCAGTATTTGACCGGGGAGGATACCGTGAAGGAGGTGATTTCTTTTCCGCGCTATTTTAGGGTTTGTGGTTGTTAGAGGGCATCGAGGGGATTCAGGTTTGATAAGATACGAGAATGAATGTAGATGAGGAGCAAGTGAGGTATGCCTGTAGATATGGCCAAGTTCTAGCAGGTAAGCAACGCTAATTCGACGGGTAGTGGTAGGAGAGGATATTATAGGTAGCAAAGATATAAAGTTGGCTCTTTCTGGCGAAAGCGAGGTTCGCGTTGATTGTATATATTGTACAGTAAATAACATCTAGATTTTATATCATTGGTTACGTTATACCTGAATGTCAGCTTTCTTCAGGTCTTCTCGAGACTCCCGGATCCCGGGATTGATTCTATACCATTCATAAACGCGCTCATCTCCATCCTCACCAGGTTTAAGATCGTAGCGACGCGGCTTGCGGTGCACCGTCTTCTCGAAATCCGTCCTCGGTAGCCATGCCATGTCCCAGTATTTCGGATCTCCTAGGGAAACTTCCCTCCCGATCGTCCCGATGCGGAAATCAATAGGGTCCTCCCACTTCTCGGCATCCTCGCCCTTCTCGGCGGGAGCCGGCAGACGCATCCAGTAGCGCACGCTGTCGGGGATCTCTTCCCAGTTGTGAGTGATCATGATGAGCGCCTGCTCATCGGTGAGACCAAGGAAGCGAGCATTCGAAGGGGTGGTGTTGTAGCCCTTGAGCCAGGTCCTCGAATGGGAGGCACGGCGTTTGCTGGTGGACCAGGCCCGACTAGCCTCCCCGACCTCGAGAAAATGGATGCATTTATCGCGCATGGTAGCCGGCATGCCAGAGAAAGCCTCGTCTAGGATCACAATGTCCGGTCGGTGCACAAGGGCGCGGATGAAGAGTATTAGGCGTTGCTGTGCCATGTTCAGCTGTCCGAATGTTATCGAGTCCGCATACTCGACCACCCAGTCATCCGGAGCCGGAGAAAATTGAGCCACATGACCCATTTTCAGCTTGGGGAAGTGGGACCGCGCTTCTAGGGGCACCTTGGGCGGTTGTTGCTTCATCGTCACCGCAGCGTCGGGGTCCAGCTCAGGCTTGAAGAATCGCAGCGTGGCACTCACGTCAAGATCCCGCTCGTAGTCCAATGTGGGCTTGCTGAGGAAGGTTTCCGCAAAGGCAGACTCGATAGACTGCCGCACCGTCAGCTGTCGTGGGAAGAAGGCGTGGATCTCCGGCGAGGAATGACCGAGACGCGACTGCAGCTCGAAGACGGATATCGCCGGCTTACCCGGCTCGGGTAGACGCGAGCGCCCGAATAGTTTTATGGGCAGCGCGTACGTCTGGGGATGATCCGACGTTATGAGTGACAGCAGGGTGGTCTTGCCGGACCCGTTGGCGCCTAGGACGACCCAGCGTTGACCGCGACGGACTGTCCAATGCAGGCCGTCCTTTGGTTCGTTGTTTACTTTTTGCTCCCAGTCCCCGAGGACAACCTTGTCGCCATACTGAACGCGAACTCCATCCATCTCGATCAGTGCCTCCCCACCCGGGAGGGTGGGGATGGAAAATGCTGTCGATGTCGGAGTCGTGATCCGGAGGTCCCACAGAAGTGTTCGATCAAGGTAACCGGCCTTCATGGCCACCTTGGCCTGGTCATACCACTGTCTTTCCTCGCCCGTCCATGATTCGTCGGGCCGGGCCCCGCGATGTACGGTCCGCCAGACGTCGAAGAGCTTCTTCGTGTCTGAACGAGAACCTTGAAAAAGCACCTGGTTTGAGTTTCCGAGGATCATGACGTGTGTGATCCAATCAGGCACAGAGTCTTGGGGCCGCAAGGCAAGGATTAATCGGGGGTTAGACTTGGCGGCGAAGCGTTGGAGCAAGTCGGAGACGCTTCGCACGGTGGGAGGGTCAAGACCCACTGGAAGAGGTTACTCACTGGCGGTCTTCGAGAAAAAAACATTGATAGAAAGCAACTTACTGAACGGGTCATCTAGTAAGAGTAGTTCGGGCTTGCTGAGAAGGGCCTTTGCGATACGGGCCCGCCTCGTCTGGCCATTGCTCAAGTTCGCAACTGGCATATCAAGGAGGGGACTCAAGCGCAGATCGACCACCACCTGTTCAAACAAATCCTGGTCCTGTAGCGTACCATCCTCCTCGCCTTCTAGCGGATTCAGCGAAATCTGCCCCTTGAGGTATTGTTGAACCGTCCAGTCGGTCTCTTCCCGGAAACTCTCGTATCGGGCACTCAGATAGGCGCCGCGGGTGCCGCCGATGGCACCAGAGCCCTCTCCGCTGAATCCGATGTACTGGATGGCACTCCTGACAGAGCGTAGACGGGGATCTTTCTTGGCAATCTCGTCCGTGAGAAGGTATGGATAGGATCGAGCGGCGGGCGGCAAGCAGACGTACTGGCCGCGGAGGACATCGAGCAGCTGGGCTCGGCCGTTCGCGCCGATGACAGCCCATTTCTGGGAGACATTATTATCCTTGGCATTGTCACCGATCGTAGGTTCTGACGGGAGCTCGAAAGTGAAGTTGGGAAACAGCGGTGGGTTTTGTTTTTTCGCGGTGTCATCTGGGGTGGGATAATTTTCGTAGAAGGTTCCGTTCTGGATGCGAATCAACGGCGGGGAGGATGAGACTAGGCGGGTAGGGAAGAGAAACGGGAGTCTCGGTAGCCTCCGACGCAGAAGGGGTGGACGCATTATGGTCTGGATCGCCATTGTTGAGTGACGGACAGACCCGACCTGCGGGGGAAGTGGGAAGGAAGGAAGGAAATGAAGCCTTCAAATGACGCTGGATCCGTCGCAGCGGAGGATCGCCGCGGGGAGGGAAGGACCAACTCCGGTCACGTCGGTCACGTGTAATTCATTGCCTGAGGCTGCAAAATTAGTCATTGCGATCCCTGAAGTCTTGGCGTTGCCTGCCTGAGGATGTCTGGGCCACTTCCATCCTGAGGCATCCGGGTACCTTACTCCCTAAACAATTAACGGCCTTTTCTTCTTTTCTTTCATTCCGGAAGCTGCAGGGGATCAGCCACCGCGTCACGGCACAATGGCATCTTTCAATTCTTCATCTTCTCTACCCCCCTCTACTCAGGTTGTATACCCTCTACCCCATCCTCCGGTCTTCCCCGTAAACCCTCTCAGCCTGGTGGGTTCATCGCTGACTGCTAGTTCGTCAATCATTACTCCATTAATTAATGGATTTAATTAATTCAATTCACCCGAACCCCCGTCCTCTCCTTATCGATCGGTCGATCTGACATCTTTTCTCCCTCTCTCCTTCCACCCCCTACTCCCCCTCCCCCAATAGCTCCAGTCATGGCAGCTGTATCCGCTCAATCCAACCGCCAATATGTCGGCTTGGTGTCCGCCGTGAGTCTCGCCGCTCTCGTCACCATTCCGCTGCTTACCTCCAACCTCTTGCGCAATCGCAAGTCCAAGACTACCGATGAACAATCCCTTCCATTGACCGCAATTCCCTCCTCCCTGCCTCTGTTCGCCGAGGCCCGCCGCATTGCCCAGAATGATCCCGAGAAAATCGCCATCATCGACGCCACCAAGGGTCAGGACTTCACCTTCGGCCAGCTGCTGGCCGACGCCGCCGCCCTGAAGAAGCACATCCTCGAGGAGTTGAAGCTCACGGAGACCGGAGATCTGGAGGAGCGACGCATTGCCTTCCTGGCACCCAATGGTTATGATTACGTGGTTACACAGTGGGCCGTGTGGGCGGCCGGTGGTGTGTGTGTGCCGCTGTGTATGAAACCCTTATCTCCGTTCGATTGAAGATTGTCTCCAGCTGACGCGATCACGCATGTAGGCACCTCTCACCCCGTCCCGGAGCTACTGTATACCATCGGCGACTCTAATCCATCTATCATCATTTTGCACCCGTCGTTCGAACACTTCGCCCAGCCTCTCCGCGACGGAATCACCAAAGACATCCCGTTCATGGCATTGACCCCCTTCACGCAAGCCGAATCGCCCAAATCAATTGTCTTGCCTGCCTTCAGCCCCGTGAACTTTCTGGACCGCCGCGCGCTGATGATCTACACTTCCGGCACGACCTCTAACCCCAAGGGCTGCGTCACCACCCACAAGAACATCACCTTCCAGGCCAAATGCCTCGTCAAGGCCTGGGAATACAACCCCTCGGACCACCTCATCCACGTGCTGCCTCTTCACCACGTGCATGGCATTATCAACGGCCTGGCCGCCAGCTTAATCAGCGGCGTGACGGTGGAAATGCACCCAAAGTTCGACCCCAAGACCATCTGGACGCGCTGGCAGGACCGCGGCTCGTCGACCATGTTCATGGCCGTCCCGACCATCTACGCGCGTCTAGTCGACTACTTCGAGACGCATATCCGTGGTACCGAGCATGAGGAGGCTGCGCGCAGCGGCGCCAACGCATTGCGTCTTGTCGTCAGTGGCTCCGCTGCTCTGCCCACTCCCATCAAGACCAAGTTCGCCTCCATCACCGGCCAGACGCTGCTGGAGCGCTACGGCATGACCGAGATCGGCATGGGGATCAGCTGCGGGCTGGAGGTCGAGAAGCGCATCGACGGCAGCGTCGGTTGGCCATTGCCGGGTGTGCAGGTGCGCTTGACGGATAAGGAGACTGGGCGCGTGATCGACGCCGTCGACGAGGATGGTATGATCGAGGTCAAGGGCGATAACGTCTTCCGCGAATACTGGCGCCGCCCCGAAGCTACGGCTAAGGAGTTCACCTCGGACGGATGGTTCAAGACGGGTGATGTGGCGCGGCGGGACGAGTCCGGTGCCTACTTCATCCAGGGTCGCGCGTCCGTGGACCTGATCAAGTCGGGCGGGTATAAGATCTCGGCCCTGGAGGTAGAGCGCAAGATGCTGGGACTAGACGCCATCCAGGAGGTCGCGGTCGTTGGCCTCGCAGACGAGGAATGGGGCCAGCGTGTAGGCGCGGTGGTGAAGCAGCGTGAGGGTGTAAGTCACTTCGTCTCTTTTAATTTCTTTCTTGATTCCCTCCAATGCTAACGAATCTGCAGACCGACCCCCTTGACCTGCAGACTCTCCGATCCCAGCTGAAGCAGGAGATGGCGCCGTACAAGATCCCCACGGTATTGAAGCTCGTGGACGGCATCGAACGCAACGCCATGGGCAAGGTGAACAAGAAGACGATCATCCAGAAGTACTGGCCCGAGCTATAGATCTGTTTTCCATAGGCATGTTGATAGATTGTACAGATACCGGTTAGATTAGGTATACAGATGGCGCTATGTTAATGAAATTTTGATGCTTGACTCCGTGAACCTGTCTGTACGCATCGCAAGGGATAACAAATAGCCAAGCCCACATTAGCAGGAACAGCGCCCATGAACCAGAAAGCTATTAAAACCAGCTAAGACAACATCTCGACCGCCAACGCATACGCTCTTTCCTTCCTCTCCCACTGCACACTCCCCTCTTTGGCAAACTTATCCCACGCATGTCCGCAACCTTCCATGCGCAGCACCATCACGCGCCTTTCTCCCTGTCCTTGTTCATTCTCTGTTTCTCCCTGCTGCAACGCTGCCAACCTACCTCCCAAGCCTTCTGCCTCGTCCGCCAAATTACACTGTTCGGCCGTCACAAACAGACATCTCTTCGGAAACCTACTCAAATCTTCCATCAACGCCGGCGAGATCCTCGTATCACGAACTCCTCCACTTCCACCCTTCTCAGCCCCAAACAAATAACACTTCTGGAACACCCACAACAACCACCCCGGCAGCGGCCTCCCACCTCCCTCGGGAGCCTTCTTCTTCCACGGCGAGATGCTCGCATCACAAGCCGGATAAAAAGCAATCACTGCGCAAAACGTATCCACCGGAAGATTTCCCGCCAAGGAAACCGCTAACGCCCCGCCGGCACTGAACCCGCCGATGCTGATCCTTGACGCATCGTATGTTTCTGGTTGGGCTTGCACCCAGCGGATCACGTCTTCGACGTCGTGCAGGGCTGCGGGGAATGGGTTCTCGGGCGAGAGGCGGTATTCGATGTCGAGCACTGTGGTGGGGACTGAGGTGCTTAGGTGGCGGCAGTAGGCGTCGTCGAGGCCGTGGCCGGGGAGGACGAAGCCGCTGCCGCAGAGGTTTAGGTGGACTGGTGTTGGGGTTGGGGTTGTTGGGTTAGTGGTCGAAGTCGTGATGGTGGTAGGGAGAGGGGTTTTGATGGTTGGAGATTCTGAGCTGTGAGGTTCTGAGGCGTCTGGATGGAGTTCGGACTCGTAGACAAGTCTTAGCGAAAGTCTAGGATCAAGTCCAGAGGAGGCCGCAGGAGGGGGATGGTAGATGTGGATTTTGATCGATCGGCCGGCATCGCGAGATGGGATGTATTTGATCTCGTCTGGGGATGCTTTGATCGCGGGCAGCAGCTTGCGGAGGAGACGCAGGGTGGAGGCGATTGATTTAAGGATGAAGTAGGGAGGCATGGTTGTCGTCAACCGATAGATATTCAGGCTTTGGAGAAGGAGCAATGAACCGGTAATCTCCTGGGTAGAGCTAAGATGAACATGCCCCGTCCCTCCAGATAGAAGATAGAAAGCAAGCTAGAAGACGCGAGGAAGTTGAGATGAAGTGCAGAGTGAGAAGGGGAAAACATGGATCCGCCCAGTCCAGGTATTCTCACTAGCACGTCCACTTTCTTTGTCCCTCTCCTATCTTACCGAGGTCCACTGCGCAGAAGCAAGTCGGAGAGAATACATCCACTTTCCCATGCCTTCCAGACAGGTCGAAATGCTCCGATATGAAACCCATCTACAGACAAAGAGCCGGGAATCCAATTAGAGGCTGCCGAGGACGGGATGGTGCAGGTCGTGTTCCACAGGTGGCTGCAGTCGCGTGGGCTAGTAGAAGTATATACCAGAATAGAAGGAGTATGATATCCGCGTGCCAGGAGCACAAAAAGGCCTCAACTTTCATTTTTTTTAAACGACCCAACCGGTACCGCAGCTTTCATAAATTAACCCAATCCTCCCCCAGGCCAAATGGCCGACTAGTTAAACACACGAGGCACGAGGAACCACTCATCAAAACTCCCATCCTTCTGTGCTAGACTTCTCGGTATGCCTCCCCCACATGCGATACTGTGGGGGGGCTTTTGCCAAACCAAAGAAAATCCCAATAGACGTCCTTCCAGGGGGGTAGATCATCCTCTCTGCAGCCCGTCAGAAAATCATAGAACGCGCTATCACTGTTAGCCTCGAACGCGAAGTCGTTATGATGCGGGGATGAAAACTATACATTCTATCGGTGGCATCGTGCCAAAACACCTTCTCAGGTCCCGCAATCAACCCGTATTTCCCGATAGTGGCGCACTCACTTGAGGTGGCCTCGTCCCAGAGGACCCTCGAAGGTGCTGAGATCGGGCAATACTTGTCAACAGTAGTGCATGCACTGGAGACAAGTCAGCGTCGTTGCAAAAGTCACAGAGAAGCTATTGCGCTAAAAGAGGAAATGCATATACCACTTACAGCCACGCTGCCTTGAACTTGGCTCGCCAGAATTCTCGCTTCTCCAGATCCAGCTGCCAGAACCAGGGCCCCTTTTTACGCCGGGGAGCTTTTCGAGTAGGAGACATGTGTAGAATCCACCAGGGATCGGTCCGACGGACTCTGGACCTTGCGGGAAACCCCCAGCAAGCGCGGCGCTGAGCTACACTGCGCCTCTTCGAGCAGCGTTAAGGCGTCCAACATATTTCGACCGTATCTTGGCCGGGTCTGCGCGGCTTGGCGAGCTCTTGCTTATAGTCGGGGCCGGCATGGGACATCCTAGACAGAAAAAAGCTCAATATCAGTATATACGTAGGGTAATTCATCGGGGTAGGTGTCATTTACTGTAGAATGATATGAATAAAGGCCTCTTGAGTCACGTCCGCCGCGTCCTTGGCACGGAGTATGCCATAAGAGACAGATGGTTTGTCCCATGACATACCAAAACCCCTCTCTCACCGTGATGTCCCCCACATTCTGGCCGCCCTTGGCGCTGTGCTTGATTGGAGTGCTGTATTCTAGCACTCAATTGCCGGCAGGGTCCTGCACTTGCTGCAGGATAATGGTCTCATCGTATGTCGACAGGAATCACCGTCCCCCCTCCAAGCGCCCGGCGCTGCCGAGCCCGTTGATGGGAGGGTGCATTTTCGCGAATGAATCAAGTCAGCTTTCTGGGACTCCTATACATCATCGGGTTAATGAAAAATATGATCTGTTGATAATCCAGGTCGCCATGCTTCGTGGCAAGCTCTACATCACGGTGATGGATACCTTATCCTGGTTCTACCAGTGGATTGTAGCACGACATCATCAAAATCGCTTGGCGGGAATCCCCCATAGAGGTCAAGAGCAGTTCCGATACGATCATGTCGCACACCTTAATCAGGGTCTTAAGAAATTACGAGACTCATATGTTGGCGGTGCCTCGCATGTTTGGCCTTCCGAATGTAGTTTAGTGCACCACATGACCCACACAGCGATCGTAGATAGTTAGCTAGTCTGCAGCCTCGCTGCATAGAATTGATCAAGCATTCCACCAATTTCATCGTCAGCCATGCTGTCATCATACATTCTGGATGTGAATGAACTCGCCGGCCAACTAAAAGCGTTTGATAGCGACTATCCGATCGTGTGGAACACACGCCGGTCTGCCCTGAAGAAGACCGTTGAAGCGTGGTTTCGACACCTCGGCAGGGAGCTTGACAGCGCCAGTTTTGTCAACTGGGATTTGGAGCCATTTTCATACGGTAGACACTCTTTCGGAGACTTCTCCAAGAGTCTTGACCAAGCTAACGCCAGAAGAGCGGCTAAAGCAAATACCTCTCCACCTCACGATAAAGCTTAGGTAGTGAGGTGAAGGAATTCCTGACCTCACTAGTCTACACATACTCCCTGACAACTGTCAACGCACAAGCCAAGTTGAAGAGAGGGCCCCGGGCGCAGCCCTGACAATTTGTCAACTGGATGACTTTCGAAACAATGCTTTACTGACCTCTAGACTCTCCCGCCAGCAGCGCCGAATACCGCCGTGGTAGCGTGTACACCGTCCTATGACCAAGTCGTGGATTGGAACGCTGAAGCGGATTTGCTGTGTGTGCTAAAAATATTTGCGTAGTATCCTCTCCATATTGGTAACCAATTCGCCGATTGATGGCTCCGGTGCGGATATGATGAGAGACCGATACAGATGTGGAATGGTTATGATCTGATTGTTGATTCTTTGAGTGGATCGCGAAGGGCGGGCGGCGGGGACATGGATTCCTGGGCGGTGGCAGATGGTTGAGTCTTCATCTCTCGTAATCCAATTCTTCAGCAAGATCGAGAACGGCAAAACGCTTCCGACTTCCATGCCATTATTGAGATCCGTTGGGGGAAAAGTTGAACTTAGGGGAGCATTTTATAAGTATAGGTTCCCCCTTTCCCAACATCCAAACAGTCCTACATTATTAACGACACGGACAGAAACATAATCAAAATTCTAATGATTGATCAATGAAACAGAGTAGGCTTCACCGTTGTTACTTCTGAAGTCCTGTCCTGCTCTAACACAAGTTGGCGGAGAGTGGCGGCGAGTTTTTGTGCCCGGCCGCGTTAAGTGGGTGTCCACGGCGTGTCCCACAGCGGGTATCAGACTAGTTGTGGGGGCGCTCGATCCGGTCCAGATAGTTTACTGGAAACTTCAAAGTATATGTAGGTGGCACAATTTGCGATGTATAATGGAATTTGTATCCTATTAGCCTACTTGAAACTGTGAGAATTATAAAGTTTGATGCCGGTTTGTGACGGATGCAATACAGCACTTCCGGCGAAAGCAGATCTCCATGGCAACCAAAGGTCCGACCCCCTTTGTAGAAGGACATGTCTACTCAGCTCAGGCCTCGCATAGCTCAATGCTCGGAAACATTTTGTCTCAGTGACAAACATCCACGAGAAGCTTGCATCTCGACATACTGTAAACATTGTCATATTCGTTGAGTAACGCATTTTCTTGATTGCACTGGGAAAACAAGAGGAATCCAGTATCCAGTATGGCTACTAAGGGTCTCGAGGCTCGTCTCAGGTCGTTGTCTGTTAATGACGAGAATGATGGATACCAAGGAACCAATCCACGTCCAGATTCCAAGGTATGGTTTTTTACAAGGTTTTTAAAACATGTGTTGAGAGCAGAGTTAACAACAGGAGGCATATACATAGATTTCAACTACGAGCCCACGTCGATCGAACAGAACCCGAGCACCAGAGCACCCCAAACCTGACACTTATAAAAAACAAACCGTGATCGTCGAGATTCCTATCTCCCAGTTATCTGGAGAACAGAATGAGAAGTCTCTCCGACGAACTCGAAAGCTGCTTGCAGATGTGTCGAGGCAAACATCGAATGAACCCGAGAAGTCAAAAGAACACTCCATCAAGGATAGCAAGCTACCAAGTACACCACTAAAGCATGTCCCTTCGCAAGTGGCTAAGATTAGGAATGGACAAACTCCTTCCCGGTCTCCACATCCCCTCTCTGTTGTTATGTCGCAGATATCAGATGGTGTGACAGAAGAAGACGCGGCTGGTGATACCAAGCCCAAAAGCAAAGTGCCTGATCATGTCGCGTCCCAAAGACCCCAAACAAAAGGCGAGAAAGCGCTCCTTCCAGATCGAGGCAATCACTCAGTTTCTCTGTCGAAAACGTCGAATGACGTGTGCTCGGCACCGCTGATCAAACAAGCCCTCCATAAACAATTCCATTTAGGAATGTTCGAGGTCGGTCGACCACTAGGAAAAGGGAAATTCGGTCGAGTATATCTGGCCCGAGAACGAGAAACTGGTTTTATCTGCGCGTTGAAGGTCCTACATAAGAATGAGATCCAACAGCACAGGGTTGAAAAGCAGGTAGCGCGGGAAATCGAGATTCAAAGCAACCTGCGCCACCCCAATATCCTCCAGCTCTACGGACATTTCCACGATCGGAAACGAATAATTCTGATCCTCGAGTACGCCGGAAAAGGGGAACTATACAAGCATCTGCAGAAAGCGAACCGTTTTCCAGAGTGGAAGGCAGCACAATACATTGCGCAAATGGCAACGGCGTTACGATACTTACATCACAAGCACGTCATCCATCGAGATATCAAGCCCGAGAATATCCTTGTTGGTCTCCATGGGGAGCTGAAGATGTCGGATTTTGGCTGGAGCGTTCATGCGCCAAGTGGTCGCAGGCTCACGCAATGTGGAACACTCGACTATTTGCCTCCTGAGATGGTGGATCCAAAGAGACAGGAGAAGCCGTATGACGAGAAAGTAGATCTATGGTCACTGGGGATTTTGTTGTATGAGTTCCTGGTTGGAAACGCGCCGTTCGAGGACACGCCTGCCATGACACAGAGACGAATCGCGAAGGGAGACATGACTGTGCCCTCTTTTGTTAGCTCCGAAGCTAGGGACTTGATTAAAAAGGTGGGTTGGCCTTGAGAAACTATTTCATTCAAGTACTAATTGTGATCTAGCTACTCGTCGTTGATTCGGAGCAGAGGATTTCTTTGAAGGAAATCCGAGAACATCCCTGGATACTTAAGCACTGCGCGAGCGGCGCAAAACAAGTTAAATCTTGAGTCTCTTCAGGACAAGGAAGGCTAATGAATGCATTCTTGGATATATATAGATGGGAGTTTGATGGCTTGTCTTTTAGCGCTCCAGCTAGATTGGTAGTGATTTTACCAACGAAAGCTATTGTCGAAAGCTATTGTCGAAAGCGATTCAAAAGATCGTTTAGCCGGTGTAGCAAGAATTACCTCTTGGGTCTCGACGCCCACAGTGATACAGGCACGAAAACTCGCCGCCGATACCACTCACTCTCCGCCAACTTGTCGAGCCTAACATCACTAGATTGAAAACGATTGCTACGCTGCCTAATTACAGTGGTGTTGGCGCCACACAGAGAGTTGATTGTTACCTAGCTGATGCCGAATGGGCGTGATGCCAAATGCACGCGCAGGGAGATCTTGAGGCAGAAGCGGATTACGAGAGATGAAAATAACGCAAGAGTTATTATTCCCACAGGCTCGTCAATTTGTAGGTCCGGAGGACTGGCTCGAAGATCACCTACGGAAAACGTGCTTTTTGGCCACGCGGGGGGACTCCGGCATCTATTCTTAGATTTCAGCAATGGGCGTGTGCACTTCATCCCACAATGCAAAGCGTACCGAAAGCTGTCTAAGCTCTTTTAAATGGACGATTAGCCGGATTCCGCTAATTGCAATAATCAAGGGGGCGTTTTTGGTGAAGAAGCGCATACGGGATTATGTATGGTCGAAGAATGCTGCGAAATGGATCGCAGATTGTGCCTTAGGCATCTGATACATTTACGACAAGACTGGTGCCTCTTCATTGAATCTTCCACTGTTATGACAAGATGCATGTTATTGGATGAATAATCTATCAAGAAAAAGCACACGAGATATCAACCGCAACGCCGCTGCAAATTCCCAATCCAAGTCCAAACATAGCAAACGAAACCTATCCCAAATCCCATTCCGCTCCATCAATCGAGTTCAATCCCATCGTAATCAATCGCTAATCACTGTCCGAACTCGAACTCGAACTGGAACTGGAGCTGGAGCTGGAGCTGGAGCCCGAACCACGCCTACGATGAAGCGCTTCATATCCAATCCCCAACATGGCCATGTTCGCGGTGATATCGCTCTTATTCCGGTCGATCTGCTGGCGTGTCTGTAGGTGGCACGGGCCTAGTCCGTTCCGCGCCAACATCCGGTTCTGCTTACACAGCGCCTTGGTTCGTCGCTTCATCATCTTCGCCTCGGCTTTGTCCTGCTTCCTGTGCTCCTTGCGCTCTTCCTTTGCTTTCCTTTTCTGCTTCTTGTCGTATCTGGTGACATTTGTTAGATACTTTGGACATGGACTTGGACTTGGAGGGAGATGCGAGGGAGGAGAGGAAGTGGTAACTTACATATGCTTTCCGATACCCAGCACAGCGCTACCCGCTATCGCACCGCCCACAGTCCCCATCTTCCCGCTACCAAGCTTGTGTGCCATGAATCCGCCGGCGCCGGCACCGACGACCGCAGTTCCCAGACCCTTTTCCTCGTCGTCGGCGGTCCCGGAACCCTCCATTGAGACTTGGGGGTTGTAGTAAGAGGCGTTGGCGGGTTCGGGGGTACGGGTACTGCCTGGTGGAGGGTACTGGGGCTCTGCACCAGGAGGCGGATAATGGGGTGGTGGGGGAGCGTAGAAGGAGTTATCGACCTGGGGTTGAGAAGCGGGCACTTTCGGTGGAAGCGGAGGCCTGTTGGAATAGCCGCCGTTGAGGGGGTTATTAGGGGGAGGGGGGCCGGACACGTTCAGTGGTGGTGGGAAGTCGTTGGGATAACCGCCGTTGGGATAGCCGCCATTGAAGGAGGGCGCCGGAGAATGTTGCGGGTACATGGGACCCGGAGGCGGAGCGCCTGTTGGTGGAGAGAATTGTTGAGGAGGAGCAGAATAGGGAGCGTATCCACCAGAGAAAGAGAGCTGTCGGGACGAAGACGGGGGAGTATCATCGAAGTGGAGTTCCTTGGCGCCGGAGAGAGAAGGGGAGTGAGGGCGCGAGGAAGGCCTGCTTCCGGGCTGCAGTTGCATGGGGTGCGGCGAGGAGCTGCCACTACGCTCTCGGGTCTGCGGGTGCTGGGGGCCACCGGGATATGCGCTGTAAGACGGTGACCGAGAGCGGGGTGATGAGGGAGCACTTTTTCCTCCGGGGATTAATGACGAGGGATATAGCGAGTGGCTACTGCTTCGCTCGCGCGTGTTCACAGGCGGTTGTCCGCCGGCATTTGCGGTGCTGAAAGAATGCGAATGACGATATGAGACGGGTGGAGTGGGCTTTAGAGAATCGGACTCTGGGGGAGTAGAGATCTACAAATTTCATTTCATGTTAGCGGATGTCTTGAGGTCGTGATCTGTCGTAGACAGAGCCTGGGATCGCCGTACCGTAGGAGTAATGGGTCCGTAGAACCGTGGAGGTGAAGAGCTTTGAGGCCGGCCTCCTCTGTTTTGTCCATCCTGGGCGGGACGGTATGGTTCGACTTGAGAAGACATGCTGTGTTTCCAGAAAACAAAAGATTATAGACGACAAGCAAGAATATGACAATCGACAGTGTTGGTGAGAATGCAAGTCAGTCTCCGTGAAGAGGAAGAATAGGAAGCTTAAATCACTTTTCGCCAGAGCCCTAAATCCCAAAGGATCGCAACGTTTACCCTTCCAGCTCACACCCTAGGGGGAGGCGGTGTTGGAGGTGGAGCGCCGGGTAATTCAGCCCCCACGGCCGCCATTCAACATGGAGATATGATGCATCCACCGGCATCGAGCACGACGGTGGTTTCCGACTCGCAAAAGACACGGACTGGTCCATTATCGGGGCTTTGGCGTGTGTAGCGTGCACGGACCTGGCTCATCCTTTCCTTCGTTCGTTTTCGATGGCAGGACAGTCTGGGGAGGAGTTCTGATCATCAGTGGCGTCGCAGGATCGTGGTGTCATATCAACTTTGTTGATTCGAGGCTGAGCGAGATCGAGCGCGGGAGAGCCTCTCCAGCGGGCCAAGTGGAGCTTCGCAGGCTTAATTCACCGACCAGCTTCCACGGCCATTCTGGCCCCCACTGCTTCCTGTCCAAATGAGCGACACTAACCAACGCAAGCTCGCCAATCGCATCTATAGCCTGGTCGAGAAGTTATGACGTACAAGTCATTTAGTCACGGAATTAGTGCTCGGGGTGACAAGGCTGACTGCGAAGCCACACGGGCTTTTCCAGGTCTCTCGAATTCAGCCGCCCCGTCTATTCCTTCATCGTATCGCTAACGTCGAGGATTCCCATGGGTGATGGCCTTATTATTTGTTGTCCTGATACCATTCGCCGTGGTAGGGGTGTAGGGCTGAAAAACATGAACGAGCAAGGGAAAAGGAAAAGTACTCCGCAGAAGGCATGGGCGGGCTGAGTATCCGTCTAGTCCCGGGTAGGCATAGCGCACCCTCCCACGTTAATTAAGCCTTCTGAATTAGGAAGGAACGGCAAGGCTGTGTTGATCAATATGGACAGCCTTGCGGAGATACGGTGTACAAACTTCATTCACTCATTTCTTAGTTCTAAAGCAGTCACTCTAGTGTATAGTTAATGTCCGCTATAAACACAATGAGCCACAATGGAGTTGGCATAGCCCGTTTGCACTTTTAACATGCCTCACGGACTGATGGCCCTGTAGGATAGGATTGGCGGACAGACTCGTATTAATTGTTGATGACATGACATCAAAACCGTACAGCACTACAGCTGCGGCCTCCAGTTCTCGAATTACTGACCAATCAACCGCACTCCCCGGGGGCTTATTGCACTCTATTTCAGGGTCTTCCGAGTGTATTCAACTCAGCCTCCGTAAAGCTTATGGAGACATGAATGTTTATACTAGAAAAATTAGCATTTTTAACCTTTGGCACCTTGGATTCTGCAATCACTCTATTACTGTATCCTGATTCCCTGCTACACGTGCTGTCTGTTGTGGCTAGTTGGTCAAGCTCTATGGAGTAACATTCCGTCCCGGCCCTGGTGGGTCTAAGCGCGGATTTGCCTTTTTTTTTGAGGCGCCAATGCCAGCCTGACCGCCTTCAGCAGAATCGCCGACCGACCTCCTCCAGACCTCGATCGCAAGAAAAACAGTAAAACAAGCCGTCGCATCTTCAATCACCTCCTGCGTCCGGAAAAGACATGATACCTCGAATGAAAATGCACCACTAGATAGCCAGTATTTTCCTTTTCATTTCTCCAAATGTTTCTGCACTGAACCGCCTTTTTGAGAGAGCCAGGGACATTCAAGTATTGGTGCCCATACAATTTCTGTTATTTTCAAAAAACACCCAAAAAGTCAGATAAAATCTGTTCACGTGACTATATGTCTTAAGGCGGCGGCCGCCTCGGCGATTATGATTGTTGATTTACGTTGAAGGGAACCAAATGGAATACTCATTTCTCTTGTTGGTGTATTATCTCTTTGCGAGCCATGCTACTGATAAAATAAGTTTTTCATTCTGTTCTGGCATTGTAGATCGTGTGTCGGCATATATTGGGTGCAGAAATATATATCCATCCTCACCACACCAAAGGTCTTCATCATGTCCCCAGTTTAACTATACCGCGAATTGATTGGACACATGGAACCACAAGGCCGACTATCAAATGATGAATGTTTTGAAGATTACAATGGCTCATAAAAAAAAGTCTTCCTAAGTGCTGTAAACATGGAATGGTAAACAATCGCCATTTCTTGGCATATTACAGCCTCAGGCATCAAACATCCAGGAACATAGTACGAGTGCTGGGCTTGTCCATCACTGATTATAAACCCGTGGACAGAAATCCTGAATTGATAAAGTACAATGAGAACGACCCTTGATTTATCACCCTGCTTCCCATGCACTGGCCAGCTAAGTATCCTGCAAGTGGAGATGACGGACTGATATTATGCATAATGCGTATATGATCCCGGATAGTAGTGCTTGACTTCATTCGCTGCGGAGTACATGATAAGGCTTATGCATATGCATGGGGTAACTAGTTGGATAAGTTGGATAGAAATTTTCTAGAAATTGCAAAGATGCGATCATCACTCTAACGGATGCACACATGCACGCAGTGCTATGAACTCTGAGAGAAAAAATCATCGAACTAGACTAGCAAAAAGCAGACACTGTCATCATACAGATACAGCATGGGTATGTACAGGCATCTATAACCTAAGCCCTGGGGGCCTCGGCCAAACCAGCAATCAATGACTCCGAGCGTGTCATCTGGGGCGTCGGCTCATCGCCGTTCGTGTCTAAGCCCTTTGCTACTAGATCTGTGAAATCCACACCGACCTCGGAAAGCAGGCTGGCCTGTTCGTGCACGATGTCGATGCATTTTTGCCAGACCGTAGTGCCGCGCTGGACGCTGCTGAGTTGGCGGGTGAGAAGGGCGTTGAAGCCGTCTAGGTGGAATTTGGCCCATTTGATGCAGGCGCTGGTCATGACGGCTGGGAAGCATTGTTGGTAGATGCTGATGGTGTTCTTGATCAGCGTGAAGTAAACGAACGAAATCTGGAATATGTAGAGGGGGAGGTCGCCTTCGAAGACACATGCTCTGAAACGAGTTAGTAACTAATTGTTCCTGGCCGACATAAATGATCACCTACCGGATTCGCTTCGAAACGATGTCCGTTCGAGTCTTAAGGTAGGCTTCCCGCGCTTGGTCCTCGAACCCGAGGCGGGTTAACCATCCGACCTTGGTCTTGGTTGCATTCATGAACGAATGCGTGTCGACCAAAGATCGAGATAAGACCCCGGCTAATTTGGCAGCTCGCTCGTCGACCTTAACATTGATCACGTCCTGCGCGACCGAGTTACCCTTGAGACCTCGTGCGAGCTTGCGTAGTCGCTCAATATTAGCGACAGCTTCTTCAAATCGCTGCAACGCAATGTCGATATCGAGCTCGTCCACTTGACCCTCCACCCAACGCAAATTCTGCTGCTTGCCATCCACATCGATGCGTACCTCCGGCGGATCGCTCGAGAAATCCATGGTATCGAGGGCATCCGGCTTGACGGCGTAGATCGACTGCCTGGCTCCCAAGTAGTTGTACGACTCGTTGGATTTGCTGGCTGCTTCGGTTTCCGATCGAAGGGTCCGTCGTAGATCCTCTACGGTCTTTCGGAAGGTAGCTAGAAGCTCACTTTTAGCAGAGCTGTCCCGCTTGTCATGACGATAAGTGAATGGCTTTGATCCCACGCGGACGTTGACAGCGTTGGTGATCCCACGGTCTTCAGCCTCCTCGCGCGATACTCCAGGCCCAAGGTTGGCGCCCAAATCGATCATGTCGACATCCTGCAGCGGCCAGCACTCCTCGGCGACTAGTTTGGTTGGGATTGGCCCGCGATGGTTGGGGTTGCTTTGGTCGACGCGTTTCCGTTTCTTAGCTGCCACCAACAAATGATCGTTGAGAAGCACAATATGGACGGGTCGCCTCGGCTTCCAGGTCGCCGAGTCCAGCTCGACCCAATGCCCCGTTTCCATCACAATGTGCCGACCGGGAACAACGGGAAGGAACTTCTGGGACCCCTCAACGGTCTTCCACAAGGTCTGCAGCTGTACGTTCCACATGCTTTCCAGATTAGCGACGGAGCTTCGATTTGCGTTGCGTTTCGGTAGGCGTTCGTCGACTGTTGGTGACATCGGGTTCGGAGAGTTGCCAATGGATGTCTGTCCCAGGGCCGTGGTGAGTTCGGACATCAAGGTCCGGAGAGTGCGCATCTCCCCTTTGAGCTTGTCGGCCTCCTGACTGATTTTGATGAATTGTGTACGGTTCTGATAAACATTTTGTTGCAGATCGGTGGACGTCCTGTTTTTCACCTTCCGGAGGCTTTTCTGGTACTCTTCGATGTCTTCCTCAGTGGCATTGCTGAGTAGGTTGGCCACGTCTAGAGAATGGCACAAGGGTCATCGGTTAGAAACACGGTATCGCGGGCATGGCGAACAATTGAGGTGGGAGAAACTCACATCTATCGACAGGCAAGCTGGGATCGCGCAAAACATTCAAGTCTACCTGCGGGGGCCCCGTAGATTCTCCCGACGGTCTTCTACTCTGCTGCTGGGGTGGGCTGAGGCCACCAAACTGGGGCGGAATCTTGGGAAGGCCGGGGACTGGAGGGGCATTGACATCGAAATCCGGGGTCTGATTGAACCGAGTGGAATAGCGCCGCTTGACTAGATCAGAGGTCGCATCATTCTGGGGGGTGCGTTCGCGAGAACGCGAGGAGCTTGCGGTCGTCGGTGGCTGGCCGGGATCGGCCGGTTTATGGGAAGGCGGCAGAGGACCGGAGATGGGTTTCGGGGCACTGATCTGGGGGCGAGGGCGACGCGACTTGCTGCGGAGAGTCAAACCGCGGGATTCCATGGTGAGAGAAAAAAAGGAGGGAGCCGCCGGTCGGAAGGGGAGAAAGAGAAGCAGCAGGAAGAGAGGAGAAGGAGAGAGCAGATGATGATGATGATATGTTCAGTGCCCGAGTGGGACAGAAACACCGAGGCGGCCCAACGATGATCCGGCTCTTCAAAATTATGCGGCAAAAGAGGCTTCAGTCGTCATGAGCTTCATCTTCCGCCCTGCTCGTCCATCCTCTTCGCTTTCTCTCCCCTCTCTTTCGTCCTTGTTCTTTCTGTACTCTAGTATACACGCGTTTAATTCTACTTCCCTTATATTTCTCCGAGGCCCATAATGCAGACCTCCACCTTGGTCATCGCCTCCGCCGGCACGGTCTTGACCGGCCTGTTGGGTAAGACCCGAATGAACCATCGCGGCGACTTCGCGTTGAGACGGAACCAGTTGCTAATATATGATATCTTCCTACGTAGCCTATGCCGTGTACTTCGATCATAAGAGACAGACCGACCCCGAGTTCCGCAAATCGTTGAAGAAGCACAACCGAAAAATGGCGAGAGCCGTGAAGGAAGAGGCGGAGGCCCAGGGCGCGATGGAACGGGAAACCATCAAGCAGGTCGTTCAGCAGGCCAAGGATGAGGGCTTCCCGGTCGACCTGGAAGAGAAGGAGGCTTACTTCATGTCCCAAGTCTCCAAGGGAGAGTCTCTCTGTGCCGAAGGTATGTTTCCGCCGCGATGACGCGACTCTCCTCCAATTTCATCGATTCGTCTATCATCTATCATCAAAAAAACTTGTTGGCCGATTTACTTACCGATGTCTCGATGTAGACAAGATTGAGGCCGCCCTGGCCTTCTACAAGGCCTTGAAGGTGTACCCCCAGCCCAAGGACCTCATCTCGATATATGACAAGACCGTCCCCAAGGAGGTGCTGGAGATCCTGGCCGAGATGGTCGCCATGGATGCTGGCCTTAAGCTCGGCTCGTTCACTGGCGAGGGTGGCAGTGCTGAAAGCCACGGAGTCGAGTAAGAAGTTGCCTTAATTCCGCCATCGATTATTCGTCTGCGCCTCTGCATAAGATCCTTGGCCGATCCACGTGTTTCTTGTGGTGGTCTTGGGTTTCTTCTAAGACGGACCTATCTCATGTCATCCTTCGACCTCTTGCTTTGGTCGTCGCCATGTCACACTCTCATCATCTCCACTATTTCTGTACTCTCTTCCATCTTGGTTGTTTCCCCCCCCCTTCGCCCTTGTATATTTGCATTTGTTATGCCTTGGCCACCGGTGCGGCGGGCCATCTTGGTATTTCTCGGCGCCATGAAATTTTTCTATCTTTCTTGTTTCCTTCCCCTTTTTCTTTTTTTAGCCGGTTGAGGTTGTGGTTTCGGTTGTTGGGGGCTCTGGCAGATGTCTTGCCAATTTCCCGTCTCCCAACCTGGGGGGACCTTTTTTTCTTTTCTTTTCTTTTCTTTCCCAACTTTTGGGCTGTATTCTAAAGATGCTCCACGGTATTAGGTATTAAGTAGGATAGGCAGGGTTATTGCTTAGCGAGTGCAGGGAAGGAAATATTCCCGACGTGGATCGCGATGTGAATTGAGTATGAAAACATGGCATGAACGCAACCGGACTCCACCCTGATGATATTCAGCACTACGACTCCGTAGTACGGAGTATTAGCAATTTAGCCTTCCAATTCGATATCCACGCTGCAGAAACCGCGTCCCCTGAGAACGGGCGTAAGCGATGGGACCGGCGCTAGAGGGCAGGTTAGACTATTAGACCCTTCGCCAAGGGTCCCTGGCCCAGACAGATGAGACACTGGTGCGGTGGATGCTGCTAGTTGCCAAAAGCCCAGCTCTCTAGTCGGCTTGGGATGGTTTAATTAATTCTGGGCAGTTGGAGGGGGCAATCTTGGACTCGCTTTCTTCATTCTTCTTATTTCTCGTCGCGGCGCTGACACCTCCTTTCTTCTTTCTCTTTCTTTTCCTTCCCGGGCTCCCGTTGTTCTAACTTCTTATTCTTCCTCTTCTCACACTCGCTACTTCCGTTCTTGACTGTTGGTCTTTATCTGCGCCTATCTGCGCCTGTCGCCGTCACTCTTTTTAGACCCAACCCATCTCTTCTTGTTTTTGGCTCTTCCTGTGGAAGATACCGTCCGATCGCTTACCATCACTACGACTTTTATATATTGTTTACGTCTCCCTATACCTGATTAATCCGCTTCAAAATGGTTTCGGTGAGTACAGCGCAAACCAGAATATCGGACTTTCCTGATCAATATGACTGTAGACTCATGCTCGCCTTCTGGCGGCCGCCTGCGCTCTTGCGACGACCGCCCACGCCGTCACCCCCATCGAGGTTGAGGGCAAGGACTTCGTCAACAGTGACACTGGAGATCGGTTCCAGATTATTGGTGTCGAGTAAGCAGTTCGTCTTGATAGCGCGGATATTCCATCGCGTTACCCGGTCTGGAAAGCGGTAGTACTGATCGTCGCCGATCGTCAACAGTTACCAGCCCGGTGGTTCTTCAGGAATGTCGAAGACCAAAGATCCCTTGAGCGACCCCAAAACGTGCTTGCGTGATGCCGCTCTCATGCAGAACCTGGGTGTAAGAATACTCCTATGATCCAACTCTCGGCAAGATTTTGTACTCATGCCACTAGGTTAACACCATCCGTATTTACAACCTTTACCCCGGCCTTGACCACGATGAGTGCGTCTCCATCTTCAATGCGGCTGGTATCTACATGATTCTCGATGTCAACTCTCCGCTGTATGGCGGTTACATCGACCGAACCTCGCCCAAGTCGAGCTACAACGATGTCTACTTCGAGCAGGTCTTCGGTATCATTGAGGGCTTCAAGAACTACCCCAACACTCTCGCCTTCTTCGCCGGTAATGAGGTGATCAACGAGCAGAGTGTGAAGAGCGTTCCCGGTTACATGCGTGTAAGGAATCCGATTTTTTTGGGCCATTTCCTACGGTCATGCTGATGAAATTCTTGTTTAGGCCGTCCAACGTGACATGAAGGATTATATTAAGAAGAACGCTAAGCGCGCCATCCCTGTCGGCTACTCCGCTGCCGACATCCGTCCCATTCTGACGGACACCCTGAACTACTTCATGTGCGAGGACTCGGACGAGCCCACCTCCCACGCTGACTTCTTCGGTTTGAACTCGTACTCGTGGTGCGGCGAGTCCAGCTACAAGAAGAGCGGCTACGATGTCCTCACCGAGGACTTCCGCAACGCCTCGCTCCCCGTCTTTTTCTCCGAGTACGGCTGCAACGAGGTCACGCCCCGTGTCTTCACCGAGGTGCAGGCCCTCTACGGCAAGGAGATGTCGCAGTCTTTCTCCGGCGGTCTGATCTACGAGTACACCCAGGAGGATAACAACTACGGCCTCGTCAAAGTGAACAAGAACGGCACCGCCTCCTTGCTCGTCGACTACGAGAACCTGCAGAAACAGTACGCCAAGCTCGACATGAAGGCCATCGAGGCCTCCAACAAGACCCAGACCTCCTTCAAGGCCCCCAAGTGCGCCTCCAGCCTCATCAAGAACAGCACCTTCACCGACGACTTCAAGCTGCCTTCCCGCCCCTCCAAGGTCCAGGACATGATTGACGACGGTCTCAAGGACGCCAAAACCGGCAAGATTGTCGACGTCTCTTCCAAGGACGTTCCTCAGACCATCTACGACCACAAGGGCAAGGAGGTCACCGGTCTCCGTCTCACCGTTCTCAAGGATGGCCAGTCCAACGCCCCCGGCGAGCACACCTCCGGTAGCGCCACCTCCGGCGGCTCTAGCAACTCTGACTCCGATGACGACGACACGCCCGGCACCTCCAACGGAGCCGGTCAGATCTCCGCGTCTTTCATGAGCCTGTTGACGGGTGCTGCTCTGGTTGCTGGTTTCTTCCTGTAATAATTCAGTCTTCTGACTGATCCATTACTTTGGTGATTTTAGTTATACATATTCTTGTTCTGCCTTACATATTTTTTTACTATTCGGGTTCTTTTCTGTTTCACTATGGTTTGGAATGAATTGATTCCATGTTTATTTTGTATTGAAAAAGTCCGATCGGGAACATTGCTCGGTTTTTAGCTTTTGACATTAGCTGAGTCTGTATTGCTACGTGAACCAGTGCATATCCTTCGAGGTTTGAAATTATTCACGTGTTGTTATCATCTACCTAGTAATCGATGATACTTGTAGAGAAAACTGTACCGCGCCGTACATTAGCCCTGATTGAAAGTCTTCTCAGGAGCTACAGTCGAAAGTCGTTGATTAGCTCACGATACATGCCATTCTTCCTTATGTCCAGTATGTACACATTTTGGTGCCTGAGGCAAAATGCCAAGCATTTCGCTCCTTTTAGATTGGCAACACTGTGGAAGACCTCGCTTCTTCCTACATCAAACAATCAATTCAGTATTCACCAGAGCATCCTATCCGCTCAGCCATACTTAAAACATATAAATCCATATCGTCAATCGTCAGAAAAACTTTTTCTTAATTTTTAATTATATCTATCAAATTAATTATAGATTGGATATCCTTCGCTCCCTCTCTCGCCAGACAGAAACTCCGTATGTTCTACTCCGTATTCTGCGGTGACGGTGAATTACTAGAAATGGTTTAGCGTTCCTAATAGGGGAAGGCGTTTCGCTGGCGCTTGGCATCATGGTGCGTGGACTATAAAGATGGCCTCCTCTCCCTCTGATCATGGCCACCACTCGACACTCTTTTCGCGCCCTTTGCGCGCCCTTTGACGGTTCGACGACTCCAGCCAACTCGAGGCATTTTTGCCATTGGTCCGTATGCTCCGCATTCTGCACCTCGCCACCCCCTTTTATCGCAATGAGTCGCTCCTTCGACCATCGTTTAACAAATAATTTTGTTTTTTTTGTTTTTGAACAGGAAGAAGTGACGGAATTCAACGCGATTGCGGAATCTCACAGGCAGCTTACTCCAAGAATCCACACTATAGTCACGATGAGCGGCAGTCACGGGGCAAGACTAAAAAGACGCGCGCTATGTGACAGATCGCATGGGTTTGGCTTGTCACAGGAATGGTTGGTGGGCTGAGCTCAGGAAGAGCGACTTGATAGTCCCCAAGATACTCGAGTCGAGTCACAACGGTGGAAGTTGACCAAAGAGTCCATTGCTAGTGCCATACTACATGATCTAGGCGTCCTCGGAGGCGCCGGCGAAGCCTCGGCATGCTCTGTCTTAGTCGATGTCGCCAGAATTCGTGCACTCATTCGGCGTCGTGCCTAGGATGCTGACTTTCGTCACGTACCTGTCGCCTCCCTCCGCCTAGCTATCGCAAATTTGGGCTCGTCCCTAACCTTCAGACTGTGGGGCCCGGGCGTGAACTAATTCGTGGGGGAGACTGGACCTTGCGACGTGCACACCGATAGTGCGCTTTGACTCACTGTCGCGCCTGTATGGGCCTATTCTTGATACTTGCAGGGCCCAATTGCACGACCACTTCGTACGACTCACAGATTGAGGGCTCTGAAGGGCAGCTACGGAAGAACATTTAAGTTTATGCTTGTATCTTGAAGTATGATGTAATGTACTAACCGACCCCTCCACGCTAAGCCTCCGGGGTAGGTTAACTTAGGCCAGGCCATATCTAAGCGTATAGGACAGTTGTTAAATCTTCTAAAAAGATGATGTCAACCAAAATGATAATAGGGGCCTTATTATTGACGGTTGTCAGATCGTCGTACCCTCGTTTCTCTTGATCCATGGGGAACAGTGCTACTTTGCGCGGCGGTGGTTTTCTCGCTCGTTGGCAAGGTTGCGAGGAATTTTATACGATTCTGTTGACTATAGGTCAATATTTCATCCCCTTTGAGGAAATAAACGATAGACACAATGCACCCTCTCAGGGGTTTACACGCGCTGAGTTTCCCCTATAGATTGGTGGTTGGCGGCAAGAGTGAGGGAAAATTTCCTGGGCGGGATGTTACAGCAGCACAGGGTTGCTGCAGTTTGATGTCGCACGGCAATACGTTTATGAAGCCATCCGCTAGGACACGCTCAAAGACAGGCTCGGCCGTCTAAATACGGAACTCCGTGGATTTTTGCGCCAGAAGTGAAAGGCACGACTTGGGCAATATCTCAAAGAATATTGTGGATTTGCAGCTACCGCAGTCCACCGCATCAAGAAAAGCCCTATTGAGACCATACCACGGATGTTTGGTCCATCCGTGATGTCCTATGCGCAGCTCCAGTGTGATGACTGTAGGCTCGAAAGAATCCGTTCCAGGGATACACTGCAGTCGTATCGCTTCAAAGCGACCAGGACACGAATCTACATTACATTCAAAGCGGATAGCACAACTTCCCACTTGTGGTGAATTCATCATATCATTAACAAGAGTATTGGTTGTAATGGCTAACCGTAATATATCAAGCACCCGATGAATGGTTGCATGGACCAATATGCCTTGGTGAATGGTTCGCATTTTGTCGGAGCTACCTTCGGTCACCACCATTGTGGAATGTGACGTTCCCGTGGAAAGTCTGATGAACGCCTTGATTCCCAACTTGCGCGTGGTTATTGAACACAACCCTCTTACCCTACGCCGGCTGGTCAGTGATGCATACCGACATGCAACTCCAAGTAACTTACAATATCATCGGCCGCATCGGTCTCAGGTCGATGTTCCTTGGCCGTTTTGGTCGAGCGGGACGTGCTACTTTCACCGGCCACTCGCCACTCCCGGAGCAAGGCTTTTGTATACGCTGCTGCAGTGACAGAGGCGTACCTCTGCCATTTCTTATTTTTATGACTGTCGGCATAATCACAAACACCTTTGACAATGATAGTGGGAAGGTTATCCCATACACCAGCACCTTCCATCTCGAAACCCAGTACCTTCTCCTGGTTGGCAATTCGATCTCGATCAGGCGCAGACTTCATGACTTGGTCGCTCGAAGCGATACGACCGAAGTGGATGGCCGGGATAGTATCGGTTCGCTGTTCTCTTAGGACGAGTTGGGCTTCATCGCATTTCAGCAATGCACATGAGGTTGTAAGGGCGCTGTCACAGGCAACAAGACCTCCCGGGCCAGGTTGAGCACACAGAGAGCAGACCCCGGAGTCTCGATGTATGTGGCCATATTCTGCTCTGTACAGCTTATCACTCTCTGCTCCCGGGCTTATCCAGCTGCTAAACCCTTCCTTACTGCAAATCTCGGAAAGATTTCTCGACACATTCTGTCGGAGTTTTTCCCGGCCTTTCCATCCTTGAAGCTGGTGCAAGAATGTCCGGATCTCGATATTAGGACGCCCAAGATTGTTATCAAGCGTGTCTTTGCGAATAAGTTGATGCGCGTACTGTCGTCCAAAGTCGGATTGTACCACTCCCGTACTGATAATCACGTCGCCAAGAAATATCTCGTGGTCGGCACCTTGAGGCACACCACCACATATGCCGACAACTAGCCCAAGTCGAACAAGTGGGAAGCTCGTGCGAAAACTGGCGGTCAAACTGGCAGAACTTGCTTTCCCCATGCCCGGCATATATGCTAGAACTACATGGTGCACGCCGATTTTGCCAAATGTGTAAGAGTTCGGGTCTCCTGCAACTTTATCATAGAGCAGCTCATCGTCTTCAAAGAAATGATCAAACGTTGCCTCGACTGCATCGGACTCTTCACGCAGCGCACAGATAATTGCAATACTGAAGTCACTTCGATCTACTGGCTGCAGCTGCTGCATACTGACGAGACTTGCTGTACAGTTGGAACAAGTGGCAGACCGATATATCCTGCGTCAGTCTGAACGTGGACAAGATGAGATATATGGCTGTGAGTCTACAGGAACAAAATGAGGCTGGCACGGAATACCGTCAGCTGACAGGATGCATGACTGTCGCCGCGGATATGCACTAGAAATAAGCCCTTACTACTAAGGGTTGACCCTTTTTAGTGCAGCGGTATTTTTTCCACAATGACTTAGTCGCTTCCTGTGTCCATGCTTATGATTGGCCGCAGGCACAGCCTCGCGCAACCCCTCATTTGAGAAGTTGAGGCTGACCAGCCTCAAGTCCAGCTGGTGGACGGCGAGGGTTTTAAACAAACTTTGAACCCTCTTCGGCTTCGCATTGCTATGGTATTCGATTCCAAACTTGATAAGAAGTCAAGAAGACTAATCCTGCGCATAGTAATGCCACACTGACCATGGAAAGCGAAAGAGGGTACGACAATCCGACAACCTTCAATAACACGGACGCTGTCAGTTTCCAAGCACTTCACCAGACGATAAACACCGACAGCATTGTCCTCAACAATGGCCAGACCAGGGCATATATGAATATCGACGAAGAAGGTATGTTGGTGCCCACAAGACCTGAATACTTAAAGTCGCTTTATTGACGCTCAAAAGTTCTTGGCTCTCTCGCATTCCCAGAAATGCACCAAAGACAAAGCAATATTGAGAAACCTCACATGCACACCTGCAGTTGGATTCTCAAACTAAAAGAGTACAATGACTGGATGAACGCGTCTAATGGTCTCCTGTGGATCAAAGGAAAGCCAGGCTCTGGAAAATCAACCATCATGGCATTCTTATACCAACAGATCATGAAACCGCACACTGCAGAGAAGGGTATTGCGCTAGAATTTTTCTTCAGTGCTCGAGGGTCCGAATTACAACGCACACCGCTAGGACTGTTTAGGACATTGCTGAATCAGCTATATCGCCAAGATTTTAATCTATGCACAGTCCTGCGTGAAGTATATCAGGACAAATGCGATTCATTCGGTCGATCAAAGCACGGGTGGGAGTGGCAACTACCTGAGCTAGAGAGGGTCTTTTACGATAATATCGCGATCTCTGCCCAAAGACAACCCTTAATCATCTTCGTGGATGCGCTAGACGAAGCCGGGCAGGAGTCCGCACGATATCTTGCCAAATTCTTTCACCACGTTAATGATTTGATTAAAAAACGTCCAGCGTCCGGAAAGATATGTATTGCATGCCGGCACTATCCTGGCATAACCAGTACGTGTGGGATCGAGATCGTGGTAGAAGATCACAACCACGATGATATCACGACATATGTGCGTGATTCTCTCCCTTTGGGCTTCCCCTTATCGCCGGGCACACCTAGTTACCAATCTTGGGACTCTGTGGTAAACGATCTGATCAAATCTGCACATGGTGTTTTCCTGTGGATTCGTCTTGTCGTACCTCTGGTGGAAAAAAGGGTGCAAGATGGGGAGTCGCCTGAAAATATTCAGCGTTTCTTACGGAAAGTCCCTCAAAAGCTCGGGGATGTTTACGAAGATATCTTGCGGAATACTATTGAACAAGAATATCGTAGCCAGGCATCTCTCCTATTTCAATGGGTATGTCTTGCAGAAAGACCTCTGTCAGTGACAGAGATGCGATATGCGATGTCAGCGAGGGACATTTCCATGAGTCCATCCCGTGTGCGATGCAATGAAACTTCTACGTTTGTCACATCTGATGAGCTTATGAAGTTACGAATAAGAGCCTGGTCTGGCGGGTTAATCGAGGCGATAATAGATCAAAAGTCCACAACTGAGACCGTACAAGTCATTCATCAATCCGTGAATGATTTTATTGTCGATAAAGGCCTAGTTGTTCTTTCTGGACTCCACGATGGCGAACAGAAGCGTTGCCAGTTGGAAGGAAGACAATGGAATAGCACCTTTATGATGAAGCATAGTCAGGGTGTAATATACCGCTCATGTTTAAACTATCTTGCTACGGAAGACGTTCAAGTTACATCAGATGACAACAAGGAAAGGCTTTTACAACGTTGGCCCTTTCTCAACTACGCCACGATTCAAATTTTCATGCATGCCCGCAAGGCAGTGGAACACCGTTTTGGAAATGTTGAAAAGGAGGTGTTTCTACTGCAACATGTTATCCAAAAATGGATTGCCAGTTATAGTTTGATGGATGGGTTTTCTCCAATGTGTCCAGTGCCCATCACAACGTTACTACACATTGGTTCCGCCAGCAATATGACCGATATTATAAAGGATCTAGTATGCAGAAAGATATATTTGAACGAAGAGGACAGCATCGGAAGCACCGCGCTTCATTATGCAGCAAATTATGGAAGTACAGAAGCTGCAGAGATTCTACTCCGAAGCGGAGCTGACATAAATTTGAAAAACCAGAGGAGTGTGACTCCTCTTGTCTCTGCAGCGGGGCATGGCCAAAAGGCGCTTGTTGAGCTACTGCTTAGAGAAGGGTCAAACGTTAACGAATCAACTGGGTATTCTGGGAACGCGCTGCAACAGGCAGCCTCCTCCAAAGGGTCAAAAGAGGTGGTCCAAGTGCTGCTCAATGCAGGTGCAGATATCAACGCGCAAGGTGGACAATTTGGTAACGCGCTCCAGGGAGCCTCCTACCAAGGGTCAAAAGAGGTGGTCCAAGTGCTGCTCAATGCAGGTGCAGATGTCAACGCGCAAGGTGGAAAGTATGGGAACGCGCTCCAGGCAGCCTCCTTCCGAGGGTCAAAAGATGTGGTACAATTGTTGCTCAATGCGGGTGCAGATGTCAACGCGCAAGGTGGAGAGTATGGCAACGCGCTCCAGGCAGCCTCCTTCCGAGGGTCAAAAGATGTGGTCCAATTGCTGCTCAATGCAGGTGCAAATGTCAACGCGCAAGGTGGACACTTTGGCAACGCGCTCCAGGGAGCCTCCTCCGAAGGGACCAAAGAGGTGGTCCAATTGCTGCTCAGTGCAGGTGCAAATGTCAACGCGCAAGGTGGAATCTATGGCAACGCGCTCCAGGCAGCATCCTCCGAAGGGACCAAAGAGGTGGTCCGAATGCTGCTCGATGCGGGTGCAAATGTCAACGCGCAAGGTGGAATCTATGGCAACGCGCTCCAGGCAGCCTCCTTCCGAGGGTCAAAAGATGTGGTCCAAGTGCTGCTTAATGCAGGTGCAGATGTCAACGCGCAAGGTGGACAGTATGGCAACGCTCTGATAGCCGCCATATTTCGGCAACGCCGTAATGTTATAGCGCTTCTTCTCGCTAATGGCATCAACCCCTCTCTACCGTCTCAAAATGGTCAGACGGCTGCTCATATTGCCGCACGGGCAGGCTCTAGTGCGATCATTGATATCATAAAAATTAACCCTGCATGCCTTCATACCAAGGATTTGTTCGATAGAACGCCTATTCATCTTGCCATATATTCCGGCCATCTTAAACATATTCCCCTTTGGTCCACTGGAGATCACGACCACCCTATTATGGATCACTACGGCAAGACTCTGCAGGACTGGGCTACTCGCGACCAAGCTATGTCGATCGAGTTGCAGAAATATTTGCCTGTGCTTCCTCCTACTCCAAATCACATCCAAATCAAGGTTCTCTCACAATCTGTACGAACATTAACGAAAAAACTGCTCTACACAAACAGATGGGCATCACCTGGACTATTCGAATTAGGTCGTTGTTTAATGTTGCTTGAAAAGTTCGATGACGCTCGTTTCGTGTTATCTCAGCAAGCTGCACAAGTTAGTACTTATGACATTATCGAAAATGCTGTTAAGTGCCATGTGTGTCACTCAAGCTGGCAAGCGAGATCTCGATTTATCTGCAAAGCATGTCCTGAGGTAGATTTGTGTTCATTTTGCATGGCACGATATCCTCACCGTAGGAATCTGCCCTCCTGCAAAAGCCATGATTTTCTCGAGATCCCATATCCAGACGGAAACCATGAATCCAGCTGCATCATGTCTGACAACGTGCAAGAATGGTTTAGGCGCCTCTTGATTCGATTTAGCGAATCGCAAGACCATTTATCTGAAGACACACCGGGCAGCAACTTGAAACGTATTGCGAATCATGTTATTAATAGTATCATGACTGCAGCCATCATGATTGGTGTCCTAACTTTCTACTTTATATCCAAATACATGTGAACCGCCAACATTATGAGTTTAACATCTTGTTATTTTATTGTAGGCAAGGTAAAGTCATGAACTTGTCCATGGCCACTAGTTGTCGTCTCCTCCTAGTCCATTGAACAATGGTATCTTCCTTGACAATTCCTTAGCTATATCACTTTGATAATCGAGTGCAAACGTGTAAATATTCTTGTTCGAGAGGTACAAACCAACATCCATCAAAATCAATAGCAAAAATGGCAGGGAATTTACGATGAATCCTTAGTAAAAGCCGTCGGGGGTGCACCCGACCGCATTGAGTGGCCCGTTCGGCAGAGTTGATACTACTAACCGAAGACCAATCATTCAAGCCCTCGTAAAAGATTCGTGTGGGGATTTGTCCTTCTTTGTTTCTGCTATTACCCTACTAGATGTGACCTCCTGAAGTCAAGGAACTTCCCGGTGCGGAGGAACGTTCTGGTTAGTCAGTATAGGATCGAGGGACCCTCCGGTAGGCATCCAGGAAGGCTCCTGGATGCTCTGCAGGCATTTCTGCCGAGGCTTAGCCTCGGGCAGTATATATAGGCTCTAGAGCCTCCCTCCTAGGTAGCTTTTCTTCCCCATGGGAAAATTCTTTGACTACGAGTGAGAAACAAACTTGTCTTATACTAAGCTTCTTTGTAGACCTTCACACTATATTCCTCAATAGTACCAAGCTGTCGGTTAAGAGGATACTCTTCCAAAGCTTCACACAAACTACCGTTTTCTGTGGGGTTCGCACTAAATAGGCACAGAAACTTCTGGAGTTTGAAACGAAATGTAGCCCAAATGGCTATACTGAAGTCTTTCCTCGTTCATTTTACTCTAGCAAGGGCGTCCTTTCCACCCACAGGTTCCTGGAGTATGAGTAATATAGGTCATTGACGACAAGACCGGAAATATTACAGCCGAACAGTCAGCCTTGCTCAACCCATAGCATTCGTTAGAAATGGTTCGAAAGCTCGGTAATATTAGCTATATAATCTGCCACAGCGAGATCTTATGTACCGTGCCCAGGTGGAATTTATATTTTAGGAGCATGTATGAGACCTCGTCGCAGCCAGGATAGTCACATGTACGGCCCTTGGGGAACTTTTGACTCAGATTGTGGGTATCAAAGTGTCGCTGCAGCGAGTCCTTTCGAGCGTACCTATATCGCTTTGCCCGCGAATGTACATTTGACCGGTCAAGACAAACTGGGTACTCCAGTCCACTTTGGTTCTCCAGTGGTGTAACTTCCAGGAGGCCCGCGAATCATCTGCGACATCGGGTAAAGGCTCGTAAAAACAGATTCGCTTCTGCAACGGCCCTGGAACTTCCAGGTCATGGAGAGCCAATCTTATCTCGAGCGAACAGATCCGATCATCAAGTAGTTCCGCATCACTGATAGAATCCACATCTCTGTTCCTGAATTCGAGATCCGCTAGGGCTTTTCTCTCGGGTACCACATGGGATATATCGGGTTCAAAAGTGATCGGTCTACCCTGATAGTTCCTATCGACAATTTGATTTCTAACATTCTGGAAAAACCTCTCGCGCTGCTCGTCTTTGGCAGTTGAATGCAGCTTTTTTCTCTCTGATCTGACCTTGTTCTGTGACTTCTGAAACTCTGCAAACAGAGTGGTACCTCGGGCATAATGCAATCGACCGTACTGTTAAATAATGTCCTTCCAGAGGGAATCGCGTCTCTATTTTAATTTCATAAGACCTGGATCACTTTCGATTGTTGTATTTTGATAATAACTTAAATCCTGGGGTGCAGATGCATCCTGGGTCAGGCTTAAATTCGTTGCGAGTTTTATTAAAGAATCTCGAGTTGGTGTACCCATAAAAGCAGATTGTGTGTTGTCTTAGACCTGTACGTAATATGCAATTGTAGAGCTCCTGCTGTGTCCCATAATGATATTCCGAGAGTGTCCGTCCAGGTGTCCTTTATACGGGTTAGATGGTAGGTATTTTAGGCAGCGGCAAATACTTACGAAGGTTTGCTGTAACTCCTTTACGATATTTATATAAGGACCCGGGGTTCTTGGGAACTTCCGATTTACTGGTCGCAACTTCATCTTCCTGTGCCTTATTGTATGGTAAGGCACTTGTAGGGTGGGTGCCTGACCCACCCTTTAAAGCTCGGCAGAATATTGGGATCTCTTGGACACTCTCTTTGAAGTGAATTGGGGTGCTTAGTCGATGAGTCGGCACTAGGGTATAACGCCAGATGTCTCTAGGTTCCTTAATGTGCTCACTAGCAAATGCGTTGTCGCGAAAAGCAAATTCGAGGATGTCTTGAATAACGCATAAGCCAAGGTTATCATTTCGCTCGGTATAGGTGAAGACCTGTCAAACATAGGTTAGCAGGCTCCAGTTCTGGCAGGAAGGGTAACTGTTGGAACGATGTTATCAACCAGACCAGAGAAGTGGAGTATCTTGACCTAATCCACATACCGCACAGCACCT